GGGGTGGGACAGGCTTCATGCGGGGGGTGAGGGCGTTGGCAGCGCACACAAATTGTCGTGGTCGTGTTGACGTGAGGAGGGCAAGGGCCAGGCGGGTGCGGCTTCTGGCACGTATGGCAGTGAATGGGAGCCGGGGGGTGGACGGGCTGGCAAGGTTGTTGCGGGTGGTGGTACTGATGGCAGCGGGTGCAGATCACGACAGTCGTACTCCCATTATGACAAGGTCCAGGTGGGTGAGGCTTCTGGCAGGTACCACAGTGGTGTGGAGGCTGAACCGGCGGGCAGGGCTGCTGCGGCGGGTGATACTGGTAGCACCGAGTACAGATCACGACGATCGTGGTGTTGTGAGGAGGACAAGGCCCAGGAAGGTGGGGCTTCTGACAGGTGCCACAGTGGGAGGGAGGGTGGCTCGAGGGGCAAGGACCAGGCGGATGGTACTGATTGCAGCGAACGCAGATCACGCCCGTGGTACTGTGCGAGGGAGGGGGACAAGGACCCGGAAGGTGACAGCGGCGGCATTGCTGACAAGTGACACGCTCGGTTACATGCGTAGCACAGGTGTGAGTGGGCGGGCAACACACGTGCGGCGGATGGGGGATCGTACAGTGGATGCAAGTCCCCCCTCCGTGGACGACCGGGTTCGGACAATGTCCTGGCGTATGGAACCTGTAACATTGGTTGCACTTGCAGGGCTCGGGACCGTGATGGACGCCGTGGCCGTGAGGGCAAGGTTCGAAGTGGTAGTTGTGGTGTTGGGTGCAGTGAGGACAGACGCCCGGGGGGAATTGGGTGTGGACACCACCGCCGTAGTACGTGTGAGATTCGCCGGAGGGATTGTGCATGCCGGTAGGATGACCTCCCGGGTGGGGAGAATGGCTTCCGTACGGGTTAGGCGAATGGTGTCCATGATGTCCATGGCCGTGTTGAGGGTGCGGCGAGTGACTGCCTCCATGAGGACTAGGCGTTCCGCGATACCCCGGCTGAGGCGAGTGCGGCTTATTGTACGGGTCATAATGCTGTCCCGAACCCTGTTGCTCGGATTGCTCGTAGTTGATGTGAATATGAACGTCAGGCGCCGCAGACGACTGGAGTTTATTGGCGAGGGTCATGATTGGCTTTGTGGTCTGGATCGGAGAGGAGAGAGGAGGTGAGGATCAGGATGGTTAGCCGTGGGTGGTAGCGGGTCTTATAGCGATTTGGAAAAGGACCGTCGATATGCTGGGATGCTGGGAGGGAGCGAGCATGTGGAGGTCACACCGTGCCGGTCTCACGGTCCGGTAATGCGGTACGCGTTATGATCGCGGGTGGAAGCGCTTGGGAGCCGGTTGTAGGCACGAGGTTGCACCCGCGGCGACTCTTGCAAGCAATCGTGTAAATGATAGACCGGTAAACATACCCAAGGAAGCTTAAGCCGAGGTTCACGTTATCCCGTTGCCAGCGGACATCGATCGTCATGGGATCAGCGAGCTTTGTGTGATTCGCTCGGTTTGAAGAATTCATATGCGAGCGGACCTATATTGATGAGAATATACTATTGCCAAGAATGATCTGATATCGCATAGGTAAGATACACATACACGCGAATTCGTCGGCTTCCACCCCTGCGCATACATTTTTGGTTCAGGCCGGCCCGAAGCTCGGCGTGGGCCGCTCGTCAGACCGCGTGCCTGCGAAGCGAAAGTGCAAGTTGAAGGATTGTGGATGTTGGCAAAGTTGTAGGTCCGAGCCATCTTCGTGTAGATGGAACGGTTTACCGTATGTCCTGCCTAAACAGCGCTAGTGAGATTTCAAGTCACATCGCGACGGTTGACAGCTGATCAGGAACGCAGAAGAATTAGCAGTACAATTGTCGCACAGAAAATGGGCCAAATAACGCCTGGGACATATGAAAATCTGCAAACCCCTACTCACACCGACCACCTCCTCCCCCCCTTCCTCCCCTCCTCCCTGCCCCTCTCCACGACCCCTCCAACCAACCTCCCCACCGTCTCCAGAAACCCATCCATATCCTGCACTGTGAACCCCACCTTCCTACCCCCAACTTCTTTCAGGACTACACCGTCACCCCGTGCGAGGGGTTTCCAGAAGAGGAGGGAACGGGGTTTGCCTTTTGCCCAGGAGATCCCACGGATTGAGGTTCCCCAGGGGTGGTAGTCCCACCAGTGGAGGCCGAGGCAGGAGGCGGTTGCTAGCCAGTCGATCTTTTCGAAGGGGATTGCGTAGGATAGACTCGGTCGTGGTGATGCTGGTGCTGGTGCTGGTGATCTGGACCCAGTCTTGGGACTGGTGTTGGAGGAGGAGGAGGTGGTTGTTGTTGGTGTTGTTATTGTTGTTGTTGGTTGGAGTGGGTTAGGTAGGTAGTGGTAGTTCTTCACGATCAACGTCCGTGTGGAGGGTGAGATCTCCACGTAGGGATCTTTGTATCCTGATATGGCTTTCATGCTGCGTACCAGGCCGCATATTGGGTTCGTGTTGGTCGGGTCGTTGCAGTCGAGCTGCAATTCCCGCGGTGGATGCAAAACAGTACTCGTATTTGGCGACATCGAAGTGGGTGAATCCGTGGGATCGGAGCGAGCGTGGGAACTTGAGAGGCCTTCGAGGATGTTGACTAAATCTGTCATTCTGTAGCTGGGGGTGTTTGGTGCCACTCGAGAAGGGGGAGGGAGGAAGTGTATTTAAAGTAGGTATGGATTGGACTCAGGACGCGGGATGCGGAGTGAGATGAAAAGCCGCTGCCGTGTCCGAATGCCGAGTCATGGGAACACGTGCCTGTGTGTAGCGAAAGGTTGACGTGTGAAGTTACGCGGGGGTTTGTGGCATCCGGGGACATCCACACGGGCTTCCAAGGTCGGCGATGACCGGATAAACTGCCACCGTCCGTGCCTGACGCAACCCACGCACCCCTGCATCTCCGCATCTGCGCCCAGGCCCGAACTTTAAAGTCACGAAGTCACCACGCAGGAAACGGAAAAAACGTACCGTCCCCTTCGCGATGACTCCTCCACCAGTATCGCACATCCCTCCGGCGCCCTCCTCGGAAAACATGACGGAGACCGAGGGCGAGAACCCTACACAGCTTGCGCTCGACACTGCAGCCCCCCTAAACCCCGCCTCCCACCTCCTCAAAGACGGCGCCGGTCCATCGCGACCAAGCACCCCCTACACCTCAACCCCCCCCGTCGACCCCTCCAACGGCCTCTCCTGGCCCGCCCACGGCACCCTCTCCCGCCGACACGAAACCCCCACCCAACGCACCACCCGTATCGAAAACATTTCGACCCATATAACCTCGATTTTGTCCAATTTAGGCGAAGACCCGAGTCGTGAGGGGTTGTTGAAAACTCCGACACGGTTTGCGGAGGCTATCGATTTCTTTACGAGGGGGTACGAGGTTGATTTGAAGGATATCGTGAATGATGCGATTTTCGAGGAGGATCATGATGAGATGGTTGTCGTAAGGGATATTCCGGTGTTCAGTATGTGCGAACACCATCTGGTGCCGTTTACGGGCCACATCCACATCGGCTACATCCCAAACCGCCGCGTCGTCGGCCTCTCCAAACTCGCCCGGATCGCAGAGATGTTTTCCCGCCGTCTCCAAGTACAGGAACGTCTCACTAAACAAGTCGCGTTGGCGATCCAAGAGATTTTGGCACCGCAGGGGGTTGGGGTGGTGATGGAGGCGAGCCATTTGTGTATGGTGATGAGGGGGGTACAGAAACCGGGGGCGACGACGGTTACCAGTGCTATGTTGGGCGTGTTTAGGGAGGGGGGGAAGACGAGGGAGGAGTTCTTGAGTTTTATTAGGGATGGGTCGAGCAGAAGATAGGCCGCGACCGAGGAACGAGGTCGACGGAGGAGAGGAGGCCTATCGAGGCTGCGATGAGGTTGCATCCTTCTCTACAGCTACAGTTTTTGTCTTTTTGCTTTCCGGGTGTTCAGGCGTACGATTGGTCTTTAACAGATTAGGGCATAATACACAAATGGCGGGCATTCAACAGGCCTGGCCCCAATACTCCTTCTCCACTCTCTCTTGTCATTTTGTTTTTGACGTAACGTAGATAAATAAGGGTATCAGTGGGATTCGAACTCGTGCCCTGTGCACGGACCCCCGGGAGCTCAAGAAGGATGGACGGCATTAGCTCGGTGCGGGGAGCCGGCGGGGATGAACGAAAAACAAAACACCAAACCCTGCTGTCATCAACATTCCCAGCGACAGTCTTTTGGTTAGCATTTACTCAGCTTTAGAACCGTGATAAGTCGCAACGACGGCGTCTCTACACCGCCAATACCCCCGGTCCCGGTCATCCTCGCTCTCTATATCTTATGACCCCGACCTAACTTCCGACCCACGGCAGCATACTGTTAAGAACGAACCACAGGCGTCGATAACGACTTTTTTCTTCATCCTGGCGCTAGGCATTTTGTTGGAGGTCCTCACCTTCGTTGGGTGGGTTTTGAGAATGTTTTTGGTGGGGGTGAATGCTGCACTGGGGTTAAACATCTTTCCCGGTCCTGGGGGGGTTGCACTTGGAATTGGAGGGAAGGAGGTGGATGGGGATCTTTTGGAGAGTGAGGTTGTGCCGGTGTCGGAGGGTGAGATTGATGACGTCGTGACTTCCGATCACGAAATCAGTGTCAACACCGAGATTGATGGAGAGGGTGAAGTGAGAGACAGCGACGACTCAGCAAACACCCTCGTCTCCCCCAACCTCAACCCCGCGCCCTCCTCAGACCCCGACACAAGACCACCCACATCGAGCTCAACCACCTCCTCCTCGCGCCGGATCAAACTCCATCCAGATGATTCCTGGCTCAGCACTGAGGGTAAGGAGAAGAGGAGGGAGGAGTGGGTTAGTCCGCGGAAGTTGAGGAAGATGAAGAAGATGGAGGGGAAGGGAGGGGTTGGAGTTGAGGTTGAGAATCCGTTTGAGGTTTTGAGGGGTGGGGATGGGACGCCGAGGAGAGAGGTCGATCATGAGCGAGACGAATTGGGAGAAGCTTCGTTGGAGGAGGACGAGACTGGTAGTGCCTCGGATCCGGAGACTGAACAGGAATACGAAGGTAAGAAGCGCGCCGTGATCGAGGAAGCGATCCAGACGAAAGACGATGGTCAAGAGGAGGGGGAGGCAACGGAGTCACCTTCTGAATCCGTGCCACTGCAGATTGAAGATGATGATGAACGGCTCGCGACCCAAACGTCACAAGAGGCAGGGTTGCATACGCTACTTCCACCCACCCTTCTTGCGGACGCACCACAAGCCGTCGCGGACGTCTCAGCAGGTCCACTTATCGTCTGCGAAACTACATCGGATGATCCCACAACTATCGTATGCCATCCAGTCTCCACACCGGCAGTTCCCGAGGAAGATCAAGTATCACATCAAGAACAAGAATCAGACTCAAGACCCACCACAACCAATGAATCAGTTCTCGCTCCCTTCCCCGAGCCCGAAGATTTACCGAAAAGGTCCATCAAGCCCGTCCTGGCGCAAAAGAAAAGCTTGGATAGCGGGTACGCAAGAAGTGACGACAAAGTGAGCGATTGGGGCCTCGATGAACCGCAACAGCCGCTGAAACCGGTTATGAGCGATGTTGAGGTGATGGGTACGACGAAGATAAGTCGGGCAGAGAGTGCGCTCAGTCAGCTTGAGGATTGGGGCATGGATGAGGTGGCGGCAAATGGAAGGGAGAGTTCTGCGTCGCCACAGGAGTCGAGGAGGAGGACGAAGGGTATGATGAGAGCCGAGTCTGTTGTGTCGAGTACTTCCGCCTGGGGATTCGATGAAGAGGATGTCGTTCCGATGAACCCCAAAACTCCATTACGAAGACAACGAATGACGCGTGCCGAATCCGCGACATCTAAACTGAGCGACTGGGGTCTCGACGACAATGGTGACGCGCCCTCTCCCCTCCCATCGTCCGATCGCATGCGACCTATGCGCTCCTCCTCTTCCTACAACCCTCGGCAGATCCACCGCCGCGACTCCATCTCCTCCCTAAACTCCCGCCAATCCCGGCGCTCTCACACCCAACACATGCACACCCACTTCACCCCCTTCATGCGTGAACTCGACACACAATCCCGCAGAAGTTGGGTCGATGAAAGTGCGAGGAGTGTACGGGAGGGGAGTGTCATTGAGGAAGGGATTAGCGTGAGTGATTGGGGGTTGGAGGTCGATATTGAGGATGGGCAGGGGGAGAGGAAGGGTGGAGGGGATGCGTGGTTGGGGTTGGATGTTGGGGAGGTGGTGGAGGCGGAGGTGAAGAGGGATAGGAAAGGGATGATTAGAACTGCGGCATTTGCTGTGGGCTTGGCGTTGAAGACTAGGATGAACAAGGCGAGGAGCGAGACGGAGGGTACGGTCGTATAGGATGTGGATTCTCATTGCGGCCTGAAGTGTTACGTGTATGGATAGGTCCGGTGGTGTTTTTTCTTTGGAGGATCACGGCGTTTCACCTCTTTTTCTTGTGTCCTCTGTTCCTTACAAAAGTTCTATGGTATTGCTTTAATAAACTTTGCATTAACCATAACGTTAACGAGCGGCCGGCCGCGGGTGCATGCCTCCGATGGTTTGCGCTACGCTCCCACAGTTGCCCCGCTCAGATCAAACGATCAGACAAAACACCAGGAGCAGATCAAGATGAGCGATCCAACAGCAAGTTGAGAAACTCTTCGCATCTCCAATCCGTCAAAATGAGCACCAGTACTGGAACCGATAAGATCGGAACTCTCCTCTACTCACCGACCTCCCCCTTCGTCCGCAAGATCATCACCGCATCCCGCGAACTTGGCATTCTCCACCGCCTCACCATCACACGTCTCCCCATCGGTCCACTCCTCACTGACGCAGAGATCTGGTCTCACAACCCCTTGGGCAAAGTTCCCTGTCTGATCATCGAGAAGGATGACGACGAGGACGACGACGATGAGGTCTTGTTCCCATCCCCGGTGGTGTTGCGATACCTCGATGTTGAGGGCCGAATGACAGTCGCCGGCCGTGACGGGAATGGCGGGACTAAGGAAGAAAGGTTGAAGGAGCTGCAACTCGAGGCTTTGTGTGACGGGATCTTGGACGCGATGGTCCTCGTCCACTACGAACTCACCATCCGCCCCGAATCCACGCCCTCCCAAACCCCCTGGCAATCCTGGATCGACGGCCAAACCTCCAAGGCCCGCCGCGGCCTCCACCTCCTCGCCTCCCGCGTCCGAGACGGCACCATCACGACTCCCAAACCGGACCAAATCATGAATGTTGTGCAAATTAGTTTAGCGGCGGTGTTGTGGTGGTTGCAGCGTAGGTTTCCGGAGGAGGGGTGGTTGGAGGATGAGGAGATGGGGGTGTTGAAGGAGTGGGAGGAGGTGGTTAAGAAGAGGGAGAGTATGGCGCCGGAGCCGGAGATGGAGTTTGGAGAGAGTGTGGTTGTGGAGAAGGGACCCAATGGTGATGAGAAGATTGTTCAGGTGTGATCGTACGAACGGAAACTTAAATGAAGTGGATATACTTATCTGACGTTCTTGAATGGTAATTGCAACTGTAGGGTAACCCTAAACGTCTGAATCCTTCGATACCTCCAAGAAACTCATCGATATACTTTAGAAGTGAAGCAGGGCCAATGAGAGGTCATACATCGAACGTTACCTTCCCGAAGTTTTACCGAACCTGGGGCCCCGCACGCGTGCCGTGGAGTTAGAGTAGAGCGCCCGCTTAGAAGTCCAGATTGGCTGGAACCAGTCGACGTTACCCCCCAACGAGATCACGGATTAAACTTTATACCCCCACAGCTCATTCGGCATGGTCACAAGACTGGAGTAAGGCTTGGATCAGGCGCTCCTTCGTTTCAACTGTCAATACACGTACCGGTACCAGGATCAACTGAAGTCAACGATGGTCGGCGCTCCCGCTGTTACGAAATCGACGGGCACGGAGCACTATAATACTCTTCAGAACAATGTCGCGTCATCTTGGCTCCGCGATCCGGGTCTCCTCCGTCTCAATCTCGGTATCGGGTTCCTTTTTGCCTCCGCGGCAAGTAATGGCTACGACGGGTCCCTGATGAACGGACTCCTCGTCATGGACACCTTCAACCGCAATCTCGGCCCCAACATCAGTAGTAGTCTACTCGGACTCGTTATTGCGGGGATAAGTTTGGGTGGATTACCGAGTTTTATCCCGGCGAGTTATGTGACGGATCGAGTGGGGAGAAAGAAGGCGCTTGGGATTGGGTCGTCGTTGATGGTGGTGGGAGCGGTTGTGCAGGCGTTTACGAAGGGTGCGTATGCGATGTTGGCGACACGTATCGTCATCGGTATCGGACTTGGGTTTTCTCAGACGAGTGCACCAACCCTCGCGACAGAACTCGCACATCCGAAACATCGTGGTGCGATCTCGGCACTTTTTCAGGCAACGTGGTATTGGGGTGCGATTGTGGCTGCGTCGTGTTGTATGGGGACATTGTTTTTGGATTCGAGTTGGGGGTGGCGGCTACCGTGTTTGTTGCAGGCGGTGTTTCCGGGGTTACAGCTCGTTGGACTCGCGCTCGTGCCGGAGTCGCCGAGGTGGTTGGTTTCGGTTGGAAGGGAGGAGGAGGCGAGGATGATATTGACAAGGTATCATGCGAATGGGAGTATTGATGACGAATTGGTGCGGTATGAGTATGAGGAGATTAAGGCCACTATCGCAGCTGAGAAGGTTGGTGCTGCGCGGTCTGGGTTCTTGACGTTTTTTAAGACGTCGGGGAATCGGCACCGGTTGTTTATTTGTGTGTTTTCGGGGTTTATGATTAATTGGGTGGGAAACGGGATCGTGTCGTACTACCTCGCGCCTATTCTCCGTACCGTCGGCGTTACGAACTTGACGGCACAAGCGGGGATCAATCTGGGCATGCAGGTATGGAATGCGATATTGAGTGCGGTGGGTGCGGTGTGTGCTGAGAAGTTTGGAAGACGCCCATTGTGGTTGACGAGCGCGAGTGGCATGTTGGGTGCGTTCGTGGTCATCACGGCGCTGTCTGCTACGTTCGCCAAGACGCAATCGCATGCGATCGGCGCTGGTGTTGTCGCGTTCCTCTTCGTCTTTTTCGGATTCTACGACATCGCGTTTACGCCTCTCTCCATCGCCTACCCAATCGAGATCTTACCATTCCATCTGAGAGCGAAAGGGTTGAGTATCAACCTCACCGTCGTCTTCGCCGCGAGTTTCTTCAATCAGTACGTCAACCCGGTCGCATTCGAGAGGTTGGAGTGGAAGTTGTATTTCGTGTATGTTGGCGTTTTGTGCGTGGTGATACCTGTCATCTACTTCACCTTCCCCGAAACAAAAGGCCGTACGCTCGAAGAAATCGCAGAAGTCTTCGATGGGAAGAAACCGCAGGTTGAAGAGGATGGTCGTGGTGGTGCGGATGGACACGGGAGGGGGGAGGTGAGGATGGTCCGAAGTGATGATAAGTTCGATATAGAGTATGAGATGGAACCGACGGATTTGGTATTTAGGGATCCGGGGTTCAGTAAGGAGGGGATTCAGATGGAGACGATTGTGCCGAAGGGGTGTGGGACGAAGCATTTGGAGACGTTGACTGTGGCGGAGTTTAGGAAGGATTGTGCGATGCTTGATCGGGCGTGCTGAGTTACCGAGGGTGTATTGTTAGGGCATTTTTCGGAGTGGGTAGGGGAAAGGAGGGTATGTGTGATATTGATGATACCTAGTGATACCTACCGAAAATCCGACTTTCGTTCTTCACCTATGTACGTGCATATTCCCATAGCTTTCGTAGTCAAGAAGTACTCCATGACCTCCTTCGCTGATCGTCTTCGTGGTCTTCCCCGACTTCCTCGAACAATGGAATTGCATGGTTCAACGACCCTGGTATTCCATCTACATCGAATATCCTCGCGGCCTTCCCCTTTAGTAGATCACCAATGCACGTATTATGCACTGGAAGCTTTGATAACAGCCTACACAGCGCCCCGAAAACCTCTCTCGAGTCTGCCTTGCCCGACTGAGTTAATGCATTCGCAGGAGAAGGAGGGGAAGGTGTGCACATAATCACGTCCGCGAGCGCGTTCGTGACCTCGAAAAGTTTGAGTTCCATTCCTGGCCCATGAGCACGAATCGCATCAAAGGAGAGCTTGGAGGTGACTTTTAATACATCGACCGCGATCTCTTTCGGGAGTGTGAGGGTCACACCCGCTTCGGGTTCGGCGCCCGCTTTCGCACTCGGTCCACAACAGCCTTGTTTAAGTCCCATCTGCCAAGCGAGTGTTCGCATCCATTGTTGCGTAATGAGGATATCCGCCCTCTGGGTCTCGGAGCTATCCGTCGTGATCGGGAGGGGTCTCGAGAGTCGTTTCCCGAGGTCCGTGAGCCATGTTCGTGAGAGATTTGGGTTCGGTGCGGTTTCGTCGTGCGGGTGGAAGAAGGATGTGTCGAGGCTTGCGAAGAGGTGGACGAGAGAGACGAAGCCTGTTAGGACTGTAGGGTCATCGACGTCTGGATCATTGGTTGAGGGGAGGGAGATTGTAGGTGCCAATACGGCAGGAAGGTTCCCGTGCATGGATGGTCCACGCTCCGTCACGTATAGTAACCAGAATAACCGGCGTAAGCGACGCCGGTCGCGTGGATCTGAGTATGCGGCGTATGTTGACTCTTTGTGAAGTTCGAGGAGTTGGGTGAAGGTGATTGCTTCGCGGAGGTATGTGATGGATTTGTGTGTCCAGCCACTTTCGGAGGCGTAGTAGACGTGAAGGAAGAAGGAGGTTAAAGCGCCGGGTTCGGTGGCTTCTTTGGGGTAGTCGAAGGTTTGGCGGACGCGGAGGCATTCTTTGATAAGGAGATCGCCGGTCGCGGTACCAGATGTTGCGAGCTGGAGTTGTGCGATAGTGGCCGCGCAGAGCGCGGTAGCCAAACAGTACAGTTCTGGATCTCGTGGGGAAATAGCAAGCGCAGCTTCCAGATCTGATGCCGAGATGATCGGCCAGATCGGGTATGTTCGGTGTCTGTATATCTGGATATAGGTCTTAAGTGACGACAATGCAACCCACTCATCTTGTCGCTGGGGACCAAAGCACGATGCGCTTGCCGAGCCCGTGTCATCTGAGGAAACGGAGGATGCATCGCGGATCGGCATGGAGGGCGAGTCCGGTGGGTTCAAGAGAGAATGGACAGGACTTCGCGCAAGTATAGGTGATCGCATAGCAGGAGGACGTTCGTACGGAGCTCCATACATCGCTTTCTGTCTTTCAATCGCCTCTATGGTGCGCATTCGCGGTCGGCGGGGTCCGGTCTTGCCGGGTACGCGGAGGTAGGTGCAGTCGATCCCAGCGCCGACGCATTGTTGGCATGGGGAGGAGGATATGGGGATGACTCCAAGCTGAATTGAGATGCTGATCTCGGCATTGGAGCACTTGACTTTGCGGATCTTGCAGCCGTCGCAGGCACGACGGACGGGAGTTGGCGAAGCCATTGATTGTTTGGTAAGAACGCTTAACGGCGAAGGAAGATTTCACACTGCCCAATGCGATGGCAGAACAACTGAGTCCGCAACGTCTGGTATGTAACAGAAATCGGAGAATTATCGCACGTTGGAGTTTAAGGTTGTATGGTGCGGGTAGGGTGCAGTATGGGGTACAGCGAACAGCAAACCCGAAAAGGTGCCGAGAAGCGAGAGATGATATTATGGTCCGAAACTTTGTGGATTTCTTTTTCCGATTATCCCGTATGCTCGGGCAATTTTCTTCAACATCTACGACTGAGAACCCTGAGCGAATCACGCTCCGCGGAGATCAACCCACAGCACCCTGCCTTATCGCAATCAGGCAACCGTTCGCCGAAGGATTTTGGTCCGTTGACCTGTCAAACAGTTGATCCTTCACGTCACAATGTCTTTCGAACCCAGTACTCGCTACCAAAAGGCGATCGAGGCCTTCACCGCCGCACACACCGACGACCCTCGTCCTTCCTCCACTGGCGAACCATACAACGTCCTCTACCACCGTCGCCTCGCACATTTCTGTCGCGAGCTGTGTCTCGCCGGGGACAACACTCCCTCCGAGGCGCTCTTGCTCGCGGCGAATTGTCAGCATATCCGAAGATGGGAGCATCCGCGTTCCGACTTTTCCGAGGGTCTCGTCGGTTACAAAACCTGGCGGACAAAGACGAATCGATGGCACTCGGAGGAGGGGGAGAGGATCTTGTTGGCTTCTGGGTATGATGCGACCGAGGATGCGGATCTCATCGCTCGTTTCAAGGAGTTGGTCACGAAGAAGACTTTGCAGAAAGATGATCCTGAGATGCAACTTTTCGAGGACGCGATCTGCTGCGTATTCCTCGAAAACGAGTTCGACGAGTTCAAGGATCGGTATGAGGATAACGAGCAAAAGACGATCGTAATCGTGCAGAAGACTTGGGGGAAGATGGGACCGTTGGGAAGGGGGATGGCGGTCAAGTTGTTGGATGGGATGACGGAGCGGGAGAAGGAGATTATCGGGAAGGCGTTGGCGGGATAGAGGGTGTGTGGGGTGGATATTCGTTTTTATGACGTGTACCAAGTGTTGGAGCGGTTTGTCATGATACGGAAACGCGGTAGTCACAGATATCTGATTCACGGGGTATAACACTTCACTGCGGTAAACCTAGTATACACACGAAACCCTTAGAACACGAGGACAACTTTTCCCACGGTGAATTGGCCTACTACTAGTACATCGACAGGCCATGGTATGGCCCGTCCGGTTCGAGCGCAGCTAACCCGTTCGTGGGAACGATCGGCTGATGCGGGGTGTCATCCGCTAAATACCACTTACTGAGCGTAGGGGTGAATGGGGTTTTCTATTAGGACTAGCTAGCATACATATCAAGATCAAGATGAGGCACAGGAGGCCCAGAAACAGTGGCAAAGTGACACGTGCACATCACAGGGGTTAGGGTAACCCTAAGACCTCTCAATGTTGGTCGCTATTTCGTAGACATCCTTCCCAGAAGCATATTGGTTGATTACCTTGTCGCGGTCGACATCGGCACATATCTTCCCAAGCATTTCGACCCTTACTGAGTTTCCTAGACCCTTTTTCGAGCTGTTTGGAGGTGTTTTATGTTACCGTTACAGGGGTCTCGCGCATGTACGAAAATGCGCGTCAAGAATTTTGCACACAGCAGTATTGCAACTGAGAGTATTCGTGACAGTCGAATTCGGGGGGCTCGTAGGGTATTCTTCAAGTGTGGGCATAATAATCAGGAGGATGTCGAAGTACGCCGACTAAGTTTAGCATGGTGTTGTTTCATAATGTATCGTATTTATGATTAGCTAGTTTACAAGCCTGTAGCAGGTATGCTTTGATTGAAATTCGTTGTCGAGGTCAACTTGTTCGCAATCTCCAGAGCACAATTCTCACGGGATCGGCCCATCGCGGCTGCGTGCACCCAACCTCACCACAGCACTCTCTACAATATTGCTCGATATCGGACCAAACGGTTACAATCACTTTCGCGCCATTCAGTAACCTAAACTATGATGAATGCAGGCCGGGGCGCCGCAGCGCATCGTGTCCTATTTCAACCTGAACTCCTCGAGATCATCCTTAGCCATCTCACGACTCCTCAATTGTCGCTATGTCAAGGCGTGTGCGGCAGATGGAGAGACGTTATTCAAACTTCGCCTAAATTACGATGGAACTTATTTGAACTCGCTTCACCTCCGCACACGTACGGTAAACCCTCTCCAAAGACTCAAACGGCTACTTGCAGTTCCGTGGGATACGAGTTGCATCCTTCCCTCGTACCCCTCCGCTGGCATATCAATTCTGACGGTGATACTAACTCGGTCGAGTATTGCTGGCCGGAGCGACCTGGCACGCAAGATGCTCCAGCCTACACTTACTTCGCCACGCGTCCGGCAAGAAAGCATATGAAATTGATTGTGTCATCGAAGACATCCTGGCAGTGGTTTACCCTTGCTTTCGAAAACGAGGCTAGAGAGGAGGGGATTACGATTGACGAAGTCGTCAAGGATCAACGCATGGTACATCTGAGGGATACGTTGGAGAGGACTGAGTACGGTGTTTACGACGCTTTTTTCAGTGGGGAGAGTGGAGCGTTGAAGCTGACGTTGGCGAGTTACTCATGACCGTGCACAAATCCGGCACTCCTTCCAGGTTATCAACTAGTATATATTGAATTGTACCAACCTTAACCAGTGTCCATCGCCACCGTAGGGGATCCACGAAGCACGAACTGTGGTGCTGAGTGTGCTGGGCGTGGAAAGAGGGGTGTTGGTTCGGTCCAAACCTGACGGCCTGAACGGGCTTGCTCGGTCGTCTGATCCGCACGAGTGGCTGTGACTTTGGGATCATGTTCCTCAACCGCGTCGCTGACAAGTAGACTGGACGTACCGAGCTCACTCGCTCAACTGCCGAAGTTGATCCGAGCGCGATATGCTGGCAAGGACGACATCGATCGCCCAGCTGCTCTTGGCCGAACTCGAGTCGTCTCGTCGAATCCGGAGTTCGGGTTAGGGTTTAGTGCACAACGCTGAAACTTCACCTTTAGCAGATCACCTTCATGCTCACCCGATCCAATTTTTCATTCCTAAGTCGTCCAGACCATCAATTTATCAGATTGTACTAACCGCTTCCTACTGCACCTCGGTTCTTCGTGTCCGTGATCGCACGGCGTTTCTAAGGTTGACTAAGGTTACCTAACCGCGACCCATACAACGCCAACAGAAAAAAAACTCAAGAAACAAGCACCATCCAAATGCTATTTGAGGGACAAGGACGATAGGATTGAAGGCAATTGTGCGATGAGTACACCAGCGACGGCAAGATCAAGTACAACAGTGATGCCTCTTAGCACCGACATCGAACGGCACGACGCCGAACTCGCCACGTCCGCACCCTCCACTACCAACGGCCATCCCGACGCGATCGCAGAGAAATCCGCCTCAGATTCAGCACCTCTCGAACCCCACCACGATGACCCGATCTCTTGGATGTCTTTCCCCCACGAATGCGTCTTCATCGCAACGCTCTGCTGCGCCCAACTCATGACGCAAGCCGCGCTCGCGCAGGCTATTACGCCGTTACACATCATCGGCTATGCGTTCGGTACGTCCAATCCGGGCGAACTGTCCTGGTTTGCGGCGTCGTACTCCCTTACCGTCGGTACCTTCATCTTAATCGCGGGGAGACTGGGTGACATGTATGGCCATAAACTGGTATTTGTGTGTGGGTTCGCGTGGTTCGGACTCTGGTCCCTCATCTCCGGCCTATCCGGCTACTCCCGCTCACAAGTCTTCTTCGACATCTGCCGCGCACTACAAGGCATGGGCCCAGCTTTTGTCCTCCCGAACGCACTCGCCATTTTCGGAAGATTCTACGCACTCCGTCCACGGCGAAAGGAAATGGTCTTTGCGTTGTTTGGAGCGACTGCGCCGACTGGCTTCGTGGTTGGGAGTATCTTTTCGGCACTTACGGCTGTTGAGGGTGGGGAGAGGGGTTGGGCGTGGACGTATTATGCTTCGGCGATATTCTGTGTGTTATTGGCGGTGGGGAGTGTGTGGATCATTCCGCACGTTCCAAATGATATGGATAATACGGAGACGTTCGATTATGCTGGTGCGGTTACGGGTGTGGTGGGATTGGTGCTCGTCAATTTTGCGTGGAATCAGGGACCTGTCGTGGGGTGGAATGTGCCGTATACGTACATCCTCCTCATCGTCGGGATCCTCTTCCTCTGTGCGTTCGTATGGGTTGAGAAGAGGGCGAAACATCCTTTGGTCCCATTCAACGCTCTCACGTCCGAGACTGGGTACGTGTTGGCGTGTATCTGGGCTGGATGGTCTTCGTTCGGGATCTGGGTCTTTTACTTGTGGCAGTTCCTGCAGATCGAACGTGGTGTCACCCCGATCCTCGCCACGGCGATGTTTACCCCGGTCATTATCTCCGGTCTCTGTGCCGCGCTCGTTTGTGGGTGGTTGTTGTCACGTATCCGCACTTCAGTCCTGATGACAATCTCAATGGTCGCTTTCACGGTGGGGAACATCATGGTCGCTGTAGCACCCGTGCACCAAACATATTGGGCCTTAACCTTCGTCGCAATTTGCATCATGCCCTGGGGTATGGACATGTCCTTCCCCGCCGCAACCATATCTCTCTCAAATTTCATGCCAAGGCAGCATCAGGGGATTGCGGCGAGTTTGGTGAACACCGTTGTTAACTATAGTATCTCGATTGGGTTGGGTGTTGCGGGGACGGTGGAGAGTAGGGTCAATCGGGATGGGACGAATGGGTTGAAGGGATATAGGAGTGCGTGGTATACTGCGATTGGGTTTGCGGGGGTTGGGGTTGCTGTGAGTCTGTTGTTTGTGGTCAGGACTTGGAGGAGGTGGGAGAAACCTGAGGGATGAGTCTCTTGAGGTGCACGAGACTACCGAGCTATTTGGATGTAGTGCATGTGGTTGATCATATACCCACCATAGAAGATCAATCTCCCGATCCATTAATGTTAATCTACCTGCATCGTCCACGAATCTACTTCAACCTACCACAACCCGTACCCTCGTAATTCTCAATCCGAATCCGTCTTATACCCATCATTCGAATCCGGAGAGGGACACCGGTTATTCAAATCCACACTCAGCCTCTCCCGCCTCGCTATAGTCCAATCCATCCACAACCCTACGTCTTTTACTATTTCGCCCGGCATGGCAAGTCTTTGCATCCAACCGGGCAAGAAGCCTTTTGCGTCGGAGGTTGTGCTCATAGTCCACTCTACTCTGTCGTCAGGGAGGACTCGGACTCGTTCGATGGATGTGTAGGCACCGCGGACGGTACCCGGTTCCCGTGGGATTTGGGTATTGACGGCGCTCGTTGGGAGGGATATGACCATGAATTCTGTTGGGGAAAGGGTCATGGGATATATCGTGACCATGAAATCGCGTTTCGAGAGTGGTGCTGGAAACGTATACGTATTCAAATGTGTCGTCCACCGATCGCACTCCTCACTGTGGGACGCAGGCGTACATGGCCCTTCGCCGAGGTATTCAGTGGATGTGATGGTGGGGATGTAGGATGCTTCATTCTCGGCGTGGTCCTTGAAGAGGGTGGATTTGAATTCTGAGAATGTGATGTCGGGGTGTATGCTTTGTCGTGCGTACCACCATAACCCTGCGTACTTTTTCTTGTAGCCCTCTACGCGGACTGGTGTCGTCTCCGTCGCAGTTGAAAAGTTTCCGTGGGTAGAGGTGTATGTCTTCACGTGCGTCCATTGTGTAACTGACTCGATGAGAGGTTTTGCTTCGGCGAGGAGGGTGGAGGGGTGGGCGGGTGACCACCAGTTTTGAGGATGAAGATTGAGGAGGCTGGAGGAGGGCGGCATATTGAAGCAGAGTTAACTGTAACTGACTGGAGGACAGCTGTGTATATAGGTCTCACTTGGATTGGCACCAGAGAAATGTCCCCCGACAAGACAGGTATACGTAGGGACGTTAACTTATAGAACTTCGGGTTGTGTCGGAACAGCGGCGGCCGAAGCAGGAGGTGATGTGATGTGATGTGATATCGTAAATCGAAGGTAGTCTGATGGTTGAGGCTTCCTGAGATCTCAAGGGTAGAGGGCGAAAGGCGGCGTTATACGGAAGAGCCTGGCGAGTCGACGTCGCGACCGAGGAAATAATCGCCGGCGAGTTACGGTGTGACTTACTGTATGTGATGTGATACTTAATTCGGCCGACGAGCCCAGCGTTGCTGAGTAATTTTTATAACTGCATAATGCCATAATGACTTCGTTCGCTGTGGATTAGGTTGAAAGGGTCTTTGTTACTTCTTGTATAAATATCCTTGCAATCGGTTCACATCCACCTTCAACAGGAGACCATCGCTGCGCTTTTTGATTCCCAGAGTCTTTCGCGTGCTCTATATATCGGGCATAAGATAAATCCTCATCCTCACCCATACAATCCATCTTCTGCAAGCCCTCGTCACAGCCAATGGTCACGAGTCGACTCGACTCGCACCGCACCCTTCATCCGCCGAAGACAAACGAGCTTTCCGACCTCAAAAAGAACTTTTCCACTGGGTATAGGTTGCTTCCAGGTGCTCACAACAATCGTGACATTCTCCTGACCGCCTCCCGATTTCATCCCCCCGTCACATCCACTGCCTCACCACACCCTCAAGCTCATGGGTTCCGTTCACTGAGAAGCACCAACGTGTCCCTTCGCACCCTTCGTCGCGCTCGGCATCTGCACAGCTGCTGTCTTTGTGTTCGCGCTCAAGTAGTGGTATAGTACGATCAATACCATCATTCCCGTACCGAGCCAGATTGCGATGGAGTTTAGTTGTTCGTCGGTCATTGTTGTGTTGACTTCTGGATCGTACGAGTTTTGATCGAGTGTTTGCCTGTCAACACTTACAGCAGTACACAACGTAGCGGTTGGCGGCTCGGAACCCCTGCGTGCGACCAACAATTGCAATTGATCCATTCCCAACAAATGGACCTCCCCTCCCTCCTCTATCTTTTCGTCCAGCAACCCATCGCCCTCGTCGTCCTCCTCCTAACCACTCTCCTCTCCTACCGCCTCCTCACCCCCCGCTCCCCCCGTCCTCCCAGTGCCACGACCCACATCCCCTTCCTCGGCAGCGCAATCGCCTACGGCACCGATCCCGTCAACTTTTTAGTGGAGCAACGCAAGAAACTAGGAGATGTATTCCAGGTGAATTTGTTGGTGATGAAAATGACGTTCGTGGTTGGTGGGAAGTGGCAGCGGTGGTTGTTGAGGCAGGTGGGGGAGGAGGATGGGATGAGTTTTTGGAGGGCGATATTGGAAATGCATCTGGGGCTGCTCAATTCCTCTTTTTATCATCCTGGGTGGGTCGAACGGGCGAATAAGGCTCTCCAAAACGGTATGATCCTATCCCTACCAATGTTCTTTGATGTTCGAATTCTGATGGTGTGTGAATTGTACAGGAATGAACCGACCCGCCCGCCTCGAAAAATACGCGGAGCAATTTGCCAAAGTCGCAGAAGACCTCTACGAACAATGGTCCACCGCCGAAAAGATCCCGCTCTTCCTCTCTGGCTCTGACCTCCTCCTCCGCGCCAACATGACAGCTCTCTACGGTCCCGCCTTCGTTACCAAACACGCCGACGAACTCATCCCCATCGTCCGTCGTTTCGAGCGCAGTTTCACGAATCCGCTTGTGCGGGCGCTGCCGTTATGGGCGAGTAAACCCGGACGGGAGTTGAAGAGGTGTTATGAACGGATGAAGGTGATTATCGATGAGGAGGTGCAGAGGAGGGTTGGGGATCAGGACTATTGGGGGCAGCAGGACGATTATATGAGTTATTTGCTGACGATTGACGATAGGGTCGAGGCTTTCTTTGATTGTTATGGGGAGCATTTGATGATCATGATCTCCGCCTCGCACGTCAACACCGCCGGGACATTTTCGTGGACGCTGCTGCACCTTCTCCGCACACCCGGTCTACTATCGCAATTTCAGGATGAGATACGGTCCAACCCACCTTCCGACTCTGGCGTGTACCCGGCGAAGAACATGCCGTTTAGTGAAGCATGCATGCGGGAGACGGGTCGATTGTACACCAACCTCGTCCTCGTCCGATACGCCGAAAAAGACCTGGTGGGTCCGGATGGGACGGTGGTGCCGAAGGGATGGGTCGCGGCGAGTCCGTTGGCGACACAACGAGACCCTGAGCTTTACCCACAACCCGAACAATGGACCCCCGCCCACTTTTTGCCGGATAAGAGCGGGAAGAGCGATTATGCGAACAAGTTCCGGAATAATGAGTTTGTGCAGTTTGGGTATGGGAAACATGCGTGTCTTGGCGAAAAGTTGACGCATACGCTTCTAAGGTCCTCGCTGTGGCCTGCGTTGCTTGATTCGTATGATGTCGAGATTGTGGATGGATTGCGAGAGGTGGAGGGGATTAATGGAGTGGGTGTTGAGGCGAATTGGAGGGAGAATATGGGGACGCCGTTTGCTGTTAGGGAGATTTGGATTAGGGTCAGGAAGAGGGAGAGGAAATTGACGGAGGCGGGGGGGCAGACAATTGTGGAGGAGAAGATGAATGGGCTTTTGAGTGTTGACACGACGGGGTTTTGAAGTCGTGGGAGGGTGCGCATGGGAGCGGCTTGGTGTGATGATGATGAGTTGATCTCTCGGCATTGTTAGTAGCATCTTTTTGGCATGAAACTGTTGCTTCTTTCTGGTCGAATGTGATGATTCGAGTGCGATCACCAATTAACTGGCTTCGGACTTTAAGTGGTTTCATATTAATGTACCCAGCCGCGGCCGCCCATGCAACAGCTGCATCCCTCTCACACGTAGACTAACCCCTCGCCGTACTCGTACTCCAACAACCCAAAGAGGCGGCATTCATTCACCTGTCCTCCCTTTCTCTCATCCAACGTCGGACAGAAACACGGAGAACATGGCTCAAGGTCCAGCTCGTCAATTCGGCGTTACTCCGCCCATCTCCATGGCGTTGCCTACGGACGCCGAGAACAAGATGAACCATCTCTTGATTGAGGAGTTAAAAGCACAAGGTTCATTCGAGAGTCCGGAGGAGTCTGAGAAGAGGTGAGAATTTGAGAAGTTCCGTACAAATGTATGCTGACATCTGTCTCTCTCACAGGGTCAAAGTCCTCAATGAAATCCAGAAGATGACGGAGGAGTTCGTCAAAACAGTCAGCATGGATAAGGGAATGACGGAACAAATGGCCAAAGACTGTGGTGGTAAGATCTTTACCTACGGTTCCTATCGTCTCGGTGTGTATGGACCTGGTTCGGATATCGATACCTTGGTTGTGGTACCACGTCACATCACCCGCGAGGATTTCTTCAAGACGTTCGATAAGATGTTGCGTGCGAGGCCTGAGGTGGATGAATTGTCTTCCGTTCCGGACGCATATGTCCCGATTATCAAGATGGAGTTCAGTGGGATCTCGATTGATCTTATTTTTGCGCGTCTCGCTATCCCGCAAGTCCCTCTCAGCCTCGAGCTCGACGACAACAACCTCCTCCGCAATGTCGACGAGCGCGACGTTCTTTCTCTGAACGGTACCCGGGTTACGGATGACATTCTCCGCCTCGTACCCAACCCCTCCGTCTTCAAGCACGCACTCCGCACCATCAAGCTCTGGGCTCAACGCCGCGCAATCTACTCCAACGTCCTCGGATTCCCCGGTGGAGTCGCCTGGGCAATGCTAACCGCCCGAATCTGCCAACTCTACCCAAACGCCATCTCCGCCACCATCGTCTCCAAGTTCTTCCGCATCTACACCCAATGGTCCTGGCCACAACCCGTCATGCTAAAGCCAATCGAAGACGGACCCCTCCAAGTCCGCGTATGGAACCCCAAGATCTACCCCCACGACAGACTCCACAAAATGCCCATTATCACCCCCGCCTACCCCTCCATGTGCGCAACCCACAACATCACCGACTCCACCAAAAGAGTCATCATCGCCGAACTCGAACGCGCAGGCGACGTCGCCGACAAAATACTGATCGGCCGTGCCCCCTGGTCCGATCTGTTCGCCAAGCACACGTTTTTTCATAATTACAAGTACTACCTCTGCGTCACCGCGTTCTCCAAAACCAAGGAGCAGCATTTGAAATGGTATGGATTGGTGGAGAGTAGGGTTAGGCAGCTTGTTATGAAGTTGGAGATGGTGGAGCAGATTGGACTTGCCCATCCGTATGTGAAGGGGTTTGATAAGGTGTATTATGCGGGGAGTGAGGAGGAGGCGAGCACGATTGTTGATGGGGAGATTCCGGCGAATGTTGTTTGTGAGGCTGCGGATTTGAAAGCTGAGCTTCCCGTTTCTGCAGCTGCCGATGCGCCTAAAGTCGAGAAAGACGAGGATGGGCGGATTAAGGTTTATACGACCTCCTTCTACCTGGGCTTGGAGGTCGTGCAGCAAGAGGGTCAGGTCCCGAAGAAACTCGATATCTCGTGGAGTACGACCGAATTCTACGAATTCTGTAAGAGGTGGGATAAATACGACCCCGAATGCATGAATGTACGGGTGAAGTACATGAGAAGGTAAAGCTCCTGATTCCGCTAACTGTTTATGAGTAACGGTTAACTGGGGTTATACAGTTTCGACCTCCCCGACGACGTCTTCGCACCTGGCGAGGAACGCCCAGCAAGGCCCGAGAAGAAGACGAAGAAGGGCGGGAAGAAGAGGGCGTTGAATGCTGACAATGCAGTGGAGGTTGGGGTGAAGAGGGTGAGGAGTGGTGAGAGTGTGCAGGCGTGAGGTGAGAGGTGCGTGATGGTTAGCGTCAGACAGCGTGGTGGAGCTGCTTACGCCCGGGTTGCATAGGAATTCACCGACAAGAGGAAGAGATGGGTGGAATGAGGTTCGTGGTGCAACGATACCAGTGTTCGGCAATTCCTCCGCGTGTGTGGGTACTGACTGCGTGCGCAGGAACGAACGGCTGAGCGAAACAGTGCAATATCATCCATTTTATGACGACGCCAGCTGTAGTAAACGCATGGCAACTGAACGAGAACGACGCCTTTATACTTTTGTTTCCGACATTTGTGAGATGGAAAATACGAAAAAGCATGAAAAATTTGGGCGAGCTACTAACTGCTTCCCTGTCTGCTTTCTATTGCGTTTGATGGCTATAGTGTTGATGCTCATCGACTTTGCAACAATAAAACCACTGTGAGCCTCGATGCAAACACGATGTATCAGATGGCGATCGGTATGCAAAGTAATGGCAATTGCGAAGGAACTGTGTGGTTTACGTTACTTAACTAGCAAAGCTCTCTATTGCTATCGCAATACTACTTTTGCACCTCGTACATCATGTTCCGTTCAAATGCTCTTGTTAAGAAGTAGGTAAATCAACCAAACATGCTTAGCAAAATGGGTAGCAAATCTATCAAATAGAAGAAACGCCGAAGATGCCCATCACCTTTTGTCCCATGACCCGCACAACAAACTATCTATGCACCACATCAAACCCAACACACGATATCACTTTTATTACGCAGCGCCAGTAGCTTCTTCCAGTAAACGCTGCTTCTTCTCCATTGCGAAGCGGATGACGTCCTTTACGTCCGTTTCCATCACGGGCTTCGTTAACACCCGATCTGCACCAGCCCCCACAAATTCTTCCTGGTCCTCCTTCAATGCATTACCTGTGACGCCACAAACTGGAATCACGTATCCCAACCTCCTCATCTGCCTCACGGCTTCGACACCAGACAAGATCGGCATCTGGTTATCCAGGAAAACCAGGTCGATCGCCGTTTCGGTATCACAGCGTTCCTGCAACGTCTTGATCGCGATGGAACCATCTTCCGCCGCAGTAACGGTATGGCCCATACGACAGATGAGACGAGTCATGAGGCGGCGAGTAATCATGTCATCGTCAACGACCAGGATCTGCAACGTCCGCGTCGTGAGTGCCGGCTCAGATTCGGAACGTTCGTGAAGATGCGGGTGTTCTTGCAGAGTATTCGGCGCCGCGGGATCATAACTCTTGCTCGACATCAATGGTGCAGGAGCCGTCATCGGTCGCGCCTCGTCCCTACTCTCCTTCTTCGGACTCGGACTCGGACTACGATTCCTAGCTGGACTCGAAGCCCTCGGCGGAGGCGGCGTGGGTCTCTCGAGAAGCATAGTCGGCGCCAAAGCAGCTCCTTCATCCTTCTTTAACAACGGACTCGTATCACTTTGTCCCGCACTCGAACTCTGCTGTGTCAGTACGCTCGGTCTAGGCATCAACCCCGGTCGTAGAGCCCGAACACTCGACTCCCCTTCCTCATCGCTGATCTCGACGTTCAACTTGATCACACCAGGACCAACTTCTCTGTCCGCACACGGGGTCAACTCGACTTCGTCCACATGCATGACCGTCGCACCTTTGTTGGATAAGTCACCCATGCTGATGTCGCTCTTGACCGTGCCATTGCTGTTGCCACGATCGCGTGGAGAGCTCTTGCGTTCGAGGGTCGCGGCGAGATTTTGCATCGTAGCCTCGCTAGCCCAACCGGCCGCTGCACTTGGCCGCTTATGCCCATCCCCATTTCCAGCGTGGTGTTGAGCAGGTACCCAATCCGGCGGCAACCCATACGCCATCTCGACCCAGAAAGTACTCCCCTTCCCACGGACACTGCGCACACCCAACCTTCCACCACTCAACTCCACAATATTCCTCACGAGCGCCAATCCCAGTCCCGTCCCCTTTCCTCCCTGTCTTCGGCCTTCTTCCGTCTGCACATACGGCGAGAACAACCTATTATCCTTCATATCACTCTTCTTGATACCCACACCTGAATCAACAATCTCGACACGGATGATGGCATGGTTATGAATCCGGAGAGGTTCGTCACCTGTGGCGGAATCGGTACTATGAAACCTCTCGAACTTGGGGGCAAGGACTAAGCCTCGAGTCCCAGCTGTATGCGCAGTCGGACATGGCACAACCGCCGGCACCATCTTCTCGCCAAGCTCCTTGATCTTACCATCCACATCCATCGGGCCGATAGCCTCCTCCTCCTCTGGCACGATTGGTCCCGCGTACAATAACCGCGTTACGATCTTGACCTCACCACCGACACCCGTGAACTTGACCGCATTCCCCGCCAAATTCCCGATAACTTGTCGTAACCTCATCTCATCACCCATCAACTCCACCCCCAACGCATCAATCGCCGGATCACAATCCGACAATAACGTGATTTGACGATCTGCCGCGCTGACCCTAATCCCCACCAGAATCGTCCTAATCACGGAGTGGAACGAGAATGGTTTGGTGGATTGTAAGAGCTTGCCCTCCTCCATCCTGTTGAAATCAAGAACGTCATTGAGAACTTGTGCCATCATCCCCAAACTACTCTTCAACGCATCCGCAATCTCCTTCGTTCCTTCCCCAATCCTCTCCCGATCCAACACCCCATCACCCTCGAGCGTCTGTACCGCCAACGTAGCAATATTCAACGGCACCCGTACCTCATGAAAGATATACGATACGAACCTCTTCTTCGAATCCGCTTCCTGCCTCTCACATGCCTGCGCCTCCCTCGTCGCCGCAATCTGTTCCTTCAGCCTTTCCTTCAACACGAACGATCGTCGAGACATTTTCTCGCGGGCGTAGGAGATGTACATCAAGAACCCGAAGAACGTAAACAAAAACACCACATGTCTCGCCCAACTCGAACGGCCACTCACGATGAACACGCCCAGTAAGACGATAAAGGTCGTCCAAGCGACAATATGCGGTAATCTGGAGATCTTCATGGACCAAATCGCCAACGTGGGGACGGCGGAAGCGAAGAAGAATAGACCGGCGAAATCGCGTTGACCGCAGTTTCGGTGATCGGTGTAGAAGCCGCAATGGTACATGTCGCTCAACATCGCCAATGCCCAACTCCACGTCCCAACTACCGCCCAGAACTGCCAAATAACTTTATGTGATTGAGGCCAGTTGAACCATGCCATAACGGGGAGTGGGAGTATCGTGACACCAGTCCAGAAGACGTACGTCCACCACATAAACACGTTAAATGGTTTCGGGGTAAGACCAACACTCAGCCCCCAAAACAACACGTAAAACATACACGTCGTCATCGTAATATTCTTCTGCGTCTCCCAACTCTCCGCCTGGAAGTTCCGTTCCTTCTCCGGATCGTTAAACCGCAAAAACAAAAACTTGTTGACCTTTCGAATGATGAAATACGTCAAACCTTTCAGTTGTTGCGCAGCAGTCATCCCGAAACTCTGCCGTCTTGGGAAACCGGACGAAGTACCCTGCGACCCACTCGTCCTCGAACCTCTACTCCTCGACGCGCCACCCCGTCTTGAAGACGGAGCAGCGTCATCCCCCTCCTCCTCATCATCCGGAAACACAGAACCCTCGTACGCGGCCTGCCGTAGTGCCGTAAACGTGTTATCCACCACGATCTCTGAATACGACTCTGCGGAACTCGATGAGCGATTCGTGTGGTGTTCCTTGGGTTGTTGGAGTTGAATGTGTTCTGGGCCTTCGAGTTGGAGGTGGGGGATTTCGGGGTCTTGGGGGGAGGTGTGGGTTGGTAGTGCCGGTGATGCTCGCATGAAGGAAGCGAAGCGGCGGCGGAGGCCTATTGGAGCCATGGCTGCGGAAGTATTAATATGGATGGATGTTGTGGGGGTGTTGTTCGATCAGGAGTCTTTCTCTTCTCAAGCTCGAGCTCAACCAGCCTTCCTGAGAGAAGCTTATTGATCCCGGTAGATGTCGCTACAGCAATAGAGAATCCGATGACCAATGTTTCAACAAGCTCGTCGCATTCAGACTTTTCTCTCTGGTCGGTGGTGGTTGGGTTGTATCGGCGGATGCAAGCTTCAAGCTATCGCCGGCTGCGGTGTGGGCTATACGTGCCATCCACGCCGGCGCATACACGTTTCAATTCGGGGGAAAATTTGCCTCGGGAAGAATGGATGCTATTCATATCCGCATATCGGAAGGTGCTTACAAATGCTCTCCGACAGGGTTCACGGTGAAGAGCTCTACAATATGAGAGGGTCGTAGGGAAGGCAGGATGGCTGCACCGTCGGAAAATCGACTTTTTCCAACACCTGATCGGGATCTGCGAACTCCGGTTTTTGCAGTCGCGTATCGTGAGATTGATTTTGTCATCAGAAGTAAGTAGTATGTTGACGAAAGAAGACCGTGTTAAGGGTTCCGTCACTTGTACTCTGGATGTATAGGCCAACCCACCATGCTATTGCTTTTGATAATTTCCGTGTGCCGCCCGCAGCACGTCCTTAGCTAATCGTAAATCTAACCCCCATCTACACCACCTCCCTAATCTCATCCACCTCCCTCACCCTCTGGGTACTATTCCTCTTCTCCCCCTCACCAACCGTACTCCCACTCCCAACCCTCCTCACTGCGCCCACCCCCTTCTTCTCCACCCCCAGCCCCCTCCTCTGCTTCCCACACACAATCCTCCACAAACTCATCTCCTTCCCAACCTTCCCCCTCTGCTCCTTCCACCTCATCAGCGCGATGGACCCCATCACAAGGATCCAATAACAACAATACGCCGCCACAGTCCCCTTCGTCGCCGTATTATTCCACCCCAATATCGCATTAAACACTTGCCACCCCCCATTCCCGGTCTCCGGTGAACAACAATTAACATGCCACACACTCTGTCTAATATCATACGTGCCAGGCCCATCCCCAAGTTCCGAGACGTCACCCCCAACCAACAACCCCCACCGATAATTCTCGAAAAACCCTACTGCTCTCGAAAAGAGCCCAGCAGAGACGAGGTACAACACACACGTGCTCCCCACCAAGAAATAATGCAGTTTAAACATGTTGCCACCACGGTAGAGGGCGTATCCGATGCAAAGCCCGGCTATGAGGCCACATGCTACGGCGAGGGGGAATGCGGAGGCTGGGTAAGATACCGCTACCCCGCCGACGAAAACCACAGCTTCGAGGCCTTCGCGGAGGACAGTGATGAAGGGCAGAATAAAGAGAGCGTACTTCCGCGACCACCGGCCAAAGCGTTTCCCGAGGCGGTGTTTGGGGGTGTGACTGTGACCATTGGCATCGGTGATGTCGTGTCCCTCCAACGCACGGTCGAGTTTCACTTTCCATTTGCCCTGCAATTTCGAAATCCTGAGCATGGCAAGTCCCATAACCGTAATCATCATCGACGCAATGAGCGCAAACACCCCCTCCCACAAATCTTCCGCAGAACCCCAGATATCGTGACCGAGGCCATACCAAACCCCGATGAATGCGCCGCCGATGCAGAGACAGAGCGCGAACCCGCATCCCGCTCCGGTCCAGATTTGGTTGCGTAGCTTTTTGTACATGAGGATGTCATGACCAGAGGAGGTGTGGTCGGGGTGGAGAGTTTGTGTGACGAAGGCGAGGAGGACGGAGACGATGATTGCGGCCTCGATTGTTTCGCGGAGGACGATGAAGAAGATTGGGACGGAGAAGACGTCGGCGGCTGTTACTGGCATCTTTTCTCCAACGTTGTGTTCAGTGTGTTATCAGATCCATGGGGGAGAGGGCGTCCTTTTATTCCGTCGAGCTTACGAGGATAATCAGATGGATGCCGAGGGAAAGATCAGACGAGGCTAGCGTAGCGTGGTGGTCCCGAGTCAGAGTGTGCTAAGTGAGGGTTAGATCTGGTATGCAAGGTCGTCGAGTGCGAGTGACATATAGCTAGCTACTTTGGTTCTGTCAATAGTACTCACGATACGGTAGCCGAGAACGTTAACGATCCCAGAACGATCTGGTCCTCCAACGTTCTAATCCGTTCGTATACGCGTCGGCCATTGCAGTTGCAATAATGAGCGTCATACAGTTCCAACTCGCGTTCGCGGGTTTCGGAGTCTCAAGCCAGCTGCAGCTTCCTCTCGAAATCAGATCATGCCAAGCTCACGGTCCGTGACATCGATTGATAATTATAATCAATGGCCAATCCATGATTTTAAGCTTTCAAGATCATCTCCGCAACACGTATGTACACGGCATATCTTTCGCCTGCACGCTGCAATTGCGAGTTCTACCGGTACCGAGGCGGCGCGAGATCGTGATCGGCGCCACTCACCCCCGCGGCCACACGAAACAACAGGTGCGGGTCATTCTCCCAATGATCTAATCAGATCTCCATCCTTCCCACCCTAACCCTCCCTCGCCTCTCAACGCCCCCAAATACGCCATCGCTTCTATTCTCCCCTCGGCCCACCTCTCACCCAAAAATAATTTTTATCAGATCGTGGACTAATCCCCGTGTGGTTTCTGGAGCGAGGCAGATGATCAGATAAAGATTGATGTATCTGCTGCTTGACGAGAACACCATACCGACAAGATGAAAGCAAGAACAGCTGGGTTGGTTGCGTTGGCTGCTGCTGCTGCTGCGATTGCGGAGAATGTTGTCGAGTTGGAGTGGAATATCACTTATACCACCGCGAACCCGGATGGGATGTTCGAGAGACAAGTCATCGGCGTCAATGGTGCATGGCCGTGAGTCTCTCCCTCTCCTCTTCTTTCTTTCCATTGCTCGTGCTGACTGTACATGTCTGAAGACCACCAGCAGTCAACCTAACCGAAGGCGACCGAGTCATCATCAAAACCAACAACCACCTCACCGAAGGCACCTCCCTCCACGCCCACGGCATGTTCCAAAACACCACAACCTACATGGACGGCCCCGTCGGCGTAACCCAATGCGCAATCCCCCCCAACGGCTCCTTTACCTACAACTTCACCGTCGACCAAGTAGGCACATACTGGATCCACTCTCACGCAAAGGGTCAATACCCTGATGGATTGCGTAGTCCCTTTGTCATACATGCGAAGAATGAGACGCATGGGGCGAGTTATGACGAGGATGTTACGGTACCGTTGAGTGATTGGTACCATACCCGAATCATGGATTTGAATGAGCGGTTTATGTCACTAGCCAACCCCTCCGGCGCCGAACCCGTCCCAAAGTCAGCACTCATGTTCGATACACAAAACGCCACCCTCTCATTCGAGGCCGGCAAAACCTATCGGCTCCGCTTCGTCAACATGGCCGCATTCGCCGCATTCCACGTCTGGATCGAGGGACATACGATGCGCGTGATCGAAGTCGATGGGGTGGATACGGAGGAGTACGAGACGGATGGGATTTCGCTGACTGCGGCTCAACGCGTCTCGGTACTCGTTACGGCGCGGAATGATACGAGTGGGGCGTTCCCTATCGTCGGTGCGATGGATACGGATATGTTCGATACCGTACCCGGGGATCTCAACCCCAACGTCACTTCCTACATCATCTACGACTCCGCTTCTTCGTTGGATCTTCCCACCCCAGCAACCGTCGACGCATTCCCCCCCTTCGACGATACACAACTCGTCCCTTCTGTTCCTATCCAACCATACAGCGGCGACCACAACATCACCCTCGACGTCCTCTTCGACGTCCTCGGCGACGGCTCAAACTACGCCATGTTCAACACCCAAACCTACCTCACCCCCGATACACCCCCCCTCTTCACAGCCATGTCAACAGGCGTGAACGCAACTGACCCCGTGCTGTATGGCTCCGCGACGAATAGTTTTGTTGTACCGCATTTGGTTGGGGTGGAGATGGTTATTAATAATTATGATCCGGGGAAACATCCTTTTCACCTCCATGGGCATACTTTTCAAGTCCTCGGACGGTCGGTTGAGGATGCGGGACCCTACGACCCCTCCAACGTCACTTTCGACATTCCGGCGAACCCGATGAGGAGAGACGTGGTCCAGGTCCCGCCGAATGGGCATGTCCTACTTCGATTTTTTAGCGATAACCCCGGTGTCTGGTTATTCCACTGTCACATCGAATGGCATATTTTGTCAGGCCTAATCGCACAAATCATCGAAGCACCCCTCGTCATGCAAGAACGCGTCTCCATCCCCTCATTCATCTCGGACGAATGCGCAGCGCAATCAATCCCAACATCCGGAAACGCACTCGGCAACACCGGTGCGCTTCTATACGACTTCCACGGCTATAACGCCGGCCCAGGGTTTTTGCCGACGGGGTTTACGGCGAAGGGGTATGTTGGGATGGTTATGTCTGTACTATCTGCTTTCTTGGGGATGGGTGTGATTTGTTGGTATGGGATTACGGAAGTGAAGGAGGCTGCGGAGGAGGCCAAGGAGAGGGAGGGGGAGGGGGAGGAGAAGGTTGGGGGGGTTGCTGTTGTTAGGGAGTTGTAAGATGCTTGAGGACGGGGAGAGAAAGAAGGAGAAGGGGTGGTAGTGCAGATGGAAAGGGTGAAAATTGAGTAGCATGTTAATAAAATGCTGTGCTCCTCTTTGACTTCCTTGCTGGCGGTTTGGATTCCCCGCGCTCCATGCACCCCTTCCGAACCTTAACCCCGGATCAAATACGTACGACATCCTCGACATCGCCCATCAGAATGTCGAATTCTCATTCTCATGACGGCAGCCACTCCCATACTCATGATCACGGCCACGACCTCGAAGAATCCCTCGGCCTCTCCCGCACTCTAAACTCCTTCACCTCCTACCGCCCCTCCCTCCACTCCTCCCTAACCCACCGTCTCCGCCGCTACCACTCCCTCCCCCTCCCCCACCGCTCCCTCCTCTCCACCTACCCCTCCCAAATCAGACATGCTAGCACCTGTATCGACGAAAATGCCTCACTCCTCGAATCAATCGCGGAGGTGGGTGGGACGGGCGTGTTGGGTGATGTAAAGAATGGGGTCGAGGGGTGTGGGGAGGGGGACATGGAGAAGGTTAGGAGTGTTGTGAAGCAGTTTGCGAGGGACTGGAGTGTGGAGGGAAGGGGGGAGCGGGATGCGTGTTATCGGCCGATCGTGGAACTCCTTGAATCGTTGTTTCCGGATCGACATGAGCGGAATATTCGGGTACTGGTGCCTGGAGCTGGACTTGCACGGTTGGCTTGGGAGTTGGCTCGTGTAGGGTTCCACGCCCAAGCGAACGAGTTTTCGTATCATATGCTTCTTGGATCATTCTATATCCTCAATTGCGGGGTACCCGTTGGACACCACACCATCCACCCCTACGTCCACTCCTGGTCAAATCACCGCTCCCGGCAAAACCACTTCCGATCCGTCGCAATCCCAGATGTCGACGTCGCCGGCGAACTCCAACACGAACGCGCCGGAACCCTCGAATTCGCGAGTGGCGATTTCGTCCAGGTCTACTCCAAACCCACAGAAACCTCCCAGTACGACGCGATAGCAACCTGCTTCTTCATCGACACCGCACAAAATATCGTGGATTACATCACCACCATCCACAACCTCCTCCTTCCCGGCGGGAAATGGGTTAACCTCGGACCTTTGTTGTGGCATTTCGAGAATAAGGAGGAAGGGGGGATAGAATTGACGGCGGATGAAGTTAGGGGGTTGGTTGAGGAGATGGGATTTAGGGTTGAGGTGCAGGAGAAGAGGGTGAGGACGAGGTATGTGGGGGATGAGGAGGGGATGTTGGGGTATGTGTACGAGGCGGAGTTTTGGGTTGCGACGAAGTTGTGAGGAGACCAAGACCATAGGATGCGAGTGTGTGAGTGCAGGGAGAGCCTGGAAAACGAGTTTTATTGGCATAGAGATGTAGTTGGTAGACACATGGTGCGACAGTGTGAGTCGTGACAGAAGAATTTTACAGGATACGACCTGAAGTGTCGTCTACATGATACCGACGAATTTAGACACCGCAGGGGTCATCGAGGTAGTTAGACTGTGACATATCTCATATTCAAAACTACTCCCTCTCAAACAGTCCACAACGTCGACGTCGACGTTTCCGACAGATCCCAATCATTCCTGTATATGAGCAACGACCTCAATCTCCACCATCATCGGCGGCAAAGCCAATGCAGCGACCCCAACACAGGTCCAAATCGGTGCATGATTGGGCATGTACTTCTTATTCAGCTCGACCATCTTGTAACTCCACATGTCAGTCATTCGAGCTTTCTCACGCCTCTTCTCCCCGTCTCCACGAGTAGCGATGTTCGTCACAGAAACAGAGCATGGAGCTTAATATTTTACGCACCTTATCAAAAGCCTCCTCATTCATCGGACAATGATAACTCCTCACACTCCAAACCCCCTCCCACCCCCTCTCAACCCCAGCCGCCCTCAACGCAGTCTCGATATTCAGGTAAGCTTGCTCGAGATGTTCGCTCAAGTCGGAGGAAAACTCCAGTTTCTCGTTCCAGCCGCCTTGGCCGGAGAGGTGGATGTTTGGGCCGACGCGGACGGATTGGGAGAAGTTGTAGGCTTCGCGGAGGTGTTTTCCGGCGGCGGGATCGTTGAAGTAGGAGAGGTGGGACATGTTTGCAATTGGGCACCGGTATGTCTGAGCAGAGTCGGGGAGGAGGACAGGACAGCTGAGAGAAGGGTTGGTCGAAACTATACGAGAAGGTTGAGAGGGCAGATTGGACATGGTCACATGGATGCGGCACGGCCAGGGATCGATGGCGGAGACCTCCCGCCGGGCAAGACTTTTACCAGTAACCGAACCCGTTTACGTAGGTCATTTCGCGTATCCCTTCATCTGGAACACCGGGCCGATCGTGAAGCATTGAAAAGTCACAATAAATAATATTGGCCGTAATGAACGTTTCAGACATGGTACCAGTACCTGTGTATATTCCGTAATGACCATAACCAGATGCAAAAGAAAACAAACCAAACCCAGAAAACGCGCTTAACAAAAAGAAATAGCTCGCCCAAACGTGGAGCCTCGGTGCTTTTCAGCCGGTCCTCCCCGGCATGCAGCATGCCCCCTCCGCAATTCTCGCCATCCCCGCCAACTCCCTCTCATCTTACACTCACATGCAGATTCGGTAAGTGTTATATCTCCCACTCGTCGGAGACCTTCTGGTGATCTTAACGACCTGTCCTCTCTTCAAACCATAGTACCTCGCCACAGGATCCACCGGCAAAATGCGAGGCAACTGTGTCTCCTTCAACCGATACTTCTCCAACAACTCCAACTTTTCCTCCTTCGACAGGACCTCGTGTTTAGGAACGAGCTCGTGCTGAGTGATATTGACGATCAAGTCCGATTCGGGGAAGAGCTCGATGGAGTGCTGTGCCGCAACCGCCAACGCGACCTTGGAGGCAGATGGCGAGAGTTTACCGGCGTAGACGTAGATTCCGACAGCGCACTGGTGTTCTGCCAATGTCGCGGCGAAAGCACGGAGGGGTTTGATACCGATCGTCTCGCCGGTTTCCGTATTTGTGGAGAATTCGACATAAAGCTGGGAGTTTGATTCCTTGTGTCTGAAGAATTGGCGGAGGGCGGTACGGTCGACACCGGAAGCGGTACCGTAGGTGTTTTGGAATTCCTCACGAGTGATGGTGGTCTCGTTCTCGGCGACGACGTAGCCCTGGGATCAGAAGCGTTAGTCATCGATCCGTGTTTGATAGATCTGGGGGGTGTGGAACAACATACCCGGTCCAGCACCATCTGGTTGACGGTGAGCCATACTCTGTGTAGTCTGGTGATCTGTGCTTGGTTGTCCATTTGTCGTTGATGCTCTTTACTTTCTCACTCTCTATTCTCTCGAGACGGTATTACGACGCGATACGCTTTTGCGCTGCTGCAGCACGGTGACGAGGACGAAGGATATGTATTAAAAACTACAGCCAACATAATGATTAGCCAGCCGCTCAACCCAACACAAACTCCCCTCCGCAATCAACAAAAGCAGTCAGCAACGAAAACGCCAGATCAGATTGTCGATGTCCACACCGAGCCGAAGCTCATCGGACAATGTAGATAAGTATGTTTAAGATTTGGATCATCATTTGAACGGATCGGTGCCAGACTTGCTCGTTGATGTGAAGAGGATACAGAGAGAAGACTTACCAATTGATCACGGCCGCGGGAGAATGGTTGTTCGCTGGAAGAGAAGAGAAGAGGTGTGTTTGATTTGACGGTTGCGCTCGACGCGAGCTCGAAGGTAGAAATTTAGGCGTGACGTGCACGTGCCGTGTGAACGGGACCGTCAAGATCTTCGCTTGATTTACATGAACGAGTCGATTTATTAGTAGTAAATTAGCATCATTTTGCATCACTAACAATGTCTGTGTAAATCGTGATTCCAAGTCCGTGGGTCCCACGCGTACGGTACCGGTCGCAATTGAAGTTATTCCCCATGCCCGTTCAGAACTGCGACAAGTCCGCGAAGAGCAAGGACACGATCACCCAATGCTTCTGAGATGTCACTTGTCTGTGAGGAGTTAGAGGACGCTGGGTGTGTACGTACCGGTACTAATACGAAAAACCCGTGGGAACAATGAATGACTTGAGTAAACCTTGCTGAACAAACCCAGCCGATCGCGACAGCAAAGGTACACATCTAAGGACAGTATTGATACATCTTTAGGGAGTCCTGGGGGATTCAGCTGTAACATGACGAAATTCATCACGGCGCGGGGTCGACGATTACGCAAGGGGACAACGGAACAGCTGCTGCACATTTCGGCATAACTCCACCACCGCACTCCGACCATCTCGAATATAAATACCACTCGATCCGCCCCAGCACAACTCCTCCACCCACCAGTTCGATTGAACAGGAACCAAACAGATCAGATCAATATGTCTCGTATGTCCTTCTTCAACCAACCCGAGCCGGTCTCGTCCTTGGCCCACTACCGCCTCCTCTCACCCACCGCCGCTGTGCGTGTCTCCCCCCTCTGCCTCGGCACCATGAACTTTGGTACAAAGTGGGCCGAGTGGATGGGCGAGTGCTCCAAGGATACCTCCTTCGAGATCCTCGACCACTACTACGACCAAGGTGGAAACTTCATCGACACCGCTTCTCCCTACCAAGGTAACGAGAGTGAAGAATGGATCGGAGAGTGGATGCAGAAGAGGAAAAACAGAGACCAGATTGTGCTCGCGACGAAATACACGACGCTGTACCCCCCGCTTACGGAGCCCGTCGGTCACGACATCAAGATCAACCGTGCGGGTAACTCGAGGAAGAGTGCGCATGTTGCGGTGAGGGATTGTTTGATCAAGCTCAAGACGGATTACATTGATTTGTTGTACGTGCATTGGTGGGATTACACCACCTCTGTGCCCGAGTTGATGCAGACCCTTAACCACCTCGTTATGTCCGGGAAGGTGTTGTACCTCGGCGCTTCGGACATGCCCGCCTGGGTCGTCTCGAAGTGTAACCAGTACGCTCGTGACCACGGCATGGCTCAATTCGTCGTCTACCAAGGAAAGTGGAACTTGGCGGAGCGCGATATGGAGAGCGAGGTCATCCCGATGTGTAAGGATGAGGGTATGGGTGTCGCGCCCTGGGCTACGTTGGGCCAGGGTAAGTTCAAGACTGCAAAGCAGTTGGAGGAGGAGAAGAATGAGTCTCGCCGTAACATGGATCAGGCTAAGGAAAGCGACCACCGTGCCTCTGAAGCTCTTGAGAAAGTTGCGAAGGAGCTCGGTGAGGGTGTTTCCATCCAGCAGGTTGCGTTGGCGTACCACCTTTACCACACTGCCCATGTCTTCCCCATTATCGGTGGACGCAAGGTTTCTCACCTTAAGGACAACATCGCCGCTTTGGACATCCACCTTACAGATGCTCAGTTCGCTACGCTTCAGGAGGGCGGGGAGCAGAAGAGGTTGTTCCCGCAGACGATGGTCGGAACGAAGACGAGTGAGGTTCCGATTTTGAAGAACTCGGGAGTTTTGGAGGAGGCGGGTGTTGGAGGTGGAAGGGGAGCCGGGGGCGTCCAGGAGTGGAAGGCCCCGGCCTAGAGAATTGGCTACTAATGAGGCTTGTGTTTGACTACGTATACCTACGATCTTTTTCAGTGATAGAAAACCATCGCAAACTTTTCTCCCACGCATCCGTCGGGTCTACCAACTCTTGCCTATAAGCTCATGATCATGACCGTTTTCAATCCAAGGTTGACCTTCGTAAATGAGAAGATGAAGCTGAAATACGAGTACTCTCAAATGCAGCTGCTGCTTACTAATCGTTCTCCGCGGGTAAACCTGCGAGGTCCTCACGCTCGTGACGTCAGGGCATACCAAGTCCCTCGACTTTTGTGAACCCCACAACCTTCGATCGAAACTCCACCAAACCTCCAAAACTCCAAACAAAAATGTCGTCTCAGAAAAAGATCCTCTTCGTTCTCACCTCCCACAACAAGATCGACAAGCTCGACAAGCCTACCGGGTGGTACCTCCCCGAGGTGGCTCACCCCTACTACGTCCTCGCTCCTCACTACTCCATCACCTGGGCTTCTCCCGCTGGTGGTGAAGCTCCTCTCGATCCCGGATCCGTTGAGGCATTCAAGGATGATGACGAGGCTCAGAAGTTCTTGAAGGAGGTTAATGACTGGAAGCAGTGCCGTAAGCTTTCTGACGTCCTTCCGGAGGTCGAGAAGGGTGAGTACGTCGCTGTTTTCTACCCCGGTGGTCATGGACCTATGTACGACTTGCCCCGTGACGAGAACTCTTTGAAGATCCTTGAGAGTTTCTGGAAGCAGAACTTGCCCGTCTCCGCTGTCTGCCACGCTCCTGCCGTCCTGGCCGAGACTTCCTTCGTCAAGGGCCGCAAGGTAACTGGATTCTCCAACGAGGAGGAAGACCAGGCTGGGTTGACTGATGCCATGCCTTACCTCCTTGAGGACCGCTTGAAGGAGAGGGGTGGTTTGTACGAGAAGGCCGAGAAGGCTTGGGGAGAGAAGTTGGTTGTGGATGGAAAATTGATTACGGGACAGAACCCTGCGAGTGCGAAGGCCGTTGGAGAGGCGTTGCATCAGATGATTACTGGTGGTGCCCCGGAGGATGAGAGCAAGGCTAGCGTGCAGGACAAGCTTGCTGGTATGGGTGCTTCGTAGATGCTCTAGCTCTACGTCAAGTGGTTGTGTTAGGATACGTGTACGATATGATAGCATCTATATGATTCATATGTTGCGCAAGAGCACTCAGGCCACGGCATCATTAACCAAATGTGCGAATTTGTTTTCAGTATCTGTGGGTATCCATATAGAAGTCAGATGCAACGCCGATCCCGGTCCTTCTCTCCCTACCATTTCATATCCTCAGTCCCAGTTCTATACCATATCCAACCACCCATACGTCTCCGCAACCGCCGTCATATTCACCCCCTCTTCGCCAAACATCCTCGCAACTCGCAAATACTCCTCATCAGTCTTCATCTTATGCGGATTAATCGCACCCTCTCCCATCCTATGTACCCACCCCGACAAATCTTCAACATTATCATCGACGTCGAACGCTTGTTGGTTTGGGAGCTTGATGAATGTGAAGGTGTCGGGTGTTTCTCCGGCTTCGTGGAGGAGGCGTCCGACGAGGCGGTCTTCGTGTTCGTCGTTGATGGGGTTTTCGTCGTGCAGGGTTGAGAGGCGGTGAGCGAGCGAGGTTGAGAGGGTATAGAATTGGCCGCCGGGGTAGGGGTATTCCTTGACGAAGCGGTCCATAGGCCGGCCGATCATGAGTCTTTGCTTGAAGTCCGTGTTGTCGATGTCGAGATCTGGATTAAGGTTCGGGTGGAGATATTGCGTGTAGAACGCCAATGCCGAGAGGAAAGAGTCGTCGTCGAGTTTGCTAACGAATCTGTAGGATAGGAATCTACCCGAATCCCGGAAGTACTTGAGGAACTCTATGGACTTGACGGTGTTTGCGACGTGTGCGGATTCTTCTAGGTGCGACAGAACCACCAAATCTCCATAGGTCTCGTTCTCGGCTTTCACAATGTCGATCCAAGGACCGGGATTCGAGAGAACGAACACACATCTGATGTTAGGATTATCAGAGGCGTAAAGACGTTGCCAGGTAGCGCGAATAATACTGTGGCGACTCAAGGATTTTGCTAGTGTCATGGTTGCGATGAGCCAGACAGGATCAGATGCGGTGAAGGTGCCGGCAGCTGCAGTGCTGAATCGAGATATGGATGGGGAGAGATCCGAGTAAGAGAGGAATGTGACGAGAAGGGTTATGGTGATAACGCATGCTAGGAGACCATAGCGAATGAGGGGTGAAGACATGGAAGGGATCGCGGCGACCATGATGACCTGATTCACAGAGACCGGTCGCGGTACCGTGGAGTGAGGGCGAGAGGACAGGAGAGGATCAGGCGCAGTTGTTGCAGTACGGGGAGATATGGTAGTACATATGAAATCTACGGCTCGGACTAATTCACCGAGTAACCCGCGTACGCATGTCATTCCAGCTTCACACCGGGCCGCGCGCGCTCGATCACCGCGGGAGCGCAACGAATGTCACCGTGATGGACTCGTGTCGTCTGGGCATTCCTGTATCGGGTAAAAAGGGTTGACATTGAACAGCGTCGACATTTCAACTCTGCCCTCTGTCAGCATCCCGTGGCTGTGTCGTGGCTGTGCACAGGGACGTGCATCTGTTGCATCCAAAAATAGATACTGCGATACACCACCAAAGTCTGCTCGTTGACAGTTGTTGATCAATTGCAAGATGTTCAACATCCAAAGATGGACAGGAAATGAGGTTCAACAGCCAAAGAAGAACGTGGCTGTCCTGGAGAAACTGAAGAGTAAGCTGAAGAGGAAGAGGGAGGAGCCGGAGCCTGAAGCCGCACCTGCCTCGGAGCCGGCGCCTGAGAATATGGAGGAGTCTGTGTCAATGGAGGAGGTGGTCGAAGAGAAGGCTACTGAGGCACAAGAACCAGAGCCGGAGAAGGAAGAAGAGACCAAGGAGAAGAAGCCACCAAAGAGGGAAAAGAAAAAGAAAAAGAAGATCGAGGAGCCAGTCGAAGAAGAAGTCGACGTCGGCCGCGGTCATTCCCGCGTCCTCAATATCTTTCACGCCCACGCTAAACCCATCTCGCAACCCGACTCAGACACCGAACTCCCCGACGCACCAGTCGAGGAATTGGATCCAGAGCTGAACCCAACAACGCTCCAACCCCTCCCCCAACCCGCCCAAAAAGCCAAAGCACCGCGCGGCCCAGGCGTCACCGGTCTCCCGGAATGGCTGACAAACCCCACCACCATCCCCAGCACCACACGAATCCCATTTTCCGAACTCGGCCTATCCTCGAAAATCAACACCCGCCTAGCCACACAGAACTATACCGCCGCCTTTGCCGTGCAATCCGCCGTTCTCCCCGCACTGTTAAAAGATGCGCAGAGTTTGGTGCAAGGTGTGAAGGAGGATTTGTGCGTGAGTGCTCAGACGGGAAGTGGAAAGACGTTGGCGTACACGATTCCGATTGTGGAGGCGTTGTCTACTAGGGTCGTTACGAGGCTGCGGTGTTTGATTGTTTTACCGACCCGCGAGTTGGTGACCCAAGTCCGCGAAACATTCGAGCAGATCGCCGGAGGCTCTGGCCTGAAAATTGGAACATCCACCGGCCAGCGCTCCTTCGCGAACGAACAGACCATGCTCTGCGGCCAACCCACCGACAAACCTCTACGTGGCGGCAAAAGTCTCGTCGACATCCTAATCTGCACTCCCGGTCGTTTGGTCGACCACATCCAACAAACGCCAAACTTCACCCTCCAACACCTCCGCTGGCTCGTCGTCGACGAAGCCGATCGTCTCCTCAACCAATCTTTCCAGGAGTGGGCGGATGTGGTGATGAACGAAATCGATAACCCCGCAAACCTTCTCTCACCAGAGGAGGAGGAGAGGGGGAGTGATGCGGTTAGTGGGGGTGTGGGGAGGGCGGGTGAGGGGTGGATCAGCGCGTGTCAGAAATGTATTTTCTCGGCAACGTTGAGTAGGAATCCGGGGAAGATCGCGTCTCTTCGTCTGCGGAGGCCGCGGTTGATTATGGTCCATGACCCAGCGGCACCTACCGAAGAGGGTACGGCTGCTGAGGATGGGGCCGCTGGTGAGGAGATGGATGGCGACGACGACGATGACGAGCCAAAGACTTTCTCCGTCCCGGCTGGGTTGACGGAACATGCGCTCATCAGTGGCCCGGAGAAACCGTTGTTTTTGGTACAGTTGATTAAAGAGAAGGGGATTAAGGGTGCATTCGTATTCACCAAATCCAACGAATCTGCGGCACGTTTGGCGCGGTTGTTGGTTCTCATGGATCCCCTGCAAGCCGATAAAGTGGGACTGTACTCCGGTGAAGTCTCCAAAGACGAACGAAAGAAAACCCTCACTGCATTTAAGAAAGGCACGATCGAGATCCTCGTCTGTTCCGACCTTTTGGCGCGTGGTTTGGACTTACCAAGCGTCCCACACATCATAAACTACGACCCACCCCCCAGCACCCGCCAATACATCCACCGCGTCGGCCGAACAGCGCGTGCTGGGACCTCGGGAGACGCCTGGTCTCTCATTCTCCCACACGAAGCCCGGTTTTTCTGGAAGATGGTGAGGAGTGTGGGGAGGGGTGGGAAGAAGGTTGAGAGGGTTGAGGGTGTGGTGTTGGAGAGTTTGAAGAAAGGGGTTGAGAGTGGGAGGGAAGGGTATGAGAGTGCTTTGGAGGTGCTTGGGAAGGAGGTTGAGGAGGGGAGGAGGGGAGGGCAGAAGAGGGGCGGGGAGAGGAGAAAGTCGGGAAAGGGTGGGAAGGAGTAAAATATATTATCCTATAGCTATAGCTACATCGATATCGAGTGCAAATGAAAGGACCTATCAACGTATTACCACGTTCACCGAGCCTGATTAGTGACGTGGTCCTTCATGACTAAGACAGGACCACTACATCCTTTCTACAGCTCTGCAATCTCAATCTTTACGTTACATTCCCCCAAATCCATCCTCCTCACTCCCATTCGCAACCAGCTCACGCGCCACAAACCAAATTTCGCCTGCGCCACACCTCCACTCCTATCGCCCACGTACAGCAACGGCGAAAAGTGCGAGTAGCGACCCATCGAAAAATCGGCATCATGGTGAGTACTGCGTCCGTTTGCGTGCGTTGATCGATTGAGAATGTATTGGAGGGCGAATTGCTGTGGAATTGCGGCGGGTTTGGAGGGGAGGGGACGATGGATGGGTTGATGTTGTTCGGGTGGCAGGGGGGACGCTGCGTGGATTGGGGATTGGAGGCCGACTTGGCACGGGGGAATGACATACAATCGAGGAAACGCGACGCTCTCGTGACGAGGGAGAAGGGAGATACGGCATTTCGACTGTTTCAACAATTCGTCAGTCCCGCCAACTTTTCACCCTCGGGGTTCACCACCACCCACTACCCCTTGACCACAACATCTTGCCTCTTCCTAATTCTCAATCGCACCGCACGCAAAACGTACAATCGCGAATTGTTTTGCTGACCTTCATGTTTAGTCCCTCGTCGTCCCCGAGAAGAACAGCTTCCAGCACATCTTGCGTTTGTTGAACACCAACGTCGATGGTGCCAACAAGATCATGTACGCCTTGACCCAGATCAAGGGTGTCGGTCGTCGTTACTCCAACTTGGTCTGCAAGAAGGCCGATGTTGACCTTAACAAGCGGTATGTCTACTCTGGTTGTGTGGGTATGAAGCGGGAAATTGAGTGTGTTGCGCGTGTGTCTATGAGATGGGACAAGTGTGCTTTGTGCGGATTGAATGTGAATTGGCTTCTGGAAGGTGTTGGGCAACTCGTCCATCTGGTCGGGTTGGGAATGAACGTCTATGGGGGCACACGCGCACGCACTTTTTTCCTGCCTGCACTTGTCACTGATCACGGAAGTGAAAATGCGAACAAAACTAACATTCTTATCAGCGCCGGTGAGCTTACCGTCGAAGAGCTTGAGCGTCTCGTCACCATCATCCAGAACCCCACCCAGTACAAGATCCCCACCTGGTTCCTTAACAGGCAGAAGGACATTGTCGACGGCAAGAACGGCCAGATCCTCTCCAACAACTTGGACTCCAAGCTTCGTGAGGACTTGGAGCGCTTGAAGAAGATCAGGGCTCACCGTGGTTTGAGGCACTACTGGGGTTTGAGGGTTAGGGGTCAGCACACCAAGACCACCGGTCGCAGGGGAAGGACCGTTGGTGTCTCCAAGAAGAAGTAAACGGTTTCTCGTACTCTTTGGTGTTTTGGAGTCATGCGCGGGATGGCTTGGTATGCCTTGCTGTTCTGGAGGAAATTCTGAGGTCTTTGAATGTACCCATTTTGGTTGCCGATCGCATTGTCTACGCGATTATGTACGTGCTCGTCTGCGTGATCTGGTTGTAGATGGGTCGTCCTTGAATATCCTGAAGCATTTTCGTCCATTACAGCTTTATTTCAACCGGGCCTCCACCTCCTGCCATCAGTCCATGATCCACTCCAAGTACCCTTGTATCAGCTCATCCGAAGCACTTCATGACATCTACACAATAACGCCGTAATTTACTTGCCTATTCCGACCACTTTCCGTGACTTCAACCTTCGGTTCACCCTCCAGCTCTGAGCCCCCCCCTGCGTGCTGCCTACCGAACCGTACTCCAGAAAGTTCCTGAGTGAGCGCAGCGCAATAAATCGAGCCGAACGTCCGTACAAGTCTTCGTTACACAAACACAAACAAATTCATCAGAATGGTACGTTCTCCTACGATCTGTCACGAACTCCTATGCTTCAGGAACCTCTGCTAACTGTTGATCACAGTCCTCCGTCGCCACCCGTAACGTCAAGTCCATCGTCCCTCTCCTCGACCGCGTCCTCGTCCAGCGCGTCAAGGCCAGCGTCAAGACCGCCTCCGGTCTCTTCCTCCCCGAGAAGTCCTTGGAGAAGTTGTCTGAGGGTACCGTCATCGCCGTCGGTAAGGGCGGTTTCGTCGACGGAAACAAGGTTGAGGTTTCCGTTCAGGCTGGTGACCGTGTTTTGTTGCCTCCTTTCGGTGGATCTGCTATCAAGGTTGGAGAGGATGAGTACACTTTGTTCAGGAACCACGAGATCTTGGCCAAGATTGACGAGGCTGCCTAAATGTGCCGTGTGAGCTCAACCTAAGAGGAAGGTGGTCAGAGGGGATGAGACGCAATGATGAAGGCTGGAGAAGAGCGTGTATGATGTGGAGTGTGTACGATGCATTTCAAAAAGGGTTTATGGCGTTTTGAAGATATACAAACATTTTTTTTTGGTTTCAAGCATGAGCGAACATGGCTCGGTTTCTCCACTCACAGCTGTCTACGTGTCTCATTCATACCATCCAGTTTCCCACATTTCTTCAGACAGACTTTTCCGTCCGCTCCTACCGCATGACTTGTAATGCAAGTTCTGATCGTTCGTTTTTCTCACATTGCTGCCCCGTTTTGGCGATGACTGACGTGGCTAAGTTCGTATGCGCGCACGAGCCGCGTGCCTTTGACATCCAAAGAATCCTCGAAGCGACAACGAAGACGACGACCAGCGACCCCGATCAGCGTCCTCCGTCAGCATGTCAGAATACTCCTACGACGAGGAGGGCAACTACTTTCCCTTCTTCGTCCTCACCTTCCTCGGACTGGTACTCGTCCCATTGACATACACCTCGCTGTTTAGGAAGAAAGTTGAGAGACCGGCGCAGGTGAATTGCAATTGCGACGCATGTGTACGGAAAAAGAGTGCGCTTGCGAAGCAAGACAGTCGAATTAAGTTTGGGAAGAGGTTCTTTGCGTTGGCGGCGGGATGGGCGTTGTTTGCTTGGATGGCCTACCGTGTCGCGAATCAGAAATTCGAGAGCAAGCATTGGGATCCGTATGAGATTTTGGGCATATCGGCATCAGCTACGGAGAAGGAGATCAAGAAGCACTACAAGAAGCTTTCGCTTAAGTTCCACCCCGACAAGATCCGCGAAACAGCCAATGAGACCCTTACCGATATCGAATCGAAGTTTATCGAGATCAGCAAGGCTTACCAGTCTTTGACCGACGAAGAGGTACGCAAGAACTTCCTTGAGTACGGTCATCCCGATGGAAAGCAAGAATTCGGCATGGGTATCGCACTCCCTCTCTGGATCGTTGAGTCGCAGAATAATCTCTGGGTCCTCGGCGCTTACGGTGCAATCGTCGGCCTCGGACTTCCATTCATCGTCGGGAAGTGGTGGTACGGATCAAAGAACAAGACCACAGAGGGCGTCGAAAACGATACTGCTGCAATGTTCTTCAAAGGAATGAAGGAGACTGTTGGGGTGCAGGAGTCCTTGCAGTTGATTACGAAGAGTAAGGAGTACGCGGAAGAGTTCGGTCAAAACGCGGAGGTGTCAGGAAAGCTCGAGAAGGCGTTGGCGCAGGCTGGTGTTACCCTGCCCAAAGACGATCCCAACGCAGCAAAGAAGGCGCTTGCGCTCATTGAGGCGCACTTGAACCGTCTGCCACTCGAGAATGGCGAAGAGAGAGACAAGCAGAAGGCGTTGTTGCCTCTCCTGAGACTACACGCCTCTCTGTCTTCTATCGGCGTTGCCTTCAACTACCTCAAGTTTGCCGTCGAACTTCCTCGCCTCGGCCAAAACCTCATTCAGGCCGTACCATTGGGCGGCTCTCCTCTTCTTCAGCTTCCCGGTATTACCACGGAAGTAGCGACCAAGCTTCGGGCCAAGGGTATTTGGACCGTGCAAGACCTTATGGCAGTTGAGAAGGACGAGCGCAAGACTCTCCTCATCGATGCTGGCGTCGACGCGTCTGTGTACAAGCTCACTGAGAAGGTTGCCCGCTCAATCCCTGTTCCTGAAGTGGTAAAGGCTTACTTCAAGGTTCCGGGCGACAACGAAGTCACTCCCGGTGCCCTCGTCAACTTTGTCATCAAGGCACGCATCATCCACCCTGGCGTGACCCCACCGAAGCTGCCCGAGAACGCATTCAGCGAAGAGGAGGACGCAGAGGACGATGTCGATGCCCTGATTGGACGAAAGACCAAAGCAGAGGAGGAAGAACTCGCGAAGAGCCCCATGATCCACGCACCATACTGGCCACGAAACAAGACTCCCAAGTGGAGTATCTTCCTAGGCAACACAAAGATGGAGAGAATCTTCGTTCACCCGACTAACGTTACCGACCTGAGTACCACCCTCCGCACCTTCCGTGTACAATTCCCTGCACCACCACAACCTGGCAACTACCAATTCACCATGTTCCTCGTCTCTGATTCTTATATCGGTACCGACGTAACAAAGGAAGTGGAGTTGAAGGTCGTGCCGGTGGAAGAGTTGGGTGACCAGGCGAAGGTCGTTGAGGATACAATTGAGGATACTGAGGATGAGGATGAGGAGAGTGAGGAAGGGGGAGAGAGCTCGAGTGAGTATGATTCGAGTTCGGACGAAGAGTAGAGTGAGAGGAGAGTGACATTAGTGATACCTGGATTGAAGATATCGTTGAGCATAGCTGGTGCGGTGAATGGCATATTTTGTATCTCTTTTGTCTGTTTCCTGAACGCTCCCATGACCAACTCTTGCACTGTGTGCCCGGCTAGGCGCTCTGCTGAAGGGACACTCTCCAAGATTAGACTCAGTTCAGGATCTTACCAAGCAGGACAAAAGTGGCTACAGTGGAAAGCAGTCCTTTACGTCAATTCATAGTCTCGCAAACAAGGTTAAGAACACATTTGCGGTCCTATCAAGCAACACAGAGGAAGGCTCTTTCAACGAATTGTCGCATAAGTAACGAAACAAACACAGCACATTCACGGTGAAAAAGGAAGAGAGGGAACAGAAGCAGCAAACGAACTGAGGCTCTCTGAGCAACCTCAGCCCACAGGTCCAGGGCGTACCATTGGGCCGCAGTTCCAGGGCGATACCTTGGCAGATGTCATAAAATCCTTATTTAGTTAAACCCAAACCCAACGCCGGTACATCGAGCAACACGTAAACGACACCCAGATCGTTTCCAAATCCGCGCAAGTCGACGCGTGCGTCGACCCCATCCACGCACACAACAATGCAATTCCCGACGCTCGATCCAGACCCAGCAAGAAACAAATTGCTTAACGGTTGGACTTGGCAACACGCTCGAGCTCATCCTTCTTCTTGATGGCGTAAGAGTTGGAAGAACCCTTGGCAGCGTTGATGAGCTCCTCAGCCAAGCACTCAGCGATGGTCTTGACGTTGCGGAAAGCAGCCTCACGAGCACCGATGGTCAAGAGGGAGATAGCCTGGTTGACACGGCGGAGAGGGGAGACATCGACGGCCTGGCGACGGACGGTACCAGCGGAACCGATACGGGTGGAGTCCTCACGGGGACCACAGTTGACGATAGCGTCGACGGCGATCTGGAGGGGGTTGGCATCGGTCAAGAGGTGGACGATCTAAACGAAATGAGTTAACACCTTACTCAAAAAAATATGCAATTGGTGGTTCAGAACTAACCTCGAAAGAGTGCTTGACAATGCGGACAGCCAACAACTTCTTACCGTTGTTACGGCCGTTCATCATCAAAGCGTTGGTCAAACGCTCAATGATGGGGCACTGAGCCTTCCTGAACCTCTTGTTGGCGTAACGACCAGCAGTGTGGGGGAGGTAGGTAGGGGCACGGATCTGAATGTAGTCGGTCAAGGAGATGTCCTTAACCTCAACATCCTCGTAGGACCACTTGTTGAAGAGCTTGACGGAGCCAGCCTCGGCGAGGACATCCTTAGGGAGGGAAGGGTAGGCGATTTCGGCAGACATCTTTGCTGGGTGGACGATTGTTGGATCTCGAGGATTCGGTGAGTTCTGCGGCCGGCGTAGAGTTTTGTGTGGGAGCGCGCTGCAGGCAAATTTTGGTAGGGCAAGTGAACCCTGCAGATGAGTTTATTCAAAAGCGCGTTAAAATATAAAATCCAGAATAATCCTCATAAACCACGATGCCATCATGAACGCAACAATTGTCTACTTCTCGAACCTCTCTCCACCGATCCAAGCATTGAACATCTCCAACGAGCTCTCAGGCTGGTCGTAAGGAACCTGTACGTCCTCCATTAGCATCATGTTATCAACCATCGAAAAAATGGGTATTGTATACCATGTGTCCGGCGCCAAACACCCTCATGAAAGTAAAGTTTCCGTTCGACTTGACATCACCAACATGCTCCCCACTCTCCCTCATCGTAAACTTATGCTTCTTAGCCGTGTTAAAAGATCTCTTGCCAGGCCACTCAAGCGCCTCAGTCCAAGCCTCATTACCGATCCTGTTCACACGCGTACATGTTAGCCATCACCCGCAAGCATGAACAAAAAGCGTGCGTACCAGTTACAGATAAAATCAGCATCACCAGCATAAACCAACACATCAACACCCTTCTCAAGCACAACCGGCACATTACGGTGGAAAGGCTGCATCCAATCACCAGCGAAAAGGAAGTTACGGTTAATATCGAAATTGCAAGAATCGTATTTCTCGACCTCGACACCGAGAGCGGATTTAACGTCCTCACGGTTGAGGTAGCGTGAGATATCGCCGAGAATTGGGTAGCAGAGGTTTTCCTTGTCGACGCACTCGTCACGGACGTCGTAGACATTCTTGCCGGTTTTCTGGTACGGACCCATCATGACCTACGTTCTTGATGTGTCAGCGTCCGTGAGGATTCTTCACTGCCATGAAGAACATACGTTATTACAGTAAATCGCAGCAGGGACACAGCTCCACCTCGACCCACTCTCATAACAACTCTCAATCAAACTCTTACACCTCGGCCAATTCTGCCTCATTCCCTCACACTGCATCTCATCCAACACAGGGCCATAAGAGTTATTGCAGGCCATGTCGGGGTAGAATTCGTATTGTGTCAAAGGGTCGGTGAGACCGTTTCCGATGAGGACGGATTCGAGGTTGATCTTGGGGACGGAGGCGAGTGCGGATTCGGTGGTTGAGACGTGGAAGTCGTGGGATTCGCGGTTGGAGTGGGCGAGGATTTCTTTGGCGAAGACGGGGATGTAGTGGCCGGCGTAGGACTCACCAGCGATGTGGACTGTTTCATCTCGGTTAGCATCATCATTGTGATAGATACGGCTGGGACGTACATGGCAAATCAGCATACTCAGGGAACTGCTTGAAGAACAAAGTCAAGAGGGCATAAACGTCCTGTCCAGCAGCAACAGTGTTCGACACACTCTCGTCACCATACGAATACCCAACATTAACAGGCTGGTCGAGGAAGATGACCTGTAACATTATGTTTAGCACTGTCGGCAGTTGCAAAAGAATGTTACATACCGATGCATTGTTGTTCCACGAGAACTCATTCTTCTTAACCTTGTCACCCTTAACACTAGCCGGACCGAGCTCCATGAACAATCCGGTAAGGGAGGAGCAGCCGGGTCCACCGTTGAGCCAGAGAACGATGGGGTCTTTCTTGGGGTCATTACGGGACTCGAAGAACCAATAGAAGAAGTGTTTCTCGTCGGAGACATCGAGGTATCCGGCGTACTATTCAAAACAATCAGCATACATCCCTGTAAAAGAGGGGTGGGAGGGAGATCATACCTGCTTGACGTCATCGACACCCAAATCCTTCGGAGACTTAACACGGAGAGAGTAATCATCGCCCAAAGCCTCAAGCTTGACGGTATTCCACCCATGCTCGACCTTCTTAATGCTCTTCTTAGGCGCATGAATCGCGATTGGCTCAAACCCCTCGACAGCCTTCTCGAAAACACCCTCGAGTTCGCGAAGGGAGCCAATCAAAGCACCGCCGAGATGCGTCGAGGCCTCAAAGATAGCATTCCTAGACACCTCAGCATTCTCAGAGGGAAGAAAATCCGGGATAGGGACAGCGGCGCCCTGGTGGTTGATACCGCGGGCAGGGGACGCGATAACTCCTGCAACGCCGAGCGCGAGCCCGAAGACGAGGGTCGAGAGCTTTGCCATTTCAGTTGCTCTCAATTGATGATTTGGATGGAGTAAGTGGTGAAGATGGTGAAAGGGGGGGGAGGAGGGCCTTGGTGGTGTAGCGATTGCAGGTCAAGAAGGTCGGGTACGCGGGGTGAGGGTACGGCCTGGAGGTGCAGGGGGGCCGCGCAATCGTGCAGTGGGCATTGGTGCGTGGTGCGGGGAGCGGCCTACCGGTAGGCGAGAAAAGCGGTGGGATCTTATCGATCTTCATGTTCAAGCCTTACCAAATTGAATATCCTCTTCTTCTCAGTCTTACAAACCCAAGAAACTGTCAGTAACGTTCTCACGCGACACCCTTCCCGTGCACGGAACAACCTCCCCCGGATGCATCAGCCCTCCCCCGCCTTTACCGAATTCTACCCCTCAAGGTTAATCCGATCCGCGCCCAACGCCGGTCCTATAAAACACCCGACTGATCCACTCTACTCCACCAGATCAATTGGATCACTACAGCTGATCCGTGCTTGATCTTGATCCTCCACCAGCTACAGATCGATCGATCGAAAGTAACGCTCACGATGCCCTCCGGAAAGCACCTCTTCCCATCCCCCGACCCTGCCACCGGCGGTCTCGTCCTTCCCGCCCTCCACGCCCTGGCCGCCCAAACTCCTTCTCTAACCGTCATCCCCCACGAAAAAGTCATCTACGACACCGCCCACAATCCCGCCCACGTCGCTCTCCTCTCCGGCGGTGGTGCCGGGCACGAACCCGCGCATGCGGGATACGTCGGCGAAGGCATGTTGACGGTCGCAGTAAGCGGCGAAGTCTTTGCGAGTCCGAGGACGAATCAGGTGTTGGCGGGGATCAAGGCTGTGGCGCCTATTTCCTCCGGCGTCCTCGTGATCGTGAAGAATTACACAGGCGATACGCTCAACTTCGGTCTCGCTGCCCAGAAATATCTGGGAGGAGCGGCGAACCCAGTTCCAATCCGCTCAATCACAATCGCCGATGACGCCGCCGTCCCTCGTTCCCGGATCGCCCGCGTCGGACGCCGTGGACTTGCTGGTACCGTCCTCGTCCATAAAATCGCCGGAGGACTCGCGTCGCAGGGTGCAGGCCTCGACGCCGTCCACAAAATCGCACAACGCGTAAACAACTCCCTCGTCACAGCCGGCGTCTCTCTCGACCGCTGTCACGTCCCAGGCCGTCCCCACTCCGACACCGACTCCCTCCCAAAAGAGGAAGCCGAGCTCGGAATGGGTATCCATAACGAACCAGGCGTAAAGCGTCTCTCCCCCATCCCCGCCGCCGAGGACCTCGCGAGTGATATACTAAAGATGTTGCTTGACCCCAACGACCCGGAACGCGCATACGTCCCGTTCGCGGCGAGTGATGCGACGGTATTGATGGTAAATAACCTCGGCGGGACATCCGTCCTCGAACTCTCCGCGTTCGCCTCGACGGTCATCGCTGCCCTCGATAGCCAGTGGGGAATCAAGCCCGTTAGGGTATTGGTGGGAACGTACATGACATCCCTCGACGCTCCCGGCGTATCCGTAACCCTTCTCAACTGCGGTACCGGCCCCGGCGCTCAACAACTCCTCGACCTCATCGATCTTCCTGTTCGTGTACCGGGGTGGCACTCCATCCCCTCCCAAGCTCCTGCACAGACCATCGCGGCAGCCGAGACACTCGCTCCCGAATCATCCGTGACACCCTCCGATATCGGCCTCGACCCCCGTAAACTCATCTCTGCACTCCGTGCTGGCGCCCAGGCACTCCTGAAAGCCGAACCCGAGATCACGCATTTCGACACCATTGCCGGCGACGGTGATTGCGGCCATACCCTCTGTCTCGGCGCAAACTCCCTCCTCGCGCTCTCCTCTTCCGCAGAATCCTCGGGCAGCGGTCCCACGATGCGACAAATCGCCGACGCGGTCGAGGGCGCGATGGGTGGTACCTCCGGCGTAATCTACTCAATCTACCTCAACGCATTCGCAACAGCACTCTCCACCCCGCCGTCAGGGGACGTGAGTCCCGAGGTGTGGTTACGCAGCGCAGCGAACGCAGCACTCGACTCACTCCTAACCTACACCACCGCTCGTCCCGGAGACCGCACCCTCATCGACGCACTCCTCCCATTCTGCCACGCCCTGCGTTCAGGAGCCACTCTCGACGAGGCGTTGAGCAAGGCCAGAGAGGGGGTGGAGAGTACGAGGGGGATGAAGGCCGGGGTTGGGAGGGCTGTGTATGTTGAGGAGGGGAAGGCGGAGGGGGAGGGGGTTCCGGATCCGGGGGCTTGGGGGGTTGTTGTGTTGTTGGAGGGGTTGGCGCAGGGGTGGAGGGATGTGTAGGGGGGGAAGAAAGGGGAAGGAGGAGGAGGAGGAGTGTGATACCCTGTATCACCCGTATGTTTATGACAGAGATGAATTGTTTGGTATGGAATGAATTTTGCATTCGATATGAGTTCTGAAACTTTGCAATTGAAAAGGCCATCAAATGCTATGGCGTACTCGAAACGATTTACTTCCTCATCCATTCATAGCGTTGACATGCGTTCAGAGTACGCGTGGGAAGATCTGTGCCTAAGAATTGGGACGTCGAGACAAAAAAGGCATAAGGGCCAAGATTGACAGCGGATAAGCCGCGAGAGAGCTTGGGATTACGTAATATTCGAGCTCGAGCATGGGAAGGCGTGTGCGGAGGACCTTGGTAGTACCACATGTACACGGGCCGGGAGGCATAAGAAGCGGGCCGGTTCTCTACAATTGCAACCCAACAAGGCATCTCGTTTCTGACAGGCATTGTGTTATGTGCATTGGTCGGTAAGCGACTTGGCGCGAGAGCAGCTGATTCGGAGATGACATCCAGGAGCTCATCGACGTTGCCAATAGCTGTTCATGAAGGAACACCATTTCGACGAGGTCAGCTAGAAGAAGGAGAGCGTTGAGAAGGTCAGCAGGAGCATTGGCCAGATGCACCTACACCTCCACCATAGAGACTCAATCGACTCCATTCAGCTTACAAATCATTCTTCTGTCGCGCGCCTATCAAGATTATTGATGCGCATGGCCATGACGTCACAACCAACTCTCCACCTTCAGCTGATCCCCCAGACTCCTCAGCATATAAAGCCCTCGACTCCCTCCACCTCTACCCCTCCCTATCAACCATAACACTACCCCAATAATACTATCACCATGAACCTCGCATCCAACACCGCCGCAACCGTGATGGATACCATCCCCACCTCCACCACCAACGAATCCCGCGATCCTCCTAACGGGGAGACAATGCGCGCCCTCGCCTGGTTCGGAAAGCACGATGTCCGTATCATTGATGCCGCGAAGCCGCAGGTTACTGAGCCCACTGATGTCGTTGTTGCCGTTACTGGATCTACCGTCTGTGGTTCAGATCTCCACCTGTACAACGGAGAGATTCTCCAGCTCCAGAAAGGCGATATCCTCGGTCACGAGTTCTGTGGTGTTGTCGAGAGTGTCGGGTCTTCCGTGTCGAAGTGGAAGGTCGGCGACCGCGTCGTCGCATCTTTCCAGATCGCATGTGGACAGTGCGAGTACTGCAAGAAGGGTCTCTCGTCCATGTGTGACACGACTAACTCCTCCCCCGTCATGAACACCATGTACGGCCACCGTTTCGCCGGTCTCTTCGGGTACTCTCACTTTGCTGGTGGCTTTGCCGGGGGACAGGCTGAATACGTCCGTGTTCCGTGGGCCGAGACCAATCTTCTCAAGATCCCCGATGAGGTTCCGGATGAGAGAGCGTTGTATTTGTCCGATATCGTGTGTACGTCTTACCACGCCTGCAAGGAAGCCAACATCCAGGAAGGCGACGTCGTGGGTCTCTGGGGCTTGGGACCGATCGGGTTGTTGTGTGCGCAGTGGTGTAAATTGATGGGTGCAAAGCGCATCATCGGAATCGACAACGTCACCGACCGCCTGGACTTCGCTCAAAAGAAATACGGCGTCGAACCCCTCAACTTTGCCGAGAAAGACACCTCGAAGGGTATCCAGGAAATGGTCCCCGGAGGCCTCGACAAAGCCATCGATTGTGCCGCATTCCGCTACGCAAAGGGCATGATCCACAAAGTCGAGCGCGCATTGGCCCTCGAGACCGATACCTCCGAAACCGTGAACGAAATGATCACCCTCGTCAAGAAATTCGGAACATGCGTCCTCATCGCCGACTACGCCGGCCTCACAAACCACTTCAACATCGGCGCACTCATGGAAAAGGGCGTCCGTCTCATCGGAGGCGGTCAAGCCCCCGTCCAGATGTATTGGGAGGAGTTGATGGACAAGTGGATCAAGACCGACAAGTTCAAGGTTGAGGATATTGTGACGCACAGGTTCGGGTTGGAGGACGTTCCAGGGATTTATGATGTTTTTGATAAGAAGGAGGAGGGGATTATGAAGTGTTTTGTGGAGACGAAGCATTCGAAGGCGCCGACGGCGGGCACGCCGAGGTTGAGTCATATTAAGGAGGGGAAGGTTGTTTCTGCTTGAGCTTGAGCGCGAGTGTGAGCAGTTTTGGAGTGTACGATAGGCATAGGAGTTATGAAAGTGTACCCAAGTATTTTAGTGGTGCCGATCTTTGGGTGAATTGATACCGTTCAATCTTTCGTGCAATTGCAAGTTACCTGGTCGAAGGAGAGTTCCAATGATGTTTCCTGGAAACTGTCATCAACACAATTTTTCGAAAGTTCCGACAGTCTCGGAGCATCCTCCGCCGTCGACGAGCGGGTGCTGCGAACCGAGCGACACAAGCGCAACCGCCGGCTAAGGAACCTCCGTACGTAAAAGCTCTCCACCAACTGCAATGACCCCACACAATCAAGCTCCCTTCCTGCCCCTCAATCGCCTTTGATTCCTCGCCCTCTCCTTCCCTTGGACTATGTCGACCTCCTTCGACTTCGACAACGACTCCCACCGCCGCTTCGACCCCCTCCGCAACACCTGGGTCCTCTGCTCCCCGCACCGCACAAACCGCCCCTGGCAAGGCCAACAAGAAAAACCATCCACTACTACTCTTCCAACATACGGTTCGGAATGCTATCTCTGTCCCGGTAACATGCGTGCACAGGGGGATCGGAATCCAGTGTATGACAGCACGTACGTTTTCGAGAACGATTTCGCTGCGGTCAAGGTCGAGCAACCCGATTTCCCACTCACGCAACCGAACCAGGAGGATATTGAGGCAGGGGATAAATCGAGTCTATTATTGAGAGCTGAAGGAGTGAGAGGGAAATGCTACGTCATCTGCTTCAACCCAGCTCACAACACGACCCTTGCCGAACTTCTCGCCCACGCTCTGCTTCCCGTCATATCCGCCTGGAAATCCATCTACTCATCCCTCGCTCAACGAGCCGCACAGGGGGAACCCTTCCGGTATGTCCAGATATTCGAGAACAAGGGCGATACGATGGGATGTTCGAACCCACACCCGCACGGGCAGGTATGGTGCACGGACTCCATCCCGACCGAACCCAGTACTGAACTCACCAACATGACTGCTTACAAAACTCAACACGGGACCTGCTTGTTGTGTGACTATGCAGCGTTGGAGAGTTCGGCGGAGGGAAAACCACGCGTGGTGTTGGAAAACGAGGATTGGATTGTTGTCTGTGAATGGTGGGCGACATGGCCCTTCCAGACTCTCCTCCTCCCTAAACGGCATATCCCGTCCCTCCTCGACCTGACTGAGGAGGAAACCGCGAGTTTTGCGGACATTTTGTCGAGGTTGACGTGTCGGTATGACAACCTCTTCGAGACATCATTTCCATATTCGATGGGAATACATCAAGCACCACTTAAGGGGAAGGGAACGGCATGTGAAGAGGATGGGTGTGATATCGCACATTTACACGTTCATTTTTATCCGCCGTTGTTGAGGAGTGCAACCGTGAGGAAGTTCTTGGTTGGGTTTGAGATGATGGGGGAAGTACAACGGGACTTGACGCCGGAGATGGCGGCGGCGAGGTTGAGGGCGTGTGATGAGGTCCACTACAAGAATAAGGTTGTCGAAGGAGAGAACGAGCAGTAAGATACCGAGCAATGGGACGAATACACAATGATGAGCATAGCAGTGGCAATGATGAATAATAGTGTATTCCAATCGAAGCAGAAAAACGCTTACGAAACCAAGCAATGAACCCAATTGCGAACAACCACAAAGGAATATATGATTCTGGTATATTTGTTCCCATCCCCCTCCTCTTCCGCCATACCATCTCTCCCATTCCATCGCACGCCCTTCGCTTCGCTCGGACTTAACGGTGCGAGGCAGTACCGTTACTTCTCTTACCAGCCAACAAATGCTTGGGCCTGGACTCGGGAACATGCCTATCAGCCTCACCAGCCCTAGCATGCCTATTCCTCTCCCTGAACGCCATCTTCGCAACGCGGTCCGCCCTCTCCCTCGCAACCTCGGACATGATACCATCCTCCCTCCTGTCTGTCTTCGGCGGCGCCCTCGATCTTGACCTAGCCTTCGAGGACTCGCGCATCATCACCTCCTCACCAGACGCAGGACCACCAGGAGCCCGAGAACGGTCGCGTGCGCGCTCGGAGATAGTGGAGTGGTCCAGTCCGAGACGGCCAAGGTGGTCTTCCATTTGGGAGATCTTTTTGAGACCGGCGGTACGTGGGATAGCGGCGCGGTTCTTAAGTGCCTTCTTGTTGATCTTGGACGCGTTCATGATCATCTTTTGTTTTCTCCTGATGATCTCGGCTTTCCGGAGTGTCTTTGCGTCCTCCTCATCCTCCATCTCCTCCTCAGAATTGTAGAAGCCTTCGCGCTCCAAACGCTCTTCTTCGCGTTCGAGGGCAGCGAGTTTCTCCTCGATATCGGGGTCGATAAAGTCGTAAATGTTCTTTCCGTCCAACAATTCGGGGATACGGTCTTGTTTCCATTCGTCGTTCTCCAAGAGGTAGTTCTTCCTGAGATCGTAGTTGTAGACACCAGCACCTCCATCCTGGAGCTCGAGATCGCGCTCCAAGGGGCGACGGTTGGGGTCTTCCTTGTCGTAGCCAGCCTTCTCCTTTGCACCTTCGGGAATGAAGGGAAGACGTGGGACGTCGTCACGAGTGACGGGCTGAGCCAAGTGGATCTTGTTGAGGACGTCGTTGATCTTGGAGCCACGGAGCTTAGCCTCGACACGGGATGCCAAGAGCTTGTCGCAAGCGAGGTTACGGACGTTCATGATACCCTCGTCATTGTAGCAGGATGAGGTGACCATCTGGACATCACCCTGGTCGGTGATGGTACGGAGGAGCGCCGCACGCTCAGGGTCGAGATCCTCGGGCTTCATGACATCGGTCTTGTTGATAACGAGGAGAACGACCTTGTTGGCGAACAAAGGCTTGATAGAGTGGAAAAGCTTGACCTGGGCCTCAACAGAGTACCCACACTGCTCAGACAAATCCATGAAGTAACAGATACACGCGCGCAAATGAGCCATCGCGGTAACGGACTGCATCTCAATGGTGTTCATCTCCTCCAAGGGGTGATCAAGAATACCGGGAGTGTCGATCACCTGCCAGCGGAGGTACTTGTAGTCCATGTGTCCGACGAAGAGGGATTTGGTGGTGAAAGCATAAGGCTGGACATCGACCTCGGCACGGGTGATCTTGTTGATGAAGGAGGATTTACCCACATTGGGGTAACCGCAGATGAGGATGGTACGGGTGTTGGGGTCGATGGAGGGGAGACGAGACAAATGCTGACGGACCTGCTCGAGGTAGGCAAGAGGGTCCTTCTGACGCCTCATGATGGTGGCCATACGACCGAGTGCCGCACGCTTCAGCTGCTTACAGCGGTATAGCGAATCACCAAACTTCATCAACCTGACATAATCCTTCGACACAGTATCAATCAAATGTCTCGCCGTAGCCAACTGCGACAACGCAATCTTCAAGTGATCACGGTCATAAAGAATATTCAACAAATCGGCATGGAAAGGGTGGATATCATTCAGCTTCGGGAACTCGGACAAGATTGCCTCGAGCTTCTCGGTGAAGGTCTCGGAGGTGAACTTGACCTTGCGGGCATAGAAAGAGCGGATACGGGAGATCTTGAAGTTCTTGTGGATGACGGTGGGAGTTTTGCGTTGAGTCCTGCTCAACACAATGTCCAAGAACTCGGTGGCCGAGGGCACGGGTTGGATAGAGCCGAATCCAAAGGTAGCGGTCGCCATTGCTGTTCGTTGAAGACCGTTTACTTTCTTGTCGGACGGACTGTCAAGCAGGCGTTGGTAGTTTATCGCGGGCAACTTTTTTCCTGCACGGTCGCCACCTGTGCCACGAAGTATGGGGATAGTTGCTGGGGTGACCAGACGGAAGTTCTGGACAGTGAACGGTCGAATAGCGGTTTATCAGGCAGATTATAAGTGGTAAATAACTTCCTTGGAGTCTTCTACAAGTTTTGCCGACTAGACACTGTTGGATAACTGCACCCCTCTGTACCGTCCTGCGACCCTTCGAGGTCAAGGATCATACACCCAACTTCACGGCCCCCAGCTCAGCATCGAGGAGGTGATCTGTTATAGCGATGCCCCTTCCACGCGTCTTTCTCGACGTCCGTATTGGCACAACCGGTGGTGGCCGCATCATAATCCAACTCTTCACAGACCGTGTGCCCAAGACATGCGAGAACTTCCGCTCCCTCTGTACCTCCGAAAATCCCTCTCAACTCACCTACCGCAACTCCATCTTCCACCGTATCATCGAAACCTTCATGGTTCAAGGCGGTGACATCACAAAAGGCGACGGAACGGGCGGTGCATCGATCTATAACGACGGAGGTGTCTTCGAGGATGAGGATTTGGGGTGGAGAGAGATTGATGAGGAGGGGTTGGTGTGTATGGCGAACCGAGGAAAGGATACGAATAATTCGCAGTTTTTCATCACGTTGGGCTCGGCGGAGCATTTGAATGGGAAGCATGTTGTGTTTGGGAAGGTCGTTAAGGGGATGGAGGTTGTGAGGGAGATGGAGGAGGTTGAGGTTGATGATGATGATAGACCGGTTGAGGAGGTGAAAATTATTCATTGCGGAGAACTGGAGTTCAAGGGTGGGAATGTGAAGAAGGTGAAAGAACCAACGCGAGCACGTTCAGTATCTCGAAGTTCCTCTCAGCCTCGATCACCCTCGAGGTCCCGCCCAAGAAACAGATCACCCTCCCGTTCGCGCTCGCCGTCAAAGTCCCGTTCAAGATCGCGCTCACGCCACCGCTCAAACCGCCGTCACCGCTCCCGGCGTCACCGCTCCTCCTCCCGCTCCCGCCATCATCGACGACGCTCCCCATCACGCTCTCGCTCCCGTTCCCGAAGAAGACACGAAAAACTGGACCCAAAGAAAATGACAAACGACGACTTCTTCCGCGAACGCCTCCAACGCCGCCGCGAAGACGAGGAACGGAGACAAGCACTTCGGATACAATATCAGGGGGATAGGTGGAGGCCCGGACAAGACGAGGGGAGGTTGGGCGAGAATGGAGGTGCGGGTGGTGCGGGTGGTGCTGGGGAGGGTGGCATCAAGTATAAGGGCCGAGGGAAGATGAGGTATCGGGAGACGGGTGAGTCGAGTTACGGACGCCTGAATTAAAGTGAGGTGGAGTGTTGTGAAAGCGACAACGTGCAATTTCGTAGCTAAAATAATTGATAAACGCCAAGTAGCACAATCCCTTTCCATCCTATCCGCCTTCTAGGTTTTGAAAGTTTGAGTTTCGTATATATCCCTTCCCCGCCGAACAGCCGTTCGTTAATCGTACACTCTCGAGCTCAGCACAAAGCTTTGTCTATAGTCATACAGCACGTTTCCTTCCATACTCCATGTCCTTCGCTTCTCCCTCCTGCCCATATTTCTCACGCCTCTCAAACTCTTTAAACTGCACTCACAACTCCCATGCCGGGACCACTATTCCTTCACTAACGACACACTCTGAACAGTCAAGCTTGCTGAGGCAAGGGTGGAACAGGAACACCAGTCCCTCCAATCACCAAAGACAAGTTACTCCTCGACTGACTCTCAAACATGTCCAACTTCTTCAACAAAATCGCGGTCGGGATGTGAATGGCGAGGAGTTCGATGGTGTAAGAAACAGAGTTGTCGATATCGGTGTTGACATTCGCTGCTGAGGCTCCAGAGTCGCCGATATTGTCACCAGACATGCGACTCTCCAAGGACTCTTCGGATGACGGCGCACTTTCCATGACAACCTCCCTCCCAACAACCTTATAATGCAACACGACCCCCTCGCCCAACTCCAAAAACCTCACCTCCCTCATCTCCTCCTCCAGTTTTCCCCTACTCATCGGTAACCCCATTCCAAAACAGTCCTGGACTCCGGCGAACATTCCGGGGCGCTTATCACTCATCTTGACCAGGGTGCCGTTACAGCTAATCTCGCTCGCCTCCTTCCCGGACTCCACCGTTAGGACGTAGGTAGCCCTTTCGCCTTCGCGTTGTGCGTAGCGAGTACCATGCCCCGGTGAATTAGGCGGCGTAGTCCCAAACCTGAACACACTCACCATCGGCGTCCCAAACTCCTCCACCCCGCCCTCTCTCGCCGTATGACTGTAAATAACCATATGATACGGCGCAGAACTCTTATCGTGACTCTGATAGATCTCGAAAACGAGGTGGTGGAAGCCCGAGTCGGACATTTGGTCGCGGAGACGACGGGTGAGGATTTGGTCGACCGAGGCGCAGATTTGGGGACAGGAAGGGGCGAGGGCGCAGAGTGTTCGGGAGGGGAGGGAGGAGAGGATTTGTTGGACGAGCTCGGTGGGGAGGAAGTGTTTCGAGGCTTGCTCGAGCTCTGTGGCTGTTGGAGTGCTGGTGGTAGCGGAGGGTGCCATGTTGAGCTGAGCGGTGAGGGCAGAAACGGTACCGGCCATTTCGCTCGAGGTATTTGAACTTTTTCCTTGAAGTGTTTAGGGTCCTAGGGACTTGCTGCTTGTCTGCCTTTCTCCGTTAGTCGAGGTTAGAATGACATGGGGGTGCACGACCCCGAGACTTGACCTTGCTGGTGATGTAACAGCACGCAAGATTAGATAACACCGTCTGAGAGAGGAGCTCGGAGGACTTCGAATGAGCCTGGCGAAGAATAGTACTTTATAAACAGTTTAATAGAGCTTATCGATAAACGTTTGGGCCCTATCGACCCAGCGGTTCATGGTCACTTCATATGGGATGCACATGACCATCCGTATGACCCGGCAGCTGTCTCGCGCTCAGGCTGTCCCAACTACCTCCGTAGCGATATTTACTATGTCTTCCTGACTTATCCTCCCTTTCGCCACGAGCTTCTTCCTCATCCCCTCCACATCCTCTGTTCTTAGCACCACGAACCACCCCGTGCTCGTAACCATCATCTTCACCCCACCCTCACCCGCGTTATTCCTCCCAATGATCTCGTCCAGTATCGCCCGCACCTCCTCTGTAGTCGCATGCAACGATTTTGCCACATCCGCGATCCAGACCATCTTCCCTGCCTGAACAACACCCTCAACCCCCCTCCGAACCCCCTCCCTCCTCTCCCGTTCCCTCCTCCACTCCTCCTCTTTCTCCCTTCTCTCCTCCCTCTTCTGCTCTACAATTCTCTCCTCCTCCCTCCTCCGTCTCTCCCTTTCCTCTTCCATCTCCGCTTCCCACTGCGGCGCAACCCGCTCCCACTCCTCACGCTGTGCGGAGGCGGCGGCACGGACATGTTCGTGATAGGCCCGTCGAGCGTCCTTTTTTGCGCGGGATTTCGCTTTCTTTGTGCCGATATCTTGGGGTGGAGCGGCGGGTACTCGGTGAAGGTTTGGAAGGGGACGGTTGGGTGCGCGTTCGGGGTTGTCTGTGGGTTCGGTGTGTTAGTCAGCGTATTTGGTTAACCTCTGTCCAACCCACCTCGTGGTTCCTGCTCAAACAACGGTTCGCGTTCTTCTTCTACTTCTTCCGCTTCGAGTTCTGCGGCGGGCGCACCCGCTTCTGCTTGATCACCATCCCGTGCCGGTGCCGTAGGTAATCCAGCTCCAGACCTCAGCTTTCCGGCATTTTCTGAGAACCATAGGATTCCTAATCCGATCACCAACAAGGGTGAGAATAAGATGAGATTGTTTAGGAAATCGGCGGCCATGGTGGTCTTTATTGGAGTTTGTGCACAGAAATGTTCGTATCGTCGTACGTGGAGTGTGGGGGAGATGCAGGGTTTACCGCCAATCACCATGGCCAATGAACTTGACCAACTTCGCAAGAAGAGATACTGCGCATACAACTGCCTCTTTTGTTCTCGAAACAGTCTCTACTGCCTGCATTGAAGTTAGAAGTTAAGAACTCATACATTTTAATGCTCCAGATACCGCATACACTCCTTATTAGACGTCTGTCCGCCTTCGGTCTTCCCCTTCCAGCAGCTGCGATAGCTTTCACACACGAAAACGTCAAAACGTCCTTGACAGCTCGTGGTAAAAATAGCCGCTTCTACAACGTGAGCTGAGCCGTGTGCATGGCAGCCTGAATACGCCAGCTGTCTGCACTCGTTAACTTCGGAAGGAATTCACTCAACACAGTGGAGCACAGGGAGCACGCGTCCCGCCATTGACCAAACCAGCTGCTCCTTTTAAGATCCCTCCTGTTCCCTCCTACGCAATTTCTCCCGCAAGCATTCATCCGATCCCCTGCCACCCTCCCTCAAAGCCCTGGCTCACACGTGTCGTCCGTGCAATGCATCACCCGAGCCCACGCAGCCTAACTTTAATTCCACGCGCGCCGCTGATGGCTAAATCAAGAATGTTTGGAAGCGCCCAAAGTTTCAGTAAGAAATTGAGACGAGGTTGTTTGTAAACCGTGAATGTTTGACGCGGGAGAGACCACGTTGCGGGTCGGGGTTTGAGGAGTGCGATGCATGAGCGCAGTGTGCCCGAGCCTCGCGATTGAGTGCGCGCACAGCGATCGGGGATCTGAGAGATCTGAAGGCGTTCGTTCGCCTTCGACGTCAACCACCAACCAAAATCGGGGTCGAGATGTTGAGAAGGATTGGAATTGCATAGGAGGCGACGACGAGTTTCCAATTGCGATTATTTACGTTGGGATTTTTGGCACCTACATCTTGGAGAGATGCATGAACGGGAGGCTGGTGCCCGGGACAGTGGGTTACATGAGCTCGTTGGGGCACGAGAAAGGATCGATGAATTGGCTGTCAAGGACGCGCGAATAGAATATCCTCCGACCCACCTGGCAAGTACCTTCTTACGTAAGTTCGAGCATGGCCATGACTTTCCCCGTTCGGTAGATCTCTTGTCGAATGGAACTCCCTCCGAAACCCTACCGGCAGAATGAAATCTGTGGGGGCTGACAAATGAATCCGATTACGTACATACACTTCAGCACACCTTAGGTATGCGATCGATAATTTGCTGAGCCTTGGCTTAAGAACTTGATTTCTAACCTAGAGGTCCGGTCAAGATCAATGCTTGCGAAGTTCAGCTCAGATCGAAGGAGAGCCAATCGCTTACCCTAAGCTCTAAATTCCACAGGGCAGGGGCGCGGGAGAACGCGTGTGCGCTATTCTAGCGCAAAGGCGCCTTCGAATTGGAGAGAAAAATGAAAGCAATCGGGAAGGAGGCCATGTGTGACGCATGGCGATGGGAGATATGTGAAGATCGCATGATGTGGGCAGAGAGGGTGTGTGTCAGGATGAGTCCGCGACAACCGGGACGCCGGGAAGTTGGCACGGGTGAAGTGTTCTTCACCTTCACTTAAGCTTTGAGGGGAAGGATCGAAGAACGGGCGGATCACGGCACGGGCTCGGCACGGACGAGAAGAAGCACAGACCAGCTCGGCGTATGAAATCTTCCCAACGGTCCAATCACCGGCTGCCCTCGATCGAAGTGTCCCTGCATGTGGTCGCTGGTCTGTGCGCGCAATTCCAGGCGCTGGGTGAGACAAGGTCCGATTCGGTGCTAGTTTCGCCAAACGCTCGATGCCCGTATCCGATGGGTGGAAGGCCCCGGGGGTACGTCAGGGGCTCGTCGGCGATGTGCAGCTGGTGCAACGGTCCATCCGCTAAGCGGAGAAAGCTACTGGCCGCTGAAGGGGGTTTGGTTGGACCGTTTATAACCGTTGAGGGCCGCTCTCGATTTACGAGGGACAGCAATCATTGAGAGGGAAGCATGGAGTCCCTCTTGGAGCCTCGCCCAAAGGTCCACTACAACCAATACACCAGCCTTGACACCAGACTCCTCCACGCAGCCGGCTGGCTCTTCGACGACCTCGACGCCGAACCCATCAGGCTCTCCGCCCCACCATCTCCAGTACAGACCTTCGATCCTACCAAATCTTGGGCCGAGATCCTGAATACGAGACCGGTACTGTCGAGAATCAACACCGATACGACAGCGAAGGAGGAACGGAGCTTACCGTCGCCGCCACCGTCGCCGGGTGGTTTGGTCGTCATGGGAAAGGAGGGGCGTCAGACGTCGCATGACTCTGCCTGTTCGATGGGTGAGGAGGAAACAGAGTTGACACCGCCTTCTACACCCCCGACGGAGCCATACCAGAAGCTTTACCCCGTACCCGTTACCACGCCAAAACCGGAAGTAGCACCACTACCGGCGCCGGTGGTGGTGGTGATCAATGAAGAGGCCTTGGCAGCGGATTTCGAGTCCCATATGATTACACCGCCGGAGGAGGACCCTCTCTCATATATCTTCTCGAATCCGACGTCGTCGCCGAGGACGAGTGTTGATTACGTCGCGTCGCCATACTATGGCGGCGCACTCTCGCCCTTCGCAAGCCACGACGTCAACCCCTTCGACTCCACTCAACATGAGGCCGAATGTACCCTGTTCGAGGAAGAACCAATTATCACCGAACCATGCCGTCGCCGTCCCCGCAAGAACGCGACGCTCAAGGCGTACTATCGTACTTGGACCGTGATGGGCGTTGACGAGATGACAGGGCTGCCGCTGTTTAGGCGGGAATCGGGGGAGAGGTATCGGGAGATCGTTGGAGGTGGGGCAAGGAAGAAGATGGATGTGCCGTTTCGGAGGTTGAGGGTTGGTGGGTGTGGGATTTGAAGGGAGAGCATAAGATTTTTTTGTTGGGAATTACTTCTTGGGGGCATTTGGGGTTTTGCATATGGCGTTTTTTTCTTTTCTTTAGATACCCCTTCGGCATGAACTTTAGGTATGCCGTAGCTACACTTGGCTGGGGAGGTTTGCGAGCTGGAGGAGCCGCACAAGTTGGACCGTACGCAACATGAACTGTTGCATACCTTATCATCAAGTGCATTACCTTACTCTTTCTGGCCATATACTGTGACACATCACTTGCTTTGCTTTATTCCATTTTCTCCTGTTCTACCAGAAATCTCGCCATAAGCCATCTCCATGTGGCAGGATATTCTTCCCAAGTAACCCCAGTAGATGTGCTCTTCCTTCTGGCTGAGGCTGGTCTGTCCGAAAGTGAAGTTCGGTCACCCGGTATGCTCCACCAAGCTTGGTGTATGTCAGCCTCAGTGCTCGTAGGATGTACTCTCTCTCTTCCATACGTGTACGAACATCCGTGGGAAAGCAGCCGTCGGGATGCACGAACGTGAATACACGCAGAGCCTCAAAAGACTATCAGGTCTACTCAATTAATCTTCTACAACGTAGAGTTGATATCCTCACGCGTCTTTGTGTGTTGGTTGTCGGTTGTCAGCCGCCCCTTGTACCTTCCTCATGTCTACCGTACACCATCCACCGCTGTCTCCAGAGAAAAACACCACCCACTCAGCATCAACAATCACCGTCGCCTTTGATCCATTCGCCATACCAGGATCAGGGCATTCGACGACGGGCATATACCAGTAAATATCCGCATAAATGCCTCCAGCAAACTCGACATCCGGTGCGGCTCGTGCGGCGAAGCGATCCAATAAATCGGCAACAAAGAAGCCTTATGCGAGGCCCTCGTCGGACAAGCAGAGGCCTCAGCAAACGAGAACTGAGAAGGAAGAGGTTTGTATTCGTGTCTCCTACTCTATGGGCTTGATGCTGACATGCAATGAACAGCAAAGTGTTGTGTCAAACCTAATTGGCGGCATTGGCAGTGCGATCTCTGGCATTTTCTCAAGCCTCTGGAAGGGCGCAACCGAAGATCAGGCACCTGTACGACGATCATCTTCAACCAGGCGAAAGAGCTCTCACAAGAAGGAGGATGTGAAGGAGGAATCAAAGCAGTCCGAGGCGGACTCCTTTCTCGCTCCTGCGCTTGCGCCGCATTATGTCGGACATACACCTTACGCGGCACGTCGTCGCACGGATATTGAATCCGACCGATCCAAGACTTCCCGAGCAAACGACAAACCTGCGCAGCCTAAGTTCGAGTTCCCAACGCAAAACCTTCGGGCGCCACTCATCCCAGCGGAATCCTCCCCGATCTTGGGAGCTACAACTTCGCTGACATCTCTCACCATCGCTCCAGAAACTTGGGCTAGACGAGATGCGGAGACGCTGGAATGGATCAACTCGCTTGGACTCAACCTCCAGAAGCTCGCGAACGGCACTGAAAGGCTCGGAAACCGCGGTGGATGGGCTGACAAGGAAAAGTTCGAGAGGCTTATGAAGGACGATGAGGGATTCTTTGAGCGACAAGGTCTGCGTCAGCGTGCTGCGTCTGAGACCCTCGAGCGCCGGTCGCATTCTCGTACTCCTTCATTGCGTCCCACACCATATCAGAACCCCAAGCACGGTCATCAACGCCAGATCAGTTTGGCTGACCCTAGACTTCAGCTCGACCCTGCCAAATGGCCTCGAAACACTACCGCGGGTATCCTGGCCGCATGGCGCGAAATCTGCCGAAGACAGGAGTTGATCGCAGCGGAGGAAGCTGAACAGGACCAGTTACGATCTTCTCAATTTGGGAATATGGATAATGGTTCGGCGGAGACACGAGGAGATGGTGAGAGGCCTGCTGCGCAGGACCAGATGAAGAGAGGCATGACGCTCATTCACGAGAATGTTAGGTTCCCGAGGGGTAAGACGAGCACTCCCGCAAGCAGCAAGGGAGCTGCAGCTCAGGAGACCGACGAGGACAAGACGGCGAAGACGGAGAAAAAGAAGGTGAATATGGATGATGCGAAGGTGGAAGACGGCGAGAAGGAGACGGAGGAGACGCAAGAGGAGGAGCAGAAACCCAAAGAAAAGGAGGCTGACGCACCAATGAAGGATGCGGAAGTTCAGACTGAGGACAAGGCTGAGGATAAGGCCGAGGCCGCCCCGGAGGCTTCGATGGAGGACGCACCCGTCGCAAACGAAGCGAAAGCCCCTGCGACTGACAAGAAGAAGCGCGCCGCTTCCCCTTCCTTTGATCAACCATCGCCCAAGCACACCGGTGTCGTGATTCCCAAAGAACGCCGTCGTCGTGCTGGATGCTTCTCTGCCTTGGATGAGGATTTGGACGAGATGTTTGGTCCTGAACCCGAACTTCCTGCAAAGAAGAAGATCAAGCCGTCTATCAACGTGGGTGCGGAGACACCACTGAAGAGGACGGTCGAAGGGTCTGGGTTTACGCCTAGAGTCCCGCTGTTGCGGGATGATCCTGCTGTTGAAGAGGCTAACAAGAAAGCTGCTGCGGCTCGATTCTCAAGTTTCGGGGCTGCTGCTGCGGCCTTGCCGAAGGAAGACCCTCCCAAGCCGGCGGAGAAGCGTGTCGAGACCACTGCCCCAAGCTTTAGCCTTGGCAATGCCGAGAAGAAAGACCAGGCGGAGGTACCCAAGGCAGCTGCTGCGCCTTCCTTCAGCTTCGGCGGGGCCAGTGCTGTGGCGGATAAACCAGCCGAAGAGGCGAAGAATGATACGCCTCCTTCGTTCAGCTTTGGGAAGCCGGAAGAGAAGAAGGCCGATGCACCGGCAGTTGTGCCTGCCCCTCAGTTTTCCTTCGGCAAGCCTGCTGAGGAGAAGAATGACGAGGCACCGAAGCCTGCTGCCGCCCCTCCTTCGTTTTCCTTTGGTGCACCGAAGATGGACGCTGCCCCCGCTGCGCCCACTACTGCGTCTACGACCCCCACCTTCTCGTTCGGTGCTACGTCTAAGCCTGCGGAAGAAAAGCCTGCGGCTGCTGCTGCCAGTTCCTTCTCCTTTGGAGCACCTGTTTCTAAGGTTGCTGAGGAGCCCAAGAAGGACACCACGCCCGCTTTCGGCTTCGGAGCTCCTGCCGCTGCCCTGGCCGAGACTTCCAACAAGAGAAGTGCGGACAGCGATGAGCCCGCTGCAAAGAAGTCCACCGGTGGATTCTCTTTCGGTAACACCTCCACCATTTCGCCCTTTGGTGCTGTGAACGGAGCTGCTACTGCTGATGCTGCCAAGCCTGCTCCTTCGCCGTTCGCATTTGGAGCTCCGAAGAAGGCTGCTGCTCCGGCTGCTGGCGGGTTGTTCGGTGCTTCAACTGCGGCGCCCGCTGCTAGAGGCTTCAACTTTGGAGCTACACCCGCTGCGGAGCCGGCAGAGCCTGCTGCTGCTCCGTCGTTCTCTTTCGGTGCCCCTGCTGCGACTACGGCCACGGAGGCTCCTAAGCCTGCTGCTGGTGTGTTCAACTTTGCTGCGCCTGCCGCTGCTGCTCCGGCTACCGATGCTGCCAAGCCCTTGGTTTTCGGATCCTCTACTACGACTGTTGCGGATAGCAAACCTGCTTCTGGCTTGTTCGGTTCGGCGACTACTGCCGGAACTGGCGGTTCCACGCTCTTTGGTTCCGCCGCGGCCCCGGCGGCTGAGGTTCCTAAGCCTGCGTTTGGTGGTTTCGGTAGCACGATGAGTGCTGCTCCTGCCTCTACTGGTGGGTTTGCTGGGTTCGGACAGAGCACAACTGCTCCTGCTCCTGCAGCTGCTCCTGCGAATGGCGGTTCTTTCACTTTTGGTTCTAACACTGGTTCCATTACCCCGGCATTTGGTGCTACGAACAATGCTCCTGCTGCCAATGTCTTCGGTCAGTCAACTTCGGCTGCTCCCGCTGCCTCCGCTGCTACTGGAGGTTTCGGTTTTGGTGCGAACAACAACAATGCACCGGCTGCCGGTGGATTTAACTTTGGTGCCAACAACGCTGCTCCTGGATCACCTGGCGTCCAAGCTGCGTCTTTCAACTTCAACGCACCTGGATCCCCAGCTCCGGTTCCCGCGGCGACTGGGTTCGGCTTTGGAAACAACGCTGCTCCCCAGTCTCCTGCTCCCGCTGCTGCTCAGCCTTTCGCGTTCGGTACACCTGCTCCTGCTCCTGCCAATGGTGGATTCCAGTTTGGAGCAGGAACTCCGGCACAGCCGCAGCAACCGCAGACACCCGGAGGTGCTGGTATGTTCCAGTTTGGAGGACCCAACACGCCGGGAACGCCTGGTGCAGGTGCTGCTCCCGGAGGAGGTAATTTGTTCTCGGTTGGGTCTGCGGGACCGCAGGATCAGCAGGGCGGGAGGAAGATTGCACCCGCTAGAGGTAGACTCAGGAGGAAGTAAAATATCACCACAGGACTGTGGTGAGTGATGTTGGGGGACGTATGTGGAATGAAGAGACAAGAAAGCATGCATTACGGGTTAACTTAAGTCAAGGGAATGGAGTGACGTTTTTGCTTTTAATGAGGTATAGCTAACTGGACGATATGATATCCCTTTTTTCTTCTTACAAAAGACTTCTGATCTGTAATTCGACTCATCGACTGGAATCTCCTGACTTCGGAACGGATTCGTAGGGGCCCGAATTTGGCAGCTGTGGCAACGCGCATCAAAACAAAAAGCCTGCAGTGAAGTAAAGAAGGAGCTCGACGCCCCCGATACAGCCGTCCAGCTTTGTCCATTCCAGTGGGTTTAACAAGCGACTCGTCCATTCTTTCGTTCATTTCTTTATCCGTATCGGAGTTATTACGTCTGTTTATTCGAACTCACCGTCGACAAAATGGCCTCAATGCGCAAGATTCACCCCGCTTGGCTCGACAACCACAAGTCTGACAAGTCATGCTGGGTCACCGTCGGCCGTACTGTCTACGACGTTACCAACTTCCTGGAAGACCACCCCGGAGGCGCTGAGCTTATCCTCGAATATGGGGGTCAAGACGTGCAGAAAATCATGGAGGACGAGATGAGTCACGAGCATTCTGATGCTGCGTGGAGTATGATGAACGAGTACATCGTTGGAAAATTGTGTGACGATGAGTCGGTCGCACATGACGAGGAGCTTATTCCCGAGGCGAAGAAAGAGCTAGGGTTGGGAAATGAGGAGGAGATGGAGGTTCCGACGGATTATGAGGCGGATTATGCTAAGCATAAGTTCATTGACCTGAAGAAACCTATGTTGGCACAAGTCTGGAAGGGGGGGTGGTCGAATGAGTTTTATCTCGATCAGGTACACAGGCCCAGGCATTATGCCGGTGGTGCGAGTGCGCCGCTGTTCTCGTGGGCGTGGATGGAGCCGTTGAGTTTGACGCCGTGGTGGGTTGTGCCGATTGTGTGGATTCCGGCTGTGTGTACGGTTTGGTGGTTGGGGTTGCAAGGTCTTGGAGACGTGAGGATCGCGGCTGCGATGTTCGTGTTGGGGACTGCGGTGTGGACGTTGATCGAATACGGTCTTCACCGTTTCCTCTTTCACTTGGATGAGATGATGCCAGAGGGACGTGTGTTTATCACCCTCCACTTCTTGCTTCACGGTATCCACCACTTCCTCCCCCTCGACCGCATGCGCCTCGTCATGCCCCCCACCCTCCTCGCCCTCCTCGCTACCCCAATCTACCACCTCGTCCACCTCATCTTCCCCTACTACTTCGCCCTTTGCGGTTTCGCCGGCGGCCTCTTCGGTTACATCTGTTATGATGTCACGCATTACATGCTCCACCACTCCAAGTTGCCGCAGTATTGGAGGGAGCTGAAGGCGTATCATCTTGCGCATCATTTCCAGGATTATCAGATGGGCTTTGGGGTTACGAGTAAGTTTTGGGATCGGGTGTTTGGGACTGAGTTGGGTATTAAGGGGAAGACTGCGTAATGTGGAAGGATTGACAGACAATTGGGGGTCGTTGTAGTGATTATTTTATTGTTTGAGGGATTGTATGGTACCTCCACTCGCTTAATAACTGGCTCGTATAGCTAAAGATGCTAATACATATGTCTATCGTTCAAGTCTCTCATGACCATTTTGTGCTTCCCTCCCTGCATTCAATCGCAGACCTGCTCTCCTTTTGGATATTGCTTTTGCACGATTGCGTGCGTCTTCGCCTTGCCGACCTTGTACGACGAGCAATCGTCGCCTTTGTTCACTCTTTGCCCAAGCTGGACGTATGCGCTCACTTCTCCAAGTTGATCGCCCGTCCAAACTTGCTGTACAACTGCACCTTTAGCCTATCCATCTCCGCCTTGATCTCCACAACCTCCTCCTCCAACTTCTCCACCTGGTCATCCACAATCTCCTTCTCTTTCTCCAATCTTTCCTGCGCCTCCTCCAACTTCAACTCCACAAACGCGTCTCCGACCTTGTACGGTACCAGCTCATCCTCATCCGCCAACTCAAGCTCAGTTAAGACGTCATCCAGTGCTTCTTTTGTCTGTGATAGTGCTTCGAGCTGGTCTTCCCGGTCCGCGAGGCGTGCGTTGTATCTTGAGAAGGAATTGATGAGTTGTTGGTCGGCCCAGGTAACGTGTTCGGCTGACTCGTCTTCTTTGGAGAGCTGTACCACAAGAGTCAGTCCATCCGTTATAACAATAACGACCGTGTGTCAAAGGCAGTACCATTTTGGTGGCCATTTTGGCGATCAGGAGAGCAATGAAGGTGTACGTGCTCTGCTTGGTGCGATGCCGGGGGACGCAAGGTCCAAGGGGATTCGGGGAGGTGCGGTAACGTCGACACGTACGAACGAGACGATTTCGGCAATTTGATAATACCCTCGACAGAATGTCTTCCTCCTCATCCGCAGCACCTCAGAAGAAGGCCTTGACCAAGGCGCAACAAGACAGTACGTTTCTTCCTCCCTGATCCGCTACCTACCCGTGCCTCGTCGCGACGGTGTGCAGAACGCGGAGTACTCCTCGAAGATGGATATTAATTGATGGATGTGATAGACCTTCAACAACAATATTCAACACAGAAACAAGCGCTTCAAGCCCTCGCCCAGAAAATCTCCGAGTTAGAAACCGAAACAGACGAACATACCCTCGTCCTCGAAACCCTGCAACCTCTCCCCGCCGATCGTAAATGTTTTCGGATGGTTGGTGGTGTACTAGCCGAGAGGACTGTTGGTGAGGTTATGCCGGCATTGGAGTCAAATCTGGATGGGGTATGTATAAACGAGGGGGAGATGGGTGGTGAGAGGATTGGAGGCTAACCAGGGCGGTACAGATCAAGCAGGTTATGGACCAGTTGTTGGAGCAGTATAAGAAGAAGGAAGCGGAATTTGTAAAGTTCCAGAGGGATAATAAGATCCAGGTCGTCGGATAACCATTTCATCATGGATCGGCGACGGCAGGTGGGATGGGAGCGAAGATAGAGGAGGTGGAAAACGATATACCCGGCATTGGCTATTAACCTTCGGTGTTTACGAACAAGGCATCATAACACAGCACATTACACCAACCTTTTCTCTCCCTACCTACCTCCTCAACCCTCACCGCTCGTCTCTCCCGCCCCTCGCATCCGCCTCCCTCCAACCATACACGCACGCACACATTCTGCAAGAAACCCTGTGATGACCAACAGAGATTAGATACTTCAGAGGCTCACCACCCACCCATCACCTCTCGTTTTCCCACCCCATCTTGCTTAGTGTTTCTACGCGAAACCTCGGTTGGGGAGGGATGTGGGGTGCTGTTAGGATGGAGTGGTGTGTCCGGTGATGGAGTAAAAAGGCAAGTCTGATGGGTTTCTTATGGGTGTTGTGTGGTGTGCGTTGGGGATTGCGGTGGGATGAGAAGGTGGGAGAGGTTTGATGGACTGATTGCGTGTGAGTTCACAGAGTTTTGCCATTTCCACAAAACATCAAAAAAGGAAGAGGAAGTAGGGATTCTTCATGTGATAAAAGATATAGAGGAAATGTAAAAGAGCAGAACCCACTGTAACTCCAAAACGCCATTTGCTTTCCGTATACTCCCATCATCGTATCACATCTATCGCTCTGATGAATTAACAACTCATCTCAAACCAAAACCACCATTCACTTGACTTCAGCGAAAGAAGGGAATGGTGAACCCAAACAACTTCTTACGAGGCGGTGCCTGGACAGAAGTCAACGCTCCCTTATACTCCTCATCATCATCCTCCTCCGGTGCAGCCCGCTTCCTGGACCCAAGAGCAACCGTGCTCGTCTCCGGCAGAACCGTCTTCGAGATTGGCTCCGATGGGATCGGTGCCGTGACTGGGGCTGTGGTTACGGAAGCAACGGAAGGAGACGTCGCACTCGAATCAGCCGACGAGGCAAAGGCCGCCCCTTCCAACACGTGAACAGCTGGGGTGATGTGAACCGCCACAGGCTCATTCCAAGTCCAGAAAGACCGGTCATCGTACCCATCGTCGATGGGCACATCCCTCACAGTCCAATGATCCTCCGAACCAGTGTTCTGGGTATACACCCTCTTCTTTGCGGGCAAGATAGTAGCGCTATCCTGGAACGGCTGAACACCATGACGATTACTGAAGGCCGCAAGTGTTTTTTGGTTACGTAACTCAACACCAGTTACCTTCCAGTGAGGCTTCTGCTTCCGGCCACGTAACGGCAAATATATTGTCGACCGACCACCAGATTGATTGACGCCTTGCAGACAACCCAGGAAATCGGCATCCTGGCTAAGGACAATAACATGAGGGTTGCTTACCCCATCCGCGAACACCTTTATCCGCTCGCGGATTGCGTAATCCGCAAGCTGCGACGTTCCAGTGTCGGTAGCTGCGTCCAAAATGACGGTATTGATGCCATCTCCACGGAGCAGAGTCCGAAGTAATTCGTCATCCTTAGGACTTCCCCTCACGCCCTTCTTTCTCGACAACGGGGTCGGGCGATAGCCGGTCGAATAAATGAGCTCCATCGCTCCAATGACAACGTTCTCCGCACGGACCAGATTGCTGGTAATGGCTCTGAACATCACTTCGAGCAATGCCAGTACCGCTGTGTTAAGCTTGCCGACGTTCTCGGCATCGACAAAAATACCGACGGTCACGACATTCACCGAGGGCGGGACTGAACTTGCCTTACGGACAAGCCTGACACTGCTGGGTAGACTGCCAAGGAGCTGAGACCGACCGGCACGTAATGCGTCCAGATAGAGGGCTTGAAGAGCAGGAAGATTTGATGGCAAGACATTCCGCATATGCCTTAGATCGGCAAGGTTCATAACGACATCTAACGCATTGTAAGTAAACGTCACTCAAACAAAGTTTGAGCGAGGTAGGGAGGGGCTATCGGGCTCAAGCGAATCACGGCGAAGGTGGCACCTGGCGAAACATGCGTTGATCCACCCGACGATCTACTCGGCGTCCTCTATTTGGTTATTTACGGCCCTAGGGGAGCGCATGGTCGGAACCATGCCTCTGACCCAGGGCCGGAGGAGCACCGTATCATCGAAAGTCACTCATGCTCCCGCAGTCTCCGAAGAAACCCGGCACCCTAAGCCCCCGTCCTACTAACTCGACGACGCAGCTTTACTTACCTTGTGATTGTCCAGATGCGTCTGACATCGAGATGGGTGAAAAATTGTGGGGTGGGTGGTTTGGTGACGACCAGATGAGGTGGGCGAGAGGGTTTTTTTATAGATCTTGCCACTATCAACACGTTGTGCGAAACGTCCTAACGCAGGATAGAAACAGCTACTGCAGCTGGGCCTCCTCGCTGCGGGAAGTTGGGCATTCGAAAGAAGGTCAATGGTGAGACTTGCGGGCGCCCGAGGAGAATGCTCGGCAACTGCAAGATTTCGTTGCCGGTATGAGCATTGATGTGAAGACCGAGGCTTAGACGTGACTCCAGCAGCAGGGATAGGACGTGGTGGCCGGTAAAGACAGCAGTAGGAAGCACGAAGAAGATGTTTCAAGCCGTCTTCCACACAGCAGATTCCCTCTGACAACCCTCATACACCTGCTCATTCGTCTCTCTGCAAATTTTTCATGTGTCTCAGACTCATTTATCAAACTTTCGTCTGCGTGTTGTTCCGCGGCACGCAGTATCGAGGCTGGCCTAACCAGACCCCTGTCGCCCAGTTACCAAAGGCACATCCTTGTCAACGGTCAAGGATCGCCACATTTCAGGGCAAGGGTCAAGAAGAGAGACGGTTGGTAACTTATGATCTCATTCTTTTCTTGTTACCGGTGACATTCCTCGGAAGAAGCACCAGGAGCGCACCGTGGGCTTTGTCCGGGGAGGACTGCAGACGCCCTTCACATAGGACTTTCACCCATCCCGAGCAAAAGAATGGATTGTTAGGTAGCATTGAGTGTAGAGAACGAAGCTGGGAACATTTCAGCTTGTTTCAAAGGGAGCGGATGCCGATGCATAAAACGGTCGTCGTATACGGTGGAGTGCGTTATCGATATGCCGAGCCGCATACATCCCGTCCGAACCGCAGTACTTTCGGGCTTGGAGGATCTCAAGGACCCTTATCTTCGAGCACCTTCAGATTCCTAATTATAGATCTGGTCGATACAGTTGATCCCATCAGTTGTGTTTTGGCGTAGTGTTCAACATTCCCAGGGTCCCGCGGCCGTGCCGGTAAGAAGCCTGCAGGTGATCTCGTGCCTGGCCGCGGATTCTGCACGTCGGCGTCGTAAGCTCGAGTAATTCACCATCCTCGAGAAAGAGCAGCATTCATCCCCTACAACAAACCCGTCCGTCATTACCAAATCAGAACCAATTGCAATGGCCAACGACGGTGTCTCCGCTGCTGCTTCAACAATCCCGACAAAGCGTCGCAGGACGAACTCCATGGACAAGAACGTGGGGCAACATAGACCCAGGGATGATGATCAAGATACACCCATGCCCGAAGCGGCACCTTATGAGAATGGATCGAGTAAGGCGGTTATTGCGACTGATAGTGCGGAGTCGAGTAAGCAATGGCAGGAAACCATCGAGAAAGTGGTCAAATCCGTCGTTTCGATCCGGTTCTCGCAAGTCTCCGCGTTCGATACCGAGGGACCTGAGACGTCTGAAGCTACTGGGTTCATCGTGGATGCAGAGAGAGGCTACATCCTTACCAATCGACACGTTGCATGCGCCGGTCCTTTCGTCGGACATGCTATCTGCGAGAACCACGAAGAGGTGGAGGTCTTCCCCGTCTACCGCGACCCGATCCACGATTTCGGTATTCTCAAATTCGACCCAAAGGCAATCAAGTACATGCCCGTCATCGCACTCCCCATCCGTCCAGAACTCGTGCGCGTCGGGTTGGAGATCAGAGTCGTAGGTAACGACGCCGGAGAGAAGCTTTCCATCCTTGCTGGTTTCATCTCCCGAACGGATCGTAATGCGCCGGAGTATGGTGACCTCACATACTGTGATTTCAACACAAACTACATCCAAGCTGCTGCGTCCGCGACGGGTGGATCTTCGGGTTCGCCGGTTATCGCGCTCGACGGATCCGTTGTTGCGTTACAAGCTGGTGGACGGACTGCCGCCGCTACTGATTTCTTCCTGCCGCTTGATCGTCCATTGAGGGCGTTGCAGTGCATTCAGCAGGAAAAGCCGATTACGCGTGGTACCATCCAAACCCAATTCCTCCACAAACCCTTCGATGAGTGTCGTCGTCTCGGACTCTCCGCTGAGACTGAAGCCGATGTCCGTGGGAAGTTCCCAGAGGAGATCGGAATGTTGGTAGCGGAAGTCGTCCTCGAAAGCGGACCCGCGTGGGATAGTCTCCAGGAGGGTGATATCCTCATCTCCCTCAACGGCCAGCTATGCACGAAATTCATCCCCCTCGAAAGCACACTTGACGAATCTGTCGGCAAGGACGTCGAGATCGTCGTTCAGCGTGGTGGACAGAACTTGACTTTCCAACTCACTGTCGGTGACAAACACGCCATCACACCCGACCGCTACGTCGAGTTCTCCGGTGCGAAATTCAATAATTTGTCGTACCAACTCGCGCGATCATACGCGATTCCTGTACAGGGTGTCTACGTCTGTGAACCCGCGGGTGCATTCCGTCTCGATGGCCCAGACCACGGTTGGATCGTCGAATCAGTCGACCACAAACCCGTTCCAGACCTCGATACCTTCATTACCGTCGTTCGCGAGATCCCGGATCGCGCTCGCGTGGTCGTTCAATACAGGAGTATCCACGATATGCACTCCATCTCCACCTCTGTCGTCCAAATCGACCGTCATTGGTCCGCCTCCTTCCGGTTGGCGGTAAGGAATGACAAAACGGGATTATGGGACTTCACGGACCTCGGAAAGCCTAAACCGCCGGTTGAGTTGAACCCGAGGACGGCGAGGTTCGTGCAGATGGATAAGAGTCTTGGCGCAGCGGGGAGTTTGGTCAAGAGTTTCGTGAAGGTGCATTATTATATGCCCTGTCGCCTTGACGGGTTCCCGCGGTCGAGGAAGAGTGGAACGGCGTTGGTTGTCGATAAGGAGAGGGGGTTGTGTGTCGTTTCTCGCTCGAACGTGCCGTTTGATATGGGTGATCTCAGTCTCACCTTTGCGGACTCCATCATCGTACCCGGAAAAATTGTCTTTTTGCACCCGACGCAGAATTTCGGGTTTATTCAGTACGATCCGAAGTTGATCGGTGAGACGCCCGTCGAGCAGGCACAGTTCTCGGAGAAGGAGATTGAGCAGGGACATACCGTCTCTTTCGTCGGGTTTAACCACAATAATAGGATTGTTGCGACGAAGACTTCGGTTGCTGATGTCACTGCCGTCACGATTCCGCAGAACTCGACGCCGAGGTTCAGGGCCGTTAACTTGGATTCTATCTCTGTTGATTCGAATTTGGCGGCACAGTGTGGTTCTGGAGTCCTCGCTGATGAGGAAGGAAAGGTTCAGGCACTTTGGCTCACATACCTTGGTGAACGCACCCAGAGCGGACATGATACGGAGTATAGGATGGGATTGCCGATTGGGGCTATCTACCCCGTTTTGGAGCGATTGAAGCAGGGGAAGAAAGTCAATTTGAGGATATTGGGGGTGGAGTTGTTTAGTGTGCTCATGAGTACCGCACGTAATATGGGATTGTGCGATGAATGGGTCAGGAAAGTCGAGGAGGCGAATCCTGTTCGTCATCAGTTGTTCATGGTGAGGAGAGTCGAGGCGGGCTATGAGCGCGTTTTGGAGGACGGTGATTTGATTTTGGCGATTAATGGACAGACGATCACTAGGACTCGCGAGTTGGATGTGCAGTATGATAATGAGGTGTTGGATATTACTGTGTTGAGGAAGAGTGAGGTCGTGGAATTGAAGGTCCCAACGTTGAGTGCTGATACGCTCGAGACTGATCGTGTCGTGTTCTGTTTTGGTGCGCTGTTGCAGCCCCCGCACCACGCCGTTCGTCAACAGAGCAAGAAGTTGCATTCCGGGATCTACATTTCGGGTCGTTCTAGGGGATCTCCGGCGTATGAGGGAAGTGGAGGCGGGTTGGTCCCTACGATGTGGATTACGCATGTTGATGAGACTCCGACACCCGATTTGACGACGTTCTTGGATGTTGTTAGGCCGATTCCGGATAATACGTATGTGCGGATCAAGACGATGTCATTCGATAACGTCCCCTTCGTGATCTCATTGAGGAAGAGGGAGCATTACTTCCCGACGGTCGAGTTGGTAAAGGATGGGAGTGCGGAGTGTGGATGGAAGGCTATCAAGATTGGAAAGGATGGTGAGGAGGAGGAGGGTATTGTGGTTCATGTTGATGGACTTGTCGAGGATCCGATTGAGATGGTGGAAGATGCGTGTGGACCTGAGCCGCAGGAGCCGGAGGAGTAGGGATGCATATATGGTTTTGGGAAGAGGATATGATAGAGGCATATCTCAGGGAATGTTTATGGTAGGACGAAAAGGCTTATGGAGCATATGGCAATAGCATAGAAGGCAATTGAACATTTTTTTTCCTGTTGAGCATTGAGCATGGACCCTGAGATCTGATAATGTGGGTCGTAGCGATCTCCGACTCGGAGTCCCGATCGCGTGTTGCAGATCGCGCATTCGCGGGGCTCAGCCACACAGAACACAGAAATACAAAACCCTGACCATCGCGTCCTCTTCGTTCGGCAGAATCTGCAATCCAGTCGCTGCCGTTGATATCCCTCCTAAGGATGGACAAAGCAATTGAGTACAAGCGCAACCACAGGTTCCAGAACTGGGCAGGAACTTTCGTCTGTACCGCCGAACGCTTCTACCAACCGCATACACTCGACGAATTGAAATCAATCCTCGCCGATGCCCGCGCACATAAGAAACAGCTCCGTGTAGTTGGGTGCGGACACTCGCCTTCTGATATCGCAATGACGACGGATTGGATGGTTAACCTGGATTACTTGAACAATGTTATCGAGGTCAACCATGAGAAGCATGAGGTTACCGTTGAGGCTGGAATGCGGTTGTTCAGACTACACGAGATTCTGGATAAGGAGGGATGGGCAATGCCGAATATTGGGTCGATTTCTGATCAGAGTGTTGCGGGTGCGATCGCGACTGCGACGCATGGGAGTAGTTTGAAGCACAAATTGATCAGTGATCAAGTTCGGGAACTGACAATCTTGTTGGCGGATGGAACAGAGCGGACATGTTCGGAGGAGAGTGATCCAGAGTTGTTCAAAGCTGCTTGTGTTTCCCTTGGAGCGCTGGGAATTATCATCCGGGTTAAGATGCACGTCGTCCCGGCCTTTGACTTGGAGATGACGAGTACGGTGATGGATTTTGATAAAGTCATCGATTTATGGAATTCCGATAAGTTGTGGAACTCCGCAGAGTACGTCCGAGTATGGTGGTTCCCCTACTCCAGCAGATGTATCGTCGCCCGTCAAGACCGCATACAATCGAACTCAAAACCACGAACAGCGACATCCGTATGGTCATGGCTAGCAGATTCCTTCTGGGGGTACCACGCTCAACAAATCTTCCACTACATCGGCCGGATCTTCCCATCCTGGCTCCCCTCCTTCGAGCGCTTCGTCTTCTCCCGCCGATATGGCTGGGCATTGGGTTTGGAGAGCCACCGTGTGGATAACAGTTACGATGGAATGAACATGGACTGTCTCTACGCCCAATACGTCGACGAGTGGTCCCTCCCCGTCCCCACTGGTGCCGAAGCCACCATCCGTCTCCGCAACTGGCTCATCAACCATGACACCTCCCCCACGACCGGTATCCCCGACCACGATCCCCGCGGAATCTTCATCCACTCCCCCATCGAGATTCGCGTAACGAAGGGCGACGAGGATGATGCGTATTTGAGTACGGCGTATGGGCACGATACAGTTTATATCGGTGTTATCATGTATCGACCATACCACCTCCCAACCTCCTACCACCGCTACTTCTCAGCATACGAAGGCCTCATCCACTCCCTCGGTGGCCGTCCACACTGGGCCAAACAGCACGGAATGGGCCGAAAAGAATTGGAGGACAAATATCCGGAATTAGGGACGTGGTTGAGTGTGAGGGAACGAGTTGATCCGGAGGGCGTATTTTTGGGGGAGTATGTGAGGAGGCATTTGGTCGAGGAGAAGGATGTGAGGGGGGTTAGCGTTGCGAATGGGGAGGCGGGGAGGATGTATAAGGTGGTTAATCGGGTTGGGGATGAGGAGTGATGGGTGTCTCGCGATTGGGGCGTTACGGGAGGAATGTTGGATGGGATAGAGTCGCTTTTCTTTCGTGGCATAGGCGTATTGGGATTGGCGCTTTCGGTTGGTTCAGGTTTATGTTATGTTCTAATACGATACATTCTTTTAATGCTCTCGCAATTAGAAGCTATAGATGCCAGAATGTGTGAGACCAACCTGTACAAAACCAAGTGACATTTCCTGCCAGAATGATAAATCCAACATCACAGTTCGCAGTCTCCAGATTGTAGGCTTAATATCTATCAGGTGTACCGCAAGTAGAAGTAAAAGCAATCAAATGTGAAACGGGTATATAAGATTCTTCCTAAACCAATTGCAACGCACTAATGTCCCTTCTTCTTCTGCTTGTCAACATGCGCCCTCAACACCCTCTGCTTTTCCGTCAAACTCCTCTTCGACTTACCCTGCACACTCCGCTTATGCACAATCATCATGAAGTTCTTCTTACGAGCCTTCTCCCTATTCGTAGTAGATCGTCCAGCTTCATCACGGAACTGCTTACGAGATCCGAACTTCTCGCGGCCTTCGCGGCCTTCGGCGACGGAGGCCATGCGTTCGGCGTAGTCTGCTTTGGTCTTTTTGCGGGGACCTTCGATGGCGGCGGCGTCGACGTATTCGCCGGTTTTGGGGGGTTGTTTGCCGCGTAGGCCGAGTATTCTGTTTGCGGCGGCTTGGACGCGGAGTTCCTCGAGCTTGGCAAAGTCGGCGGGGGTGAGGATCTTGGTGGTGGCGAGCTCGGAGAACCTCTTCTCCGCAGCTGCCAACTCCTCTCTTACTCTCGCCGCAGCCTCGACATCCTCCATATCCTCATCCGACTCCTCTTCCTCCTCTTCAGCCTTTCTCTTCCTGGATACAGGCTTCTCCTTCTCAGTCTTCTCCTTCTTCTTGCCATCCTCATCCTCGGAGTCTGAAATCTCGATGTCCTCACCATCACTCTGCACAGCAATCCAATCACCCTCGCCCTCACTGTTCTCATCACTCTCAACCTCCCACTGTCCCCAATCATCCTCCTCACCCTCCTCCTCATCACCACTCCCCTTATTCGCCTCCTGCTCCTTTTTCCACTCCGCCAACAACTCCAATCCCTCAATCCCACGTTGCGCACCGAGCTCTTGACCAAACTTGAGCTCAGAGTGGGTCTTCATGCCCATCGAAGCATTCTTTCCACGATCCTTCTTCTTCAACATCTCGGGTGCGATATCACGGTAAAGACCGATCAATCCACGCGCGGCCATCATGACACCCTTATCTCTCGATCCCTTGTATTCCGTAAGGTCGTGGAGGAGGGTGGGATTCATTGCCAATGGTGCACGAGCACACATCTCGCGGATACCGTTGATACCGGCTTGTACGACTTCGGGGGCGACACCACCCGTGACGAACTCGTCCGCGATACGGCGGATGACGGGCTCGAGGACATCCGGAGGTACGAACTCGTGGGAGGCCTGAGCTGCGGTGGCGAGGAAGTGGGTTACGTCGCGCTGGCTTGGTGAGAGGAATTTGAGAATGTAGGAGTAGAATCCGAGGACGGACAACTTGTGTACACCAATCAAACGCGAAACAAGCTGGAGTACTGCCAACTTCTGCTCCATGATAAGTCGTGTCTTAGAGTTCGTGAGGTGCTTGCTGAAAAGCTGTTCAGCGAAACCTTGAGGGTCGTGAAGAAGATGAAGAGCGGAGAAGTTGAGAGTAGACACCTGGTGACGCTTCTCCCTCTGCTTGTGGACCTTCTTGATCGCCTGCCTGAACTGCTTGTCACGCTTCTTCGAACCCTTGTTGATAACGTTCTGGTGCAAAACCCTCTTGATACTAATGTCTTCCTCCTCCTCAGAGTCCGAAGCCTCAGCCTTCTCGTCATCTGCGCCAAGAAAGAAATGGATTCCTCCGGACATGACCTTGTGGTTGGTATGCAACGCTGCCTCCTTCATGATCTCGACAGTACGTGCATCATCCCAAATTCCGCGCTTCCACATCTCTCGGGTGAGCTTGACTGCCCAAGCACCAGCAGTGCTGGATCCATCCTCGGCACCTTGCTCGACCATACCGAACAAAACAGACTGGACAGTCTTGTTGAGGCGGTGGTTCTTTGCCTTCTGGTTCGCCACACGGATATCGGAGACGATGGTGTTGTAGATCTGTACGCGGAGGTTCTTGGAGGGAGTGTTGGCGAGGAGAGGGAAGAGAGTCTGAAGAAGAGAGATGGAAGTGATGACGTCCTTATTTCTCAACAAAACGAGGGACTGGACCAACTTCTCTCTCAGATCAGGGTGGAGGACGGCGTGGTGGTTGGTGAGGAGCATCGTAAGGTCATTGGGAAACGATGCAGTCTCTGTAGGATAGCAGTTGCTGACGTGTGCCATAAATCCGACCAACTCCGCAAACTCCGTACCCTCATCCTCCGGCTTAACGAGGAAGATATCCCTCGTAGACTCATAATGCCTCCATTGCATCAGGAACTCATCCTGGTAAGACTCCGGATCACGCTTGACGAGGTACTGGAGATGAGGAAGGTTCGTCGGGAGGACAGCGGCTCTTCTTTGCTTTACCATTGTCGCTGTTGATTCGAACTCTGGATTTTCCGGCCGTTCGCCTCTGTTTTTTATCGCTCCTAAATTTCGTCCTTATCGGTGTGGCACGGGTGGCAGCTGGGTGCAGGACAGGCCGCACCTTAATTGCACGTACGGGAGGACCCTGGCGACGTTACAGGGGCACGACGAAACTGCGCTCAGACCACCCACAGCTCCCTTTCGAAGAATGCACGAGATCATCACCCTTCAGTTCGGTCAGGCTGCGAACTTTGTCGGTACTCATTTTTGGAACGCACAGGAGACCTACTTCACCTATGATGGTCAGGATGAATCTTTGGTTGATCATGACGTGCACTGGAGAGGCGGAGAAGGAGCTCATGGAGAGGAAACATTTACACCGCGTGTGCTTATATATGACTTGAGAGGTTTGCTCGTTGATTGTGTTGAATTCAGTGGCTAACTTGCAAACAGGTGGTTTCGGCTCTATGAAGAAGATCAATGAAATGTATGAAGCATATGAAGAAAAAGACCCATTATCGCTATGGGGCGGTCAACAGTCATCATATATTCACGAGCAAGTACCGAAAAATCAATATCAACAACATCTTGACTCGGGCGCTCCTGCAGATTTGGAAAAGCAGCTTCTGTCGACGGAGACAGTCAAAGTATGGTCCGACTTCAACCGGATATACTATCATCCACGCTCACTGAAACAACTAAACGGCTACGATGCTGATGGAGGAATCGATCCCTTCGACAGCTACCTCAAGGGCAAAGAACTCTATGAGAAACTGGAGCACGACCACGGAGTTTTCGACTCAGATTTCAGACCTCTCCTCGAAGAAGCTGATCAACTCCAGGGTGTGAATGTTCTCACAGGTACACGTGACGGCTGGGGCGGATTCTCCGCATCATACCTCGAGATTCTGAGAGACGAGATGCCAAAAATGACAATTCACACCTACGGACTCGAGGGACCTGAATCAAGTGAGGCGGATAAGCACGACATCAAGAAGCTCCAACCAGAATACTCCTTTACGCAAGCTTTCAATTCCATCCATGAGACATCAACGCTCTATACACCACTCACGCTGCCCCTCAGCACTCCTCGCCATCTGAATGGGTTCAACCTCCAATCACAATGGCATACGTCAGCATTGCTTGCTCTCGCAATTGAGAACATCACCCTACCTACACGTTTACGCAGAGAGACGGCGGTGCTGAGGATGACCGGGCTCGCTGCGCGTGCCAATTGGCGGGGACAACAGAAGATCAACCAACTCGAGCTTTATGCGCCATTACAGCAGGCAGCGGAGGTGGACAGGAGGAACATTCTGAGATGGGGATGGGCTAGTGCAGATATACCAGGGGAAAGCACTTTCGGAACTATGGCGGTTTTCAGAGGGGTTGATGGCGAAACAGCGGCTGATGAACTGATGCAATCACTCGAGACGCGAACAGCACCTTTGACCAACAAACTCATCCAGAAGACTCAATCACCTCTCCCAGATTCCTTCCCGTACCTTTTTGATAAGGTGGACGGTGTTGCGACATACACTAGTTTGAAAACAAGCACTCTCGCACGACACAGACTGAAGAGCATGGTGGGCGTGGTCAAGATGTGTATGCCCCGCGGTGATGATAGGGATGAGATGGTGAATGGGTTAGAGGATATCAGGGAGGCTTACGAGCTTGAAGATGAAGATGATTATCAATGAACGGGGCTAGGATTCGATCACTAGCTAATATACCCGGGAACTGCTGGACCTTCTTCATCTGACGAAGGGTCCTCCGGCAGCTGTTCCTTCATTCCCATATTATGTCCTTCCTCTTGTTCGGGAAGCTCCACTCTTATCCTTAACCCGCGTTCCAGCATAATGTTATAGACCTTACTGATCTGGTCCTGCGTTCTCAATCCCGGCAGTTCACATCCCAACATTATCACATCCTTAGACCATGGGCACGCATCAACACCACGCACCCAGACTCCGCGAGCTTTATCTGCGTCTCCTTGTATGCGTTCAAAGTGAAACCACAATGCCCAAAGCTTTGCATCGGTTGCACCCCTGACCGTAGACGTAGCCCGCTCGAAAAGATTCCGTACAGCATGCGGATTATATTGTCCCTTCTCCATGTGCATCTCCGCCCAGATCGCAAATAGCCAACCACTAACATTCTCATCATCAGTCAGTACAGTCTCGTTTAGCACCTTCCGCACGCGGTTTTGAATCCGCGTTCGGGACTCGTTCCATGTGAGGAGAGAGAGGAACATGGTGTTGCAAGGGAAGAGCTTGATGGCTTCTTCCAGAACGTCACGAAGCAGTGAAGTTCGAAACGTCGGAGCATGGAGTGTATGACGGTACAGCAGTCGTGCTTGCGCTAGATAAAGGGTCTCCGAGTGTACCGTTGTTGTTAGACACATGGAGGACAACAGCTCGTGTGCCGTACGGTAGATGCTAAGTGCCGAATCCAAACCATTGCTCACGTACTCCAGCAGTGCTCGAGATATCAATGTTTCAACTGCACGCCTTTCATCACCCAGAGATAAACTGCTGAGGGTAGATTGATCCAGGTACTTTTTCGCTTTCAGGATCGCTGTCATCGAGGGTCGGCCAGCAGGTAAATTGATTGGGACTGGATCCGTTCTTTCCTCGGGCATCGCCATGAGAACGTTCATTGCGTTCTCCTCAGTGCCCTGTTCCCACTCGAATTCGGCCCACATCCTCCATAGGCCCATGGTTTTCTGCTTTCCATCTTCAGGAAGGGCTGTAGCCATGCCCAGTGCAGCACCGTACACTTTCCTCGCTTCATCAACATTACCCTGCATTGCCTCAACTCTCGCATACGCATTCCACAGTGTCAGATTGGCTCGATCTGTTTTCAGCATCTGTTTGGCAACCTTGCGAACACCTTGCGGGTTCACAGCTGCTTCCAAAGCCAACCTGACGATGCATGCTTTCCCACCTGGGATCATGGCAAGACCACATCGGAGACTCTTCACTTCGTCACTCGTCAGATTAGCGACATCTAATGGCTGAAACCACGCTTTAGATGGGAATAGCAGGTCCAGGTTCATGCTCAAGCCGCCCAAGCTCCCTACACCGAACCCTGTCAATCCAGAGATACCACCCATTCTCTCCGGTTCCATGGGTTCTCCATGAACATAAGCAACAGCAGCAGACGTCGATTCTTGTTCGGGAAAGAATGAGTTTGGTTCGAGACGCGAATGTAGTCTTGAAGAGGCGAACGTCTCGAGCCCATTGAAGGCAAGCCATGCGAAAAGCAGTTTCTCGCGTGCACTCTCTGTAGTTAGGACGCAGAGCAAGTCTCTAATATCGTCGAACAGCACCACGCGATAAGGATCTTCCATTGCATCGGCATCAGTAGTGCGTGCTGGTAAAGCGCACCGAGCAGCTCGCTCCGTTTCATGTCGCAACCAGTCATCCGCGACATTGTGCATTTCCGGAGCGTAAGGCTGCCTAGCATCTGGCAGAGACTGAGACTCTTCGGTACTGCCATTGAAGTTCCTCCACCCTTTAGCACCCTGCTCTGCAGACCGAGGCACTTCACTATCCCAGAACTCCTCGAAATCACCAAGCATGTCGTCTTCATCATCCAAGTTCATGTCAGCCTGTATGTTGTCCCAGCGTGTCGGCCTGAAATAGTTCAGCTCCATCATGGCTTGAAATGCACCAACAGTCTGCTCTGCATAGCCAGCCTGGCGCATCACCGAACAAGCCCACTCGAATATCTCAACAAGGTCCATCTCGACGTCATCTTTTCCATCCCGTACCATCTCACGAAAGACACTCAAGCACTCCGTGAATGCCCTCAGAACGTCCCTATACCTATTACCACCATTCCCGACACAGAACTGAAGATATTCCTTCCAAAGCTGTACCGCACCTTGGTTTTGATCCAATATCTTTTTCCAATGCGCAAACACCTTCCGTGCATCCCAAATGTTGTTTGCAATGCGCATATATTCCCGTAGTATCACTATTGATGTCGGACAAGCTTGAAGTCCGCGCTGTAGAACACTGAGTTTGACTTCCGCAGCGGCAACCTTGCTGGTACGGGTCGACGACACCGCTTTGCTGAGAATGACATCTTGATGAGCAGCAAGAGCGAGCCAGAATTTCTCGTCTTCCGGATGTTCGTTGACCGCCGTGGTGAGGTCTCGAGTCTTCTGCTGAACTTCGTCTCGTTTGAAGGTGAACTCATCATCGTCGTCTTCTTCCATGCCCTGCGAAGAGTTTTCCGTGGCATATTCCAAATCTTCATCTGCAGGTTTGTTTCGACGTTTTGCCTCCCCCTCGATGGACCTGAAGTTCGGTTCTTCGTCTTCCTCCAAACTCGCCTCGCCGTTGATTCTTTGGCGCTTCATCCCACCATGGAGCGGAATGAACCCATCATCACTGTCGTCGTCAGAGCTGTCATCAGGAGTCATCTTTCTCATTCTGAATGTCCGTCCACCGTCCTCTCTAGCATATAGATATCTTCGGTTTCTCAGTGATGAACCTTGATATGGTGGTCCAACCTCGATCCACCCAGGCCTGACAACTGCGGTGCCAAGAATCTTCATGTGTCGAGGTAGCCCGATAATAGACCCAAATCCGGCGCGGCGATATAGGGGAACGTCGTATGTATGCAGGCGGCCGTACGTGAGATTCGTCTTGCTTCCCGCAATGTCGATGATGTATAGCTTCTCGTCCTCTTGACGGTCGTGGCTGTTATTGGTGCGCGAAGAATTCCGATGTCTGTGGGAGCGTGAAGGTGAATGCCGCCGCGATGAACGGTATGAATGCCGATCCCTTGACCGCTCCCGCCTCCTCTCTCGATGCCGCGCAGGACTCCTTGATCTTCGTCGACCCTGACTTTCATCAAACCTGGACTCGGGTCGAGCATTTATCCCTGTAAGCGACCTCTCTGGGAAACATGTAAGCATGTTTTGGCTACCAACCTGCACCGGCGCATACATACCTCTGCTTGAGGGCTGCTCGCGAACCTCTGCCTTCTCGGTCGCCTTCCCTACGGCCTTGAAGCTTTTGAACTTCGGCACCAGCGAGGGAACATTGTATTTAGGGGCATTCAGTCCATCCCCACAGCTCGTCATAGCAGAGAGTTGCTGCTCGTTGGGTGTACGTGACGGTGTATGAGCACAGCCACACGCATGCGGCACCTAATGCACGGGCAAGGTCGGAGCTCGAAATTCCCACGTTCAGAAACGAAAACGCGCGCAAAGTCACTTGAACGTTTGAATAAGATCTTCCTCCAGAATTGTCATTTAAGATACCTGATCATAGACCGTCGACACATAACTAAAGTCCCGGAAGGTACCGTTCCTTTAAAACAACCAAGACAAAAACCTGTAAAATCCCTTCTTCTCCCCAGCAGCCTCCTGCTCATCCAAATAGTCCTGTTCATCCTGATCAACCTCAGCCTTTCCAGACACCAAATCCGCCTCCTCGGCCCTAACTCTCTTGCTCTTCATCGCGATCTTGTATCCGAACAAGAAGATCAAAAAGACCGGGATACCGATGTACGAGGTAATGAAGGAGGTCTTGTTGAAACCTCCGGCAATGGTGTCGAACCCCTTGAAGATGCAGATGAGACAGCAGAAGATGAGGGCTGCCCAAGTTGAGTAAGGAGCGAAAGGAGCGGCGTAAGGAAGATCACGGTGACGGTCGAGACCTTGAGCCTTGACGGCTTTCATGAAGAAAAGGTGGGTAACGAGAATAGAGATCCAGGTCAAGATACCGAAAATGGTGACCAAGTTGACAAAGTACTTGAACACCGTCGCGGAAGAGTTGGAAACGTTCAAGAACGCAAGCAAACAGAACAAAGAACTCACTCCAAGAGCGTAGATGGGGACACCGCGCTTATCGGTCCTAGCCAAAAATGCCGGTGCCTTGCCATCCTTCGCGAGCGCAAAGATGGTACGCGAGGCAATGTACAGATCAGAGTTGGCAGCAGAGATGACGAAGATCAAGATACACGCGTTCAAGAATCCAGGCAGAACCGGGATACCGGCCAACCTGATCGCGACAACGAACGGCGAAGCAGCAGCAGAAGTCGAGGCCTTGTTAGCGGTAATGAGATCCTTGGAGTTGTAGGGCACGATCAATCCGAGCAGCAAGACGGAAAGAACGTAGAAGACGAGGATACGGAAGAAGGTCAGACGAATAGCCTTCGGGACGGTACGGCGGGGGTTCTTGGCCTCACCGACGGTAACACCGACGAGTTCGGTACCGAGGTATGCAAAAGTGGCGGTAATGAAGCAAGACCAGACAGCCAAGAAGCGACCCTTGGCTCCTTCCGCGATATACTCGTTGAACGCACCCTGTCTCCAGTAGTAGCCGCTCTTGTCATGGCTAGGTCCAGCTCCACAAGCCAAAATCAAGCAGAGCAAGATCAAAGCAATAATAACCACAACCTTAATCGAACTCAGCCAGAACTCAAATTCTCCAAAGAACTTGATTCCAAAATAATTGATACAGATAATCAAGACCATGAAGATCGCGATCCATACACCCGGATTGACTTTATCTCGCGGACACCAGAACTGCAACACGAGTGCGGCTGCTGTGAGTTGGTTAGGCGTGACGATGATGTACTTGAACCAGTAGTTGTAACCGAGAGCAAAACCGAGAGCGGGGTCGACGAAGCGAGAAGCGTAACCAGCGAAACCGTGTGGGAGGGGGAGGTAAGAAGCCATCTCACCAAGAGCGCACATGACAGCGTAGACGATAAGACCGACGATAGAGTAAGTGATCAGCACTCCAGCGGGACCAGCCCTGGTCAGAGCACTTCCAGTACCGATGATAAGACTGTGCAGCATTTGTTAGCATCCAGGCCATTGATTGACAACTTAATGCAGCACATACCCAGTACCAACAGCACCACCAATTGCAATCATGGTGATGTGCCTAGCCTTCAACCCACGGTGCAGATTCTCACTCGGTCCCAAATTCTTCACATCTCCCTCCTCAACATCCCTCGACGAAGGCCTCACAAGCGCAGACGGCGTCTTCTTCAGATCATTGTGGTTGTTCAACTCAATCGCAGTCGAAGCCATGCTTGCGACAAGTATGTTGGACTCCGGATCACACTGCGGGGCGGGCCTGGGAAGACTTTTAACCCTTTTTTCTGCCAGCTCTTATTCATGCGCCCCTATCTACCTTTCGCATAAGCTCATTGCAACATGCGCCCAGACTGGGGACCGGCCGTAAATGCCCGATCTTCAATTGGTGAATTCGCGTATCAGCCGAAGTTCGACTTCGGTAGCTTAAACCCTAATTAAGGAACCCGGCAGGCGCAATAAGCATTCTATCTCCGGTGCTTCCGAAGAACCTTCCAGGAGATACACCTCCGAGGAGATACGAGTCTCCATGGTATGTACGGTAGACGTCACGCAGAGCCGAGATCATGAGGGGACCAGCTTGTTGAGGTGTGCGCTGGGCCGGATTGGGGTCAGAAGCTTAGCGATCGCGAGCGCGAGGTGGCCTGATCCGCGCCTGATGAGATAGCTGACTTCGATATTGATTGCCGCAGCCATGACGACGGCTGCACCTTTCTCCGCGGAAGATACGACCTGATGACCTGATGTCGTACCCGACGACGTTTCGCATGTTACACCGCGAGCGCCCCCCCTTGTGTGCCGTGCCGCCCATCTCGCGCGCCAATCGCGTGCACAGCCGAGTTTCGAAAACGAACAGATCCAGATGATCTTGACCGAAGTAGATCCGGGCCCGTGCGGGGTCGCACTGCTGAGGTAATCTTTATGATATCGTGCTTCTGATTAACTATGGTACCTTGGTATCTGAATCTTTGTAGTTCCTTTAGCTATCCTAGAACAAGCACTCTCATCCATGGTATAACAAATACCCCCCATGAACACCAGCGCCTTCCTGTAAGTATGCGTAACCATCATAAACCTCTCATAATAATATCGTACATATTCCGTCCATCTATTTTATGCCTTCCTCGGATGTTCCTCGTGAACAGTCGCCAAGTTGTTATCCCCAGTGCTACTCGATCCCCGACTGATTTCCTGCTGCGTCGGCACCCCCGGCGAGTTCGTGTCGTGTACCAAAGGCGGTCCCTGTTCCGCATTCTCTGCGATTGTGGCAGGAAGCATATTTGTGGCAGCCCCTTCCCTAACGCTGAATTGTGCGAGTGTCCGCAATTTCCTCGTGACCCATGCGGCCAATATCTTCCCTCTCTGCTTCTCGCCTAATCTTGAGCGAGGGAAGTCGCCTCGACCAACGAAGGCCACGACGTCGACCACGACCTGGTGCTCTTCCAGTACAGCATTGACGGCGACAGGAACGATAGCAGCCAGCTTATTTGCCCGAGAAACCTCAATGACCATAATAGTGAGTCCACCAGCCTGGAAGATAGCACATCCCTGATTCGTAATATGTCGATGCGACCTCTCGACCGAGTACTCAATATCCATGGGGAAATGGTTAAGCCCATTCACCTCAAACGTCTCCCCAATACTACCGAGCACAAAAAGCGTCTGCATATCAACCATCGCACCACCAGGTCCAATTGGCCGTACAATGTTGTGCAAGAACCCTAGATCACCGGTTCGGACGTAGGTAATTCTCGGATCACCATCGATGATGCGGCCTTGGAAGCGCTCGATGTCGAAGGAGTCTTTAGACTTGTAGAATGCCTTTGCGCAGGCTTCGGATGCGATCCATATCTCGCCATATTCTCCTACACAACACAACTCGCACGTCTCTGGATTGACGATGGCGATTTGTGTGGATACGGGTACCATCCCGGAATCATGCAACAACAACCCGAACGGATCAAGATCAGGATCGGCCGGCTGCACGAGGCCTGACCGCAACGCTTTGACATCCAGATACAACTCCACTGGCTCGATACACATATACGACCGCGTAGCCACCATGGGATTCAGCACATGACTGTAGATAGTATTCACCGCCGTCGGATCCAACCCACTCTGATCAAAATGCGTCCGAACCTTCGGGAAGATATCAGACCTCGGTCGACCCTCGAACATAATCATCAGGTTCTTCAACTCCATCAACTTGAATCCCTTCGCCGGTGAAGTAGCCATGGCATGATCCAACATCTGCGGTGTAGCATAGGTATCCTTGACCTTATACCGTGCCAGCGCCTGGAACAACACAGATGGGTTCGCGGCATAATCAGGTGGGGAGACGATGTAGGTCGAGGCTCCGACGTACACACCCATCAAGCATGTATGCATGAACCCGATACCAGAGGTACTCCGTACACACCCCAATATAGGTCGTGCACTATGCATCTGACACGTCTCCTTCTGAACCTTGCACATAGCCATAATCGTATCATGACCTAACTGCACCGCAACACGTCTCTGATCAGGCGTCCAATACGTCCAAATCAACGCCGGGAAATCCGATTTCAGCCATTCGGGACGCACACTGAACCCAAGCTCCCGACATCCCTTGAGTTGTTTCGACGGTTTCGACGTATTGTGAATCGGCGGAATATTCATCCTCGCCGCCATCGCCGACTGCCTCAGATGCTGCGAAATCGTCTTACTCTTAAATGCGTGATCCGTATCATTATTCACCAAAATCGCCTTGATCCCAAAATCCGCAATTACATTTAACAACGCCGGTACATCTTCCGAAAGCCTCGACTGATCCAAGGGCGCAATCGGAACGATCGTAACGCCCAAACAGAAACATGCATGGACAGCATATACGAACTCCTCCGAATGCGTATAAATCAACGCGACATGATCCCCCGCCGCGATCTTCGTCTTGTTCTTGATATACGTCGCAACCGCCGCAATCCTCTGATCCGTCTTCCGCCACGAAATTCCCTTCCCCTCTTTCCCTCTCGCATCAATCGAACACAATGCAAGTTCCTCAGTCTGCCTACTCACCCTCCACTGTACCAAATCCACGATACTCGAAAAGTTGTTGAGCGGCGTACTCGTCCGATCATCAATCGAAATCTCCCGATAATCAACCCCACTAAACTGTTTCTCCTCCATCGCAAGCAATTCCGCCCTCTGCCTCGACGCAACCGGACTCCAAATCCCACCGACTGGATCACTCCCCACCGGCAGGTTGAGCACCGCTCTCTCCACCGCAAATTTGACATGCACAGCCGGCAACGTACCCATCTCAAACTCCCTCCGACAAAGCATATTTCCAATCTCCCTCCGCCCATTCTTGATCGTCCTTGGCAGCGTATTCGGTGCTGTAATCAACACACAATAAACACGAACCTGATGCTCTTCCAACAAACACTCGATACACTTCTCCGCAATGCTCGACAATAACTCATAATCCAACTGTCTCGGCGGCCCACTCGGCGTCAACGGGGCCGTAATCGCCGCCGAGCTCTCCAGAATAATAACCGGTAGGTGTTCATTGTTGACAAACACATCAAAAGCCGAACAATCAAACACCCGCTGCACACTCCTCAAAATCGTATGCACCATCTGACTCGTATAATGATAACGAAACTCAACCAAATCCTGTCTCCCATTCTCACTCCACTCAACCCTCTGCCTAAGCCGATCCTCATACAACCCCAGCACATACAACTTGCCCTTAATAAAACATCCCAACAACCCCGTTCGCAAAAACTCTTGCTCGAGCGGTTGTGGTTGTAGTCCGGTTTCGGGGGAAAAAACATACGTCAAAGCATGGAAAATCGACTCAGTATGCTTCGGCAAAGCCCAAAACCCACCCGAGATACTCGGGCTATCGACCCAAATCTCGCCCACAATACCAGGTGGGCACAACATGCTATTCTCCGGATCCACAATCGCCATCGTCGCATCCGGAATGGGACACCCGAACGCACCGACCCTAACCACACCCGGTTCACCCGCCCGTCGTCGGACTTCGTTCCCGGTTGCAACGACAACGACATCATTCGTCTTCAACGCTTCCTGATCCAACAAAACCTCCGCCAACTCCCCCTCCTTATCCTCCTCGAGTCCGGTGGCCATCCGATCCTGTCCGCCCAGCCAATCACGCATCGAGATAACCATCCCACCATGTTCCGGCAAACACAACATCGGCGCAACAACATCCCGCGCCCGCGTATTCCCAAGCGGCCGAAGCCAGCGGTCGGTCAATATCTCATGAAACTCCGCATCGACATTGAGACAATCAATCAAACACAACCTCACACTCCCAAAATCAACCGGATATTTCTTACTGTACCCTCGTGTGCTATGCGGATCATTCTGGTAGTTATACGCCACCGTTTTGAGGCCAGGATAATCCGCCAAGGTGAGGGTCGCTTTATATTTCGTTATCAAGTTCGCCCAGAGTCCGGGGACTGTGATGGCGGGTTGTGGGATCCAGACGGTTGTGTTACCTCCGTAGACACTCAACAACACACCCAGGATCATACCCACAGCCTGCCGTGGATCCAAATAGGTCAACAACACCTCCCCGACACCCCCTCCCACACCCATCGCGCCCGTCCTCTCAAATGTCGCTGGAGCACGTCGCGGGAGTCCACCGGGGGCTGTGGATACCATTGCCGAGATAGCGGCCATTTGGTGCATAACGGTTTTGTGACTCAACACGACACCACGCAACTCCCCGGTCGGGGAGCGGGAGAACTCGATGTAGGCCAAGTCGGGCGATTGCAGCGGTGGTAAGTCATCCTTCTTGTTCCGCGGGTGATAACTCCCGAACTCATTCGTCTTCCACCATTCGACGCCTCTCGGCCACGCGAGTCGTTGTTGCATCAAATCTCGCTGGAACGCTTTGAGGTTGTTATCCGTCGTCAGCGCAAGATGCGCATTCGTACTGGTGAGGATGAAATTGAGCTCAGCGTAGTCGTTGGGTCGATTAATCGGTACCGCGACGACACCGGCAATGAAACATCCGAACAGGGCAACCACGAAATCGACGACCTCTCCATCCCGATAGACGAGCGCGACCCTATCCCCTCTGAACAACCCACTCTTGTCCCTGATGACCTTCGCGACCTTCTCCGCCCTCCCCGCCAATTTATCCCATGTGACACTCTGCACCTCCTTCCCCTTCGAATCCAACACCAAAAACGCCGGACGCTTAGGAGTCGTGGCAGACCGGTGCCGAAGAAGGGAAGCGATAGTATCGAAGGAGGACATGGGGAGAGAGGGGGAGTGGGGATCGTACAGCGCGAAAGGGACTTCGCGAGGTTCGAAGGGGAGTTGTTGTTTTCCAGCGTTTTGAAGCCAGGGGGGGACTTCGTCTTGACTTTGTTGTAGGTAGGATTCGTAGCCGGGGGAGGTTGGGGTGGGGTTTTGGTCGTAGTTGTAGACGCGGGAGGGATCACTGTAAAATGGTGCGTTGTGCAATATCTCATGGTCGTGGTCGTAGTGTGAGGCTCCTTCTTCTTCGTAGGGGCTTGGCTCGTCGTATAACCCCGTATTCGCCCGATGCGAGAAATTGTCGAAGTATGGCGCTGGATCCGTCGTGTACTGCGATTCGGTCTCGAGTGCTGGGTTGAAGACATAATCATTCGCGCTTTGTCCATCACTCGATTTCGTGTCCGAGTGGCCATGCGACGACGAGCTCGCGCGTACGCTGCCGATATGTGGTGAGGCATCGCCGAAGCCGGCGTTGGCTATTGATGCTCTGTACCCTGATCCATTTCCATCATGCACATTCTCTTGAACCAAAGACGGCGCGTATTGCTGGTCCATTTGCGCTTGCAGGTTCTGCTCCACAACCTCCCCCGGCACCTGGAATTGCTGCAACAACGCCGTCCGTCGCTTCAAATAGCCCTTCTCGGTGATCTCTCCCTCATCGTACTCCAACCGCAACTCTGCCAATCGTTGATCAAGCGCTGGAGGGATGTCATTCATTGCAGACATTGGTGGTGAGTTTCGCTTGGATTGGACGGCTATGTCGGTGGAGAGGCACGTGATGCAGGCACCCATAACAGTGCACGAGGGAAGCTTCACGTTGTTTTCGACATGAGATCGCAGGGTATATCATCACCATGGGAAGCTTCAGTTCAGCTCCCAAGGTTTCAAGGACGCGAAACGGGTGGGGTCTTGGGTCAGCCTTGGGTACGGGACGGACCGTGGGAACCTCGAGACTCGCCGGCAACTCTGCGTTAAATGAAGCTTGCTGCCGAGGCCGATGTCCGTCCAGGCAACGAGAGCCATGATCTCTCTCATCTCACATAACATCTCAGTTCGTCAGAGAAGGGGACGTTCACTGCCGCACAGCATCACGTGACGATAAACACCGCATAAGCGCGAAAAAGTCCAGCTTCAGCAGTCCTCGACTGCAAAGCACAGAAACAAGCAAAACGCTTCTAAGAGATCAACAATGTCGAAACGTGCCAGGCCCGACGACCTCGACTTCATCGGCACCATCGACTCTGACGCCGAGCTCTCCGTCGAAGAAGAAGAAGAGGAGATCGCCTCCTCCGACTCCGAAGTCGAACAATCCGAGGTAGAGGAAGAGCAAGCCTCTGTAATCAAAAAGGGAAAGAAAGCCGCGGCACAGAAACCGAAGAAGGCGAAGCAGCTGAAGGCGAAAGTCGAGAAAGCGAAGGAGCAGGATATCGACCCGGAGTTCGAGTTCGATAATGGTCAGGCGACTGGACTTGGTGTCGATGAGGGTGGAATGGAGGGGTGGGGATTTTCTGGGGCTGGATTGAGGGAGGGAAGGAGGGATGTTAATATCGATGATATTGTGAAGAAGAGAAGAAAGCTTGATCTCAAGGAGGAGAGTGAGGATGGGATTGAGAAAGACGAGGAAGAGGAAGAGGAGGAGTTCAAGGGTTTTGGAAGTGAGAGTGAGGACGATGGGGAAGGGGAAGGGTTCGGGGAGGGTGTGCCGGAGGGTATGCAGGAGGAGGACGAGGAAGAGGAGGAACTCCCTAACCTCGATTCTGAGGAGGAAGACGAGGACGAGGAGCAGGAGGATGACGAGAATGATGAGGAGGATGCGGGATCTGACGATGAGTCCGTCGCCTCCGTCGTCGAACACCCTCACGACTTGAAGGGCAGCGACGACGAGGAGGAGGAAGAAACCGCCGAAGAGAAAGCGAGGCAAGAAGCGTACTTCGCCCCCGCCGAGGAATCTGCCGGTTCCGTCACTGCTTCTTTCCAGGACATGAACCTCTCTCGTCCGATCCTCAAGGGTCTCAACGCAGTCGGGTTCACCAACCCCACCGCTATCCAGGCCAAGACCATCCCTGTTGCGCTTCTGGGTAAAGACATCGTCGGAGGCGCCGTCACCGGTTCCGGAAAAACCGCCGCCTTCATCGTCCCAATCCTCGAACGCCTCCTCTACCGCCCCAAAAAAGTCCCAACCTCCCGCGTCCTCGTCCTAACCCCAACCCGTGAATTGGCAATGCAGTGCTATAACGTCGGCATCAAACTCGCCGCATTCACCGATATCCGTTTCTGTCTCTGTGTCGGAGGTCTCTCCCTCAAAGCTCAAGAAGCGGAACTCCGGACCCGGCCGGATGTGATCATCGCAACACCTGGTCGATTCATCGATCACGTACGAAACTCGATCGCGTTCACGACGGATAATATCGAGATTATGGTTATGGATGAGGCTGATAGGATGCTCGAGGATGGATTTGCGGATGAGTTGAATGAGATTGTGGAGGCGTGTCCCGTGGGACGACAGACGATGTTATTTTCGGCGACGATGACGAGTGATATTGATCAGTTGATTCGCTTGTCGCTTAATCGCCCGGTCAAGTTACAGGTCGATCAGAAGAAGGCGACGGCGGCTGGACTTACACAGGAATTCATCAGGATTCGACCGCAGAGGGAACACCTCAGGCCCGCGATGTTGTTGGCGTTGTGTACGCATTACTTCAAGAGGAGGGTTCTGATTTTCTTCAGGTCAAAGGTTTATGCGCACAAGATGCGCATCATATTCGCACTCTCTGGGTTAAAGGCTGCAGAACTCCACGGTAACCTCTCGCAAGAGCAGCGTATCCAGGCTTTGGAGGGGTTCAAGGACGGCAAAGCTGATTTCTTGCTCGCTACGGATTTGGCGTCCCGTGGTATTGATATCAAGGGGATTGATGTCGTTATCAATTACGAGGCACCACAATCTCATGAGATTTACCTCCATCGTGTCGGTCGTACGGCTCGTGCAGGGCGTATTGGTCGTTCCGTGACTTTGGCGGGAGAAGCAGACCGCAAAGTCGTCAAAGCCGCCGTCAAAGCTGCCGAAACCCAAAAGATGAAGGTGGGCTCCCGTACCCTCGATAACGACCTCGTCGACAAACTCGGCGCCAAAATCGCGGGTATGGAGGACGAAATCGAGGAAGTCATGAAAGATGAACGCGAGGAGAAGCTCCTCAGACAGGCCGAGATGGAAATCCGACGTGGAGAGAACGTGATGAAATACGAAGACGAGATCAAATCTCGTCCTGCACGTACTTGGTTCACGAACGAGAAGGGAAAGAAGGATGCGAAGGAGAAGTCTGCAGCTGTCTTGAATCCCAAGGCAGAGAAGAAGTTGTCGAATAAGCAGTTGAAGAAGAAGAGGACGGCGGATGGGGAGGATATGCCGAGGGCGTATAAGAAGACGAAGGTGGAGCGGACGACGAAGCCGGCGAGGGGGAAGGCTGCCGGGACTGGAAAGACGAAGAACGCGAAGGGCGGGGCTAGGGCTCCGAAGCCGAAGGACAGCTACATCAGTACCAGACGTTAGAACATCGATCATAGAATCACACGCTTCGTCTCCCAGCGATAGATCACGTGCCCCGCCCCCAGCTATTCGCGCTGGTAGAGAATTTGCGGTGTGGCTGTGCGATACGCCCCTCGCACTAAGAGATTTCGCAAAACTGAACATTTTTCGAAAGTCCAGAGTTTCCTCGAGTAACTCCATCCAACAACACTTCGTGACCTCTCTCTCATAATGGCCAAGTCCTCGTCTAAGGTTGCTAAGGTTGCTAAGCCTACTGCTCTCGATACCCCCAAGAAGGCCGGTGTTCAGAAGGCTGTTAAGGGTGCTGAGAAGGTGAAGAGTGCTGCCAAGGCTGCGGTTAAGGAGAAGAAGTCTAAGAAGGCTAAGGTTTGTCGTCCTCGGTGTGTTTTGTTACGAAGATCTCTGCTAACTGTGTGGTTCTCTAGTCCCCCACTCCTTCCTCTTCTTCCTCCGAGTCCTCTTCTGAGTCTGGCTCTGACTCTTCCGACTCCGAGTCTGAGGAGGAGACCGTCACCAAGAAGGTCGTTGACGCTGGTAAGGCCGTCGCCGAGAAGGCCGGTAAGGTCGTTAAGGCTGTCAAGGAGGCCGTTGAGGAGTCCGACTCCTCTTCCGAGTCTGGCTCTGACTCTGAGTCCGAGGAGGAGGCCAAGAAGGACGATTCTGAGTCTGGTTCCGACTCTGACGACTCCTCTTCCGACGAGGAGATGAACGATGCCAAGAAGGAGGAGTCTGGTTCCGACTCTGACTCTGACTCTGACTCTGAGGAGTCCGAGGCTGGTGACAAGAAGCGCAAGGCCGAGACTGCCGCTGAGCCCGAGGCCAAGCGCTCCAAGACCGAGGAGTCCTCCGATTCCGAGGAGTCCAAGACCATCTTCGTCGGTCGTCTCTCCTGGAACGTCGACAACGAGTGGCTCGGTCAGGAGTTCGCTGACGCCGGTGAGGTCGTTGAGGCCCGCGTCGTCATGGACCGTCAGACCAACCGCTCCAAGGGTTTCGGATACGTCGAGTTCTCTACCGCCGCTGCTGCCAAGAAGGCTGTTGCCGAGCTCCAGGGTAAGGAGATCGACGGCCGCCCCGTCAACCTTGACATCTCCCAGCCCAAGCCCAAGCAGGAGAACCGTGGTGACCGTGCTGAGCGTTACGGTGACAAGGTCTCCCCTCCCTCTGACACCCTCTTCGTCGGTAACATCTCTTTCGATGCTACCGAGGATGAGCTCTATTCTGTCTTCGGCGAGTGCGGTAACGTCCTTAACGTCCGTCTCCCCACTGACCGCGAGACCGGTAACTTGAAGGGTTTCGGATACGTCCAGTTCGGTACCATCGAGGATGCCCAAAAGGCTCATGCTGAGAAGAACGGTGCTGAGATCGCTGGCCGATCTATTCGTGTGGACTTCTCTCAGCCTCGTGATGACTCTGCTCCCCGTGGCGGAGGACGTGGTGGATTCGGCGGTGGTGACCGTGGTGGCCGTGGTGGCCGTGGTGGAGGCCGTGGTGGCTTCGGTGGAGGTCGTGGTGGAGGCCGTGGTGGTTTCGGTGGTGACCGTGGTGGCCGTGGTGGCCGTGGTGGAGGCCGTGGTGGATTCCAGTCCAACTCTTCCAACCGTGGTGGTGTTGGAGAGGCCCGTGGTACCAAGATCTCTTTCTAAGCAGCTTGCCTACGGTTATGGGCATGGGGCGTACTGGAATGGGGAACGTGGGAGGCCTCGAGTATAGATGCGGTCATGTCAATGTTGTTTGATGATATCTAAAAGTTTCTTGTTTGTTTCTATTCGTTTTTGGGATCCAGGTTTTTGGACAATACATACATATTTCACACGTTGAACTTTCTCCTTCTTCTCACTTTATCGGTATTTCCCAGCTGCTGATTGTGGCTGCCCCCGTAAATGGATGATCACATGTCTTGGATCACCTGCTCACAACCAAACGTAATAAGGGTCCGAACCTGCTCCCTGTGCTTCAGCCAACTATACCATCCATCGTAAACTATCCATGCAGCAGCAATCGAGCCGACCATCGTCGTTCTTCCATCCTTTGAGCTTCGTCCAGCCTGTCATGGAGGGAAGCGTGCTTATTGATGGTACGTCGGTCTGAGGTGTGAGGTGTTTGTGCGCGTGGACAAGGGCTAACTTTGGGTTTGCAGATTCTTGGGTTAGTGTTGAGGAGGAGATGGGGAGAAGGCAGAGTGGTGGTGAGGAGGTGGAGCATGTCAATGAGGGAGTGGGTGAGGTGGAGGAAGAGGAGGGTGGGGGGAGTGAGGATGACGAGGAGGATGACGAAGAGGCTGCTGTTTTTAAACCGACGTATGCGTGCACTTCCCGTACCAGGAGCCGAGCTAATTATGAGTGTACAGTACGTCGACACGGGCTTCCCACGTTTCGGAGACGAATTCGCCGTTGACGTCGTTCTTCCAAGCGAGTGACTGCAGGCGGAACCCCGCACCATCTAACAGCCATTCACGGGCTTCTTCGCGTAAGGGTGCTGGATATGAGGAACGTACAGCGAGTCCGGCTCCTTCTCCGAACATTGGCGTCACGCAATTGGAGTTGCTGACGCAGGAGGAGGTGATGGAAAGGCAGGCTGCTATGAGTTCTGCCAGGGACACGCCAGTTTCACGCGAAGGTGCTACGCCTAGGAAGAGGATGAAGCGTCCCGCCAATGTGAGGAGGCCATCTAAGAAGGATGCAATCCCCCAGGTCGTGGGAAGCGGAGCCGGTGGATCGGGGTGGGGCATGATGATCATCTGGAGCGTCGCACTGTTTGGAGTTGGATTTGGACTCGGGTGCGTTCCATGTACAGTTTTCATGTTTATTGCAGGCTAACTGGGTGATAGGTATGTCTTTCGAGGCACGGTGATGGCTGCGGAGACTTCTTCTCCGCGTGCGTCCAGCCCTAACCCGAGTGCTTCGGTCAGCCGTCACCGGTGGACAGACTGAGCGGTCGGACGTCCGTTGGTTGTATTTATAGGCGTTCCACAGATACCATTTGTCGCTTTCTGCCTTTTTATCGTTCGTCACATGGGATGGTTGGCCATGGATTCTGGATCAGGGCTACGGGGTACCGGCACGCGGAGTCAATGGCAGGCAGGATGACCAGCAGCCAGGAGTTATGTTTCACTTGCTTTACATCCATCTTTTTATCCTAAATGTACGGTCGTTCATTCCCTCTACTTGATTACATCACGGTTAAGGTCCGGCCGCCTTTCGCTCGCGAGATTACTTGACGTTGCAGCGAATCGGCGGGCGATCGCATTTTGCAGGAGCACGGCCTCGCACGTTGTCGACGGGAAGGGGCCACGCAGAACCATCAGACCATCGCACGTCGAGCAGGAGAGCTGTTGGGAAACACGCGATTAACCTGCGACAATATACGACCCGCCTTCCCGTTTTCTACTGCTTATTCACCGCGAGAGATACGAGGCCCGTGCGCAGCGACCGCTCCCTCGTCTCAACCTTAACCCGAAGCCTGCAGACGCCCATTCGACCACCACCGAAAAACCAACCAACCCACCCTTCCATTTCGAACTCCGCCGCTGAGAGGAGACACACCATCCATCATCAACGCGATCTCGACGCATTCACTCGACATTTCATCATCTTCGTCTCGCTAAGCACCTCGTTACGGACTGCCGCACATGGCTATGCAACCACAGATGGCCTACGGCGGCCAGCAAATGGATCCGAACCAGTATAACGGCCCTATGCCAAGTGAGAGTCAGTGGAGACTACGAGGTAAGTTCTTCGCGAGCGATCGCGTATTTTCCGGTCTGACATCATCGTCACGCAGAGCAAGCCGCTGCAAACTCATACCAGAACAACGCGAACGCGCCCGGACCTCCGTTCGCCGGTGGCAATCCCCAGCAATCTTTCAATTCTGCTCAAAGACCTTCTTTGCCTCCCATTGAGCCTATTCATCATAATCCTAACCTTCCCTTTGACTTGTCGCGTCGAGGATCGATTACGGACCCGTCATTACATCTTTCCTCGGCTACACCCGGGAATGAGACCCCCGTTCCGTTTCAGGGGGGTGGGCAACAACCTGGATTCGGATTTGTGCCGAGGCCGTCGCAGGATGAGGTCGTAGGCGCTCCACCATACAGTGCGAACGGATCACCGGGACACGCGATGCAACCCGACTACGGCAGCTACCCACTCGACTCGCGAAGAGACTCGCGCGTTTCACAAGTTGTTGTCGATAATGGCATGTCAGAATACGACATCGGGCACAGACCAGGCTCTGTTTCGGAATCATACGGTGGTCATCCCGGAAGCATGCGCGGTAAAGCGCCCTCAGTGTCCTCCTACATCTCTTCTCGACGGGAATCGCAGGCTTCGACTTATGGATTTGACTCCCGGATGTCCCAACTGCAGATCGACCCGAACAATGGCCGCTCGGTGTCGCCTAACTCCCAGAAACGGCCGTGGTCTAGTACCTCTGGTACAGGGCCTGGTCGTCCTGTTCCGCATATCGCGCCGCCCATCTTCCATCCGGATGCGAACAACAGGTATCAGCCCAACCGGACTTATCCCTTCCCTCACCCCAATGCGCCCAACCCTACGCCTGGGTTCCCATACGCGTTCCCGGACCCCCAGTATGATACTGCGTCTATCGCGTCGACCTCGACCGGCCAATTGGTTCAGCCTTCTGTTGAGCGGGTCAAGGAGACGCCGTACTCTCGTTCTCCGGAGTTAAGGGTTAGTCACAAAATAGCCGAGAGGAAGAGACGACGGGAGATGAAGGACTTGTTTGATGATTTGAGGGACAACTTACCCGTGGACAAGACTTTGAAGACGAGCAAGTGGGAGATACTCAGCAAAGGTATGTTTCTTCTTATCGTATATTCAGGATGAAACTAACTGGATAATCCAGCCATTGAGTACATCAGCAACCTCCGCGTCCAGCAGGAGAGCCAGCAGAGGGAAATCGAGTCTTTGAGACGCGAAGTTAAGGATTTGAGGGGTGGGAACATGAACTAAATGGAAGGCAATGGAGGAGAAACATAACGGGAATATGGCTGGTGATTTGCATTGGAGTTGGTGGACGGTGACACTTCCTGAAGTTCAGGAACGGGGGATCGAGAGTGATGGATGGGTGCGATTTTTACGAATTTTGGATGTTGACGATGGAAAAGAAGACCCTGACGGCCGCAGCTGCAGCTGAAGAATGGTCTTTTGCTTGATCTTTCGCGGTCGCTTTATGCCTATCTTTGTATCTTTTATTGGACGATATTTTGTACGTTGTTATGGTTGTCGCGTGGTCGTTGTGTTGTGTTGTCGTTGTCGTTGTTGTTCGAGTATTGCTTACTGGTCCTCTGTTGTTTCCGAGTCTGCGAAGATTTATTGCTCTACTACTAGTGATAGGCTTATGTTGTCTAATGGATTATTCTCTCCCTACGCCCATACTGCGCTTCTGGAGGTTCGTCGGCTGGGTAAATCAAAGCCGACGAGCCGTCATGAAGAATTGAAGACGTGGCGTGGTAGGATGCAACCGCCCTGCGGGGCCGAGTCTTATGATGCTTAAACTTGGAGCTATCAGCTCCATATCGGCTTGTATTCCCATCTGGGTCGTCGGGCTTCATACATCGGCTGTGATCGTGGGGTGTATTGCAGCTGGGCTCCCGTAGCCTTGCCGTTGCCACTGCCTATCAGTCGATCGCTGCAGACTCTTTTGCCGAGTTGGAGGGGTTTAAAAGCGGGAGTTTCCTCATTACATGTACTTGGAGAAATCACTACTCACCATGGAGAAGTCTACAATCGTCGAGTTTGGTAGCAGCACTAGCTCCCACCGCCCCTCCATGGAAAAGGTTCCCACCCTCAGGCCAGCCGAGGCTATCGCTGAAGGTGAAGTCACCATCCTCGAAGAGAATGGCGATGAAGCTCGTCAGTTTATGGGGGAGAATTTTGGCGAGGATGGGGAAGAGTTTGATGAGGAGTTCATGAAGAAGCTCGTCAGGAAGATTGATTTTACGATTGTGCCGTTGCTAGCTTTGACCTACGTGGGAATCCTTGCAACTCCACGTTCATATCTGGTACTAATAGAGGTATAGTTCTTGCAATTCTTGGACAAAACGACTCTTTCGTACACCTCCGTCATGGGTCTTCAAACCGACACTCACCTCAAGGGTGACGAATACTCATACCTCGGAATGCTATTCTACGTCGGGTTCTTGGTCACCGAACTTCCGACTCAGTGGCTGGCTCAAAAGGTGTCACATCTTGCGAAATACCTCGCCGTCAACATCATGCTCTGGGGAGTCGTCCTCTCTTGCCACGCCGCTTGCACGAACTTCGCCCAACTCGCCGTCCTCCGCACCCTCCTCGGCGTCTTCGAAGCTTGCGTGGCCCCCATCTTGGTCATGATCATCAGCATGTGGTACAAAAAAAGCGAACAAGGCCGCCGCGTCTCCTTCTTCTATGTCATGAACTCCCTCACCAGCATCGTCGGCGGCTTCGTCGCATACGGCGTAACTTTCACCCACTCCCATTTCGCAAGCTGGCGAATCTTCTACCTCGCTCTCGGTCTCTTCACTGTTGCCTGCGGAGTTCTCGTGTTCATCTTCCTCCCCGACTCACCCGTCCGCGCCAGTGGTCGCCGATTCAGTGACCGTGAGAAGCGTGCGGCCTTGTTGCGTATTGCGGATAATCAGAGTGGGACGCAGAATAAGAAGTTAAAGGTGTATCAAATGAAAGAGGCACTCGTGGATGTTAAAACGTGTACGTACTGGACGCATGGCAACCCGTTTCCCGTTCAGAAACATTATGCATTAAGCCGAGATTGCTAACGTCGCTTGGCAGGGTTGATCTTCATTTCTGTTATGTTGACATCCATTCCAAATGGTGAGTCCAGACCTTTGCTCCACTGTGAATACATGTACTAATTGTCGAACGTGTAGGTGCCTTGAGTAACTTTAACAGCATCATTATTAAATCCTTTGGCTTCACATCCCAGCAAACTCTCATCCTTGGCACACCCGCCGGCCTCGTCGGAATCGTTTTCGTCCTCGGCTGCGGTTGGCTAAGTGACCGCCTCAATGACCGAAGTCTCGTGATGTTAATCTTCCTGATCCCAACCATCCTCGGTGCAGCCCTCATGGTGGGCCTTCAACACCTTCATAACAAGGCGGGATTACTGGCTGCGAACTACCTCACTGGAACCTTTGGCGGTGCATTTGGATTGATCCTGGCCTGGAATGCCTCGAATATCTCTGGACATTCAAAGAAGGTGGTCGTTAATGCCATGACCCTCGTTTCGTTCGCTACCGGGAATATCATTGGGACACAGACTTTCCGAGCGAGTGATGCTCCGGACTACATTCCGGGCAAGACTGCTATCATTGTCTGCTTGGGTGCCCAGGTGGTTGTGTCTTTCGCCTTGAGATATGTAAACATCTGGTATAACAAAAAGAAGGCGAGGGTTGTGGAGGGGATGGATCCCGCGACCAGGGAGGCTACAAGGAAGCATATGGCTTTCGCTGATGAGACTGACATGAGGAACCCGTTCTTCAAATACACCAACTGAAGAAGACAAAGCAGTGGTTTTGGTGTTCGTTACCCGGTATACGCTAGCTTTATCTTTTGCAATTTCAATATATCCTCCATTCCCTTCTCAAAGCAACGCCTTAAGAACCTGAGAGCCAGTCCAGCTGTCTCCCTTCTTAAGCTTATGCCATTCCGCAACACTACCAGCCTCGACACAAATCATCCTCTTCCATCCATCCTCGGGCCCGAAATCGCCCATGTTCTGCGGTGCCTTCTCCCATGGGTTCCACACGACGACGTCCTTCAAGTTCTGCCTCTGGACCTCGACAACGGCCTGATCCTTCTCGAGGACGGTAGTGCTGGTCCCTGAAGGAGCGACGTAGAGACGGTCAGTCTCGGAGGTAATGTCAAGACGAGCCTCAGACTCGGCGGCCTGAGTCAAGACCTTACCGCCCTGAGTCTTATCTCTGTAATCCACCTTCTCAAGTCCCTTGACCTCAACATCCGAAACGTCCCCAACGGCCAGGTATGAGTGGAAGAGGATTTGGAAGTCAAAGTCCTCAGCATCAGCATCATTTCGGATCTCCATAGTGTTCTTCAGTGTGTCCTTGCCCAACTCGACGGTGTAGATCAATCCAAACTTGTATGGCCATTGTTTCTGTGCTTCGAGATCAATGTTCTCGACCTCAAGACCGAATTGCACAGCCACTACATCGTCGTTGTCATTCTTGATGCCGAGAAGCTCCCAGGTTGAGGTGCGAGCGAAACCATGCTGAGGTAGGGCGGCAGCGGGTCCTTCTGTAGCTTTACCGAAGACGGGGAAGACCTTAATTGATCCACGGGTTACTTGTCGATCTAACCAAGGACAGGGACAAGATGACTCACAAGAGGGATACCTCCACGTACAGCCTTGGTTCCGTCCAACTTGGCCTTGGAACTGAGGAAGAGACGCTCCTTGCCTTCAACTTCCCATGAGATAACGGTAGCGCCGTAGAGGAGGACCTTTGCAGATGATCCGCTGGGATGAGTGAGGGTGACAGAGTCGTCGTTGTTCTGCTTGAAAGGCATGGCTTGAGCTATTGATTGTTGCTTTATCTGTTCAACTTTTTTGACTCAAGCCGAGGTGTACGACGGACAGCGCGCGGCCGCGGATGCACGTCGCGGTCGGCAGATGGCGATGACGCAACTCCCACTCAAGGAGCTTGATATAAAGCCATGTTGATGGGTTTACAAACTCGTTTTCTTGGAGTTCTGTAGCGGTTGGAGCTAGGCGGAGCGTGAGCTCGAGAGTCTGGCCTAGTACGTACCGCTCATTCGGAGAGCTCGAGGTCTTGGGTGAATAGTTGCCCATTGAGTTTGTCTGCAGCGCATTGTTCACATGAAAACTTTTTGAAGGACAGAATTGTACGCTATTCCGACGCAAGGCCTGAAACGTCTTGCTCAACTGTCGAGCACCAACTCAGACCCAGGCCCAGACGTATCTTGACGTCGCAGTGCTTAATAAGTACTAGTACAGCTGTCAAACTGCCGAAGGTATATACATAATTATGGTATATTAGACTTCTTCCACGAGTATATCTCAACAAATGATTATTCATCAACCAGGATGATTATCGCCCAGCGACTTCAACAACATGCTTTCTTAAATGCTCGTCCCCACGAACACATACGCTCTAGTTCCTCCACCTTCCAGAATTCAACTTCTCGGAAATTCTCTTGTAATGCATCATCTCACTAGCACAATCACGTCCCCATTCACATCCTGTATGCACTGTTAGCTGTCACTCATATGAACTACACGGTACAGTACACACCTGCCATGTTCACCACGAAATCACGATCTTGCTCGCTGTAAAAGTACCTCGGGTCATCAGCCTGCTCCGAACACGCACCGGGCGGGAAAGAGTTGAGCATTCTTTGCGGAATGAATCCGACACCGCTTCTCAACCACGCCTGGTTGGTGTACATGTACTCCAATGCGTCCTGCTCCTTGTGGTCCCACTCCATGTGCTTCTGCTCGTAGAAGACTGGATCCCACCAAACGTCGAGGAGACGTTCACTCCAGGCGCTGCGACGGATGAAGAAAGAACCGAGGTTGAAGCCACCGCAGTCTTGGGAGAGGATGAGGTCGACAGGATGAGAGTTGTCAACGTTCGGAATGTCCACGGGCAGACCAAGTGGGTTGAAAGTGGAGATGTTGCGGTAGAGGTGCTGGCTGATGCCCTTGTTCAGGATATGCTGTTCAATCGACTTGGTGGGCTCCATGATGTAGGTGTGGAGATCAAGCCACCAGAACCACTCAGCCTTCGGGTATTGGCGCATAGTTTCCCTGATAATATCCGCTTTCTCCCAAGATTCTCGCCATTCCTGTAAACTGCATGTCAGTATTTCGACCCAATGGAGCTTGAACGCAACGTACGTGAGCATAACGCTTCTTCTGCGAAAGATCCTTAACAGCCAACTCATAACCCCACTTCTTCGCATAAGCCCTCTTGTTCGCAATACTATCCCTCTCGATCGCCCATTCACCGGCCCCCTTTGGGTTGAAAACTCCCCCACCCTGGTTCGAGGCCAAGATAATAACGACCTTCGCCTTGGAAAATCGCGGCACGACCTGGAGTGGTGAAAAGAGCGACAAGATCGCGTAAAGCACAAGAACTAGCACAACAATGCGTCGCCAAAGGGCTCCGTTAAGCCAGGATCGGACGCGGTGGGATATTAAGCGCAAATTGAAGTTGGAAGATGAATCGTACGCGTTAAAGCCCGCCTTGGGCTTCCAGGCGCTGTCGAGACCGGCCATTGAAATGATGAGAGCCTGCTGAATTCGTATCTAGGAGAGCAAAAGAATGTCGGTGAGTTTGGCTGATCAGGGCTGCAACAGCTGTTGTTGGTTCGCGGGTGTACAGCTGGTTTGTTTAGGACGGCGACGTTCCGCAGTAAGCCAGCTGCCAGGGTTGAGCGCCCAAAAACCCAATTTTGTTAGCGCCAATGCAGTTCGGCTACGCACGACAAGTGAAAGCTTCGTTATAAATAGAAGTGGATAAGTATGTACACCGTTATAGAGGACTCTCTTGTTCCTTTCATTGCCTTCATCGACTGTCCCATCAATGTCCCGTCTCCCCCATTGCCATCGGCCTTGTCCTGATCCCGCTCATGCTTGTTTCCCGTCGTCTCATCCTTCCCCACTCACAGATCAAAGGCATGCTCTAGATCCGCGAAAAACCTCGCATTGTTCACTTTTTCTTCCTGCCGGTGCATCATACTCTCGAGGTGAAACGGCGTTGTCGGAGTGTCGACCACACTGCTGTAATTCTCAGGTGAGCGCGGAACACTCAGGCTACCACTATAAGCCGAATCAAGAAACGAGCGGAGGCGAGGATTAGGAGGTCTTTGGAGCTGAGCACTGTGCGAGACAGGAGCATTTTGTGCCCAGGTAATATGTGTAGCGTGAGATTCGGGGGCCTCCCGTATGTCAGAAAGAGCTGGGGCAAGGCAACCTGAATGGGAGTAGCGTGCGGAACCTGTGAAGTGCTGCATAGTCACATTGCTCTGAATCCCATTCAAATCTCCGCTTTCTGAGGCAAACCTCGCAGCTGGTGAGGGAAGTAACGGGGTAATCTTCCTCTGCTGAACCAACGGCCCTTCATCAAACGAATACACCTCCCCAACTGGTATCTCTAAACCCAGTATTGGCGCTCCTCCTTTGCCACTTTTATCCTGCTGCTGGCGCCGTTGTTGTTTGTGGAGAAGGTTGGGGAGTGAGTGAAGCACGCCCTTCACACCTGACGAACAAACGGCTTTGACAATGTGTTTTGCTCGAGAGAGGCGTTTGGGTTTATTGGAGGAAGTTACCGCCATAATAACGGTCAGTGGAGGCCGTTTGAGGGGATGTATGCTGTTCGAATACCCAAGAAGGAAGAAGACTCCAAATTGCCAGTAAGCGAAACAGTCCGTAGAAGCAATGAAGAAGAACAAGAAGAGAAGAATGCGAAGTAGCCGTGTCTCGACCTCTAACTAGATAAGAGGTGGTAGAAATCGTGAGTTGCTGTCTAATGCCACACGGTGAGCTTGTTGTTGCGGTCGTGTGTGGGGCGCTAAAGTTCCCACGGTATAAACTCCAGCCTACCTCAGATATTGCCTGCCATGTAACGAGCGTGTACGCGACAAGAAAAGCAAGCAATCACTTCATCTTTTGCAATGGTATCTATCGTACACCTATGCACCCACGCGCCAGCAATAGACTCTGCTCCTCCTCTCAAACAACCACACACACTCACTGCTTCACATACTCCCTCTTCAAATACCTAAAAATAGTATCCAACTGGATATTCGACGTCCCCTCATAGATACTCCCAATCTTTGCATCACGATACAACTTTTCAGCCGGCATCTCACGCGTGAAGCCAACGCCGCCCATCCAGTCTACGGCGGAGGAGGCGACGGATTGGGCGACGCGGGAGGCGTAGAGTTTGGCCATTGCGGCTTCTTTGATGAAAGGCTGCGAAAGCAAACATATCAGTCTTGTGCAAAAGAGGGGGATGATAGGGAAGGGGGGGGACTTGCCTTGTTGGCTTCCTTTAGGCGAGCGGCGTTGTAGGTCAAGAGACGCGCAGCCTCGATTTGCATCGCTGCCTCGGCGTACTGGTACTGCATCCCCTGATTCTCACCAATATACTTTCCGAACTGTTTGCGTTCGTTGATACCGTAGTTAATCGCCATATCAAACGCTCCACGGGCGAGACCAATCACTGTTCACCCCATCAGTCAGCAGTTGTTGTATCAGAGTGATGGATGCAACATACTCTGCGCAGCAATCCCAATTCTCCCCTCGTTGAGGATTTCGATGGCGTATTTGTATCCTTGTCCTTCCTCACCAACCAAATTCTCCTTTGGAACGTGCATGTCGTCGAAATTGATCACGCACGTACTACTCGCCCTAATCCCCAACTTCTTCTCTTTCTTCGCAATCTGTACCCCCATTGACTTTTCAGCGAGAAAGCATGTGATGCCTTTATACCCCTTTGAGGGATCGAGGTTCGCGAAGATGAGGAACACGTCGGCTTCGGCGGAGTTGGTGATCCACATTTTGCCGCCGTTGAGGATGTAGTCCCCATCGGCAGTCTTCTTTGCAGTGGCTTTGAGAGCGAAGGCATCTGAGCCGGAGGAAGGCTCGGAGAGACAGAATGCGCCGAGGGTTTCAGTAGCGAGTTTGGGGAGGTACTTCTCCTTCAATTCCTGCGAACCGTGGACGCGGATGAGAGTGTTGACGAGCGTGTTCTACGTAAAACGTCAATGAGACACACAGGCTGTCCTGTTGACAATGTACGTACGTGGACATCACAGCAGACAGAAACAGAGGGATCCGCCCTCGCCAACTCCTCAATCGCAACAATCGCACTCGTGAAACTCGCCTCACTCCCCCCATACTCTGCCGGCGTCTCAATCCCCATCAACTATCCCAAAAAAGTCAGCATTCACAACGCGATTTTCAAATACTGCAGCTGCAGGGGCCACATACCCCGTTTTCAAAAAGCGCAGTAATAACATCCTTATCCATCGCCTCTGCCTCATCCATCGCCAAACTCCTTGGCTTAACGACCTCGGTAGCGAATTTCTCGACGGCGTCACGCATCATTTCTTCATCTTCTGACAACATGAGGGCTGGGCCGGGGGTGTATGCGTTGAAAGCGGGGGTGGAACGGGAGAAGAGCCTGTTTGCGAGTTGGTCAGTTCGCCGAACAGCTGCAGTGGCGGGAAATGCAATTGGACGAACCTGAGAGAGGCATTGCTCCGCAAAACAGTCCTTGGAAATGCCGGACGGGCAATTGTACGCAACACAGAAGGTCTCATCATGTACGCAACTGACCTGGTGGTTGGCGGTTCACAGCTCACAGCTTACGTGGGTCCTTGTGGGGCTCGCGCGGGGTCCGCTAGTCAGGGGCTACCCGTCGCCTCTCCAACACCGTCGATCGGGTGGAAGGAAAAGACTTCTTCCATTGCTCTTCTAGACTATCGGTCGCTTGGCACTCTCCGCCCGTAGGCCTGTTCTCTGCTCCGTCGTAGTCGTCGTAGTCGTCGTAGTCGTCGGAGGAACGATATCCACATACTGCGCATCCTTCGCCGCAAACGCAACCTCCGCAGGCAACCTAAACGAACAACAATACATATCCTTCATCGGCGCAACCTTCCTCACATAATGCATCCTCACCTCCTCCTCCTTCATCTCCCACCCCAGCGCCTCCTTAATCCTCCCCAACAAATCCTGCGTAGGTGGATCCTCCTTCGTGAAGCAGTAGACATGAATCATCGGTAATTCGGCGGTGGTGTGAGGTTTGAAGAGGTGGCGGCGGGTGTGGTATACGCCCTTGAACGCATCGAGGAATTCGAGGGCGGAGGCGGGGAGGTTCATGACGTAATGCTGGAATGTGGGCGGGATGGATACGACTTCGACTGGTTGCCGCGGTTTCGTACGCGAGCGTTTCTTGAACGGGTTTTCTATTGGTGGGCCTTGCGCGAGTTCCTCGAGTTCGGCGGCGGCGTGGTGGATGAAGGCTCGGCCGTCCATGTTGTATGCTTTCGTGTAGGCGATTTTGTTGAGGGAGATGTTGTTGACCATTGCTTTGTATGAATCGGGGTTCAGATCGTTCGCGAGGACGATTACGCCGTTCTTCCCGGCTGGGACGGCGAAGGGTCCGACGCCGGCCATGACGTCGCACACCGCCTCTCCCCGCTGAAAGAGCGAGATAAGCCGGTCATGCTCGGTATGGAGCCTCGTATTCCAATACACCTTCGAGAAATCAAATTGGAATCGACAGCCCGACTCACTCTGCTCAACCCAAAAATCATCATCCCCCGCCAACACCTCCATCTTGAAATTCCTATACACGGTATCAATCGCGTCGAGTTTATTAACCACAGTTCTCAGGGTAGGATTCTTGTCGAGGATGACTTGTCCGATGAGGTATTTGTAGGGGAGGTATTGTTCGCGGAGGTTGAGGTGGGCGATGTGGCCGACGGCTGTGTAGCCTCCAGGGGTCTCGCCGAGGAGTGATTCGGGGAGGATGGAAGAGAGGATATCGTCTACCGTCCAGAAAGAGTAATCGACCTCGAACTTGTAGGGGATGATTTCCGCGTTGTTCTTTGCGATCAACTCTTTCGTCTTTTGTTGTAGTGGCGAGAGATCCTCGGGTGTGACACCGAGCTTGAGTAGAATGACTTTCCCATTATCGTGCTTCACGATCGGAGCAATCCTCGGTACTCTCAGTAAATCCTGTGCGCACTCCTTCCGTATCAACCCCAAGTTCTTGGGGTCGACCTTCAATGCGGCGAGATCGACGGCTTTTCTGAAGACACTCCGATCCAGGACCTTCATGCCACGGAAGACTGGAGGACGGAGCAACATTCCTGGTGTGGAGGGAGAGGGAGGGTCCATGCGAGATCGATGGGTGTGTGTCGACGTTACTCGTACCGGGGACTCTTCGTCGATTTTTGAGTCTCACTTCTGCGAGGTGCTGTAAGTCGATGCAGGGGGTGCATGTCACCGTGGGAGAGCAGGTTTTATAAGCACGTTGGAATGCTGGCTGTAATTTGGCATCCCGCCTTTCACGTTCGATGCCGCTCAAAGCCTCTCTCCATGCTCCAAGTCATGCCCCTCCTTCATCATCTGTACCCCTTCCTCTCCATCCGCCAACTTCGCCTGGGCTGTTTCCTCCTCAGCCGAGACCCCTAGACACCTTGTGATGAATTCGAAAAGCCTGCGTTCGGCTTTTGCGCTGCTGTTCGTCAAGCCGTGGTTATCGCCCTGTACGACCTTGTCAGTCATGCGTTGTTACGAGGTGGAATTATACTACCTCATACAGCTCGATCTCACGAGAGCCATATTCTCCGTAACTGGCGTAGAGATTTTGGCTACATCGAGGTGATAGACACGCATCGCCCGTGCCATGGAGGAAGAGAACAGGCGTGGGCGCAAGATCGTGAATCCCCGACGTTTCGGCCGTCTACGCAACTATCCATTAGCTCTTAGTCAGGCCAATCAGGGTGTCGGGGACCATACCTGCGGCGCAACATTCGCAACCCCCCTAACCCTCCCCTTCGCCCCATCCCTCCTCTCCCTCGCCCCAACCCCAATCGTCGGCGCACTCCCAAAACTCCATCCAACAAGCACGACACCCTCAACCCCCTCCTCCCTCTCCATCCAATCCATCCCCGCCAATATGTCATTCGTGCACTGTGGGGTGCGGGAAGGTGCGCGGTAGTCGAGCCGTAGCGTGGGAATGTGGTGGGTTGCGAGTTTGGTTGCGAGGGAGGGGTAGATGCCGTTTGGGCCCGAGACGCCTGTAGTAGCATCAGCTCGCATCAGTTACGAGTAACAAGAGAAACTGTGAGTGATAACGTTACCTCCGCCGGCCCCAGAGACGAGGATCGCACCGACATTTCGCCGTGGACCTCCGGCACTTGGTTTCGCTCGGTGTAGAATCGCGGGGACTTCGCGGTCTGTTGGGTCCTGGACTTTGATTGTGAGGCGGATTGCTTCGATTGAGGAGGCGTGAGGGAGGCGGTTCAGGTGGGGTGGGTTGAGGGGGTTGAGCGAGGAGGGGTTGTGTGCTGGGACGTTGGACTTGGGTGGTCCGGACATTCTGGCGTGGAAGTGGTGGAGGTCGTTGACTATGATTCTGAAGAAGCTTCTCATATACAATGGGGCGTGAAGGCGCCGAGTTTGAGAAGGAGGTGACCGTGCGATTGATCAGGTTGCGCAGCGCATGACGTCTTTTGTCTCGAACTCGGCACGTGCACCATACGTTTTACCACTCATTTGAGTCAATTGGGTATTGTTCTGGTATCCCTATCATTACAGCTCAAGTAACTAGCGACGCCTACACGCCATCTCCAATTCCCTACAATAACAATCCTCAGACTTGGGGCCCCTTCTCCTCCGTCGCCTCCGGATCTCCTTCAACCCTCCTCATCTCCATCTCCACTCCTCTCAACTCCCGCTCATCCCTCGCTTCCCCACTTCTCCACCTCACCCCCATGATATCGCAAGCAAGCACCATCACCGCGGCAAGTCCAGTCAACCCCCCAAACAACCCCGCCATGCCCGCAACCCCCATATTCTCAATGGCTGGCGTAAAATAAAATGGCGCAATAAACGCATACAATTGCCTGGTGAAGGTAAGGAACGCCGAGACTTGGGGTGCTTCATCACGATAGCACTCGACTGCGTATGTCGTACAAACTGTCGTGACAATTTGTAACCCGCCCATTGCCACCGCGGACGCAATATCTGGTTTAATCGTCCAGTGCCCGGGGGCGGCTTGATCCAATGTAACACCCCACGCAACAATCCCAGCAATAGCTGCCGCAAACCCAGGGTACGCAGCAATCAGCCTCATCTCAGGCGTCCGAGTCCGTGTCCTCGATCTATATTTAACGACCCAATCCGAGAAAGGACCAGCGAGTTGTTCACCGATAATCGCACCCACAACCAACGAAATGAATTGAAGCCCAATTTGGCCTTCGTTCAGATGGAACTTCTCACCGAAGACTTGGGGAACGAGGACGGTGAATACGACTCCCGTGTAGGTGAATGTGATGGCGTAGGCGAGCGCGGGAAGCAACACGCAGAGACGGAGACCATTTCGGAAGGGACGGATGAAGTCGATGAAGTTGAAAGGTTTGGGGTTGATCCGGCGGATTCTGAAGTATTGGTCGAATGTAGAGACTTTTTGTGCGGGTTCGACGTAGTTTGTGCCCACAGGTGCGCGGATATAGAGCGTCTCGGGACAGAAGACGAGATAGGCAAAGAATTGGGCGAGGTTGATAATGGCGAGGAGATAGAAAATCCAATGCCAGCCTTTGTCTTGGACCATGTACGCTGTCGTGAGGGGAGCGATAGGCGCACCAATCGTCACCAGCAAGGTCCAAACACCCATCTTCCGACCACGTTCATGGGCAAAGAACATCTCTGCCACGGTACCCGCACCGATCGCGACGGCGGTAGCGAGAAAGGTTGCCTGGATGCAGCGTGTCAAGACGAGAGTTCCGTAGGTTTTGCAGAATGCGCCGCACAGTGCGACGATGGCAGAAACGAGAGTGGATACGAGGAAGACCGGACGACGTCCATATCTATCCGCAATGGGCGTCCAAATGAACGGCGCGAGTCCAATGAAGATGATCTGGACTGAGACGAGGTATGATGCCTGCGTGATGGTGATTCCGAAATCCTCGACAAACAGAAAGAAAGCCGGGATCACAGCCGAGGCGGCAGATATGGCCATCATCGCGTGAAACGAGACCAAGACAAGCAATGTGTTCTTCTTCCATGCCGGCCAGTTGAGTGGATCATGCGGGTCCGCTGAAGGGACGGGCATGAGGTCGAGCCGTCCATGGCGCGCGAGGACATATTGTTGATGAGCGTCTAGATCTTCGACTCCAGATCCGGTACGACGCTCGAAGTGTTGGATGTCTACCTTTCCTCCGCCGGTGGATGTGGATGTGGACATGGCTATGGTGATGCGCAGAAAAGCGAGTCCGTGTGGGAGTCCATTGCCAGACGTCTCGGGATTTATATTTACAATGCGTCCGGTTGGCAGGCGTTACGTTTGCGGGGTTCGTGGAAAATCTGGAGCGACAGCGTTTACTAGCGTCGGGGCACCCATCGGCCCCACACTCCCCACGTCGGCAATTCTTGTCACGCGGCGGTAATTGGACGGACTTGCAATCCCCCGCCCCTCGATAAATCGCGTTTCGAACGGCAGATGTGGATAAAGCTTCTCGTTTCGAGGCGGATGACAGCCGTGAATGAACGGCTGTCTTTGAGTCACGTGCATTAACGCATTGTCTATGGGAAATCCCCCTGGTACGGCTAAGCTTAATCCTTGTACCTCTTCATCAAATCATCCTGACTGGCCACCATCTCATAATCATCATCCGCAAGAGCCCTGTATTGTCCCTTGGCCTTACCCTTGCGATCCTTCTTCTGCTTCTTGGTAAAGTCAGGGAGGGTACGGACGCCGCTGTTTGCTGTATTAGCACGGAGAATCCAAGTTCAGAGGCGTAGGAGACATACCGAGTAGACAAGACGACGAGGATGAGGAATCCAATGATGAGGATCGCAACAACCGGAACCGCAATCTTCAAGTTGGGATCATCATTGCTGATCTTCGGTGGTGGAGTCTTGGGCTTCTTCGGCAATCCCTCTGCAAATACAAGTCAGTACTCATCCTGACACACACCCATATTCCAGATACGCACTCTTCAAGGTAAAGCTCGGACCCCTATGGATTCTAAGCTCCTCTCCCTCAACATGATCCTCCAACATCGCAACCACAAAAACACTCTGCTCCCCCTTTCCCTTCAACCACCTCCCGTCAACCTTAAACGCATGCACTCCCTTCGTATTCGACACCTTACTGTCATGAACAGCAAACACAGGCGCCTTCAAACTCTCCGACACGGTCGAGTTGGAGCCGTAGACGAGGGCGAGGGTGAGATGTTCGGTGTTGGGGAAGGCTGCGGGGTCCCAGGAGATAACGTAGGAGTGGTCTTTGACCCACCAGGCACCGGGAGCGGGAAGGCAGAATGGGGCGACTGTATAGCGGTCTGGGGTACAGTGCATGGCGAGGAATGCTTCGTCGTCGGAGACGGGGTTCGCGGGGGCCGTGCCGGGAGCCCACTCAACAGCCTCGGTAGAGGCAGCAGCTTCGGTTTCGGCGAGCATGGCAGTGACGAGTTCTGCTTCCTCTCCAGACGTTCCCGTCAACCCAGCAGCATCAGCCGCGCTGGCCATGGTCGCAGCGAGCTCATCATCGCCTGGTTCACCGATTACTGCCGGCGCTGCAGAGGACGCGACGGCGAATGCCGAGATCGCGATCGTTAGTGATCGTAGTACGTTCTTCATCTTGAGCAATCGACTGACGAAGGTAAAACTTGGACCCTTTTTCTTGCGAACGGTTAACTCGGGATACCATTCGAAATCTTGCACAGCCACGGGCTGCGGCTCAGAGCGTCGGCACGCATCATTGGGCATGACCTCAAATACAAACCGTGCGATAGCATGAGTGGAACGATGAGTGCGATGCAAAACGACGGGATATGTTTTCTTCAAATGTCTGATCAAGCGCGTGTCATGCCAAAATCTAAGCCTGAACAACCTGCGCCTCCTCCTCATCCTCACCCTCCTCACCCTCCTCAAAAGTCGACATAGGAACCTCATACAACCTCAACACATTCTTGTTCGGGTCCTTAACCAAAACATACTTTCCATCCTCCATCCTCAAACACAAATCAATAATCGTACGAACGATACCCCATCCATTATCCAAATTCAAGTTCATCTGAGACGCAATGTCCCTGGGTTTGTAACCGGCGACACCGAGGATGACATGGCGTTGTGCGTCGCGGGGGGTAGCGCGGGAAACGTATCCGATCTTCATTTGTTCGACGCCAGCAAGGATAGATTGGACGGCCCATCGTGCGAGCTTGAGGGAGTTGTTCTTCATTTCGGTGGCGACGACAGCTCCGCGTTGGGAGTCGAGCTTGGAGCGCCAGTCGATGCCGCCGGAGGCGCCTTGTCTGTCGAATTCGTTGAGGGCCTTGATCATGACGAACTGGTCCTCACCAGAGGGAGTCTTCTGAACGGCGTCAACCTCGGTACGGATGATGAGGTTGATGGGGTCCTCGTCCTCCGAGACGTTGAGGTTGAACTTCCTGTAGCGGTATGCGCAGGATGCCAGTGGCTCGGTCTCGTCCTCAGGGTTATAGAATGGGTTCTCCTTGTCGAACTTGTACTGCTCTTCCTCCTTGATGGTCTGCTGAGCAAGGTTGTGGTTGATGTAGGTGGCTTCGAGGGAAAGGGATGCGGGGGTGTTAATGGTCTCCTTACCGTCGGTGGCCTCCATTGGTGCCTCGACGGCGTTCTCGTTGACGCTGACAAAGTCGAAAGGTCCGCCCTCGCGCTTGTCGAGGTAGAGGTTGTCACCCTCCTTGACGAGGACGATGTCCCATGGGTAGACGGAACGAGGAGCGCACATCAACATGGAGATAATAGAGTCGGTAGCGAAGACGTTGGCCTTGCCCTCGTTGGCGAGTTTCTGAACAACGGGGTCGACGGAGGTGGTAGGGTTGTATCTGACGCGCTCAATGACCTGCAAAGGAGCGGAGTTCTTGGTAGTAATCTTGTCGAAAGTCTTGTCGTAGTAGTTCACCGATCCGTAAGTCTCAACATCCTCACCCTCCATAGCCTCCAAAGAGAGCTTAGCCAAACGGTTGAACTCGATCTCCTCAAGCATCGTCCACTCAGAGGTGGGAGTGACGGATGCGTCACGGATGCGCTGAGGCTTGTCCCAGTCCTTCCAACCGAAACGACGTCCACCACGGCCAGCCTGCGCGCCGCCACGACGACCATCCTGCTGCTGTCCACGACCGCCGATACGCGAGAATCCACCGCCACGACCGCCGCGCTGCTGAGCGGCACCACGTCCACCACGGTTGCCACGGGTAGCGTATCCTCCGGAACGACCACCGAGACGAGTTTTGGTAGAAGCGCGGTTCTCGACGACGGAGAAAGAAGCCTCATCCTCACCGTGCTGGTAGGCGAACTGAGAAGTGACACCGGCACCGTAAGCCTGGTATTGATCTGTACGCAATTGAGTCAGTATAAAGGTTCACCCCTAGATAGCCATACTGCATACCTCTGAAGCGTCCGAAAGCGCCTCTCTGCTTGCCCTGATCACCCCTAGCACCTTCCTTTCCAGCCTCCTGAGTCCAGTCCGCGGTACGGCCAAGCTTGTCACCCTTGGAGAAGGGCGCGAAAGGAACGTCGTGGTATTGAGACAAAAGCTCACCCTGGGGGTCCGATGGAGGTCCCCAGGCAGCTCCAACAGCCGGAAGTGCAGGCAAAGTGAATCCAGCCATTATTTTCTGATTTTGCTGTGAACGGTCGACGCTGCGTGTAAACGGGCAAAACTTGGGTCACCTGCAGTGTGCATACATGAAGCTACATATATACATCGATGGTATCTGAAATATATTCTTCTTTAACCAGAATATTATCGAATGCTAATTGTCCGTTAAATGCTCCATATGAGATAGATGGTCCCCAGGGTATCAAGTTCACACGAACGCCCAACCCACCCCCAGTTACCCAGACTTCTTGCCAAAGATATAGCTCACATCGCCTTCCCTCATAATCTCCCTCAATATATCGTCTTCAACGACGCTTGTTAAGTCGTCCGACCCAAGCAGCAATGCTGACTCGTCACTTTCCACGCTTTGAGCCAACACCGCCGGACTCACATGGATGTACTCCGCCAAAGCATCCATCCTGTTCTTCTTCCTCAATGGATTAACGTCTAATTCTGCTTCTTCTCCCGTAACGTTGGATGCCTTCTTGAAGCCTGGTAATTCGATTTCAAGTAAGTCTTCATCCGCATCTTCATCCACCCCGATCTCCACGGCGTCATCCTTCGCATCCGGGATATTATCACCCTTCGAAGCACATGTGCATCCCAATAGGTCATGCGTCTGACACTCCGTACTGGTGTCTAATGTGAAAAGATCTCGTAACTCAGCCAACGTGAAACTGTTTCCTCCCGTCTTCTTCTGGTCCATGAACTGGTCACTCAAGCCCTGCTTCGTGACTTGCCGCTGATAGATCTTCTCGTCCATACAGCCAGTCGTGAGGAAGCGATAGATATATACCTGACGCTTTTGTCCGTCACGATGAATACGGGCCATGGCTTGCAAGTCCACAGATGGATTCCAGTCGGTGTCAAAGAGAACGAGACGGGAGGCACCGACAAGGTTGATACCAGCACCACCACTCTTCGCAGATAACAGGAACGCAAAAGCTTCGTCGGCGTTGGTGCGGTTGAACTTGTCAACGAACTCCTGGCGTCTGTTGCTGGGCGTACTGCCATCCAATCTCAGATAACTCATCCCCTTCGAACCAAGCAGATCCTGGATGACGTCCAGCGTCTGTGTGTACCCACTCACAAGCACGATCTTCTCGTCCGTCACACCCCGAAGAATGGTCAACAACCTTTCCAGGACCTGGAGTTTTCCGCTCTTCCTCAAGCCCGACCCACCAAAGCCTTTCATGACTTTAGCAAGGTTTGCGTACAAACTGGAGTCATCCTCCTCGTCTTTGGACTTGTCTAGTAGCAGTGATGGCGCATTACAGACCTTCTTCAATGCAGTGATGGCTTGCAAATGCGCAGACATGTCCGAGCCCTCCGTACACCTCCTGAGCGCCGGGCTGTCCAACAGTGCTTTGTATATCTGAACTTGCTGAGCGGTCGGCCGACAGAAGACCACGTACTCAAACTTGGGTAAGAGATAGTTACTCAACACATCCGCCGTACGTCTCAGCACGAACATACGGGTCAATGCAGTAAGGGCTTCACTCCTTGCCTTACCCTTTTCGATATCCTTCTTCATGGCACCTGGCTGGCGGGACTTGATAATGGGTCCTTCAAATTCTTTCTTGAAAGTTGCGTATGACTGGAGGAGACCGGGGTTGATGAAGTCTGACATCGTCCAGAATTCACCGAGATCGTTCTGAATAGGGGTACCCGAAAGGATGATGCGGCGTAGGCAAGACAGAGAACGGATGGCTGCGGCAAGCTTGTTGTTGACTGCTTTGAGTCTGTGACCTTCATCGCAGACGATGATGTCAAACTTCAGCTTCTTCATGTCCTCCTGTAGCAACCGAAGCTTCTCATACCCGATCACCATGACGTTGTACGTATTGCCCACTTTGAAGTCCTGCACGTCCTTCTTCGTTTCACATCCCAGAACAGCGATTCGTTCTTTGCCGAGCCACTTCCTGAACTCCCTGCTCCAGTTGCCGATCAATGTCACCGGGCATACAATCAGTGCCTTCTGTACAACCGGACCTTCTTCCCAGAATGGAGTCTGTTTTAATAACGTCCAGATAAGTGCGATCGTCTGGAGCGTCTTACCGAGACCCATTTCGTCGGCGAGCAGACACCCTGTTCCGTCGAAGTCTCGCATGCCCATGATTGATTCGTACATGTATTGCACACCCTCCTTCTGATGTGGTCGCAAATATCGTCCAATGAACGGGTCGACGACGACGTCCACTAACGTTTTCCCCTGAGCCTGTCTGCCTTTCGGGCGTGGGAGTACGAAAGAATCAGGGTTGATTGCATGGCGCGGCGTCGGAACTCTCCTGTTCGTGGTAGGCAGCACCGTCGATTCGAGTAATGGCGCTTTGTACTTCTTCGTGACAGGTAGCACGACCGATGGCGGTGCCGCCTCCGCACTCGAGACATTGAGGAATGGCTTGCCGCTCATGTAAGCGCTTTTCGCAAGCACTGAATCAATCTCCACTTCCTTCCCGCCAATGAACAGTTCTGTTCCGACGCCAATGTCTCCGCCTTTGAAGGTAGTTTTAGCGAGATCTTTGCCTGCCATATCCTGGAGGGTACATTGGTTCCCCTGGATGACCAAGATTCCGTCTCCGTCCCACGTCTTGTGCTTCTTTGTTGTCTGTTTCCTCCACAAAACATTGAAGAACATCTCCTTTCCATCGGATACTGGTGCATTCGGGGCGGATTTCGCTGCTGCAACGGCATTCGTAACCGTTAGCAAAGGCTTGCGGTACGACGAGCCTAGTGATCTCCGGATAGGTGGGGTTGAAACGGCGAGAGACGGAGATGCAGGTTTGGATAAAGCACTGTCGAGACGAGGCTTCTTTGCAATAGATTCATCGGGTACATCACCACCAGAGCTTGGGGGTCGAGGACGGATAAATGATGGTGGTTTGAAGGGTTTGGGAGGCATATTCGAAAGTATATGCTGGCCGATGACGACCGGCAAAGTTTCTGACCGACAGAAGAGTGCCCTACCTGTTGCACAACCTATAGCTAAGGAGGTCTGATGCTCGGTCGCCTCTTTCCTTACTGTTTGCCTTCGACGCGCCCACGCGAGAACCCTTGTAACGTAGACTGCCAAATGTGGTAGCAATCAGCAAGTAGTATTAAATCTGACATTGTACGGAGAAATTGAATAAATGTTTTTCCAAATCGCTTGTCGAAAGGCAAAAGATTGATCTGGCAAAACGTCAACGTGTATGCTTTTCGTTGACCTTTTAGAACGATCAGGGTCACTGTTTACTCGTATACGTACCTGTCTCACGCTGCGGTTACGAGCCCCGAGAGCAATCTACGGTAAAGCATACCCACCGCCAGCTCCACCTCTTCTCGTCGCCAATCCTCCAGCAGCACGCGCATACATTGCCATCGCCATCGCCATCGCCTACCTCGACAACGGGCGTAACTCTCACCGACCATGACGTCCGACCGCCCAGGAAGCAGCAACCCCGATGTGAATTCCTTTCTGGAGAAGTGGAAGGAATTCAATGACGAGCAAACAAAAGAGGATCTGGAACGAAGCCGGCGGCTGGAAGAACAGATTGCAGCAGAGAAGAGGGCAAGGATGGAGAGGAGGGCTGCGCGTACTCGGTCCTTATCACCGGATAAAGGGCGGACAACCAGGAATATCATTGGCACTATCGTGGAGGATGAGTCGAGCGAAACAACAAGAGGACGCTCGATTGAGAATACAATGGCTAAACTGACTGGCGGTCCGGCTGCAACGGTATTATGGTCATGGGATTTTCTTTGGGATTGAATGCTGACTTCAACGGTTGCAGAACACACAACCGAAATCACCGGAGGTGAAAGCAGCATACAGGCGCACAATGCCCGCCCTCGCTCCCCCTACGTCCTCATCATCTTCAGTTGAACCAACAAAAGCACCTTTACGCTCAACGGACGCCCCTAAATCCCCCGACAACGCCTCGAAACCTACGAACCGGGGCAGGGCAGCAGACGTGTTGAGCGCACGAACCCCAGACTTCTTTCGACAGTCACGCACGAACACGCTTGGTATGAGGAAGAGTCCAGTACCGGAGTTTGCGGCTGGGAACACTGAGTCGGTAGGAGCTGGTGTTGCGAGTGTTCTACGTGGAAGGGAAGGAGCGGGAAGAGTGGGCATGGCCTTGCCCGGCCTGAGTGACCTTAAACCGAAAAAGGAGGAGGCCGTACCACAGGAAAGGATTTCCAGAAACGGATTGGGAAGAAGCGTGAAACGGGAGACGTGGATCAAAGATGAAGAACCAAAGGCGGAGAAAGTCCAGGAAACGCCGAAGTCAACGCCTCAGAAGCCGATCATTGCCGCAAAGAAGCCCGTATTTTCACCGACCTCTGCTCCATCAACCTCCGATGAACCGCAGCCCGAGCCAGCAGACTCCGCTGTATCAGCGGCCTCGGTTTCCTCCCTCACCTCCAGTGTAGCATCCAGTACCATGTACAAGATGCCATTGTCGGGTTTAGCGTCGTCGGAATCGAAAAACCCCAGCGCCTCTTGCCCGGGAACAGGATCCTCTACAAGTACAACCCCTACTATAACCGCGGCTCCTTCATCACCTGTTGCCCGCTCAAGTCCATTCGCCAGATCCAACAGTAGGAGCCCCGAACGTACCCGTTCGCGTGGATCTGCTCCCAACTCGCCTAGCAGGGAACGCATGGCGCTTGGATCGGTACCATCAAGTCCAAGTCGTGAGCGCATTGAAAGTGGTGTGAGTTTACCATGGATGATGCCGGACCGTCCTTCTTCGCCGTTGAAAACCGATTCGGCCTTTTCGCCCCGTGTCTCAAGCACAGAGGCGACGAGTTTGAGTGAACCTGTGAAGCGCACGTCATCTTTGATTGCTCCGTTGAAGGTTAAGGAAGAGGAGGCTCAGGTGAATAGGACGACGAGCTTGAACTCTCCGGAACGCCAGCGCTCGCCGACCCGTATCACCACGTCTCTTTCTGCACCGGAACCCAAAGCCAGTACCCCTGAGATCAAGAAGTGGACGCCGGCTGCCGCACGTGCGACTTGGTTCGATAAGGCACTGCAAAGTCCAACGAAGGCCGATAAACGAGAAGCCCTAGGGCTGGGTATTGGCGGGATGAAACCAAGCCCGAGTATCAGGGAGAAGCCTGTCGCTATGGGATCTCCGAAGCCGGTCCCCGCGCCCAAAGAGGTTCCTAAGATGGGATTGCTGGGCGGTTCCGCTAGATCGCTCAAGGCAGGGGTGAAAGAGTCATCCAAACCTACGTTGGCGAAGAAGCCAATTGTCAGCCCGAGGCAGACCGTTAGAGAGGCTCCTCCGAAACTTCCAGATTTGGGACTTTCTGCTGCTCCCGCTTTGCCCAGCTTCTCATTTGAGGAGTCCGAAAAGGCGGATGCGATTGCTTGCCTTCCTCAACCCAAGGTGGCTCCCGTCTTCGGCGGCGTTGCAAAGAAGTCGTCGCTTGCTGACAGGTTCAATCCTGCTCTTGCCGGCATGCTCGCTAAGCCTGGCATAAACCCCATGATGGGAGGTCATGCGCTTAAGAAGGCTGCAACGGCGCCTGCTGAGATGGTTCACGAGCCTAAAAGTGAGAAGGACGAGACAACGTCCGGAGAGTTGAAGCATATGACAAAGGGTCGCGCAAGAGGCCCGAAGCGCCGAGCTCCTACAAAAGCTAAGTCTGTCCCAGAGCCGGAACCTGAGGCAGCTGAGAACACGCTGAAACCTGCAAGGTCTCAGAACCTCCGTGCTGCTTCTCCTCCTGCGTGTGCGCAACTGGGCGTGCCGGCGAGAAAGGAACAGAGTGATACGGCTAATACGGCAGTGCTGATGAGTGCATGGCAGGAGGCTTTGAATAAGGAGACGGAAAAGAGGGCGAGAGGAAGTGTTATGGCCATCTGGGAACAACGTAATGAAAACAAGGAGGAAAGGCCAGAGGTTCAGGTTACTCCAGGGAGGAAGGATGCCACAATTGTTACGCCCAAGCCCAGCTTGCCTACGTCTGAGAGGAAGCCTGTGGTGGCTCGCAAGCCGTCCTTCCCCAGCCCAGAACAGAATCGGCCCTTCATTTCTTCTAAGCCGACAGTGGGTAAGATTGCCTTCAACCCGGTCCAAGCCGAAGAGCGCAAGGTCGCAATGAAGACTGTCGGTTGTGCCTCAATTGCAGAGCGTCCTCCGGTCGCAGACTTTGCGAAGCAGATGGAAGTCAAGCTAGGCTCTCCGTCTCGATCGCCGAGCACGAAGAGCGAGAATGAGAAAGCCCCCGTTCCTGGACTGGCAAAGAGGGTACCGGTCAGTCAACTGGCAAAGCAGATGGAAGTGCTTCCCGGGGAGGACAAGGGCGAGCAGGAGGAGAGCAAGCCGGTAGGGCCCAGGGGTCCTAGAGGTCTTCCTCCTGTTGCTATCATGCCGATCTCAAACATAGAGGTCGACAGGCCGGTGGAGAGGCCCGTTGAAAAGACCGAGGAGCCGAAGCTTGAGGAAAAGGCTAAGGAGGCCTTGGAGGAGCCTGCTGTTAAACCTGTGGAGAGGGAGCAGGAAAGAGACGTCCAACAGCAGTCTGCCCCTGCACCGGCACCGGCACCAACACCAACATGGAAGCCTGTGCCTGCACCGGTCAAGGTCATTGAGAAGGAAAAGCAGGCTGCTCCGGCGTCTCCCAAGCTGGTTGCTCCGCTGTCGCCCACCAAGACCCAAATTAGTCGTTTCGAAAGCGCTGTACCACTATCTCCTTCCTCTTCGGTACCTCAATCGCCTACCAGGACAGAACTCAATCGCTTTAAGGTGGCATCCGGTTCGGTCAAGAGTGTTGCTGAGAGATGGGCGCAAGCGACTTCCCCGACTCCGGTCGAACGTGGTCGGCCAGAGCCCATTGCTTTGCCTACGCGAGAGAGGTCTCTTTCCCCGAAGAAAAGGGAGCCCGAGGCGCCTGTGAAGCTGGAAAGACTCGCGACGTCTGCCGAGACCGAGGACAAGACCGTTGCTACCGTCTCGCAGCCAAAGCCAGAGGTAGTCGTCGCACCGAAGCCCATCCTTGCAGCTAAGCCTGACCTCTCGCCCAAGAAAGTTGAGATGCCAGCGAAGACTAAAGTTGATGAAAAGATCGTGGCACCGGCACCTGCAGCTGAGGAGAAACCCGCCATCGTCGCACCCAAGCCCGCCATGACCCCGCCGTCTCCTCAGAAAATCATCTCTTCCTCACCCAGATCTCGTTCTGCCAGTCCAACGAAAATGCCGAAGACTTCATCTTATAAGAACATCTCTGGCTTTCTCCGCGGCTGGTCCGCGAAGCCTTCCGTGTCTCGGATTGACGTCGCTCCGATCCATGCAAACAAGCCTGTGGATGTGAACGAGTCCAAGGAACGTCTTCTTGCGCAAGGCTGGGTTATTGAAAACGGTCGCAGCGTGTCTATCCCTCTTGAGGAGCAGCATGTACTGTTTGAGAATGATCTCATGGTGTATCTTTACGTGTACAAGGATGAGAGTGATGAGGAAAAATCCACTGTCTTCGTCTGGACTGGTCGTGGCTTTGACGGCAACCAGGCCAATGGGCGTTCCTTCGCTGACAGGGTGGCTAGGGAGCACGGTGCTGAGGTCGTCTCTATATTCCAAGCCAAAGAACCCGGATCCTTCCTCCGAGCTTTGGGTGGGGTTATGGTAACTCGACGCGGTCCGCGGAAGCGTTACGATGCTGGAGACTCTTTCATGTGCATCGTTCGCCGAGTGTTTGGTGGTGTTGCGTGTGAGCAAGTCGACCTTCACGGATCCCAGCTTTCATCGGGTTACGCCTTCGTGATCTCCGTGATCGGTCAGGTCTTCGTCTGGCAGGGTGCTGGTGCTCATCTCGATGAGGTTAATGCCGCTCGAAAGATCGCGCAGGAGGCAGCCCAGGACAACACCATCGTTGACGTTCGCGAAGGTGCAGAACCGGACGTGTTTCTTGATGCTTTGGGCGGAGGGGCTAAGTACGCAAGTGCCAGCTTCTGGGCGAAGAAGCCTGATCATGAAAACTACATGGTCCGCCTGTATACCATTGAACTCGGTAATGCGAATGAGATCTTCCCATTCGATCAGTCTGATCTGCGTCCGGACAATGTTCATGTCATCGATGGCTTCTTTGAGATGTACGTGATCGTAGGACGTGATGCCAGAGGAAAGCATGAAGACATCCAACTTGCGTGCGACTTCGCAAAAGACTACACAAAGCACGCATTCAGAGCTGACGGTCGTCCGTTCATGCCGGTTGCTACTGTACTGTACCCGCCTTCGTCTGTGCCTAGGGAACTGCGCATCAATATTCGCGGCTGGAAGGACGAAACTTCGCCGCTCGTCTTTTCAGGTCAAGCTGCCAGTTTGCAGCGCAAAACGAGTTTGAGGATGAGAATCTTGCCCCTTGACAGTGCGGTAGCCACGTTGAAGAAGGAGACTTTCCCAATTAAGGAGCTGAAGGGCGATGATCTTCCCCTGGGTGTGGACGCAGATCGCGTGGAGGATTGGCTGAATGAAGAAGATTTCCAGAGTGTAATGGGTATGAAGAGGGACGGATACAATGCATTGGGGGATGGTGAACGGAAGAGGGTGAGAAAGGAGGGATTGGAAATGATGAGACAGTTCAACTTCTGAGGAATGCCCAGAAGTGAACTACCATTGATTTGCTGTGCTTATAGGCATTTGTGATATCCTTTGATCTAGTATTTATTATACATAATAGAGTCTGGTACTCGACTTCCTGATTGCACACGTGCAATAAACGTTACAGGAACCGAGTAAACACCACCTTCGAGCAATGGGCGTAACTGACAGCGACGGCTTCTTCCACGTCGGCCTGACAGCTGAGTTCCCTAACATCCCCGAGGGCGAACCATTACCGGAAGGTTGCAATGTGTTCCGGGTGTTCAAGGATACTGGAAGTGCACAAGTCGTGAAAGTGACTCCCGAGAAGCAGGTTGAGGATGGTGCACCAGAGACGGTCGGATCAGTAGCAGTACTGGTATTCCGTTATAAAAACAAGCTACATGCAGTGACAGACGTGCGCTACCTCCCGTCTCTCCAAATACCCAGCAGCTGACATTGCGTTCATACAGAAATGTCCACACTCAGCATACTCATTATCAGCCGGAGGCACACTCGCAGATATCGAGGATTTTGGCATCGTATTTGGACACGGCATCACTTGCTCGAAGCACAACTGGATGTTTGACCTGAGTACAGGAAAGGGAGACCGAGGGAATTATTCATTGGGCTTATGGGATGTCAAGGAGAAGGACGATGGCGTTTGGGTGAAGCAGCGATAGAGATTTGGTTCTGCATGAAAGGCATGAGTTACAATTCAGAAGTAAGAGCATGGGGCATGCAATCGGGATTTGGGTTTCGGGCGTATCTGAGGGGAGAAGACATAGGATGATCTCAGAAGACCATCGAATTTTAACCAGAGACAGACAGGCAGCAGCAGCTGGAAGGATCGATCAAAAGAATACCATATTATTAATCCAAGAAAGGGACCCTAACTTGCAAACCAGCGACCTTCGATCAACGATAGGACCAGATACCTCAAACCCGAACAGCAATCAAAAGCAAAGCAAAAAAACCTCTAGCTGAATACCTGACCGTAACCCAGTGCCCTCCATCCGTGCGTGTGTATAAGCCAAAAAGCCAAGTATGCCAATATCCAGTAAACAAGAAAAACGCGAAAAAGATGACGCTATGCTGCCAAGAACCTTAATCCCATACACGAGTGTCCAGGTGCTGTCTCTCGCACATGTAAAGTAGTTTGCAACCCCAACCGACCAGGGGTGTACAAAGTCGACTTCATCCAGCTCCGTACGACAATTTTACGACAATTTTTACTCCGGCGGCGGCGTAACGGGCGGAGTGACAACCCCAAGTCTCTCCCCATTCGGTCCCCACCTCAACTTCTGCACATGTCCATCACCGTGCGCATGACGAGCATGATACTGCTGCCCCTCCTCAACACTCTCATTCAAACTCAACTGATCAACCCCAACATCCCCTTCGTGCTCTTCTTCTGTGCTGTGTTCTTCGAGATGTCCCTGATGCGCAATACACTCCAGATACTTCTTTCCCCTCACAAACTTCGGCACCGAATCAACTGCCATCAATTTAAACACCTCATTCTTGGCCCTCTCGTACAACTCCAACACCTCCTCCAACACAACCTTCATATCACTATCATTCGACCCAACGGCTTTCGTCATACGCGCGGCCATGTCGAGGCGGAGTTGGTGGTTGAGGTTGAGTTCGCAGGGGGAGCCGGGGGCGAGGAAGGCGTTATAGACGCCGTAGGCCATTGCGAGACCTTCGCGAACTGCATCGGTTGTCATTGCCTTTGGGATTCGGCGGGTGAATTCGACGACTTCGGTGTAGAAGGTGTAGTTTTCTTCGCAGAAGTTGTCTTTGAGGTGTTCTCTGAACAAACTTCTCAACGCCGGGTCCGACAAGATAGCATTCAACCGAGTGGTATTCGTCTCTCGCGACGCCGCACCGTTCCCGTTTCCATTGATGATAGACGGGCCCGAGGTCGAGGCAGTAGGCGGACGCGATCCATCAGTCGCAACCGACATCGTCGAATTCGCTCTCCTTAAATCCATCCTTTCATTCAAAGTTCCCAACAACGCCGTCTCATCCTCATTCGTCCTCCCACTCATAGCACTAACCGCACTTCTTCCCCTCCCCCCCATACTCGGCCTCTCGACACCCAACCCGTCGTTCAACACAGCACCGCCATCCCATCCTGCAACTTTGCGCCCACGTTCGGTAAAGATGTAGATGGCTGATTTGACGCCTGAGAACGCTAACTGCTCCGTCCGCTCTTTCGGTCGGGAGGAGTCGGCAGCAAAGACGATAAGGCCATGTCGGAGGAAACTCTGCGCGATCTCCATGGCTTCTTTGGGGTGCATACACGTCGTACAATCCATCAACCACTGCATCGCCGTACGCCCCGTAAAAGAATTCTGCAACATCCTCTCACCAACACGGCGGTTCGAAGCGAGTTTAACACCCGTCATGCCGTCGCTATATTCGAGGATGGAGTCGTTATCCGATTGCGAGGTCGATGATTTAGCGTTCGGTGTGCGGCCCGCGAAACGGCGGAATACGACTTCGGCCATCGTTTTGTCGCCGGGGATGGTGTCAGAGTCGATATCGCGCTCGAGGATGAAGAGTTGCATGGTGTTGAAGGGAGAAGAAATGAGACGTGCGACGTTATCAGAGATCACACCATTACGGTTCGAAAAGCGCTCAAGCACAATGATCCCTTTCGGCGTAAGTTTCCACAAACACTTATCCTTGAAGCTCGTCTGGTCTTTATCCGTTGCGCTTTCGAAAAGACGGGCATCCATGTAGCGTTGGCATACATCCTTAGCCATCTCGGCTGCCATGGAGAATGTGGTTGTCGTTGTTGTCGTTACGACGCGGGAGGGGTCTTTAGGGTCTGGCATGCGGTTTGATTGGGAGAACTTGAGGTTACCGAGGTTTGTGACGGCTTCTTCGGTGGTGAAGGTGAATGGATACGACTTGAAGCGGTAGCGGTGTGTCGTGAGCGGCAAACTGACCATGAGCGTGGAGAAAAGGTCCTTGAAGTCCTACCCCGACAATTAGTAAAAAAGGAGTAAAAGTACCGGGATGTATGCACACCCTCGTGAACGGCCTGCCGTCCGGAGTGGTCTTCATCAACCTCGAACTCGACTGATGCATCTTGTTCTCACTCGAAGAACTCTTCTGCTGGTTCGGATTGAAGGCAGTCCTCGTGGGGTTGAGGATCTCGTTTTGCAGAGCAGCAGACGGCATGATTACGGATGTTGCTGCTGCAGTGCTAGTTGGAAGGTCGACTCTATTTTGGGCGTGAGTCCTTTGTTCTTGCACCCTTTGAACTTTGGAGTACTGCAGCTGTCGAGTCGGAGCAGCGAGTGCGGGCAAGTTGAATGAGCTCGCGTGGCAGGGCTTGCTTTATGTTTGAGTGATGGCTGACAGGGGGCGCGAAGCTGAGTAGAACGCCGGCTCTCGGCACGGCAGGCACCCCTTTGTACGTGATGCGAGACGCAGAAGCTTACGGAGGGGGGGGAGGGGGAGCAGTCTACCTCTTACAGCAACAGCAACCGGCGATTCACAGCCCTCCTACATGACCCCTCTACGATCGCTGGCAGCAGGATCACGACTCTCATCATCGCACACCTTCCTAATGCGGAAATGACTTGGGTTCCATCCGCACACGCCCCGACGCCCACGTGAAAACTTCTTTGCGGGAAATGGGCTCCTTCCACGCGTGGCACATTGCCCATCCCGCCCGCAGTGCGCAGTGCGCAGTGTACCTGGATGCAGAGACGCGCAGCGAGGCTGGGCCAGACATTTGATGATGCCGTGATCGAGGATAGCCCACGTTGCAAGTACAGGTTTCAAGTGTCTGCACCGTGCCCTGTGCCTCGCTTAGTCATCCTCGATCCGTGGACCCTGCTCGCTCGCTGACGCACCCATCACGTGAGCCTACGTAACCGCGGCAATGCCGGGAATGTCCGACGGGGAAAGTACAACACCACCACGATGAGCAACGAGAGTATTATGAACGGTGATCAAGAGAGACCATTGTTTGTTCATGACTGCTTCTGCTCCCCGAAACACGGCTAATGGACGAACAGGCCTGCAGAGGTGATCTCCTGCCTCAAGAATGCTCGCTACGTACGCTATTCATGATCCTCTTCACCATATGATCCGCTGACATCTCTGACAGCTACATCTCGGCACTTCATACGAAGATATCCCCCACGTCTCCTTGGTTTGTTCGGCGTCTTTGGACTCGTGTTCATACACGACTGACTTGACGTTGAACAGATGAACTACACCTACGTCCCCGCCGGCGAAGCCATGCCTTACGAGACGAATGATTGTGTGATCATGACCTCAACTCGAGACACAAAGAAATTCTTCAATCTTCACTTTGTTCGTGGGTTTCCTCATCTGTGCGACAAGAGCTAACAGCACGAACAGAACCCACGGGTATCTCTCCTCGTCCATGACTGGACAACAACCCGTCAATCACTGGCCGGCCCCTCCTCCCCGGGATCTACCTCAGACGCCCACTCCTCCCTTGCCTCTCTCCTCCTAAACTTAAACGCCGCCGCCCTCTCCTCCATCTCCGCAACCCTCAACGGCCGTGCCGAGATCCTAACCAACACCGCCGCCGCCGATTTCTTCAAACAGAAACACTCGGCCGCGAACCCAGGAAGTGGGAGTCAGTGTTATATTGAGGGTGATGTGGCTGTGATTAAGGTGCGCATTGAGAGTGCGAGGATTGTGGCGGATGGTGGGGGAGATCGCGTGGAGAAGTGGAGGGTGGATGGGATGGAGGGAACGCCGAGGGTGAATGTCACGGAGGAGGCGGCGAGTGCTGCTGGGAGGGGATCGAATGTGGGACACAATGTGAGGGCGACCGAGGATGGGGTGTGATGAAGGCACGGCAGAGTGGCAGCGTGGAGGCAGTGTACGATAAGAAATGAATGTTTGATCTGATCCCCTCCGTCGGCTCCTTATCAGCAGCTGCAGGTCCCCCCAGGCACGCCCCTGCGCCCCGCCCCGATACGAACGGCGTATGCGACCCCCATTGTGTCATGCCCGCCCCGCCATGTCGACGTGTTGTTGGGGGTACCGTACAGCGTGAGGGTTCAGGGGGTACCACACCACCAACAACAACAATCTCAATCGCATTCACCCGAACACGTCGCGCATACATCCCCGTCTTTTCCTTCCTACGAACGAACATTCTCTATCTATCTCAACGGCGCGTCGCATACAGTCGCTTACCAATTGCAATGGAAGACGACTACGTTATCATCCACGCCCGCGACGCTGATCCCTTCCTCTCCGCAACCTCAAAGCACATCCTCAGCGAAACCACAGACGGGAGTGCGTCCGAACCCGATTCGGATGAGTTCACGGTTTTGAACTTGGAGAAGATGTCCTACGCTGCCGTCGCTACCATGCCCTCTCTCCCGGCGGCTGCTGGTGGCAAGAAGCTTAAGGCAAAGAGCGCGAAGAAGGCGGGTGATCGTGTTTGGACGCCGCATGTGAGGAGTGAGGAGGCGGCCGAGGAGGATGATGATGAGGACATTGATTGGGAGGCGGAGAAGATTGCTAGAGGTCAGGAGCGGGTCAATGGACTTGTGAAGAACAAGGGAAGGAGGGGTTACGCTCCGAAGGAGTAGACACTGGGCCATTAACACTGTGATGCTTTTCTTTATTGCTGTTTGATTGCTGGGAACGCGTTTGAGCGCCTTTGATACCATTGCTTGCTGGACTGGAGCCGGGACGGATGCTGTTTTTTTCTCACTATTACGCCTGGATGGCGGTTGGTTACCCCTGATAATCTTATTCCATAACGCCTAAACTCCCAAACTCCTACACCTGTTCCCCGAGTGCTCCTTCTATGAAATTGGTTATCATGTCAAACGCAGCTTCACCCTGATCCCCGGGAGCCATATGCCCAGCACTACTGATCACAGCCCGTGTTAGATGCCCGCTTCTCTTGATGTAACCATAGACTTCCTTCCCATCTGCATCACGCCAAACCTGTAAGAATATGTTATCAGTTACCGTGCCTGTACGACGATGAACAACGACTTACCTCACGCTCTGCCTTCTTGTAGCCCTCACTTCCAGACCACTGCAACTCAGACATCCACCTGTCCTGACTTACTACCCCGTCTCTGAAGTCGAACTGTCCTTGATACAACAGGACCGGCATCTCCTCCAGAAGACGAGGGAAGAGGTGTGCAGTGCTCTTCATGATATCGGTCTTCAAGTGGTAAACGACTGCATCGTCTGTATGGAATTTGGCGCGTGAGGGGACATGAAGCTTCTCTTTGGTGCTTTCCGAGTTTAGGAAGGCGATCATGGCAGTACGGTTGTAGAAATGGTTACGTCGCCGTACATCGTACCAATTGACATGACCCTGGGAGGAACATTAGCCACCGCTGGAGACAAGAGATAGCGAATGTCTTTCACCGTAAAGTTCGAAAACGTGTCAAACATGTGCATCCTCCGGTCCAGTGCCCCAAGCAAATTCCCTTCGATGTTGAGCGCAATCGCTTCTTGTGAAATGTTCGACAACACCTCAGCCTGAGCAGCATCGATCAAGCCCAGATAGTACGCTTGCGGGGCGTGCGTAAGAATCTGAGTGTTGGGATCAGTCCACTGGTCTCCAATAGATATGCCCTTCAGCGGGATCTTATCCTTGTCATAGATGAGATTATAGTCCAGGATTGCCGTGGCGAGCTCCGGGATGTATTTACCGCCGTACGACTCGGACGAGAGAAAGAGTGGCGATTTCGCTGTTTCGGGGAAGTTCTTGTAGAAAGCTTGCATGAAACGGATCAAATCTGCTGATACCCCTCTTTGGCTTGCGGCGTAGCCATCCACGTAATCAGGGTCATCATCGTTCCCGGAAGTGCTCTCAACTTGCGGTCGGAAAGAGCGCTGCCTTTCCTCATCAGATGTCTGAATGTGGAGATCATTGCCATCGCCGCCCGTTCCATCCTTTAGGTATTTCCTCTCTGATGCAGTCAAGGAGACCTCACCCGGCGGATTGACATACGAATACCCCGTCCCCACAGGATTATCCACGAACAGCAGAGAGTAGTGCTTGTTCCAGGTATTGGGATTGCGGACCAGCTCGATATCGTCGTTTATGTCGAACGGACCGAACTCTTTAAAAAGCCCAATCATCGAAGAGCTTCCAGGTCCACCCTGAATCCATAGGATGAGTGGAGGATTGTCCACGAGAGGTTCCTCGGCAGGAAAATACCAATAGAACAAGGCGCTCTGAACACATCAGTCAGGGTACAGCATTGATTCAGTCACATGAACTCACCTCTGTGCGGCTATCGTTGCGAACGACGTGTGTGCCTGCGAAGCTCACATCCTGAACCGTGTGTCCCTCGGCAACAGGGAGGCCTTGCACGAGATGGTCCGTCTTCCAACCAGCTTCCGCAACAGTGAGAGCAACAGCAACGACCGTCAGCCCGAGAAACTTTCCCCACTTCATGACCAATTGTTGTTTGTCAGGTTCTGGTAACGTAAGGCACCGGCATCGATATCGATAACTTTAAAACAGTCTCAAAGCACGGACCTTAAAGTTCTTACGTAAAGAGCTCCAGAGGTAGAGATGAAAGGACTCCAATTCGATCGCAAAGAAGCTAAAAGCCGTCGTTGAGGAAGGTACATCTGACGTATCTTACATTCATAGCCTAGGTGTTGTTAACCCGTTTCACACATTCTTCCCCACGCACGTTCAGCAAGCTCCAAAAACTCCCAATATTGAAAGCAAAAAGAACCCTTATACGCCCCTAATTTTTGGTATCGATACCACCATTCCAATCATCCCACCAAAAGAAGAAAGACCCAAAAACAAAATCACGAAAGCAGAAAGAACGCACTGTCCCTTTCACCAATATCCCACTAAACAATACAGACATCCTCACCAGATCCAGTCGCGCTCATTTTTTGTACCTCCTCGAGGAGGCTTTTGAAGGCGGCTTCACCGACTGCCGCTTCACCATCTAACTCCAATACTTTTTTGTTTCTAACCGCGATATCCAAGACTGCCCAACGACTCTTACCCATGAAAGACGCTGGCCCAGCAGCATCGTTCGCAACATTTGTTTCGATAGACACATTCTCTTCCGACTCGACAGGCGACAACATTGTAAAACTCTCACCATCAGTAGCCTTGTCGGGCAACTGACCCATGGTGACAATGACAGCTCTTCCATCACCCAGCTCCTGTTTCACTAACCCAGCCGGTAAGGCAGATTCCAACGCCTTGACACCAAACTGCTTCATCAATTGCTCCCTGCTAGCCGCCAAAAGAGCAGAGCTCGAAGGCAATGCAGGCGACAAAGCGCTCATAGCAGACGGGTGAGCGATGTTGGCAAGGATGCTACCGTGACCAGCGTGGGACGCAAAAAGAGCGAAACCGAAGAAGATGATCAAAAGAACGACACCAGAAGTGTGGGTCTTGTGCGACTTATCCTTCTCCGTGCAAGCGCTCACAACCGCATTTTGGGTAGGTTCCTGCTGAGCCTGAGCAGCGATCTGCGCAGCCTTAATCGAACCCCTAGGCGAGAATCCAGTCGGCTTCGGCTTAGACTTCTTCGTTGCCTCACCAGCAACCGCAGACGCGATCGCAGCCTCAGTCATCTGCACATCCTCACTGATCGCTCTAACACTCTGTACATCCTCACCCTCATCCTCCAAATCATAGTCCTTGCCCATGTCGTCACCATGAGTCTTGAGACGAGCTTGGAGACGGATGACTTGGCGCTCAAGTTTACCGATTTTGCGCTTCAAGTCCAACTTCTCACGCTCGAGTTCTTCGACGGAGGTTTCGAGGCGGGCGACGTGCTCGCGCTTGCGTTCGCGGGAGGCGAGGGCAGCAGCGCGGTTGCGCATGAGTCGATCTTGACGCTTTTGAGCAGCGAGTGCGCCGGGGTCCATGTTGGCTTCTGGGGTACCTTCCATTGGAAGAGCCGCAGAGATCTCGGATGGCTCCTGCTTAGGAATAGCAGGCGCGGCCATCTCGGCAGAAACCATAACACCGGGAAGCGCAGCGGCAGCAGGCAAAGCGACGTTCGCCGGAGCCTGCTTGGCGCGCGAAGAGGATGCAGAAGTCGACTTCTTACGGCTGCTGGTACCGGCCTCTGACTGACGGCGCTTCTTGGAGGATTTAGCCGGAGAGCTGGCGCCGGAGGAAGAGGCAGAGGTAGACTGCTCATCGGGAAGAGACGGCGGAGCAATATTGGCAAGGGAGCCTGTGAAAATCGGAGAAATTTGGCGTCCGGACAAATCGAGAGCGCCAGCAGCAGCGACCGCAGCAGCGGCGGCTTCCGCGCTCAAATGATCCCTCTGAGCATCCGTAATCGGAAGTCCAACCTGAGGAGCTATCGCGATTGGCATTGCGGGCGCACCGGCAACCGGCGCTCCCGCAAACATGCCAAAATCAGCCGCAACCCCACTCGGCTCCCTCTTCATCGCGCGCATAACATCCACCTGCTGATGAGGTCCGGATCCATTGGCCATATGGAACATACTGATATCCAAATGATCCAATCCCTCCCTCAACACACTCAACCCATCCCAACTCTTCGGCCCAGGAAACGAGTCCATCATATCAAAGTCGCCAGACTCGTTTTTGATCATACTCCCAGACATACTCTCAGACGCAGAGGATGGAGACGCCGATCCGTCCATTCCAGGTATGTCATGGAGATCCTCATTGCTCATATCTGGCCCAATAAAGTCTGGATTGAGGAAAGAGAGAAGATCCTCACTTCCAGATGGAGCGAACTCGTTCTGTGAGGACTGAACGAGACTGGCGGCCTCCTGGAAATCGGACATGGACATTGGGCGGTAGAGGTGAGTTCTTGCGATTGCGGAAGTCAGAGAGAACGGGAATCGGTGGACTGAACAGAGAACGACTCAATTGGCGATTGCCTGAGTTAGTGGACGGATATATAGTGAATTGGGTCTTGTTGAGGAGAGGTTGTTTGTTAAGGCGGCCGCGGGGTGGTACGGTAATAGGGCTCTAGTGGCTTGGCCCAGGGGTGCCGGTCTCGACAACTGGAGCAGAGATAGGGCGCGGCTCGCATTCCGTCGAATCAGGGCACACGCACGACCATTACGTTTGTGGAGCTGTTTACCAAAAATAGATACGAATAGCTTTGTTTCATTAAAAACGAATGAAATCTTCGTTGCTTTTGAACTGTGTCTCGTTCTCCTCGTGCATTTCCCAATCCTCCGCATCATCCGAATCAAAGTCCTCATCATCATCACCCTCCTCTTCATCGTCAGTCTCCTCCTCATCACTGTCACTTCCGCTGTCCATGTCCATTACGACATTCGCATCAGCAGCAGCAGCAGCAGCAGCAGCCCGCTTCTCCCTCGCCTCCTCCCTCTTCTTCTTCCTCCCCGCATGATCAATATGTGGCAACTTGCACTTCACATTCGAGCAGGTTCCCTTTTCCGCAAATTCCGGGCACTCTTTGACATGCTTCTCCTTGCAGTCCGCTCCTTTCTCGCAATACCCAAGCACGGCAAAATCAGGACATACAGGCGCAGTCGGACTCACTCTAACATGTGCATATTTGCAGTTATCGCCGTTTTGGCAGTAACCACGGAGGAAGTATTGGCATGTTGGAACCCTATTCGGAGTTGGTCGATGCGACAAGTCACATGCATCACCATTCGGACATGAGTCCTTCATGAACAAGGGACAGATAGCCACCTTTTCCGGATCATGAATGTATGGACACGACAGCCCACGGCGACATTTACCTACAACAAGAGTTAGCATACGCATGCTAGCAGTACTCACGTCAGCTCAGCCATGTCTTCCAATCATTTCAAGCCAGACGCAAATGGGACAGGGTCCAAATACCGGTCCGTGTAAAGAACGTGCACAATTTGTCGACCTTCTTTAGCGATCTCTTTGCTTTCACAACCCCGTATCTCCAATAGTTCCCGCTCTTACTGCGGATAAACGTGACACCACCAACAATCGTCTTCTTCGGCAGTGCCACTCCAGGCGGTACGTCTACTCGAATTAGCGCCCATCACACACATGAAGACATGGAACATACCTGCACTCTTCAACAACTTACTCCCATCAAGAAGTAACCTATACTTAAACCCATTGACCATAACCTCCCTCTTCTCCGCCGTCTCGGCATTCCCTCCGAAGAACTTCTCAAGCTGGGCTCTCTCCCTCTTCTCCCTCTTCTCAGCCTTCCTCTTCTCCTTATTCACCCTCGTCTCCTCGATGGCCTTCGTCCTCGCCGTGACTTTCTTGTCATAAACGTCGGCATTGATAAGCTGCATATGTCGATCCTTTTTCTGAATCCACTTGCCACCCGCAGCTGCTCCAGTACTCTCCTCATCTTTGGCTTTAGGCTGATTGACTACGAGCGTACGATGCCGTGAAGCAGGAGCACTACCCCGTGGCGGCGCAGGACGAGTATACGGCGTCGTCTGCTGAGACCGTGTATACGTCTTATGATGTCCAGGAGGATGAAGAGGCGGCGCAGATTGAGGTCTGTATGCGCTCCCACTCAGAGCTTCCTGTGTGCTATTCTTGTGGCGGTTGATTGCACCTATCACATTGTCAGCATACACTCCAGATATTTTGTTCGAGGGACTCACCAGCCAGCTTCGCAATCTGTTCCAATATCTTTTGATCCTCGTCTGCCATAATTCCTTATCCTTCGTAAACAAGAAGCAACAGAAAAGGCTACCTTATCCAAGTCGGTGTTGGCCACCTGCGACGGCGCCGTAATCGCTGGCCCGCCAATGCATCCCCACGTACAACCCTGCGAGGCACAGTACTGCTTACGATGGGAGAGTCCAAATTCCGGCATTTGGCGAAAACGATAGTGTAACGACGACACCCACACCGAGATGGCCGGCTCGAATATGGAGATGTTTCGCGTATGTCTGCTGCTCTTGAGAGGGTGGGATCACAGCTAATGATCATGAGGGTACAGTTCGCGATGTATGTGTTCTTCCCCATCGCTTCCATGTACTACTTCGGTGATATCTCCTTCTACAACAAATACGTCGCACATGTACATCTCAGCCTATTCCTTCCTTCTCGAAACACAGGACTAATCTGATGAACAGCTGCAACTCTGGCCAGATTCAAATCCTATTGAGAGATTGCCGCAGGATTCGACAGATCTAAAGGAAGAGTTGGAGAAGGCACGGCAACGGCGGTTAGAGAAGAAGAAGTTCAGGGAGGCCTTTGAGGCACAGCAGGACCAGGGAGCTGCAGAGAGCTCATAAGTACGTGTTCAAAAGAGCTATGCAAATCGATCATAATGCCATTCCCAATATCGGGTCCTTATCGTTTTCGTTCTCGGGCTCCCCCTCACCTCAGGCGCGCGCGCTCCACATGTCCCGCGACCGAGGCCGAGGTCAACACACATGCCCAGTCCTCATGTCCCCCACACTTCCGGAAGTTGCATCATGAGCGACTGTCTCGGGCCTCCCAGCTACGTCTTACTAGGGTACCCCTCCAACACGGTCTCGGTTCAGTTGATCGGATCGCCAACCGCCAATCGCCAGGACACGACGCCCGAATAGGCTGATCGATACGTCTTTCACTATCGTTTATTTGACATACTAGGCGAACACCATCCAGGGTGTGGACTCCTGACGTCGACAAGGACCATCATTACCCGAGCTTGAGTCCTGAGCGTGAGCAGTTGCAATTGTTACCACTGAGTGATGTGAGTACGCTGAGAGGTGTCAGGTGAATTGGACACTAATGGCGTGGCAGGCCTGGTACTCTTTCACCTACTGAAGTTTCGTTTCGCTCGAATGGACTGCTGTTGTCCTCAAGATACGGCGGCTCCGTGACATACTCGAGGTCACCACCGGGTCCTTCACGCTCACCTTCTCCATTCACCCGTCCAACTACAGCCGACGCCAAACCCCGAACCTCTCAAATCGAGATCCTTGTCTCCGAGAAGAAACGTCCATCAGAGGAGCGCCCAACTATCGCCAAACGCGTCGTGAGTTCCCTCCTCCTTCCGCTCGAGCCATCGGAAGAGAGGGAATCCCCCCGAGGTCGCTCCCGACCTTCTCTCCGGCATCGTTCGCACACCTACCACCACACCCCCCGCACCGGCTCTCCATGGTCATCTGTAACCAGTTCCTCACAATCGACCGTCACCCCACACAGTCATACCACCAAACGCTCCTCCCACTGCACCCCGAAACCAACCTTCATCACACTCCCAAACGAGATCCTCACACAAATCGTCTCCCACCTCCCACAGTCCGATCTCCTAACACTCACGCATACTTCCAAACGCCTCCTCCCCATAGCTCGACCTTTGCTCTACCATGCACCAACGTTCTCGTCCACCTACCGTTTCGCACAATTCGTTACCTCAATCACCCGCTCCACCGCCCTCGGCTTCTGGGTCCGTGAATTGGATTTATCGTCTTTGGCGAAGATTGCGATGGACGCGAATATTGCAACATGGCGTGAATGGAAATTCAGGAATAACCCACTCTATGCAGCACCCGCCAAACTCGTCGTCGAACAAGATGGGAAAGTACATTCCCGGCGTACCGCGAACCAGCATTTACAGAAATACTCCGACGTACGCGACGTCCCGATTGGGTCGATCTTGCATTTATTGCACGCGTGTCCGAGACTGCACTACGTCAATCTCTCCAATGTCTCTATCGCAGCGGACTACGCTGTGTCACGGACCACGAAACCCACGCGTAGACCACTGATCAGTAATATCTTTGCGAGGTCGGCACCTGCGCCATTACCGATGATGACTACCAATCTTTTGTTTGCTTCTGATATTCCTCGTCAGCACAATTGGGATGATGAGGAATTGCGGTCGGTGAAGCCGACTGAGCTTGTTGATGGGCTGTGTCGGTTGGATCGACTTAAGGTGTTGAAGTTGAGGAAAGCGTTGTGGCTGAATGCCAATATGGGCCAGAAGTTGTTGGAGAACGGGAGTTTACAGTGGGTTGATTTGAGAGGAAGTGGGATGCAGAGGGATGCTCCGTGGGCAACGGTCGGCACGAGGGATGAGGTGGCAAAATATTGGAAACAAAATACCGCCGTCGAAGAGGACGAGGATCACTAAGTTGCCCGATACACTCGTTGCTGTGCGAACGTTCAGTATCCGACATTCATTTACTCCGGGATTCTATTGGCGTATGTCATACCACATCATTCATGGATTGCAGGCAATTCCAGGACAACCTTGATACCTGAAGTATGTTTAGCAATTTGATACTTTTTCTCCTGGCACACTCCTTACCTGCCCTCAATCAACTATAGCGATGAAACCCTCGTATCGTATATGACAAGGTAAATAATTGGTATATGAGTAATTCCCTCCTGTTCTGAGTTTGTGCTTAGACAGCAACCTTCTGCGCAACCCACTCAGGCGCAACCCTCACCAACTCACTCGCACACCCCTCCACCGCTTCTGCTAAACTCTGAATCCCACTGTCCCACCTCCTAATCTCCGGCCCCCCCGCCTCCTCACTAACCTCAAAGCTGATAATCCCATCAACCTGATCAATCATCCCCATCAACCGTCCTTGCTCGATCATCGTCGAACAATAGGCCTCTGCTTTTGCTGAATCGACACCGAGAAGGGAAGCGAGTTCGGAGATCCGGATGGTGTGGTAGAGGTGGGTTGCGGCGAGGACGTTGTGTTCGAGGACGGCGCGAGAGAGGACGGTTGTGCCGTCTGCTAATAAGGCTTTTTGGTGCTCGGAGAGGGTTTCAGCGAATGCGGCGACTTCAGCAGGATCGATAAGGCGGTCCAAGAACATCTTCTCCAAAATCGAGAATGTGGAGATCTGTTGAGAACGGTCGTCTTTATACAGAGTAGACAGAATTCTCGAACGCTGTGGGCCGGCAGGCGCCAATACAGCACAGGTGATCGAAGCACCTAAACAATGCAACCGCTCTTCGTCCGCAATATCTGTCACGTATGATAATTCATGATACTTCGCCGCCGCAGCCAAGAACTGCCTCTTCGAATCGAGAATCCTAGCTTGTGCCAGCTTGAAATGTAGCTGCGTGACTTTGTCTGATGTAGTATGAATGAGCATCTGTGCACGATTGAGATATGTGTCCGCAGCAACGGTATCCCCGACTTCGAGGAGGTTGCGGAGAATGCGGACGTAGATGTTCAGTTTGAATTCCTCCGAGATGTTCCTCTGACCAGACTCCAGCGGAATTGTCTGTAGGATTGACGCCGCAGCCTCGTTGTCATTCTCCGCTTCGTATATATCCGCCAATTTCTCTCGTAATTGCGAATCCTGCTCCTCAAAAGAGGTGACTCGGGGCGAAATACGCTCCAAAGCGTACTTCACGGCAGTCGCTCTCGCCTCATGACCGGTAACCTTATCCACCAACCCAACAAGCTGCGCAAGAGCAGGACGCGAAATAGCCAGACCCACAGACTCGTTCAGAATGGAGTCAATGCAGGCAGACAGACCAGCGGTATCATTCCCCTTCACCAGCTCCGCCAGGACATTGGTGTACCCATTCAATTTCTCAGACTGAGCTGAAAGAGCCTCAATTTGTGATAACGTCTCCTGAATCGACATATTCTCTTCTTACCTCGTCGACTGTATTGCCTGATGTTCGTACGCAATGGTGCTTTGACCTGCGATGTCCCTGCACAAGGGCCTTCGTACACCCATCTTGTACTCGAACAAGCCGAATATGAGAGAGCGTCCATGACAAGCAATAGCGATGTGATCGATCTCTCGAATGCTACCGTTTATGCACACGTGAGCTCTTCGGCTTCTTCGGCTGCGGATCGACGGTATATCCGGCTGGCTGAGGCTACGCTGGGATTTGAGAGCGGAAGGCGGATCAACTTGAGTGATTCGCTCGCAGCAGTCTCCGCGACTGGTAAGTTTCATGTACTGTACCATATGGATCTTTCTGACTGTCCTCGTAGTACACGAATCTCCCGCACAAGGTACCATCGAAGTCCCCAGCTCCCAGCCCAGCAACCCAGAATCCTCAAGCGTTCCCTTTTACGCTTATCCCACGCCAACTCCCTACTTGACAGATACCGTGTTCAAGACGCCAGAGCTACCATTGAAGAGGAAGCATGATGCTCTGGCGTTGTTGGAACCTCCGGTCCCCAGTCCCATGCCGTATGAAAGTTCACCTGAGCTATCTTCGCCGGTGATCACGCCGACGAAGCCTATCATTGGTGGCACTCCTTCGGGATTGGATCGCCTGGATGTGGATGACGCGAATACCGATGATACGCGGGACACATCCTCGAGTGATTTTCCTACTCCGACGCCTTACCTGACTGGATATCCTCCAGTATCGTCAACTGTACCGCGCCCGGCTCCGGTCGAAACCTTTCCAATAGTTACTGCAGGAGGCGCAGGCCCAGCTATTGGTGTAAGCGGTTGGACAGACCAAGATGGCACCTCTAGCTTCCCGTATGCTTCTCCAATCCCTTACATTCCGAAGCCGTACGTCCCGGTCATACCCACGATTCCTCAACCTCTCGATGATGAAGCGAGTCAAGGCAAGGATGGCGCTGGTACAACGGTAACGAACGATGCCGGAAGAGACGTGCGGAAAGGTTCGGCAGTGCGGGCTGCGATGGAGCCTGCGGTGAGTGATCTCACGAGAACCACGGGCAACAAACCCCCTGAGTACGACTCACAGGACGTTTCAGAGTCCGAACTACACCCTAGTCTTTCTTCTCTCATCAAACAGAGCCACCACATCTTTCCACCTCACGAACCTCACCTCCACTCCAACCCACCCCTGATAACACCCTACCTCCGCACTCTCCCAATCTCAGTCTACCGCCCCACCGCCACCACCCGACCCCTCCGACCCATGGAACGTGGATACTGGCGTATCGATGTGAGAAGCTGGGAGAAGGAGGTGAAGACTAAGTTCTGGAAGTTCCTGTCTGCTGCGATCGTTAGTAGAAAGGCTGGGTGGGTTGTTGCTCATATAGAAGAAGAAACACGGGGAGACGTGGTGAGGGTTTACTGCTGGGGTGAAGCTGTTGGGTATGTGTGGTTGTTGCTCTACGCTGTGTCGGATAAGAAGACGAAGAGGGGAATTGAATGGATTGATGCGGCTGGAGAGGTAGTCATACGCGTATAGGAGTCATGAATGATGAATAAGACTACAAGGGTAACCGGCCAAAAAGTTTATTGCACAGGCCGTCCGGAAGCTCCATATGTCCACTGATCGGCTATATGACGCCTTATCGATTAGAGGCCCACCCGTGTGACATAGCCGACGGCTCATATATAAGCAGCTCCGACCCAAATTTGCATTGTCCACGGTCCCAAGAGCCATTCAAAAATGACTGAAGGCCACATTGAACCCAAACCTCATCCTTCGCTGAATCTGCCACCTCACGGCTCAATTGTCACCGTGAAGATCATCAACACGACCAGTGACCTAGTGTGCGGTTCAGATGGTTTCATCCAACCAGTCCTTGAGGGCCATGAAGTTCTCAACCTTCCAACTTTCGCTTTCCTTATCGAGAACGAGACACTCGGCAAGACGATCTTGTTCGACCTTGGTGCACGGAAGGACTGGTGGAATTTGGCACCCAGTGTGCAGAAAGTGCTGAAGATGAGCATTAAGGGATGCAATATTCGTCAGGGGATTGATGAGATTCTCCAGAAGGGCGGTGTTCCTTTGGGCGAAATCGAGTCCGTGATCTGGAGTCATTGGCACTGGGATCACTGTGGTGATATGTCTTTGTTCCCTGGATCAACTGAACTCGTCGTAGGCCCAGGCTTCAAAGGCGCCGTGATGCCTGGATATCCGACAAATCCGAACGGTGTTCTACTTGACAGTGATTTCGAGTAAGTTTTACGCCTCTGATCTCGCCGCACCAACGCTGACTTCCTTCATAGAGGACGCGAAGTACGGGAGATTACCTTCGAGTCTGATTTCAAGATTGGACAGTATCCAGCTCAAGACTTCTTCGGCGATGGCAGCTTCTATCTCCTCGATGTACCAGGCCATGCCGTAGGGCACATTGCTGGTTTGGCACGGACCACGGCCAATACATGGGTCTTTATGGGCGGAGATGTCTGCCACTTTGGGGGCTCTTTCCGGCCTACTGCTTATGCCCCCATGCCTCAGGAGATCCCGGCGGACGTACCGATGGACCCGTGGTTTCCCAAACCCTGCCCGTGTACTTTCTTCACAGATCTGCATCCCAACCCGGACAAAGGCCTGGCACGTACCGAACCTTTCTTCCAGGTGACTCAGAAGGAACCGAGTTGGTATATCGATCCTTCTACTGCGCAGCAGAGCATCGATAGGCTACAGGACTTTGATGCAGACGAGAACGTATTCGTTGCTATTGCTCATGATTCTGGGCTTATGCCCGTAGTAGAGTGGTTCCCTCATGGGACAATGAATGACTGGAAAGAAAAAGGATGGAAAGAGGCGATTCACTGGGGTTTCGTGAATGATCTTCCTGTGAAAGGGAAATCCGCCAAGCCGGATCTTGCGCCGGGAAGAATCCGAGACGGCAAGGTGGTCGAGTAAACTCGTGCCGGCTGAGGCTCTGTTATGACGTATGCTTACAACTGCTGTTACACCTGATCTTGAAGCTTTGGGTCGAGAAATCGAAGAATCTCTCATGTGCATCTTCCGCAACGGGAAATATAAGCTCCATGGCATGCATACGCGTGCGTAGAATGACGCTCAAATTAAACTCCTTATCGATAGACAGTGGGGTTAAAAAGCAGTCGAGAGTCGCTTCCTTCAAATTTTCTCATCATCGACTGAAGACTTCTTGAACATGAACTGCGATATGACCGGCGAACCTGCGACGGCCAGACGTTCCAGTGTGCAAGGCACCTTAGATGTGCATACCTATTTCGACCCTAGCGGCCTCCCCCGCTACTCCATCGATAGGCCGCCAGCTTACGACGCGGATGTTGAAGATTTGAACGCAAATCTCCAGGGCATCAAGAAAGGTGTTATAAGACTTTTGACGCTTTTAAGCAGAATCCTTGCTTCAGTCAGCTTTGCAGTCCAGCGCTTGCGGAGGCACATGCACGCTGGCTGGGTCAACGGCGAGGAGCGTCCGCATCAGCCGCTGCCGAGCTTTTCACACGAACTGGCCGGTGTCGTTGCCTTCCTAATCATTCTTCCATTCCTTGTGTTGGTGAAACTGCCTGTCAAGATCGCAGTCATCGCCATCTGCAAGGTGTTCCGCGCCCTTTCTCGTCCCATCTTCGATGGGCTCAACCTTCGCGAAACTCTCAAAAGTTGGGCCAAAAGTCCCTTCACCGCCATGTCCGATCTGATCAATACGGCTATGGGGAGCAACGAACCCACCACGCCACCTCTTGAACCCCAGCATGGCTCAGTCCTCCCTCCTCCTCGCCGTGGAATCCGCGCCACTCAAATGCGCCGTCAAGTTGTCATCCCCGTAACTCTCTGCGAACCTTCTCCCGCCGATTACGAAAGGTTCTTCCAGCTCTTGGATCGTCTGGCGATGGCATACGACAACAACGAAGCCTCTGAGGAGTGCGGTGTCTTTGCTCTCTTGGCGTGGTATTTCTCGGCGGTCGTAACAATGTTTGATATCGCAGTCGATGGACGGTCTATTCTTGCGAAACCACCAATGGGTTTGATTTGCCTTGCAGTTACTGAGTTGTGTCAGAATAGACAGGGTGCTGCGGGCGATGACTTGATCAAGTGGTTTGTGACACTGCGCAAGAGATCTATGGTGGAAAGACTTGAGCAGCAGGGGTACCTATAAACATGGGAGTAGATGCTGTTGGGGTTTAATGAATGAGGCTCAAATTTCTCTGTGGTGCTCCGGGTTATGGTTGTGGCAGCCGGGTGATGATCCCTCAATGCTAAGCTCGGGTTTGTAGATCTAGATAGAGCGTGGGTATTCTTAGTATGAATTTAGATAAAACCTAACGCGCCTTCTTCGGCTGCAACAACTCCTCAATCTCCTGTCTCCTCTCCTTTGCCCTCTCGATATCCTCCAGGCTCTCTTCCAATGTCGCGATCTCTTTATCGTACGAGAGTTTCTCCGTATCACTTCCAATCTTCTGCAGTTCCCACTCCTTGTTCTCGATCTTGACTTGTGCGTTGTGGTATTTGAGAAGTGTTGGGCGGTGTGAGAAAGTAACCAGAGTGATCCCAAAGTCTTTGGCGCTGCGGTACATACTTCCTTCAACATCGCTCGTGACTGCACTCGTAGCTTCATCAAGAATAGCAAAGGTAGGCCGGTGGTAGAAGAGCCTAGCAAGGTTAATCCTTTGCTTCTCGCCTCCACTCAGAACATCCTTCCAGTTCTTCTGCGTGTCAAATCCACCCTCTCTCTTCCTCAAGTATGCCAGCTTTACAATCACCAAGATCTTCTGGATATCTTCGTCATCACGACCAGCGGCCACCATATCGACGTAAGTATGAGGGTAGATTACTTGGTCGCGGAGAGACCCAACCGTGAGATATGGTCTTTGCGGGATGAAGAAGATAGAGTTTTGCAAGGGCTTGCTGAGCAAACCGCGATAGGCCGGCCAAAGACCAGCAACGACTCGTGAAATGGCACTCTTCCCGCAACCGTTCGGTCCGGTGAATATAGTATGCTCGCCGTCCTTGATAGTTAAATTCAGCTGATGTATGATTTCTTCCCCGGATTTACCGGCCGGTGCTGGTAGGATGATGGGAAGGTTTTCGAATCGAATTCCGTTGTATCCTTCTTGTACAGTACCGTGCACATCAGCAAGCGAATACTTAGCCGGGAAAAGCTCGCCCTTGGGTGGAGTATAAGCATTGGCGTGAACTCTGTGGAGTGTGCTAAGCAGCGTGTAGACGCGGGACGTGTATCCACTGAGCTCGGCGAGGTCTTTGTACGAATACTGCAACAATGTCAGCCGGATTCGTCGATCGTGAGACTTTACGAACCATCAGACGAGCACCAGCTTCTGCTAGAGCAAGAAGAATGCGTTTATTGACAATGAACGCTCGAGTCCTGTCTCTCTGGCGCTGTGCCTCATTGACTGCGGAAAGGGCGCCCGAAGATCCTCCACTAAGCTTTGGTAGGAAAACGGGTAGGGAGCAGCAGATGAGGCCAATGGCTGACCAGGAGTACTTGATAACATAATCTGAGAACTATATCAGCATTCATTCGAATGGATGCCGCGATCAATGTACCTTCAGCCATTTCGTATGAAATGCGGATCTTGTAGACCGATTCAATATGCTGCTCAAGAGCCGCATATGCCCGCTCAAGGATACTCTTCTCCTGTACGAGTTGTTAGTCACCATCAAGCACATTGACTGGCACTCTTATACGTACCCTTTCAGCACCGTTGTAGAACGCGATCTCCTCCGCATTCGTAATCAGCCGACCGTGAGCATTACGATATGTCCCCTCAAGCTTACTCGACGCCGCTGCCAGCTTACCGAATGCCGGCGAGATCTTTCGAAGAATCGAAGCAGTCAAAACGTAACTGGCCAAGATCAACGTCATCGCTGGCAGACCAACCGAGTTCGCCAGCTGATAATTGAACACGAAGAGATCAATCAACGGCTTCCCGATGTTGCCGTAGATCGTAGCCGCAGTTTCGCAGAAGTTGCCGATGTCTTCCGTCATGAATTGATCAATACCCTCGATTGCCCCGTCAATCTGTACTTTGTAGTACACTGACTTGTTGTTCAAATATAGATCATTGACGTAGCGGACGAGTCGTGTGCGGAAGTCTATGGAAATCTTGGACTGCAGGTAGCGGATCATGGAATTCGTGTAGGAGGCTGGGAAAGCAATCAAGAGCCATAGAACCAAACCCTTGGTAAATCCTTTGCCATTGGCACCAACCAAATCCCGCACGATGGCTCCATCCAAACGTGCAACAACTAGCGAAAGCCAAGTCCTCGCAATCAGGAAGCAAGCATTCAGTCCGATGAGTAATGATACTTTCGAAAACAATCGAGGGCACATGATGGACCACAACGCACTGAACTGCTTCCAGAACCGCTTGTTCACCCCCGCCTTTCCTTCGACGGGAGCGGCTTGCTCTCCGCGTTTGTCAAGGAAGAGGCGTCTATGAGCCTCGAAGACAACATTACGAATTGGATGAATGACAACACGGTGATCCTCGTCTCTGTATGGTACGACGATCTCACGGGATCCTATAAGGCAGTTAGCGAGAGAAAATGTCTGCAATGACAACCCTACCATCCGGAAGAACAATAGCCGAATTACTCCTGCGCAGGGTGCTCTTCTTTTCAGGCCGCAGCATACTCCTAATCTTCACAACAGCACCCACCACCAACGCAATGCCGGACATCAATGCTGCATTTCGAGCTTGTCGGTTCCGGGAGAGGTATGCTCGAAGCCATTTCAGGAGGATAATGGGTTGTTGACGCAAAACTGCCATTGGTAGCAGCTTGGAGTTGACGTCCGTCATCGTCAACCCATGAAAGAGACAGCACCTTCCGTTTGAATATGCTGATGGGTATAGAGATGGTGAATGGTATTCTGGTGATGTATGCCACCACTCAAGCAGCTCAGCTCAGCTCATGTACCCCGCCCGGCCTTATCGGGCTGGCGTGGAGGCCGACATATTCACATGTCACAGTCTGGGGTCACTGAGGCAGTTGAACATACCCAGGCTGGCTTCAGTTTTCGTAAACTTTGAATGTCAACGGAAACATCTCAATTCCATCTGTGGAGCTCTTTAGACTGAAAAAACACTCCAGCTGGGCGGGCTGGTCATGCACGGGCACGTGCGCAACGTCGTCCAACGCGAACTCACCACCGACAGTTGTGTACAGCCATAAACAAGCAAACGATCTAGTCCGATTTACAGTATGAGTCAACAAGAAGCAGCATACTTCGTACCAACAGACAACAGAGGGCTGCGCGCCTGTCTGCTGTGTGGTATCGTCCACCAAGGCAAATACTTCAAGAAGTTCGGGTGCCCAAATTGTGAAGAGCTACTGCATCTCTCTGAATCGTCCGATGACGTTCTCACGGACTGTACTTCGACGATGTTTGAGGGTACAATTGCTATGATGAAGCCAAGAAGATCCTGGGTTGCAAAATGGCAGAGAAATGACGGCTTCGTGAGCGGATTGTACGCGGTGCGTGTGCAGGGCACGCTGCCCGAAGATATCATCGACGATTTGAGCCGAATGGGTGTTCAATACCGACCTAGGGTAGGATCTTCTTGATCCGGAAACGTAGAATCAACGACTAACTGTGGGGCCTACAGGACGGACAAGTCATCGACTAAGAATTGCAAATTGGGAGGAAGGGGGTGCGCGTCATCAGGCAAGCATTCGGCTTGTGTTTCAGGGTCTGCAACGGAGTTTACGGGATATTTTGTTTTTATGATGTACCTCAGGAAGGTGCTCAATTATACTATTTTGTTTGCGATTAACGTATAAAGGCTCGTATGGTATCACTACCCAAGAAGAGAAGGTAATGTGTGCGTCACATGAAATGACAGAAAGTAATAAAAAACGCCGTGTGTCCCGAAAAGAGAAGAATCGAAAAGCGAATGCTGCACTTAGCAGTTATGCAAGAACTCCACGCATCTCCTGACCTTCTCGTCGTCGTCGCCCTCCTTGAGGTGGCCAAGGTACATCCAGGCTACGGTCGCAATCCAAGTCTCTTTGGTATATGGCAAAGCAATCTCGATGTGGTCACCCCGGCGGATCTCACCCGATAAAAGAAGGCTGCCAAGGAGCGGCGCACACATGACAGCGTACTCAACGTGCAACGGCAGGTAAACTCCCTTGTCCTCCTCAGTCTTCCCCTCAACTTCCACTTCCTCAAGTCGTCTTGGCAACTCCCTTGACATAGAGAAGTTTTGACGTCCCGGCCACTGCGATCGGACCTTCGCCTTCCACGTCTGCCCATCCATGTTCTCCTTCGACAACGGTACAGCTTTCACGAACACGTGCGCCGATCGGTAATCTCCCAAATAACGCGAACCCATCTGAAGAAGCTTTTTCTCGATGTATGCTGTTGGAACATTGACGAGTTCGGGCCTTGGGTCAGGAATTTGCCATGCCTGCTCGAGCTGTTGAAGACAGACGCTCTCGGGGATTTGTGGTGATGTCGATGCGGCGCGCTCGGTGCTCTTTGGTGATACGTCCTCTTGCGCGGGTTGTTCCTCAGTGGTTGTTGGAATTTCAATTGTTACTGATTGAATCTCATTGGCAAGAGTCCTGGGTCGCTCCTTCTGGGTTTCGACATTGAGGAGAGGACTCGCTGGAGGAGACGCAAGCGCTGCGTGCGATCGTGGGCTGAGATGGAGGGATTGGAGACGCTTCGCGAAACCAGGTTGGTCGTCGGGGATCTCTGTCGTCTTCGCAGTCGGCAGTGGAGTAAGAATATCCTCGTGCAACCTCTTTGCTTGCGTCTTTGCCAACGACAGATCTAAGGGCACGGGCCGTCTGGAGTTTAAAGTCATTTCGTCGATTGATAGTGAAGAAGCCAGCTGATGTCGATGGATAGCAAGTACAAAAAGATGCCCAGGAGCGAATGACGGTTTATTTGAACAGGTGGCAGTGTTTAAAGAGTAGGCAGGCTTACGCGTGGGCGAGAATTGTCGAACAATGGGACGCATAGCTGACCGGCACACATCAGCGGGCCATATGAGAAGCCGAGTAGCTCCTAGGGTAATCAGCCATTGTATTCCGAAACGAGTTCCATTGTCCAGGATCGATTGACAGGCCAACGGTGCATGTCTCGCCTGGATGGACGGGCGCCGCGTTGAGACAGAGTTTCTTTGTTCTGAAGCCTGTGGCTTGGGATGGTGTGCTGGTCGGTAGTCTGCCCAACCAACACTAAACACCAACAACCTGCCCCGATCGCGAGCACCTGTACGAAACACCCCTACCGAATACGGCTCCGGTCCGAAACACGGCCAGGAGGTTTACTTACTTGAGCTTAAGTGTTGACTGCGTTCCTATTGTTTCAAGATGACCCGCTCAGCCCTCCTCATGCGCCTTCACCCGAGGACTCGAGTACAAGCCCAGATCGGAAACTGAACCCCATGTATGAGATCTCACTTAGGGTTTCGGGAATCAGATCAATGCTTTGGTTAGATATTCCGAAAGGAGTGCGTTCAACTTACTGATTCGCCGACCGAGCGATGACGGTATATGTCCCTCGGACGATCACATGCATCCCATGTGCCAGGTTGGAATCGCTATATAAAGTATCGTAATGCGTAAAGTACCCTACGCACCAAGCCGACCGTGGTAAATCTTTAGACGATCACTTCGGACAAAGCATTGCGGATGACCATTTTGGTGGCATCGATGTCTTGCTCCAGAACATCTCCCGTGCGCGCCGGCGGCTCCTCTAATCTCGTTTCCATCACTGTCACAAAGCGGCTCAGCTCTTCCAATGCAGTGCCAAGGATTTTCTTCCATTGCTCTGTGTTCATTCCCAGCAATGCTTGGAGGGCGGTGCCGTTCAGTATCTCTCGCTGTTCCCAAGGTGTCTCACCCCGCACAGCCGCGATCGCTTGGAAATACTGCTTCTGCACGAGGTGGAGAAGGTTATATGCTTCCGCCGGCAATTGCGAGAGCCCGAAAATACTCCCGTCAATGCCACTGCAGATAATAACTTTGCAGAACCCCTCTGGCGACCCCGCTGTCCCGGCGTTTGACGCCAACAATGACGCCTCCTTCATTCGCGAGATCGCGACAGGCAATTTCACCTGGAACGACCTCTTTTGCTGTGAGCCATTCATACTCGGTACGAAGCCCCAGACGTAGCCAGACTTGTCAGACGCAAGCACAAGCCCTGAGCCTCGTACCCAATGATCCAAGCCGAGCCTTGGTTTCGGATCAGAATAAAGAAACGCTATCTTCTTGGCGGCTTGGTCGTAAGTCAAAACGACAACAGAGTCCCTTTGTGTAGAACAATAGATCACATTATCCTTCACTGATATCCGTGTTGCGGCTGAGCGTAGTTTGAACGTCACCTCCTCGGGACTGAACCCCACTTTGTTGTCCGTCCCGTTCACGTTTAACGTGCGCACACAGATTTGTTTGCCCAACGTGGAGTATACCACGCCAAAGCTTGCTATTGATGCAATAGCAACGACGGCGTCGGCCGTACGGAAAGGCTTCAACCGCTTCACCCTTGACCTTCCTGGGTCGTCCTTACTCGGTTTGAAGTTCAGAAAGTGCAGCCGGCCACCGATGTCTACCCCGCCTTTCCAACCTGTTCCCGCGCAGACATAGTGATACATCACGCCAGGTCTCAACTGGATGCTCCACTCAAAGATACTGTAAATAACCTCGTTGTCTTTGAAAATCAGGCTATCAGTATCCGTGGTCGCCAAGGGGTATGATGTCTTCAAAGCACCGCTGGCAATATCAATGTACTTGATGTCCGAACGTGTAACACCTGAGGTCTCAGTAGATATGTTTGTCAGGACCGTAAATGCCCCAGTTCCCTTATGGTCAGTGATGACCCTTCTTGGAGTCGCCTCCAGGGGTATTGATCGGGTACAGAGACGGACTTCCTTGCCAACTTCAGCGAAAGCCAGCGCAGTGCCAGAAATGCAAGGCAATATGGGTGAAGCATCGATCAAACCATCAACAGACTTGGAAACAAGCGAGATGCTTTCCAATCCTTGCTCCATGACCATTTCAGCTAGGGTCACATCTCCAGCTTGTGAGGCGATGACTTTCCAAACAGCATCGCTTGCCACATAAGCCTCGGTTTTCGAGTGACTACGGATTTTGACCGGTCGGCTTCCCAGTTTCACCGTGTCCACTAACTGAAGTTGTGTACCCTCCTCCATCATCCGATAAAGTAGCATGTGCCCGGTTCGCGCACCAACGAGTAGCATATTCCAACCTTCATTGGCGATAACAACCGCCGATTCGGGTATGGCATCTTCGTACTCTTGTCCGTTTGATACGATGACTTTTTGGGTACATAGGTGCGTCAAAGCACTGAAGGGATCAATGTTGCACACGACAATCTCCGATGACAGCGTTCCTGCAATGCATATTCTCCCGGACAAGGGCCTTTCCGAAGGAGCCAACGGCAAGTCATATTGCGACAGGAATGTTGGCTCGGAGCTTAGTAACCAGCTCCCCGGCGTCTCCTCGATGCGCAGCCCTTCTTTCTTCGGCAATGATCTCGGTAATAATCTCGTCTCACCAGTCTTAAAATGTCTTGAACCCACCACGAGTTGCCCACGTAACACGTTCGCCGCAAGGACTTCCGACCCCATACCGAAAAGTTCAGCAAAAGAGGTCTTCTCGACGTCGGGCTCCGTCCTACCTGCGAGTGAAATAACTCCATCTCTCGTTACCTGAACAAGTCTCTCACCATCACGTCCCACAGCCAATGTTTCCTTTCCAGAATCGACCCCCAAGGCGTCTGTAACATCTTCAATCTCCCTTGTTTCGTAGTCATAGCACAAGCAGTTCGTCTCATTCCAGGGATAGGTAATGAAGACAAACACCCGGTGTCCTATTGTATCAGGAGCTGACCAAAGTCCGCTTATATTCTCGAAATCTCCGACTTCATCATGTACTCGTAACGGCAGTCCAGTTCTCAGCTCGCTGAACATACCCCCTTCGGACCGGCCATGAGTAACGAGGAGTCGCTGCTGACCAGACGTGGAGTCCGGCGGCGTATAGACATCAAAATCGAAGACGGGAGAGAGGTTAGGTAGCTCAAAATACCGTGTTACGGCTCCATCCGTTGAGAGCAAGTATACTCCACTCGAACACATCGCTCCCCCAGCAAACACCAAATCACCAGTCCCCATATCCATATCCAAGACCGCGAACGCAAAACTCCCTGGCTCAACCTGCCCAGCATTCACGACCGTCGCTTCTGTCGTGCAAGCATCTACCCGCGATATCCGTCCCGTTTCGTGCAGGAGATACACATAATCGTCTGCATAGCTTGCTTGTCGTGACGTTGCAATACCTGTGACTAAGCCTGCACCCTTGGGTAGAGGTGCGCGTACAAAGGCGAGGTCTCCACTTCGTATCCGCCCAGCTTCGAAAAGGCATGCTTCAGTCTCCGTCACGATGAGCGCTGAGTCTTTCACTTCATTCAGTGCAGTCATATGTAGCGGTAATGACAGCTCTGTTGGTAGAGGCATGTTGCCGTATTCGTACAGCGTGGAAAGCGGAGTCCCCGGGAACCATTGATACACAAGGACTCGTGGCTTCGCGGCAGCGGTGTCATAGATATATACCATCAGGTGTACCGGAACCCGACTGCTCTTCGTCTCTTCATCATCTCCGATCGGTGACGTGAACGTAGGAGGGGTAAGGAACATAGCATGCCAGATAACGCCCGGCACCTCAATGCTTTGTGTTTCCTGGATAACTATTGCAGCCGTATCGTTGGCAGGCTTGCGTATAGAGAACATTGCTAGTCGATTCTGAGTCGCGGCCACGACACCTGCTCGTCCTAGGGGGTCCAGGGCGAGGGACTGACCTATCTGGTCAATATCGTCGCCTAAAGTACCGAGGGGGTAAGTACCACACATCCCAAACGTTCCTGTAGAAGCGGGCTCAACGGTGGAGTACCGAAACCGAGGCTTGCCCGTTGTAGTGGGAGTGGACGAAGATTCTGCTGCAGGCGGTGCGTAACGGAGAAAGGCGAGCGTGCCATCCATGGAGGTATACGCAAGGACATCCGGTTCGCGTGTCAAGGACTGCGCATTTACACCAATGTCTAGTTTGGCAGACTCCTTGAAACAAAGGACTTGCGCGTCGCGTATCTTCTTGAACATGGGATGCTGAATAAGACAAGTGAGAGTGCCGTCGTCATTGACACGGTGCAATTCGATTGTGACATCCTAATGCTATCGTCAGTAAATCGCATATAGTCCTGAGAATTTTCTCACCTTGATCAGATATACCGCAGCCTCACCGCCAGGCAACCAAGATGGCAGAGCCTTCCTTACAATCGGCGACGGCACCAGCGTCTTACACAGAAAGCCGGGAACCTCGGTCGTCTTCTTCTCCCTCACCTCTTCCATGTCCAGATCCTGAGTCAATTCCGGGAGTGTATGCTCCATCAGTCGTCGTTCTGGAGGTTCATGCCAGTCTGTTTTTGTCGCACGCTCCAGATGTCGGGCTCGTAATTGGGTTTGAGTTGACCCCAAATTCAGGGCCTACTGCTGGTTGCAAAATGCTTGTCGCAGGCCTAAAATCACCCCTGCGCGTCTGACATCGACACTCCAACAAAACGCGTCATAACTCCATCAATATGCCTCCTAGGAAGCTGAGAGGAGCAGCCAAACAATCACTTCAGCTCAGGGCTTCAAGCCGCACCCCCTAACCCCCGCCTAGGTTCGAGGATGATTTGCGGTCAAGCCCCCCATCAAAACCACCCGCCAGGGTTAAACGTACCAAAACAGTCATTGATCTCGAAATCGAAGACCCAGAACCTGAACTTGTGAGTCAATACGATGATTTCATGGTTCAGGTTATCGTTACTAGGGAGCCGAAATTTAGGTATGCCCAAGGACCCTTCATGGTCAACCCCCTGAAAGAATGGGACTTTGTTCAACCACTATTGCTCGATCTCGCCCTCGAGGAGTTGCGTCAGGACCCTGTGGTCAAAGAGGGCATCAACATTCACTCCCTTACTCCCTACATTCAATGGAAAGTTGTACGCGGTCGTTTCAAGGATGCACCATGGTGTCGACTACGGCACCCCCTCGACTGGGAAGCATTCATTGAGGCCGTCAACACTGAGCGCATGGTACCTAAGATCGAGTGGACAGCTTTCATTCAAATTGATACGCGCTTCGTACCGCAAATCCAGTCTCTCGCCCGTACCGAAGACCTCGAAACTCCCACTAGGTCCTCCCAGCAGAAATCAAGGCCCCGCAACATTCCATTCGCAAGGGCTAGGAATACAGCAACAACTAGGGCCCTTCAGGATGTTTCTGTCAACATCGAGGGAGACCCTGTTGCTTACCACAAGTTGCTTGCCGTACAGTCCCTTCAGCAGAAATACAAATGCGCCCAGCACCATCAAAACCTATGCTACGTTCACCCATTGAGTAAGGCTCATCGACACATCAATATGCACCAGCAGAATCGATGGGCAGACTATATTGCCAATGAAGAGCCTGGGGTCTCGCTCGATCAACCACCCCTACATGACACCATGTTCAACAGCTTGCGTGAGGCATTCAAACCAACAGATCAACCCTCGGCAACACCTGAAAGCAGGTCTTCAAGTGGGCATTCGCACCTACCTACCCCCATGACAGTCAGCCGGTTTGACTTGAACCAAGCACCCCCTTTGACTCAGGTACCAGACCATGCGCAACCCATGAGAGGCTCGAGCCCTCTTTCAGGACCAGCAGGAGATGATTTGGATGGATTCTTGGAGTATGTTGGGCGACATGCGCCTGCCTACACCAACATCAATATTGACGTAGTCAGGGATGCAGTGGTTGACCACGGCATTCGCCTCGACGACCTCAAAAAGATACCGGATGATGGCCTACCACCTGCTAAGAAGGGCTGGGTCATGATCATGAAGAATTGCTGGCCAGTTTGGAAAGGTATTATGCGGGAGAATGATTCCAACGCTAAACGACTGGAGGCAAGACCCTTCGAGGTTTACGAGGTTCCCGATGAGTCAGAAAGTATCTATTAGTTCTGCTCTTTTATGTGGTATTCTTCTTTTCTCGATAGCATGCTTAGTTCTTTCACAATGACCTTACAAAGCTCAACACCTTACTTCAATCGCTACCATACTCGCCACCCCTAAATACATGGTGTCAAGTAGTATGCAATTTGCTGCAACTAGAGTCGGTGGTTACTGAAGACCACGTCTTCATGCATTGCATTTGGACATACGTACAGCCATTTTGTGAGGGAATCTGTCCGTGAGAATGGCAGGATACTGAAAATATACGAATGTATTGCTTCGATCGAAAAACCTACTCATACAAGCCAGAAAAAAGTGACTACATAGTTGCCCTAGCATCAATAGTAGCCTGGTTGTTAACCTCGACATACCGACGTAACTCTGCATCTGACAATGCATAACCGCAGCCCGTGAACAAGTTGCGGATCTTGTCAGGGTGCTCATTGATCGAGTCGATTGCGCAGCGTATGAATCCCTCAGGGTCTGATCGAGCTAACTCATGCTTGTTGTTGCGCTTCATGCAGCTCTTCATCATACTAAAGCACAGCTCGATTGGATTGAGGTCTGGTGAGTAAGGCGGTAAAAAATGGAGTCGACATCCAGTGCATTGAACAATGAGTTCATATACCCTTTCGTCATGATGAATACGACAGTTGTCGAGCACAACTACACTGTTCGGACCAGGGTAGGGGTTGAGAATTGGTAGCAGTTCATTTTCGAGGAATTTGACAAATCGATCAGCATTGAAGGATCCCTGAAAAACCGATAAAGCATGGAGCCCTGTCGAGGTAAGTGCAGGCAACACACTCCAACGTTTGGTTCGAGCAAACGGTCTCTCCTCAATGGCCCTAGTACCGACTGGCGAGTAACCAAATTTGCGGGTAGCAGTCCTCTCATCGACAGCAGACTCATCGAGAAAGACTAGTTGTTCTTGACTGTATTCAGCCATTGCTATCGCGTGTTGCGCACGTAAAATGCCGTTCCGTTCAGCTGCCCTTAGCGTGAGAGTTTTTCGAGTATATCCAATTTTCTTGAGGTATCGACAGATATGGTACTGCGATAGTGAAGTTGCAAATTCCTGGTTCATAAACTCTGCGCAATCATCCTGGTATAGGGTAGGGTTCAGATCATACAGGGCCTTGATATGCTGTCATGCCCAGCGTTTAAGTCAAGGTCCTCGATGGGGCAGCTCACTTACCATGCCTATGCGGGTGTCAATCTGAGGCGTCCTACCACAGTTCGTGGTAGGGAGGCGCTCATGGGTGCCTTCCTCCTCGAATCTCTTGACGATCCTGTAAATGGTTCGTACCGATCGGTTGATGATCTCACTGAGTTGGTGAACGTCAAAGCCCTCAATGTAGTTCTCAATAACTATGGACCGTGTGCTATTGTCGCATATTTCCCCGAACATTTCGAACCGTTTGCGACCTTCCTAGGCCTTCAATGGAGTTGTTCTGTTGATTTTACGGTGAGGATTTACGGAGCATGTGCAGCTACCTGCAGTTTGCGACAGGCATTTTGCAACCAGCAGTACTGTATCGTGCAGCAGCTGTATCGTACGTCACTAAACACCAACACCAAACGACCATCATCACGAAAAGCAACTATGATCAACGCCGTTCTGATATGTATGTCCAGACTGTTCTACTCGGCTGTATGCAGTAGCTAATCATAAACACAGTCAACAACCATGGCAAACCCCGCCTTACAAAGTTCTATACTCCGGTCGACATCAGCGCACAACAAGCATTACTGAAAGAGATCTTCACATTGGTTTCCACACGACCATCATCACTATGCAACTTTCTCGAGGGCAGCACTTTGGTCGGGGGTCAAGATACGCGTGTTATCTACAGACACTACGCAACACTATACTTCGTCTTCGTGGTCGATGAGGCAGAGAGCGAGTTGGGCATCTTAGACCTCATCCAGGTGTTTGTCGAGAGTCTGGACAGATGTTTCGAGAACGTTTGCGAGCTTGATCTGGTATACTAGTTATAGCGGTTGTATAAACCCACGCTTACAAGCCTACAGGTATTCAACTTCGAAGCAATCCATCACATCCTATCCGAGGTAATATCAGGAGGCATGGTCGTGGAAACAGATATGTCAACAATTGTGACATCAGTACAAGAAGCAAACAAGTTAATGAAAAAGAAAGGTATGGAACCGCTCTATCAACACGGTAGGGTATCCTCTGACCATAATAAACGCAGGCCAAACAAGTTATATCAGCCTGCCGAAGGAGGTGTTGGGGCATTCGGGTGGCGCGTATTAGAAATCATACCATTGTGTGCGTCGCTCTTCGTTCATTTCGTTCGTGCTGTGATTCTATGCCGCTCAGAATCCGAGGTCTACGGAGGGCATCATCTGCGAACGGTTGCTCCTGTTCGACACGTTAGCATATATCTGAAGATAATGTGTGGAGGAAAGCGTACCTCGAAAACTGGTGCGGCTTTGGTGACTCCCCTCCCGCAAATTCAAAGTGGCTGTCCAATCCTCTTCTCTCCGGCTTGACGTTCTGAACCTGCTTCACACTCGGACTCTCCCAATGAGCGTTCAAATCCCTCATAGGCCTCGGTCGTCCATTCAATTCCAACTCTTTCAATCCGCCAGACACATTCTCCTCGTCCCCTTCAGCTAATGACCAGTGCGCCATCGCTGACTCACGGCCCTCTCCCAGTTGTGCTGTCGGTGTTTGGCCCGTAGACGCGAAATCCCAATGCGCCTTTATGTCCCTCTGAGGCTGAATTTGGGGTCCAACCGCATTCTCCTCCTGAGGAGATTCACTCGAAATATTTCTCATTCCTCCTCGTGCACCCTGAACTTGTCTCGACCTAACTTCAGCGAGTACCTTGTCGTCAGGCGTACCAAAGTCCCAGTGTTTCTCATCACTAAGGTTGCCGTGGCGGCGATCACGACGATTGTAGTCGTTGTCTGATCTTACATCCTCGAAGGAGAAGTCGCGGTGGTGGACGGTAACGTGTTTGGGTGTAGAAAGCTCCTCGGGTGGGGCGAGGATGTCATCCAATCTACGGGCAGGAGCGCGAGTAGGCTTCGCCGCAGGTCTCGGTGTACGATCTTGTTGGACAGCGTATTGCTGCTCGTTAGGCTGGGCATCGAAAAGTGTCAGTTTCTGCTGGCCTCCGCGAACAGGGGCTGATGTGCTAGACGAGCGTTCGCTTGCTGCAATAGCCGTTTTTGACGCTTGAGCTGCAATGTTTGTTAGCATACATCCCTTGGATGTTCTTTTGAGAGGACTCACCGGCTTGAGAAAGCATCGTGCATTGATCCTTGCCGTCCTTAATCGGCCATCCACGCCCTCGTGCACCAATAACATCCAAGCTCTTCAATACGGCTGCTCCATCCCAGAAGTATTTGATAGACTTAATCTTTTTTTCTTCGAAGCGAACCGCATATACGAGAGGAATCTCGATAGTCTTGTCGAAAAGGAAATTGTCGTCAATGCCGGGTACCAACCAACCAGGGCCATTGGTGAACGTGATAGTCGCCGCAACCTCGAAAACGATGGATTCCGACGCGACATGTTTTGCAATAACGTTCTCGGTAACAGTGATCTCATCGCGGTACTTGGCGCGACGGGTAATGATAGCATTGGCTCCGGTCACGGTGACGCCGGACGTGATATATTGGAGCGTAGCATCATCAGCGAGGAGCGAAGCCTGAGGCTTGCTCTTGTATTGATCATAAAGCTCTTCAACAGACTGCATTGCAAAGAGTATAGCAAAACGCTGAGGAATTGCGATTGTAGGTGTTTTGTTTTGGTCGCCGGCATCCATGCACCCCAGCTTTGAGGGCCATGGCGCCAGCGTTTTAAATTGACACGGACCGTTCGTGCACGGATCACCTTTATATACACTGTGTCCACTTGAACGTGTCCAGGCTGAACATTTGGGAGTGGAAAGTCATCAGGCGAAACCAAACGCGAAAAGCTTACTCGGTGTGAGCTTGGGAATATGTTTCGGAGTGAATGCAATTGGTATTACTTGTCTCGAATAAAAACGCCAGTTAGAACAATCATCGTGCACTTCCCCGTCCCCGTTAGAACTGCATCAAGATGCCTGCCGCCACGTCAACATTCCCGTCCGCAACCTCCAATGCTTGAATGACCTGGGCCCGCTGAAAGCCCAAAGCCTCGAGCTGCTTGATGGACTCCTCTGGAAAGCGTCCACCAGTGGAACCGCTTGCAGCTTGTGGCGGTGTCGGCGCGGACTGAGCACCAGACGGAGCCGAGGATCCGACGGCATTCGTACTACCTTCCCGAGGTGGTTGCAACACCGCGCCCGATTCTGCATCTATCAAACTACCATCTTGACCTTCAACAACTTCCTCATGCCTACCAAAATTTGGCAATTCGCTTTCAGGCAGGAAAGGCACTAAAGCGTCTTGTATACGCAGAGCGTTGTCCTTGAGATCAATGCAGGCTTGGTGACGCTTGAGCATATCAAGACCAAGCAAGAGATCAATGTTCTTCCCTTCCATGACGGTGAAGGAGCACATAAGGAAGAGGTCGCCGACGCGGATTTGTGCAGAGTGTACGCGACCGATAATCTTTGCTGTGCCGACCCCCTTAGCGACACCCGCAAACCGTTTATCAACGAGGCGCATAATACTGTCAGATTGTGGATCAGCATATGAATCATAAGGTAGAGGACTGCATGTGAACATACCCGCACTTCTCTGCGCAATCAGGGCTCATGACTGTAACTTGTGCTCCAGAATCCACCATTGCCGTAACCTTCGTACCGTTGACCTCCACTGGGATGTATAACAGTGTTACAGACCCGAACATCTCCGGGTTGTGCTCCATAGCCGCGTCAAGATTCTCTGCAATTGCCTCTTGACGAATTGCCTCTTCAATCTTCCGCTGAGCCTCGACATCGAACGGGTCTGCCTGCAATGCCGCCATCTCCCTCATCCGGGCCCGCTCTAGTTCCACCTGTCGATTCTGCATCTCTTGGAGGAGTTGAGCGAAACGCGTTGGATTGTTTCTCGCCGCATCTGCCATCTCTGGGAAAGTCTGTTCGAGCTGCTGCATGGACTGAGCATTGCCGAGCATACGAAGTCGCATCATTTCCGAGTCGTTCATTGGTGTTTGTGAACTTGCCTGAGGTGCAAGACCGAAGTGTAATGGGGTGAGAAGAATCATGTCATTGTCCTTGATGCCGAGCTCCTCCAGTGTCTTTTTGTCGTCTCGCAGCTCGACGGAGTTGTGAAGTAGTGTTTGTTGCGCGGCTGTCACACCGGACTATTCAAGCATTATCAGCATTGAGAGCGCAGCGGAGAATCCAGTCCACCGACCTCAATCTCAACTAGAACCTTCATATCCTCGAGAGCCATTGACGTCGTGACATCGAGGTGGTACACATCGCCTGACGGCGTCGTAACAAGAACATGCATGGTGTATGCCTTTGACTCGCAGACGATGGAGTGTAGAGTGGTTTGACTCGATGGCCGTCGTCGAATTCCTTGATCACATGCAGACATGCAGTTGCAAGACCGTGTATGGCTGAAGGGCAGACAGGGGACCCCCGGGCCGAGGCAAGCCCCTCCTTGCCCGTAGACTAAATCTCGCTTATGCCAATGACCAATCGCTAAACGGGCCATGACTCGGAGGTGAAGGATTTTTTCAGGCGATGTCGGCAGTCGGCAAAATCTACCCAGTCCGCAGTCTTGGCGCGTTACTGTCGCTTCGAATTGCCAACGACCGCGTCCCTTCACGAAACACTCAAACACCAACCACCCACACTCTTCTAGGCGGGGGATGCGAATTACAAGTCAATGACCATGACGTCTCCTCCTGATCGGTATCCGCGCATGTACTCCTCTCGTCCTCTCGATCCGCTGCCTCAGCACCATCATCAGCACTCGCAGCACCCGTCTCAGTACCAGCCCAGTCCTGGACACCCCGCCAACGGACCATACACCGTTCTGCCACCATTACCACGGCATTTATCTCCGTCGAGGTACTCGAATAGCTACCAGCATCAACCTCCTTCACCGCCTCGCCAGTTCTCGCATGCTCCTCCCTCGGCTTATGCTACTCATCCGGGCCCGGCACCAATGCCGAGCAGGCTGCCCTCGTACCCTTACCAGCAATCGAATGGATTCTACGACAACCAAATGCACGGAAGATATTCAGAAGAGCATTCAATGCAGGCAGAGAACGATTACCACCATCCTGGTTTAGCTGGGATGCAGCAGATGAACCAGATGAAGCCTACTTCTTACCCAGCGCTCCCGCAAAAGCCGGTGAAGAAAAGGACGAAAACGGGATGTATGACGTGCAGAAAACGCCGGATCAAGTGCGATGAAACAAAACCCACCTGTCGCAACTGTGCCAAGAGTAAACGTGCTTGCGAGGGTTACGGCGTCAGGGTGTCCTTCCGCGAAGGGTACCAACCCAAGGAAGGCGGATCTCCTCCTGGTGTTTCTCCTGCCTCGGGACAAGCGTATGGACACTCGGATCATGGAGTGCAGAGACAGGACAGTTATGATCAGAACGCGGCGATTCTACGTAAGTCTTCCCTCATCCAAACACCGAAATGAATGCATTTGTCTTACATTGTGATTAGCACCCTTGAAGCAGCAGGATATCTACGCACAAACTATGCCTGTACGTTCTTCGCCTTTGCCTGGACTGGAGTTTGATAGGAGGCCGTCGTTGCCTTCTTTGGCTGATGTTCCGAGGACGTCGACGTTTGTTGATAGTCCTCCGTCGATGGGGATCAGGGCTATCCCGTCTAGAAATGCATACCCGCAGTCAGATGTGAGGTCAAGCATTGACTATGGTACTAGACCTTCGCAGATGTTCCCTACCCGCTCCCAGTCAATGAATGACGTCCCTACTCATCAACCATCAGCCTTGACAGGGTCAGGCTTGCATAGCCTCGTGAATGCCGCTGAACAGCAGTACTCTCGGAGTATCATGCGTGCTGTTCATGCTCCCAGGTTGCATGGAGATTCCGAGGATGACGAGCACGAGTATTACCACAAACCCGCTGGCGGTGTTCGTACGCCCCCTCAGCCGAGGCAGAGTATCGATTCAAATGCGCCGTCCGTCACGTCTAATGGTTCGGGTTCGCCCCGTATGTCGATCTCTGCACTCCTTGGTGGGGCTCCGGCTCCGGTTGTGAATACTGCTCGGATCGATGAGGCGGAGCAGGATGATCTCTCGTTGTACGAGCCGGAAGACCAAAACATGTTGGCGAGCGCGGGTAAGGCGTATGCTGGCTTAGGCATGATGGATGCCGCGACGACTCAGATCTTCAATCACTTTTTGTTTGTTCTCGGGCCGATTATGAATACCTTTGATTCGGCGCCTGCTGATCCTGAGGCATTGTTCAAGGACCCCTTAGTCGCGGAGAAGAACTTGTGGACGTACCTCATTCCCATGATGGCGATGCGTCATGATGCTTTGTTGCACTCTGTGTTGGCGTTGTCTGCGTTGCACATGAGCAAGGTTGCTGGCGGACCGGGCCATGTTCCGTTGTTGCACTATCACTTGGCGATCAGGAAGTTAAGGCGTGTTTTGGAGGCTGGAGAGAGGGAGGCTAGGGACGAGGCTATGTTGGCTGCCACCTTGTTGCTGAGCTACTACGAAGTTATGAGTGCCGAGCATGTCAAATGGGGCAGGCACATGATTGGCGCGAAGAACTTGGTCAAGACGATCCTTGAGAAGGAGAGGGTTGGGCAGGGGTCCAAGGATCCGGTCATGCAGTTGGCCCGTGAGAAGTTAGTCTGGCTGTATCTCCGCGTCGATATGATCCAGGCTTTATTGAGCGGAAATGGGATGTTGCTGGATAGGCAGTACTGGCACTCTTTCGTTCCACGCAACACCCCAGCTGAGTCTGTCAACTTCCATGATCATCTCCTACTCTTGATGTCCAGGCTCGCAAACTTTTGCGCAACGGACCGTGAGCGCAAGGTGTCCCAGGCCGGCGACGATAATGCTTCCGCTCAAGCTTTGGAGCAGTGGGAGTCTTTGGAGAATGACTTGCGTACTTGGTACTGTGCTCTGCCGCAAGATCTCTTGCCGTTCAACGAGAAGGATGCGCCCAAGCACCTTACGCCGTTCGGTCTCGCTGTCTACTTCAAGGAGCCGGCTATCGCTGCTCTCCACTTCTTCTATAGCACTGCAGTCATCCAACTTCGCCGGGCCCATCCATCATTGCCGGCGACTCGCGAAGGTCAGATTCGTGGTAGCGCGGCAAGGACGGCTGGGCATTGTACGTTGGTTCCGGCTATCGTTGCGGGGTTGCTCTTCTCGTCTGGGGTCATGCTTCCCTCCATGGCTGCGACTGGTCAACAGTTGTCCAAGCATTACCCTCCCTCGTCTTCTATCATCTCTGCACTCCTGGCGTCTACGTTCCCTATGCTTGTCGCCGGTCTGCAAGCCCAGGCTGCGGACCAACGTGCATTCCTTGAGGAGTCAATGGAGGCTATCTTTGAGTTGACAGGGAGTTTGACGGCTAGTCGTGTAATTGAGGGATACATGTTTGCTTGGGGTCAAAAGCAGAAGGTCACTCGCTGCCCGACCGGTGATCTCGAGGACCTAAGCGAGCGTCGTGAGCGCAGGATCATGCTCGACCAGGAAAGCGGCGAGCAGCTGCAGTGGGTTCTGCTGACGAACCCTGAGCGAATTGGGTTTGCTACTGGTGTGCTCGGCGAACTGGACAATGAGGATTACGAGCTCTTTCGTGGTCGGCTCGTAAAGTCATGATGTGGGCGACGTATTGTAATGGTGTGTGATGTAATCTGTACCATATATGGAATGTCGGTATTCGGCGGTGTTTTTGCGGTGGAGTCATGGGAATGGTGTTTACAACATATAGCCTGGAGTTTATGAATTTATTTTTATTGTATGTTATCCATGATTGTTTGTCTAAGGGTCGTGGGCAGAAGCGAAACCCTCGGCCTTCCATGCCTTCCTGTACTCTTGCATCTCCTTTGCCTGGGCAGGTTCCAGTGCGTCCTGAGTGAACTCGACAATGTCGTCCAAGGTGATGATAGCAGAAACCTTAACACCAAACTCCTTCCTGACCTCACCAATGGCAGACAAGTCACCGGAAGCACCCTTCTCCTGACGGTCCAATACAACACAGACACCAGAGAAAGTACCACCAGCAGCCTTGATGATCTCCACAGCCTCACGAATAGCAGTACCAGCAGTGATGACATCGTCAATCACAAGAACACGCTTGCCCTCCATGGAAGCACCAACAAGATTTCCACCCTCTCCGTGGGTCTTGGCCTCCTTGCGATTGAAAGCATATCCGATATCAGCATACTTGCCACCTCCGACATCGGCAAGCTTGGCAGCAGTGATGGCAGCGAGGGGAATACCCTTGTAAGCAGGGCCAAAGAGCACATCGAATTGAATACCAGAGTCAACAATTGCACGAGCGTAGGCAGACCCAAGGGCGGAAAGGAGAGAAGCAGTGTTGAAAAGACCGCAGTTGAAGAAGTAGGGGGACTGTCGGCCAGACTTCAAGGTGTAAGGTCCGGAGAACTTAAGGATGGAGTTGTTGACCGCGAGGTCGAGGAGGGAGCGCTGTGGTCATGGACATGCTTAGCCTTCGAGATCATGAAGATACCTGCCACCGCCGACGTCCGCCAGTTTGACAGCGGTGAGAACAGCGAAGGGGAGGGCTCGGCAGTACCTGGTAGTCCTGGAGAGGCATTTTGGAAATTTCAGGTTGGGAGGTGTATGCGGTGTAACGAAGATACGTTTCGGCCACGAGAACCGGCAACGTCAATGTCGGCGGTTGAAACTGGCATATACATCGTAATATCGTAAAGCATTTCTAAATAAGGATCGGAAAGATTAACCTCGAAGACCATTTGCATTCAAATAGAATAGATGAAGGCAAATTCGGATAAACTCAGCGCACCACGGAGATCGGTAGTTCGCTTGGGCCCGTCTCAGCATTATGGTTTCGGCGGATCAAGGGATCGGCCAAGTATTCGAAGTTGACAGTCATCGGGGTTGCGAAGGACTGGGTAGGCTCGTACTGATCGGTCCTGGCATTGGTCCTTTTCGCGACTCATAGCCTTTCACTCGTAGCTTCACGGCATTGGCCTGTTCAATTACCGTGGTTGTTCGGTTGGTCGTCGACGGTGTGCCGGTTTGTGACGTTGACTGAAATACGAGGTTTTTCCGCGCACGCCAGGCGAAACCTCATCTCACTTTAAAAATCAGCACTACGCCCGTAAGCCAACAAAAACCCCATTGAAGTCCTCGATACTTCGCCGTTCATCATTTTCCTTTCTCTCCCTCGGTCACTCTCTGTCCGACTGCTGCCGTTGCGATGAAGATCTCGAAAAAGTTACAAGAATCCATCAAGGAGAAGAGACCGGCATGGTCCTTCGAGTACTTCCCACCGAAGACCGCAGTAGTATGTGTTGCAGTCGACTTGTTGTCCGAGGATATATGCTAACGTCCGTTCCAGGGTGTACGAAACCTCTACGACCGTATGGAGCGCATGTATGAGCTCGGCCCCGAATTTATCGACATTACGTGGAATGCCGGTGGACGTCTTTCCAACCTTACTTGCGAAATGGTCGCGACGGCACAGTCTGTCTACGGCCTCGAGACATGTATGCACTTGACCTGTACCGGTATGCCCCGAGAAAAGGTCGACGAGGCCCTTGAGGACGCATACAAGGCCGGATGTCAGAATATTCTCGCTCTCAGGGGTGACCCTCCTCGCGATGTGGAAAAATGGGAGCAAACTGATGGTGGGTTCAGATACTCCAAGGATTTGGTGAAGTACATCAAGGACAAGTATGACGACTATTTCGATATTGCGGTGGCGGGATACCCAGAAGGTCACCCCGACGATGAGGAGGATGCGGATGCAAACATTCGGTACTTGAAGGAGAAGGTGGATGCTGGAGCAACGTTTGTGATCACGCAGATGTTCTATGATGTAGACAACTTCCTTGACTGGGTGAAGCGATGCCGCAAGGCGGGGATCGACGTTCCCCTTATTCCCGGTATCATGCCCATCCAGTCGTGGGATGCCTTCCTGCGTCGTGCGAAGTGGTCTGGTGTCAAGATTCCGCAACATTTCCTCGATGCTTTGGAGCCGGTGAAGGACGATGACGCTGAGGTACGTCTGCGCGGTACGAAGCTCATGGTTGAGGTGTGCAAGAAGATCCTCGATGCAGGCATCTATCAGCTTCACTTTTACACCATGAACCTCGAGAAGGCTACCAAGATGATTCTCGAAGGCCTTGAATGCGAGGCTTCTCCAGGCGACCTTCCATGGAAGCCCAGTTTGGGTCTTAAGCGCAAGGAGGAGAACGTGCGTCCTATCTTCTGGAAGAACAGGCACAAGTCTTATATTGCCCGCACCGAAGAGTGGGACGAGTTCCCTAACGGTCGTTGGGGTGATGCGAGGTCGCCTGCGTATGGTGGTCTCGACGTGTACGATGGTCTCTTGAAGTGTTCGAACGAGGAAGCTCACAAGATGTGGGGTTACCCCACGTCCATCGGCGATGTGGGTGATCTGTTCGCAAGATTCTGTGAGGGGGAGGTCCCTCAGTTGCCATGGTCTGATTCCGCCATTACTGAGGAAGCAGCTTCCATCCGCGATGCTCTTGTGAAGTTGAACAGACACGGCTTCATCACTGTGAATTCTCAACCTGCTGTCAACGGCGTGAAGTCTACCGACCCAGTCTTTGGTTGGGGACCCAAGAATGGTTATGTCTACCAGAAGTGCTACCTTGAAGTCTTTGTACACCCTGACCAGCTTGACTTGTTGATTCAGAACATGTCCAAGGAGGATGAGATCACCTACTACGCCGTGAACAAGAAGGGCGATTTGCACACCAATACAACTTCTGACGAACCGAATGCGGTTACTTGGGGTGTCTTCCCAGGAAAGGAGATTATCCAGCCTACCATCGTCGAGATTGTCAGTTTTATGGCCTGGAAGGACGAGGCTTTCAGATTGGGCACTGACTGGGCAAGGTGTTATGCCCCTGGAAGCGAGAGCAGGAAATTGATCGAGGACGTCATGGACACTTGGTACCTCGTGAACATTGTGCACAACGACTTCCACGAACCATGCAAAATCTTTGAAGTTTTTGAGACGATTGAGCCCGTTGTGGGCCACACGAACGGGGTCAACGGGGACCACGGAACCAATGGCTACACCAATAGTGCAGCCAATGGCATTGTTGAGGCATGCGAGAAGGTATCGCTCAATTAAAAAGTAAAAACGTTTACTACGCGAAGGGCGTCAACCGCCTGGCTTCGCATTATCGGACTTGGTGTTGGGTATCTTTTTTAGCATTTTGGAGTTTTTGAGGTCTTCAACAGGCGTCCATCATTGTGATTTGGAATTATCTCTTGGTTATATCATAGGCCTAACAATATCTTATACATACATGTACAACTTGAATTTTTTCGAAATTCTCTGTCATAGCACTCCGTAGCTCCCACGGCAATTCGGGCTGCGGATCCGGCTCGTAAATCCGGGGAGCGCGTGCATGCAGGGATCTGGTGTACGAGAAAGTTCGACGTATGCTTACGAGATACACTGATAGACCCCGACTCCAATAAATTGTATACCGAACGGTACCCTACGATCGCTGAAGGTTCGTTGTGAAGATGCCTACGAGTACTGCTGCTGAAGCGTTGAAAGCGCAAGGTGAGTCGGTCGCCAGAATGCGCTCTTGATCCGTTGCCTAACGTTGGCTGCACATAGGGAACGAGTACTACAAGAATGGCCAGTATGAAGAGGCCCACAAGATGTACACTCAAGCAATTATCAAAGATCCGACGAACCCTGTGTTCTTTGCGAATCGTGCTATCTGTCGGATTAAGATGAACTTGGACGAAGAGGCTGTTGCTGACTGTGAGCGAGCCACGACACTATCGCCCACCAACATCAAGGGATGGTATTACGTAAGTAGGCACTTTACACACTAGTGTTACTGTTTACTCATAACGGATATCAGATGGGTCAGGCTTTGCTGAAGCTCAGACGGCCAAATGAAGCTCTCAAAGCTTGTCAGAAGGCGTACGATCTTGCGAAACGCCAGAGTTCCCCTCTCGCGGTTGACATCGTCGAGAAACTCCTGGCAGCAAAGAAAGCCCGATGGGATGCTATGGAACAACGAAGGATCGATCAGGAGTGCGAGTTGTTGGCCAACTTGAAACTCCACCTTTCCCAGGATCGGGACAGACGCATCGCTGAGTACATGGCTGGCGATTTGCCACCTGAGGAGAAGGATGCTGAGTGCGACTGGGCTAGGCAAGAGTGCGAAGAGCAGATGCGAGCACTCTGCGACGCCTTCGCTCGTGCGAATGAGTCCTTGCGACCTCGAGAGGTGCCATTGCAGTTCATTGATCCCATCTCGTTCAATTTCTTCACGGATGTAAGTAATCCCTATCACAGCTCCAACGGAGGTCCTGATAGTCGTTTAGCCTGTGATCACGCCCTCCGGTCATACTTACGAAAGGGCAACACTCATGCAACATTTGAAGACGTCTCCCACGGATCCGCTGTCGCGTAAAAAGTTGTGGCCGGAACAGCTCATACCTAATATTGCATTGCGCGATGCTTGTACAGAGTTCTTAGAGAAGAACGGATGGGCTGTGGATTACTAGATGAGTGCAGTATCTGAACATAAGCGTTTGTTTTCTGGTATGCACGGACGGTGTTTGGTATTTGGGAACTATTGGGAAGCATCGGTAGCTTGGCGTTAAGCGGCATTTCATTGTTTTATACCCGCTAATTTTTGTCACCAATGTAATCTTTGACGATGATCAATCTGCCCATGATCCTTCGACTTCTCTGGCAACGTTCATATAGTCTTGCAATCGGTCCACACCAGCGATCTCGCCTGTGTAGAACAAACACCAGTTGCTTTCGGGTAACTTGTATGTTCCCTTTGCACGTTCGAAATACTATATCCTAATTAGCAAAGGCGGCTGTGAGAAGAGGTCTGGCCTTACCCATTTGTTGACTGGGTTGTTCTTCCGAGAGCGCCAGATGATCTCGTCAGGAAATGTATACAGCATCGACTTAAACATGACATCTGCAACCCCGCCGGCTCCCTGACTCTTCTGCAAAACAGCGAACTTATCAAGATATGCGATTTTGTCGTCACCGTCTTTCAAGGCGTTCTCCCAAGTGATGATTGCAGCTCCCTCATAATCTCCGGCGATGATAATAGCAGCAAGGTTGCCTTCAACCCTCTTCAAATACCTCTCCACATCGAGCTTTCGTCGGAATGAATCTTCGATGAGATGGATCATTCGATTCAAGTCAATATTACCATTGACCAATGATAACTGAGGTCCCGCATGAATGGCGATTGGCAGGCCATATCGGACGATGGTAGTGTCTGTCGTTGGTGTGCGCAAGCCCGCAACAGGAAGTGATGACGAGAATGATGGCTTGTCTGTCAGTAGGTTATGGATGAGTGGGTCCGGGTTGTTTGCAGTTCCTTTTGCTCCTGTGTATGATGGTGTAGTGATGAGAGCCGAAGAGGTCGAAGGAAGCTGAGCCAAGCAGGCGTGCACTGTTTGCAAATTCCTAAGATGTATGGTATTTTGCTGTCTCTTTACCCTCCGATCAACCATGAGCTGAGCCTTGATTTCTTCGTATTCCTGCTGAAGATTGATGAAGACGTGTGACCGTCCTTTCCGCTCTTCGGATGGGATACCCCCTAGCGGATCGATGATGATGATCTTGTCGAGCAGGAATGCGGAAGAGACATCATTGATCAGGTTTGATAAGCCGTCGGACGGTGACTTCGGCGCAAATACTTTGGCCAATGCAACCATTGCTTCGTCTGCGGATATTGCATGTAGACAGCTGTCTTCGTCGTATGCCACCGGGGCAATGACGGGAATATGACCGCGGTTGAGAGGTGCTACCAGCAAGAAGGGCGAAATGATGCTGTTCACTTGCCTGTGACTTTGTCCAAAGAGGCCGTTCCATAGGGGACGCGCCCTACCGCCTTCCTCCTCGATCACTTGTACTACGCGATCCACAGTCGTAAACATATTCTGCTTCCACGTCAGGATGTCTGCTGTTTGGTCGAGATCAGCGTCGACAACGATCACTGACACCAAGCCCAGCTGTTCCAGTTTCACGACGGTCCGAGCTACACCCAATAGCTCTTCCTCGGATAGCTTTTGTACCCCTCGCAGTTGCACCAACGCCACATGTATTCTTTGAGACGTGTCAAACTGGATCTCGGCACTTGCATCCTCTTGTTGATCCGGGAACTTAAATAGATGGTCAAGGAAGGCAGCCTTCTTCCGTTCTTGCACGGCTTGTGCTTCGGGTGATGCAGGCTTGAACCGATCAAGATAGGCTTTAGCATCACGCTTGGTCGGTGAGCTGCCCAAAATGGTGAGGAGAAGGTCCTGCAAAGATATGAGTCAGTCGCAAGGAAACGGGCTTGATGTGGTATCACATACCCGACTTCGCTCCGCCGAAGTCACATGTTGATGATGGTTATTCCTTGTGCCAAGTGGTACAGCAGTGCTAAGCCGTGCTCGTGTTGAGTGCCTTCGAACCTGTTCCTTTTGTACGATCAGCCAAACGTGCTCATCATCCAGACCTAGAGAATGGCGGGTACCGCTAAGCGAGTGAAGGCAGACAAAACAGTACTATTTCGTCCGGCCATGAGGCCTGTCATTGGCTCATCAACTGATCAATGTATTGAGAACAGCTGTGAAAACCCTTGACTGTTTGTCACCAAAGGTTTAAGGTTCTGGTTTTATGCAGGGACCATCCGATATGAATTGCCGAGGAATACAGTATTGGAGTTCGAAGATCATGAAACACGGAGGAGGACATGACTTGGATATTTTTATTCCGATTTTCCTTGCTAAGAGGTAGCGGTATTGTTAGAAGCTCCGTCTTTATATCGGCTCTGCTATATCATTTCCGCCAGACCTCTCTCGATGATCCCACACTCAAGCTCACGCATCTTTCGGAAGAATATGAGGCCTGGGTCCAAGAGGAACGACACCTCCGGCCTTGTCACCATCGCTGACAGCGTAGTAGTACCCACCCTTGATATGATCGAAGTTGGTACACTTCTTGAACTCGGGAATATCCCAATACATGTGCCTCAGCCACCTGTGAACGTTAGGGTAATCGTGGCGAATCATCTTGATGTTACACTTGAACTTGGTGTGGTAAGCCGTGTCAAAGCGAACCGCCGTGACGTAAGTGCGGATATCGGCCTCGGTCAGTCTGCCACCGACTAAGTACTCTCTTCCGTCAGAAAGGATCTTCTCGAGCTTGTCCAAAGACTCGAAGACAGCAAGAACGTTCTCCTCGTACACTTCTTGCTTCGTAGCAAAGCCTGTTTTGTAGACCTGAGAAAGTCGGCGGTCAATATGGTTATCAATATGGAGGACTTAGGTTTGTAACTCACTCCATTGTTGAAGTTATGATACACCCACTCATTGAGGTCATCAATCTCCTGACGAAGGTCTTCAGGATAGAAATTCAAGCCCCTCTTTGGCGAGTCAGTTGGCAGCAATTCATCAAAGGCTTCATTGAAGATGCGGATGATCTGTCACCTTTATGTCAACTATTGCAAAACAAAAGGAAGCTGGGCAGTGACAAACCTCCGACGATTCGTTGTTCACAATAGTGTTAAGCTTCTTGTCAAACAGTACAGGCACTGTGTAACGGAGATTGTATTCCGGATTAGCCTTGTGGTAGATTTCTTTGATATACTTGGCCCCGAAGAGAGGATCTCCCGTGGCCTCAGGAGTGTCGCTTTCAAACGTCCATCCATTCTACACATCCCTGTCAGAAGTGCACTCATATGCGTGGATTCACTCAGCCGTACCTCTGTCAACGTGTAGTGCAAGATCGATACATCAATGATATCCTCAAGGCCTTTCAAGCTCCGGGTAATAAGCGTCCGGCAAGCCCACGGGCAAAGCAAGTTCGCGTAAAGCAAATAACGTCCCTTCTCAGGCTGGTGTTTCCCATCCTTCGAGATGGTATTGCGAAACTGAGCATCCTGCCTCTTGAACTTCCCGTCTGTGTCGGCCTGTTTGTAGATGCTCGCAGGTGGTTTGTTATTGACTTGAGTCATATTGCCAATGTTGATCTACTCGTCTGTACGTTTTTCCTTCACGGCTCCTATATATGAGGTTGTACGAATTATGTCATCTTACTAATGAGCTCCCCGACGTCGCCATCTCGGCAGCACGGACCGAACCTCCACAGACAAGCGAGAACGTGCACGCGTCCGGTGAACCAAACTTACACTGAGGATGGACACGAGCACACATCTTGAGTTGAATACAAACCTCCTTTAAGAACGACGGTAACAAAAATTCACATATGTCTAGTGCTATCAAAAACGACCTTCTTTTCCTTGGACCACAGCGCTCAAACCCATACCGTATTGCAAACGCCAATGATAACCGTCCTCATGTACAATGCTCAAGCTCTCGCCGGTAGGTATACCCAATCTGCTACCTATTCTCCTGTAAATCTTTCACGCGTTCTTCGATTACACACTTGTTTTATAGCAAAAAGTTGACACTCATCCTCGAAGGAGGGACGGGTGAGGTGGATGCATTGCTGGCAGCATCCTGCGCCGTCTCGCCTGATCTCTCGCTGGGATATCTCAAAGGAGGGAGAGTGGGGAAGCTAATGGCCCCCTCGTCACGCGGTCCTTCGACTTGAACCTTGGGCGCAGAGTCTGTACGCTTCATCATGATCATCTCCTTGATGATTGTCTCGACTTCAGCCACGTATGACCAAGGGTGGTTAGGCGTACGCTCATGTTCGCCCAAAGCAAGCATACCAAGTGCCTCACGAGCCGCACCTCCAGCCTGCACATCACCCATCGCCAATGACAAAACCTCTTCAGCAGCCTCTGCAGAAGCAGGACGGCCATTCTCATCAAACCATCCTTCCCGCTTGTGGGTACGCACGAAGCGCAAGAACTGAAGGAGGTAGGCGACGCATCCCTCGTTGACATGCCTCCTGTATCCAACCACACCCAAAGCAAGCACCGGAGGCAAAGCCTCTTCCCAGAAACCCCTCAAGCACAAGAAGAGCGTGCAGCGCCACAAGTGAGTGACGGTAGTAGAGGATACGGCAGCAAAGCTTGACAATCCAGGGTACACGGCACGGTTCTCGGCAAAGGTCAAGCTCTGTGCGGATAAGTACGGGGAAGCAGGAGTTGGTCGCTGAGGGTGCGCGATGATTCTCGTCACAAGCTTGGAGGTGTCAAGAGCAACATCCACCAACTTGTCAAAGGCAGACAAGCGAAGGTGCTGAGAAGTTGCAGTGGACAGGTTGTGGCGGTACAAGACGAGGTGAGCGTTCTGCATGAAGTGCAAAGGCAAGAAAGCTTGGGGAGGCAATGGACCCCTCTGGTCGGGATAACACATGGAAGGGAACGCCTTCCAGCAGCTGCGGAAACGCGACTCAAACCCCTCGAGATCCTGCTGGCCGATGGTAGGCGCCGTAAGGGCCTTCATGACGACACCGACGATCTGGGCGGTGTAGATACCAGCCAAGAATAAGTCAGTTCCAGTCCGAGCACCTGCTCCCTCTTCTGAGAGCATAGCCTCAGCAGTAACACCTGGAAGAGACGTACTAACATCCGAGTCGTCAATACTCAGACACTTCCCATACTCTGCACTCAACACTCTGTCCCATACGTATACACCCCACCAAACCCTGCGCCTCATCTCGAGCTCCTCTGCAAGCTGGGGGTTGGATGCGTTCGATGGCGTCTTGTGCAAATCCATACTCTCCGCAATGCGCAATGCCGTCCCCGCCCAGGTCCATGCTGGCGTCATGAGGTTGGTTTCCGAAAGGTAGATTGACTTCAACAAAGCGTTGCGAACGTCGTCGAGGCAGGGCTCGGCCTGATCCCATTGTGCGCGGCTTTGTGCGATAGCAAAGTACTCATTGCCGTTGTTAATGAGACCAGCGGTGGCATTGTTGTTTCGCGGTAACGTGCTGTACTGAGCTCCCAATGCAAAGACGGAATACAACAAAACGACCCACGTCCGGTTGAAAGAGCGGAGGTCCCCCTTGGCGTAAGCCTCGTTGTATCTTCCCATAAATGTTGGCCAGTGGATCACGGGAAGAACTGTCTGCATCGATCTGTAGTAGCTTTCAACGAGATCATCCGCAACGGCGCGCGGAGGTAAGCACGGCTCGTTGTCTGGCGAGGGTCGACTCGGTACTGGCGAACGCTCGTGAGCGATTGGTGTCGCCGATGCTTTTGTATACCGCTCATCAACCTGTTCTCCGCCACGGTATCCATCGTCCTGATCGTCACTCGGCGTCCCTGGATAAGAGTACTCCGCATTCGGATTTCCACCCTCAGGAACCGAGAGCGCCTGAATCTGCGCTTTTGCTCTCTCCAACTGCCTTTCGAGATCTTGTACTTGTCTGTCGATGATGTCAGTGTGTGCGCTTGGGGATGAGCCGGAGGTGTTGGCATACTTGATCGATGATAGTTTACGACTTGTTTCTTTCGTAAACTGACATTTTACGTTTCTGGCTGCGCATTTCGAACAGGGGCCGTGCTCTGTCGCATCGCACTTGACTTTTCTGCAGAAAGACGTTAGTAAGCAGTAGAGAGAGCAGGGATGAATGCGACAAACCTCTCGCGACAAGCGTCGCAGGAAGGATCTTTTCTTCTCTGGCGAAATGGCCGCTTGTGGCCAGGCGGAGGAATGCTGTAAGGGTATTGCGGCGGACCGCCCATGGCAGCCTGGGGAGGAAGTGGCAAGCCGGGCGGAGGGTGCTGAACAGGAGCGTAACCTTGCGGTGGCGGAAGCCCATGGCTCTGAGGGTGAGCGTGGGGATTGTAGTGATTGCCGTCCATGGCGAGTGTATGCTGTTTTTTCTGCGACTCTTGTGTCCGGAGTGGCAACTGGCAGATGTCGAGAGATGGGGCGGGCCGATAGTGATGTGAAGAGAGGACCGTGATCCCGGGATGGAGCGACGGATCAAGCGATTTTGACGGATAGACGGTAGGCGGTGTTTATGTGGAGGATTGGGTACTCGCCCTCCAGGCTGCTTGCTGGCTGCTACACAGCTTGCCCCGGCGACGGCTAAGACCAGCGAGACCCTCTTCGGAAGCCACAACCGACCCAACCCTAACCAGCGGGAGATCCGCGCGACGGAGAACGCTCGGAGGAAGGGGAGATTAAGAGAGGCAAAGGATATGGATACGGTTAAGCGACTTCTCTTACACTCTCTCCACCTACTCTACTCCCCTATAGCAGCTCTTGCACACCCCCGGCACACCACAGCTCCCCGGCTCGGCAATTGCACTCGTAAGAAGCTTAACTCTAAAACGTTAGACGGGATGAAAAGATTCCTGCGACCATGAAAAGTCAACAAACGCCTCCTATGCAAAGTCAATCACGAAGATCAAAGTAAGGAATACTCGACCATGCCATCATCATCGTTGGTCTGGCAGTAAGCCCTTCTCGTGTAACTTGTGCTTCGCTGGAAGCCTAAACAAACAGAACGCGTAGGACTGGAGAAGGAGCAGATGACGCGGGCACGGCAGCAATCCGCGTAAAAAAACGGGCAGAGAGCCCGGTGGCTTGAGGACTTAAACGTTGCCCTCGCCATCGCCACATGTGGAAAGAGGGAGAAGGGGGATTCAGCGTTCTCCGCGGAGGGAAATCTTCGCCAGAGACGTCTGAACGCGCCGGGCAGGCGGCAGGCGGCGGCTGAGATTTTCCGACAACCGCAACCCCGCTAGTCGAAACACGCGCGCGTCCTCCAATCGTCTGGGACCGAGATGAACCCAGAGAAACATCGATGTTGTATTAGTAAGCAGGTCGTCCTACGTGATCGTTGCGGTAGAGAAGTGACGACGGTCATTCTACCATTGCAACTTATACTTGCAGGAGCTGTTCATGACGGCAACGGGACGGCTACGGTACCGACAACCGGAAGTCAAAGGTCGTGCGCTGACTGCGTCATCTCCCACTACATGTACTTTCGCTGCTGTCTTCGGTCGGACGGAGTGCGCGCGTGTCTCAGTCACCGGTAGCGCTCATAATCTGGAGTGGACTGCGGCACCCGACTTGGGCCTTCCCGTCATGAAGTTCCATTGGGTATACGTAAGCGGTACCTTAACTGTCTTGATGCATCGCTTAACGTCTACTGTTCCGCGGGGTTCGGTGCCGTTTCCCTCACCATCTTCTTCCACTTGCTCCCCGCTTCGGTTCCGTCTTCCGATAATGCCGCAAACTCATCCTCGCCTTCCCAATCTTCATCGGGTTCCTGTCCGAGTTCCTCGCCGTGACCTATATTGAATTGTCAGCTGTCACATTCATCAAACACGTCTGTGTAATCTCACTTTTGTTCTTCTGAATCCACTTGGCCTGGAACCGACTTTCAAAGTAGGCAATTCCGCAAAGAAAAGGAAAGTACAGTACAAAGATGACCTTCCTGTTGAGGGTTTGATAAGCCGAGCGAGACAGCAGGGGCTGTAACGGCAAAAGAAATATGACCTCGACCAGGTTGAAAGGAGCGAGAAAGACTGAATTACAATCTTAGTACATCAGCAATTAAACGCCTTGCTTGAAAGCACTCACCATTCTCATCCGGGGCTCGCACGGCATTGAGCGTCCGGCGTGAGAACAAAGCCAAAAACTCATCCGTACTGTTATCCGTAATGTTTGAATACGCTACGTTGAACAACGCAACGAGAATGTTCAGCAAAATCACAGCTGTCACAAAAACCCAGAGGTAATAAAGGATAGGACCGAATGGTTTTGCAAAATCCCTGAACGTATCAAAGTCCGGTGACTGAAGGACGGCCTGGATAATCGAATGAAGAAGTGCAACAGGCGAGTCCAACACTCGGTCAGCAGAGTCCAGCCCCAAGAAACTTTGGATGAAACCAGCCGCTACAACAGCAAGCAACGCGAAGAAGACAACAGATTCCTTCAGCATCTCCTTCGTAACAATAAGCATAGTACCAAAAAACTTACTCGTGTCGAGATAGAGGAGCATGCGTGTCCACATTAATGGAGCCGCAGCAGCAAGGAACTGATAGGCTCTCAAGTTGTACTGCAACTGCTTCTCAGAATCCTTGGTGACGGCAGCCGCAACGCGGTATCCAAGACAGATGTGGAACATGGTATAAGTAGTCAAGTTCCATACATTCCAAAACGCTGCACGGACACTGGTTAGCGAGATCTTCTGCTTCAAGGATTGTCATATTACCTAGGTAAGCGATCTTGCCAACCTTCCATAGTTTTGCAAACTCGTCGATGGTCGAAGCAATGACAAAGACGTACAGGATGATCTCAACCACATCGACCTGGCCAATGGCATCCGGGGTGTTCACAGCGATGGTGTAAAGTAGCAGGAATATCACCGATGTTACAACTCCCCAAAGAGTCTGGTATCTTGGCGTTTTGCTATCGTGCTGGTTAGCAAGAGTATAGGAACAAGAGAATGAGCTCCTACATCTTCTCGCCGTCCAAGTGAACTCTGAAGGAGGTGTTGGTAAGTTCGCGGTTGGGGGTAAAAGTCATCCCATCTGGTCCTGAATCCACTTCCCAATAACCCCTCCAGAGGTACGTGATGCACCTCTGAAAGTTATTTGCTCCAATAACGTACGTAACATGTTGGTCAATTGCGGCTTCCGCAGCTTGAGCACGGTATGAGTACAGGTACATCAACACAAATAGGACACACTCACCGCTGATTCGGTCAGTTTCGCTACCGGCTTGTAGCATGGAGTAACGTCGAAACAGAAGGCTCTTGAAAAGCTCGTCCACATCATCTGTGGTGTCAATGATCTGCTTTGCAAGCACATCACACGCAACAGCACGAAGATTGTTGAGATCGGCATCAGGAAGGTTTGACTTTGACTGTTTCATGAACCACCTCCTGCACATCAAAAGCGCATACACAACGCACGCATTCGTTTCCTTGGAATCCACTCCGGCCCTCGTCCGTACCAGCTCAATTACATCGTTCGTGATGATCCTTGAATTCGGTTTCGTGACGTGGCTTTCCTTGTAGGCTACGGGAATGATCTCCTGGACGAGATATCTTATCCGAAGAGCGACCTTTGTGCAATCTGTGGTCACTGATCAGCAATGGAGCAGGCAGTGCGAGGATAATTGTACGGCATACGTTGAGCGGAGATGGCAGGACTTCTGTTGAGATCGTTGTCGCTGTAGGGAAGGAGAGGACCCCTGGACGTATCTTGTCTGCCTTGAAAAGCCATTGCTCCTGGCAGTGCAAGGCCTACTCCGATTGCTGGTGAAGTGAATGCTCTCTTGGAAGCGCAGTCAGAGCCAACTGCAGCTATCTGCCTGCCGCACATGACATCATATCGCTAAGGAAGCCCGAGATAACCTTAAATATGGTAAACCTGATTTATTGATATCTTGATGGATATTCTCCTTCTTTTCTTTTGCTTTTGATCCGCGTAAAGTCTCTACTCGGCATCGCCAACATCGCTTCCCTCATCCTCATCACCAGAAATCTCCGCGTTCTCCTGGAGTTTACGTGCCATAAGCTCGGCAAGCTCGAGCTCATCAGTCTCACTGATAGCCCGAGGCTTCATCTTCACAACCAAATTTCCACCAGCCGCCTCGATACTCTTCTTAATAGTCTCAATAGATGCCTCCAAAGCTTGAATACCAGTGTTCTTGTCCAGTGCGTTGGTGAGAACGACGTATAAGGGGGGAGCGACAAGCTTGACCTTGACAGGCGCGTCCACGTTGTCCTTGTTCTCGCCGGCTTTGAGTGCGGCCTTGACGGCGTCGACACCCTCGTAACCGAAACACGTAACCTCGATATCGGCACGGATTTTGATGGCTTGAGGAGTAAGGCGGCGGGCGATCTGGGTGAGGAGGTCGGGAATAATCTCGGGCTTTGATGCTGTCAGACCCTCAAACACTTGCTCAGAGTTGCTGGAAAATGACGAGTTAGTGCGAGGAATCAGAGTGAACTGCAGTGCGACTTACGAAATGGCCAACTTGAAAGCGTCGTATGCGTGTCCGTACTTCTTGTACAGAGGCCAGCCGACGGTCTCGTACAGCTCAGTCAAAGAAACCTCGTGCTTCTCGGCGACGTGTCTCAAGATGGAGTGAACAGCCTTTGACTTGTTGAATCGCTCCTCACACTTGAGGATATCCTCTGGGCTAACTCGGCGCTTGGACAAGTCAATGTAACCCTTCTCCTTGTCTACCCTGAGCACAACGACAACCTCATTCCGTCCAACTCGGATAAGCTTCTGAATGGAACGGATACGACGGCGAGACAACTCGGACAGCAGAATCATTCCCTCAATGTTGTCGTACTCCAAAAGCTTGACGTAAGCTCCCATCTCAGCGATTTGTCTGACATTGACAACGACACTACAAAATCACCAGCGGTCAGTTTGTCGCCCCGGTGCATCAGATAAATGGTTGACATACAGTTCGTCCACCTCCGGGAACCTGTTCTCGTAAAAACGGCAAGTCACAGACATTATGACGGCGACAATCGATCGATCTATAAGCTGAACGAGATAATAAAGACAGCACCTGGGGCGTGATCGAGGTCGATGAAGTTGTCTGAGGCCTGATTTCTGAAGCGTCGAGACTCGCGCTGTAGACCGCCGAGAGCTGCAGAACGTCGAATTCGCACCCCGTGCTGGGACCTGGTAGAAGAGCACTGCTTTTTACATAGAGTGCGACAAGAGTATTTGTGCAATGTGATGAACTTCTTTGCTTGTCTTGCTACGAAACTCCCCTTCGATCTTTCACTTGCGGCAGAGACATGTCGACATCGGCTCCCGGTGCAATGGTGCGCGCACGTGAGCTTATTCAGCAGCGCTCATACGTCGGCGGAGATCCGTAACATCCCCTCGAGAAAAGGACTGCAAGGGAGGAAATATCTCGGTCCGGGAAGCCCTCTAACATCGCGCCATTCTATTCCGTCATTGCGACTGTATTTCAGCCAGATCGACGCAGCTGGGCTTGAGGTTCAGCACCAGACCCAAGATTCGAACGTTTCCCCTCTGTCGAACCTTATCCGTATTTCGGGAGTTGATCCGTGACATCGTGCGGTAGTTAAAACACTTGGAACAACGTCCTTGAGCTCCCATGGGTTTGCTTTCGCTCGGAACACCTCTGGATTGGGAGGAGTGTAAGAAGCTGGCGGATCATGTCAGAGAACATGGCATCGACCAGTTCCTGAGTATTTGGCGGAACACGAAGGACAAAGAGGGTGACACGTTACTTTGGGGAGACGAGGTGGAATATATTGTTGTTTCTTATGACGATGACGAAAAGGATGCTCGGTTGTCGCTGCGTCAAGCGGAGATTCTCAAAACGCTCGCCGACGACGAAGCGCTTAAGAGAGCGGGCGGTGTGATACCGGAACAACAAGAGCAATCATCTGTTAGCCCTGCGGAGATTCTGCCCACCTTTCATGCCGAGTATGGTAGGTACATGCTGGAAGCTACGCCAGGTGCTCCGTACAGCTGTTCCCTCAAGGACTTGCTCAGTGTGGAGCCTAACATGAAGCGACGCCGAGTCATTGCGAAAGCGCACATGAAAGAAAACGAATCGCCCATTACTTTGACATCCTATCCTCGTCTTGGATGCGAGCGTTTCACAGACCCTTATTACCCACCAACCGGTGCTGCCTCTCGCTCCCTCTTCCTTCCAGATGAGATCATCAATCCGCATCCGCGTTTTCCAACTCTTACGGCCAACATCCGGACTCGCCGTACGGAGAAGGTTGCCATGAACGTTCCCATCTTCTTTGATGAGAACACTCCGCGTCCATTTGTTGATCCGACCATCCCTCGCGACCGTGACTTGTTCCCTGAAGATGCGAATGCAAGGGAAGGTGCCGCAAAAGTCGACCATATCTACATGGATAGCATGGGCTTCGGTATGGGATGTTGCTGTCTACAAATCACGTTTCAAGCAAAGAACGTGGTGGAGGCCAGGAGACTGTACGATCAGCTTACCCCCCTGGGCCCTATCATGTTGGCCATGACTGCTGCAGCGCCGCTATGGAGAGGATATGTATCCAATCAGGACTGTAGGTGGAATGTAATCGCTGGTAGCGTGGATGATCGGCCCCCGGAGGAGCGTGGTGAAGGTCCCCTCAAGAACAGCAGATACCGCATTCCAAAATCCCGTTACGACTCGGTTGATTGCTACCTTTCGGAAGATGAACGCTTGCGTCCAGAATATAACGATGTACCTCTTGTGAAGGACGAGGCCATCAGGCAGAGGCTTTTGGATGCGGGAATTGACGAACGCTTGGCCAATCACGTGTCCCATCTGTTCATCCGGGATCCGCTGGTCATTTTCTCTGAGCTGATTGATCAAAATGACACCGTTTCGTCTGATCACTTCGAGAACATCTGGTCTACGAATTGGCAAACCATGCGTTTCAAGCCCCCACCGCCTGGTAGTGACATTGGATGGAGGGTCGAATTCCGAAGTATGGAAATCCAGATTACCGATTTTGAGAACGCTGCGTTTTCCATCTTCATCGTGCTGTTGACCAGAGCAATCTTGTCGTTTGGCTTGAATTTCTACATTCCCATATCGAAGGTCGACGAGAACATGCAGCTGGCTCATCACCGCGGGGCTATCCTGACAGAAAAGTTTTGGTTCCGCAAGAATGTCTTCCCGACTACCGGCAGCTGTTCGGAAGGGGCTCCGCACATTAACGGTGATAAGCCTTCACGGCCTGGCTCCCCTGGTGCACCCACTTTAGGACCTGTCGAGGACGAATACGAACGCATGACCATCAACGAAATCATGAACGGCAAGGGTGATTACCCAGGTTTGCTTCCCCTGGTGGAAAACTACCTGAACTCGATCAACTGCGATGTCGAGACCAGGTGCGAGTTGAATAAATATTTGGCGCTCATTCGGAGGAGGGCAAGTGGGGAGTTACAAACTGCGGCGACATGGATCCGAGAGTTTGTTCGCAATCATCCAGCATATAAGAAGGACAGTGTTGTTTCGAGAGAGATCAACTATGACCTGATAAAGGCAGTAGAGAAGATTACCAATGGCGAGGGGCGTGAAGAAGGACTAGGAAGGGAGATGCTGGGATTTTGATGAGCAGTGGATGAAGTACAGCTGGGCTCGAATGGCATATACGCGAATTAAGCATGCTTGGTCTCGCGATAATATGAAAATGCCAATTGCGTAATTCTCGGGTGCCTCTTTGCTCGTTATGCTCTGTCAACCGAAACACCCAACACTGCTTTGTAAAAAAGGTTCATTTGTCGTCTGGTTATACGGTGTGACTGTTATCGTACATGACTGGTCGGCATTTAACGCAACCGTTGCCGAATACTTCCTTCCATGAGATCTCGACGAGTATCACTCTTCTGCAGCTGCCTCCTTCAACTCCTTCATCTCCGCCACACGCTTCTTGAAATCTTCATATTGACACTTCTCATAAGACTGTTGCATTTCAGTCAGCACGAACTCCAACTGTGCAAGATTATACACGTACGTGACGCTCATCCTCGCACTTCCATGGTGCGTACAGGGTCTTGATTCTGCAGCTGTTCAATGGGATAAGAAGGTGTGCACAGTTGTCCCTAAATTCGATCATGAGTCAGGCCAGTGCTTGGGGTGCGCCGGGGCGGAAAGTCTATTACCTGTAACCTAGAGGGACACGGTATGCCTTCATCTCTTCTTGTGATACTAACGACAGAATTAGCATTTGCACCGCACGGCCATAGCAGTCGCTCCATCATACCGCTCATCTTTGATTGTGTAGAGAACTGTGGAGGTCTATAGCAATGGCTCCTCCAGCTGCCTGATGGATTCCGGTGACCATAGCAATGCACGCGCTGCGGCGACCCAGGCACAACCATCACCCAGTCACAGAAGGGTGTTCACACTCGAGCTGCTATTTCTGCTTTTCAGATATCAATATACTTTCTTGCTTTTCTGTAGACCAATTCTTTACGAAGTTTCATTTGACTCGCGTGGGCTGTACCGCGGCAGAACGCGTCTTCCTTGGGGACAGTCAATAACGAGCATTCAGTCTCCTTGCCAGCGCTTCTCTGTTCATTGCCTAATCGGTTTCGCATATCTGGTTAAAGTATTTCCAGAGTGGGCCTCCTTTCTCTCGCGGCATCTGTCTTCCGCAGTCAACTACACTTCGCTTTGCGACAGATCTGCTCAGCTCTGCCCTGGCTGCCACCACAGTATTCGCATCGGCTATTCTGTGCAACTGTCTCATCGCAATACGAACGAAGACGCATACACCTTCGGAGCTTTCTGTACTTAGACAAGATGCCTGAAATATACAAAGCGACATATTCGGGTGTGCCGGTGTTCGAGTATTTAGCGAAAGGAATCGCATGTATGCGTCGCCGTTCGGACGGATGGTTGAATGCGACGCAAATATTGAAGGTTGCCGGTTTTGACAAACCCCAGCGTACTCGTATCCTCGAGCGCGATGTGCAGAAGGGTACGCATGAGAAGGTACAGGGAGGTTACGGTAAATACCAAGGTGCGATACTCCTGCGATAATCAATATCAGCTACTGACCTACTCCGTAGGAACCTGGGTACCTCTCGAGCGAGGTCGGCAAATAGCAAGCCAGTATGGGATTGAAGGAGTCCTGCAACCTATTATTGACTTTCGGGAAACCTCCGAGAGTCCGCCGTTGGCTCCGAAGCACATCACCGCTGCTTCCACGAGGACCAAAGCTGCGCCGAAGGCGAAGGCTGCGGTAGCAAAGCGTGCAGCTGCAGCACCTGTTCCTCGGGTGATGGCTCCACCACCACGGCCTGTGTTGCCCGATTCCGAAAGTGACCTCGAGGATGGTGATGTCAGTGAGGAGTCTTTGGGTAGCGGGTCTGGGAGCGCCTCTCATAGCCGGGCATCCTCTCCAGGTGTATACTCGCAAGTATCTCAAAGCACGAATGGAGTGTTGGGAAAGCGGAAGAGACAAACAGCTGGCCATGAAGCTGCGAACGAGTCGTACACGGAGCAGCTTCTGCAGTATTTCATACAGCCAATTGAGGAGCATTTTCCTCAGTTCTTATATCGGCCTCTGCCCGACTTCGATGCCAACTCCATCATTGATGAGGAGGGCCACACCGCGTTCCACTGGGCATGCGCCATGGCGACTGTGGAAGTTGCACAACTGCTAAAAGAAGCTGGAGCTGATATATCTTTGGCAAATGCTCAAGGCCAGACGCCCCTGATGCGAGCTATCATGTTTACGAACAACTATGAGCAGCGAACGTTCTCACGGTTGGTTGATATGTTGCAAAGTACAGTGTATTGTATGGATAGATATGGGCAAACCGTCTTCCATCACATCGCATTGACCACGACCACCAGGTCCAAGCTGGCTGCGGCAAGGAACTACATCGAGCTGCTATTGGCGAAGTTGGCAGAAACTCAGTCCAAAGAACAAATCGGCCGCATCTTGGATATGCGGAACTTGGAAGGAGATACTGCACTACTGATATGCGCCCGTAACGGTGCACGCAAGTGCGCTCGCGTGATGATGGACTTCCTCGCAAATCCAGGGATTCCGAATAATCAAGGTCATACTGCGACCGAGTATATCAACCAGCACGATCAGATGAGAACGGCGGCTGCAATCCCTACTTTCAGTAACATGAGCACATCGCCTCCGCCAGGAAATCAATCCATACAACAGCTCCTTCACGGCGCGCAACATGTGGAAGCGCAAGAGCCCACGTTTGTTTCTGCGCCTGCCAAATCTATCATGCAGGATGTGCTGCCCGATATCGGCAAGCGGCTGAGGTCTTTGGCCGACGCCTACGAGAAGGAGCTGAAAGAGAAAGATTCCGACCTGCGGCAATCGCAGGATTTGCTTCAGACAACAGAGGCTGAGACAGAGGCGACGACGCAGCAGCTCGATTCCCTGAACCCGGCGATGCAAGAAGCTGAAGCTCAGCAAAGCTTCCAGCAAGTGAATGTACTTACTCAACGGCTTCGTGCAGTAATGGAGCGGAACCAGGCTAAGGATCTTGCAAAGCTTGTGCAAGAGGAAGAGCATCGTGCAAAGGCGTTATATAGCCCCGCTGGAAACGAGGATGATGCCGAAAAGTATCAACTTATGGAGGAGCTTGCTAGCTTGCAACGTGAGCGGAGAGCACTTGTCAACGAACAGGTTGAGCTTAGTGCTGCGGCTGGTGTCGGTGAGCGAATGAGCGATTACAGACGACTGATTGCTATTTGTTGTAACATTCGTGTCGAGGAGGTTGATGGCTTGCTTGATGATCTTCTTGACTCGCTACAAAGTTTGACTCCCACAGGTAGGGAAGACTCGGTTTTTTAGAAATGGGGACTAGGTTTGGTCTAGTTGGCGTTAGTTTTAGCAATACCACTGTACTCTGTGTATTAGAACCATACGTGTCCCAGAAAAGCAGCGCTGTAATCAGATTGTTCATGAAACACCAACCCACTCCAGAGTTTTTAGCAAACCTTCTCCCAGTGCACGCAAATCCTGTGGCCACACTATAACAGGACCGCTCCCATCTACCATGGAAAACCTTAAGACGGCCCATGCAACACAAGCCCTAACAGCAGCTCCACTGAAGGCCAGGGCACCTGCTTCCAGATAACCGCATTCAAGTAAAACTGAACAAACATTCAGTGATTGGACCGGAAGCAGGACATGATAACTTACTTGTCAGCGCCTCTATGTTGTTCACCACAACTGCCCAACCCACCGCTCTTGCTGCTGCCAACACATCGTATGACCAGATAACCATGAGTATCGGTAGTAGCTTCATACTGCTCGAAATGAACAGCGCCGTGCTCAACATGTTCGGTCTAGTCCAGCCCAGCATATACCGCGCCAGCCCTCGTATTGTCAGGTGAAATGCAACGGTTTCGACCAGGCATAATAAAAGAAAGCGCAAATATTGAGGCACAACGTGTCTCTGAAGCAGCGTTTCTGAGGTGAAGGGTAACGGCGCAGCTGTGGTTTGCTTTTCAAGTCGACCCCAAGTCAAGTATACGTCGAACAAAACGAGCAGGATACCGAGTCGTACAATGCTCCGCTATCAACGAGTTAGAACGTATCTGAAGAGTTCGATGCGTTGACGAACGTCAATTGAATCGGATGCTGAACCAAAGCGGTTAAACAGCAAATGACGATAGACTTGAGGTTTGATCAGGATGATGTCGATGAAGAGGACAACATAATCATGCTCCACATATTTATCTGCAAACTCCCGGCACCGAGGCTGTCCATGAATCAGTAAGAGGCGTCGTTGAAGGTCCCATAAGACATACACACTGTGTCAAGGTAAGATTTCCTTTGGAGTACTCGATGAAGAGTGAATCGACAGGAAACGAACAAGATATGCAACGATATCGTTTCGAAGGAGTACCTTCCGGAAGCCTTCGAGATGTCACCATCGTTCGATAATCCTCTGAAAGATTGCCTCGCACTGTAACTCCGGGGTTGTCGGCGTAACGGTCACGTGCGCAGGTGCCCCCTGTATCGTCGAATTCGTAGAGCGGTCAGACTGGTCCTCGAACTCTACAGGCAGTACATTTCCAGATACGACCTATACCTGTCTTCGCCAATGTTCAGATCAGCCATTGTCGCTAGAACGGCCTTCCGGGCTTACTCAACAGCTGCCCCAGCTGCTGGTTCGCCTGTTCTTCTGCAAATCAGAAATGACATGAAGGCAGCCATGCGAGCAAAGGATACCTATAAGTTGGCCGTCCTGAAAGGTGTGTCTCTGGAGTACCATACTTTGTATCACGGTGGACCTATACTGACACTATACAGGTGTTCTTGCTGACGTGACGAACGCATCAAAAACGGCAAAGCCCATCGAGACCGACTCTGCTGTCTTCGCCCTCCTGCAACAGTCCATTCTTAAGCGTCAAGAGTCAGCGGCAGAGTTCCGCAAGCATGAGCGTACTGATCTTGCCGAGAAGGAAGAATCCGAAGCGTCGGTTCTCAAGGCATACTTACCTGAACAGATGGAGGAAGGTGAACTGACTGCCTTGATTATTGATGTCTGCAACAAGATCCAGGCAGGGCCTAAGGATATGGGTACGCTCGATGGGCATAATCCTTGCAGCTTAACGCTAACGAATTTGTGTATAGGGAAGGTGATGAAAGAGGTAGCAAACCTCGTTACTGATGCGCAGGCACCGAAAAAGCTCGTCTCCGAATTGGTCCGTAAGACTTTGAGCAGTGGAACCTCATCCGCATAATATTACGGAGGACACTTGTATTTGCGGGACGAAGGGTATCGAAAACATACAATTTCTCACGGTCCGCAGCACTCATTACCGTCTAAGATTACCAACAGATAATATGCATCACGGATATCTCACCTATATCTTATTGTAATACTATTCTCGAATACGCTATGTGCTTACGATACCCTCGGCATCAACTTCGACGTCACCAGCCTCGTCAGTCTTAGAAAATGCCGGGGTTGGGGCTTCGATTTCTCCCATGATGCCACTCAAAACCTCGGCGGCCTTCTTGTGATAATCAAGCTGGGCTTGCACAAGTTGCTGCAAGGCTCCGGTAGCTTCCTGGCTGTCCAATACGTTCTTCATAACACCACTTGCTTCCTCAACTGCAGCGACAAAGTTGTCCTCGGCCTGCTCAATCTCGACACGCGCGGCATCCGCCCGTTCAGGTTTAGCGGAACGAGCGGAAGCCTTCGCTGCATCAAGCGTAAGACGGGCATTCTGAACCGATTTGCGAGCGCGGGCGGCAAATTGGAGGTTGATGGACAAAGCCGTGTTGATGGTTGCATTGAAGCGAGAATGAATTTGGTCGTCCTGCTGCAGGCGGGCCTCCCCAACCTTTTCCTCAGCATCGGCCACCTTGGACAAGGCAGCTCCGAATGGGTCTGAGGTACCCAAGAGGTCGGCTGAAGCATAAGCGGCACGAGCAAGGGCGTGCGCAAGGGTCTTCGGCTGACCTTTAGGTCCCGCCTTGACAAGGGCAGCCTGGGCTTCGGCAGCAGTGTGAGCCTGGGAGAGCGACTGGAACTTGTCCTGCACTTGCTTAGAAAAGTCGGTGAAAGACTCCTTCAAGTGAACAGGATAGTCATATCCCTCGTTGGCGTAAGTAGAAGTAATGCCAAGAAGTTTCTGGTGAACAGCCTTCAACGCATCAACGCGGCGTTCAAGATCAAGATATCTGTCGAGACGTTAGAAACCTTCTGGATCAGTTGTAAGAAGACTCACTCTTGGGGCAATTCTGTCTTCTCAACGTCGGAAGCACCAATGCGCTCCTTGGCCCATTGAGTCGTACGCCTAGCGAAAGGAGTGAAGGAGGAGAAGGACGATTGGACGGACTGGATGTCGACAGACTGGATAGAGGACTGAAGGCCAGACTGGATCTTGCTGAGGTTGATGTTCTTGAAAGCGTCCATTGCAATTGTTGTAGTGGTGGAGTACGATAAGGTTGGTGTAACGACGTCGCCGGCGCGGGCTGGCGTGTGCCTGGATGCTGGAGTCGGGTACGCCTGGTAGCAATGCTTATTTATAGTAACACAAGTGAATGGATTTCAAGAACATGCAAAAGGATAGAGGCAAGGAAGAAGGCGGAGACTGACATTTTGGCAGTGATAACTACCTGTTTACCACATGAATCTTTGCACCTCGCCTGGTACATGACTCCATTCAAATGGTCTGTAAATGAACATCCATACCGTGAGCGCTGATATCAGCTCATGCCATACGTACTCCATAAATGACCTGCTTGAATTCCTAGGTTTGATGTGGAGCCGCCAAATCAAGTAGGGCAGAATGAAGTATCTGAATTCCAGAAGCGGACTTGGAATCAGTGTCAGAGCCGTTGCGCCACAGAATGCCATCATGAAAAGTACTGACTGAGCTGTAGCAAGCTCCCGCAGCGTCAACCAGATAACGCCGAAGTACACTGGTACAGCGGCGTAACGTGCCAGTGCATGTGCCGAGATTGTACGGCGCCATATATAGAAGACGTAGTGGCGGTTGTCAGCGAGGATGAAAGGATGTACTCTAGTGTTGTAATGGACAGCAGCAATCATAACACCAAGTAGCAATGCGGTAGAAATAACCATTTGTGAGGTACCGAGCCTGCTCCTGAGAAATTGAGGCAGGAGTGAAGGCGTGAGAAGAAGAGGGAAACTGAAAAATGCTGCGAAGACGGCAAGATAGAAAAGCTGCGGAATATGCAATCCTGCGATGTGATTTGACTTGTCACCTTGTGTGTGTTAGCCGAGAACATTACAGGGATATGAGAGTCATACCGAGGACGATGCCTCCGTTCCAGGCAAGAAAAACGACGAAGGCAACCAGAACTGGGATATACCACGTGACAGCCTTTATCGTTTTGCACCAGTGCAGGCCGGCAATACGTGCCAAGGACCACGTAGACTTAAAATAGGTCTCTGGGAAAGAGGCGTGAACCGCAACTGGGTTTACGAGAAGTGGTCTGCCGTCTTCTTTCTCTTCTTGAAGGTCGCGGAGAAGCGAGATAAACATAACAAACGCAACCCAGATCACATTGGTCTGTCGGAAGGCTAGACTCACCAGACTGAACTGCGTTTCTGAATCAGTTTTTGCACATCAAAGGTACAGCTCCCAGACGTACTAGAGCGCTTCTCCAACGTCTCTTCTCCAAGGCGTCAAGGTAAGCAAGAAGCACGGCTATTGTTGACGGCACGTCCGTATAATACAGCATCCCAAAGAATGTAGACATTGGGAACGTCGCAATGAGCTTGCTATATTCAATCTGGCTTGCCGAAGCGCCGGCGTGTATTCGTCTGTAAAGTTTCGCTATCAATTCGGGCAGTATGACAACCGCAAGCAAGAAATTCGGGAATCGGAAGCTGAGGATCGATTTTATATAGTAGGATATGGGCAACGCCTTCATCATCCAATGCGCAGCCGTAGAGAGAGCGTATCTGGTCAGCATATATCAGTGAACGGATTCGATTTGTGCGGGTGAACTGCATACAGTCCCGGCGGTGTCGTCAGCTTTGGATCCCAAGTCCAGTAATCCCCTTCGATGTATCTCAGAGCTTGCGGAATGTGGAAGATTTCATCCTTTGCGGAAGTCAGAAACGGCGTCCATGACCAGCGAACGACGTACCATGTAGGGTTCGGGGACATGCTCTTGGATAAGACCGAAAGCGAGGACTGCGGCTGCTTGGTGCGCTCGGAGCGGCACTGTCGATGGCTGTACTCCAAACATTCCAGTTGATCTTTGACCTCAATGTCTACAGAACGTCCAAATGAGCGTGCCCAATACAGCGCGTCGCCGTATGTGCGACGCGTTCCTTGCCCGAGATGTTCCCCACAGACGGCCCTGCAAGCGTATGAGCATATATACCGTTTATGTGCGGTGCGGTATCTCCAGGAATGACATTCAAGCCAAAGACTCGCGGTTGGCTGGATAAGCTGTACTTGGTATACTTCATCCAGCACATTCCGCCGACGCTGCTCATCGACCTGTCACCTCTGTACCCTGATGCACTTACTCCTCCATGGATGAAAGATCTGAGGAGTTGGTACGTCACTACATACAAGGACCCTTTGATTGGATCGCAGTCCTACCCGGGAGGCGTACGTCGTATATTCGAAGTGTGTTATCCACATGCTGACAGCATTTCTGTCATAGTGGTTTACAGCTTTCCTTGCATACGAGGCACTCTTTCAGCTTCCCTTCTTCTTCTACGCTGCTTTCGAACTATGGAAAGGTACCACCTACCTCTGCGTGCAATGCCGGACGTACGCATTGACAAGAGCTGTCGCTGACTGAATCTGCTTCAGGTGCCAAGGATGTCTACCTTCCGTTACTAATTTATGGTATCCACGTTACCACTACGACATCAGCTTGCCTGGGTGAATTGCTGTCCTTCAAGGATCACATATTAGCCATGCCCGAGAAAGCGACGCTACTAGCGTTCTATCTACCATACATTCTGATCCCTATTCTTATGTCGTGGGACATGTGGGGTAGGATAAAAGAGGGCTTGCGTGGTGCCAGCAATAGCAGGAAAAAACACGCTTAGAGCAATGCTTTGAATAGATCCGAATTCCGAAGCTGAAAAGCTCAATATAGTGAAAATCTGCATGCCCGTGCGGCAATATATGCGACCTGCGCCCTCCTCAGAACAGACTGGAAACATGACACGAACGTCGACTAAACTGTTCAATCCACCATTTCTGGACGTAAATCCGATCTGCGAGGTTGAATGAGGCTGTAACTCTGAATCAGCGGGTGTTTTCGACAACGTGTGTGACGAGAATACATACGGATGCAGCTGTGCAAGATAGGTGATGGCCCACACCAGGTACATCGATACCATGGACAGGATCAAAGTTGATCGCCAAACACTGAAGCATGCGTTAGAACACGCACATCTGGTTTGGGAGAAGACTCACGACTGGTTGTCTCCTTTTGGTGCAAAGACGTAAGCTGCGACACTTGCAACGGCAACGACGATGGCGACAAGAACAATAATCCACCTGCACAGCTGTTAGCAGACGAAAGAGAAGGAGTCTGTGAGCATATACCCGCTCATGACATTCGACTTGTCTTCGCTGTGGACTGAAGGCAGCGCCGTGATACGGGAGCGCGGGGGATCAGGGGCAGGCAGGCAGACCCTCGCTACGCTCTATGCGGCCTGGCAGCCAATTGCACCCCGGGATCAGTTGGACAACCAGTCAGCAGTAAAGTGCTCCACCAAGGCAATCCCTCGATTCTTCCACCTTCAGTCTTCAATCTTCAATCATGCTTAGATTCGGTGTCCGCGCTGCTCTCCGTCAACAGTCCCGCGCCCTTGTGCGTAACGAGTCTACTACCACCAAGGCTGCTGAGGCTGCCAAGGACACCGCCTCGAAGGCTCAGGATGCTGCTCAGAAGGCTCAGGAACAGGCAAAGGCTCTTGGTGTCAAGGCAACTGCCTTCGTCGGATCTGCATCTAGCCAGGCGAGCGGTTTCGTCGGCAAGGTTCTGTGTAAGTGGATAGCCGTTCGGCCGGTACGCTGTGATCGTGTCATATTAATTCTTTTGCGCAGCCTTCAAGGACCCTGTCCTTTACTGGGGCAAGGTCGGTGGTGAGATTGCCAAGCAGGTCTACACTAAGGAGAAGATGAGCCCTCCCAACGTCGTCGAGGCTCAGTCTGCCGTCCAGAACGTTTTGACCCAGCTCCGCAACCCGGAAACCTTCAAGAACGCTTCTCAGCAAGATTACATTAAGTGGGTTGTTTACGCAATTGAGTTGATGGGTTTCTTCGCTGTTGGTGAGATGATCGGTCGCAGAAACATGGTCGGTTATGATGTGCCTGGATTGAAGGAAGAGCACCATCATTAGAGTGTAACAAAAGAGATCGAGAGGATCATAGTGAAAAGATACGAAATTGAACCATTGGGCTGTTATATATCTAGCACGTACTCAGTCTGCTTCGTCTCCCTCATGGTCGCTAGCAGTGACAACTTCCTGCTGCGGCGCCTTCTTTTTCTTCGAATTCTCGATAATGTCCTTTTTATGCGCACGCTTTTCCTTGAAAACCTTGGGTTGTGTGGATATATTCCTTCGGTCAACAGGCTTCTTCTTCAACTTCTTTCTGGCTTCCTGGCTGGGCTTCTTGAGCTTCAAGAGCCAATCTTCCACTTCACAACCAGACTGCCTCATGACGTTGACAATTGACTTCAAGTACTCGGCATCATCCTTCGTAAAATACGTGACGGCTTCACCACGACGACCGGCACGTCCAGTACGGCCGATCCTGTGGACATAAGATTGCACTGACTGGGGAAAATCATAATTGATGACCAAGTTGACTCCCTTGAAGTCAATACCACGAGCCATGACGTCTGTAGCGATCAGAATCCAAATTTGGCCTTCACGAAACTTGTCAATGACAGCATCTCTTTGAGCCTTTGTCCGCTCTCCGTGAATTACGTCGACATTCAATCCATCATACACCAACTCATGGAACAATGCCTTTGCACGCTCGATGCTTTGCACAAACACCAAGCAAGGGGGCTTAAGACCACCGGTCTGCACGAGATTGCGAATGGCTATGAGTTTTCCCTGTTCATTTCCAGCATACACAAGTTTTTGGTCAATGGTCTCAGCGGCAGCCTCCTTTGAACCAATGATAACACGGACTGGATCCTTCATGACGGTGTTCGCAAGCTGTTCGATGGACGATGGCAGAGTTGCAGAGAACAGTGCCTTCTGCAACGCCGGTGACGAGCATGCAGCTAGAATCTCATCTGTCTGCTCCAGAAAACCCAGTTCAAACAACTTGTCCGCTTCGTCCATGATGAGGTGTCGTACATTGCTGAGATCGATGGACTCCTGCTGCAGAGCATGAACCAAACGCAACGGTGTGGAGATCAAGATATCAAACTTCTGTCGCAGTTCAGGGGCTTGTGCCTGTGTAGCCGCCGTAGCCTTCGTCAACATGCAAACCTTCATTCCCCTTCCCTCGGTCAGCTTCTTGACCTCGTTGTAGATCTGTTGCGCCAACTCGCGTGTTGGAGAGATGATTAAAGCACGGAAGCCCGCAGACTCATGCGCCTTCAAATCCTGAACCATAGGCAACACGAACGCAAGTGTTTTACCACTTCCAGTTGGGGCGATGGCAAGCAAATCGCGTTTGTGCAAAAGAATAGGGATGGCCTGCATCTGAATGGGTGTAGGCTTGTTGAAGTTATACTTGTCCAGATTTCGTTTAAGAAACGAACGAAGTTCGAACCGAGAAAGAAGGTCGGAGAATGATGCAAAAGGATATGGAACGTCGGTACCTGTGACCTTGATGCGATTTGCTTTTCGGTGAGCGTTGGCTTCCTCGGCGGTGGTGATTGTCGTCAACGACCCGTTTGCTGCGTGGTCATCGTTATGGTTTCGCTTTCGCTTCTTGGATAGTGACCCTTCATCCGCCGTAACAGAGGCAGATGGCTGGGTTGCAGCTGTATGGAAGAAGTCGAGCTCTCTTTCGATGTCCTTCTCCGCTCGTGCAGCCTCGGCAGGATCCCTACGTGCAGGTTGTGCGTTGAACAGTTCGTGATCCCTAGCAAACTTGCCGTTCTTCTTGAATGAAGCACCGGCCCCGAGCAACCTGAAAGCATCCATCCTTGTCGTTCTGCTTGACGCCGTTTTCCTGGGTTTTTTTCCAAAGTACACCGGTAGCCAGACGCCCCTCACGTGCCGTGTATCTTGGAGCAGGTGCTGCATCCCACTCCGTCCTCTGGTACAATGAGAACATCCGTTGTGTTTCTTTCAAAAATCTTCTGGTTTCATGTCTATCATTCAAGTCGCACTCCGCAGTCGAGCAGGCTTACGTCAACTATCGATAAGACGTACGTAAGTACGTACAGTACAGAACGATACGTTCGCCCCAGATCGGTAGGATACCTGAAAACATAAGCCGCACCCACCGCCAACTGGTTTCCGTTGAAGCTTACGCGAAGCTTGAGTATCCAGCAATTCTTCCGACATTTGCATATCCATCGCTCCTGATTGTCGTGGTACTTTCTATATTTGCATTTCTGACGTTAACACCGACGCCTATGGCATCTGTCCCACCCCGAGCTGCGTCCTCGACGAGCTCAGGCATGTTTCCCCTTTCCTTTGGCGAATCGTTTTCCCAGTGGTGGGCAACCTCGAAGTCTGCTCCCCGTTCTTCCGAGCATGCGATTCTGGCCACGCTCCCTTTCTTTCCAGGATCGGACGGGGTACGAAAGGCGACCTCATCGCAAGTTAAACTAAGCGGCCACAAGCAGCGTTATGTCAACGAATTTGCTATAGAGCACGTCAATGGTTCTGAGTCCAACTCGAGCTCAATGGTGCTTCTGCATGGATATGGAGCAGGTCTTGGACTGTTCTACAGGAATTTTGACGATCTGTCAAAGTCGCCGGACTGGAAGCTATATGCATTGGATCTTCTTGGAATGGGAAATAGCGGTAGACCGCCGTTCAAAATACGCTCCAAGGACTCTCAGGCGAAGCTAGATGAAGCAGAAGCTTTCTTCACGGACGCTCTAGAAGAATGGCGTCAAGAAAGGAAATTGGAGAAATTCACGCTGGCTGCGCATTCACTTGGAGGTTACTTGGGCGTCTCGTACGCTCTGAAATATCCTGAGAGAGTTGAAAAATTGATTCTTATATCTCCAGTGGGAATACCGGAAGATCCATATGCAATGGCTTCAACTCCCCCGACGGTGGATTCTGACGTCGATGCAGCGCCGCCTGCTGGTGACGAAGTAGATGCGTTGCCGGCTAGGTCGTCTTCATCAACAAACACTCCAAAGAGGCCGTATCCTAATTGGTTGACTTTTCTCTGGGAACGAAACTTTTCACCTTTCATGTTCGTACGACATGCTGGGCCCTTGGGCCCGAAGGTTATGAGCGCTTGGACACATCGCAGGTTTGCGTCTTTGCCTTCTGATCAGCAATCTCTTCTGCACACCTATATGTATAACGTCTTTCGCGGCCGCGGTTCTGGCGAATATGCCCTGGGCGTTTTGCTTGCACCAGGAGCTTATGCCAGACGACCGCTCCTGCATCGGGTGTCACAACTTAAGTGTCCTACGCTCTGGATGTACGGGAGTCATGATTGGATGGATGCTAATGCGGGTCGTGAAGCAGCGGCCATCATGCAGAGGCAAGGCGTCAAGGCTGAACATGTTGTTGTACCACGTAGTGGTCATCACATCTACCTGGATAATCCAGAAGGCTTCAATCGCGCGGTGTTGAAGTTCAGGGATGGACCTTGATTCTGAAGTAGCTGGTCAGCTTCCAGGTACGAGTAGCCATTGCTACTCATGCTTATGCGAATATACATAGAAACCTACATTTAGGGATACGTACGAGCTTGTCATTGAGCTGCAGAGCACTAGCGCTTCCCTTGCGATACACCATTCACACGGGTACGGTTGGCCCACCACACTAGGTATGATCTTCCCCCATACATTTGCCTACGTCCCACATGTCCCTCCCTACAAACGTGAAATTCTATTGGGGTAAGTATTGGGCTTACATGCTCGTGTAATGGAGCACACACGCTTGAAAGTGCATCATCCCAGCTCCTGTACATCAAAAGCTGAAGCCGTTTCACTCCCAAAAGTATCCTTATGCCCCCTTCCGCCGAGTTTGACGGTCCATGCCTACGGAGTCATCGCTCGCGTAATCTATCGGGCCCCTTGTGATGACCGCTCGAGCGCTCGAGCAATGAACGCATCCTAAATTGCACCGGCCCAACCCAGCCGCGCACAGCGGAATCAGGAGAGGTTCACGTCCTCATCGTCTGTTGAACCTTGACGGCACAACAATCAACCATGAGAGAGGTGACCAGCAGCTGGATCGACAAGGCTTTTGCTTTCCGGTACGGTATACGCGTATGGCTACACAACAACTGCGCCATGTCAGATATTGTGTTCCGAGACACCTTCTAAGTCCTCGACAGCGATAGCATCCGAAACAACTCCACTTGCTATACCCGTGGCCCAAAAAAGTCGGCGTGAGGGCCGGCGAGGAAGCTGGTAAAGTTAGAAGTTGGAAATTCGCTGAAACGATTTAAAAAACCGTCTTATTTAAAGCCAATAAAGACATGTTTAAGAGGACAACTCCCTAACTACTGTATTCGCGGGGGTCCTTCCTGAGTGCCCCACCGGTAACACCCCCCTCCTCACCCTCGCAAGTAAACCTCAATGCCTTGTATGACCCCCCTTAACATCATACAGGTCCTTCACCCTCTGGGGCATCGATTCAATGAGCTTCCGGAGGTATTTGAGCGGAATCTTTTCCCATTCCTCCAACGTCCACTCCCAAAGTTCATCGAGGTCTTTTGCAACCGCAGCTTGCTTTTCCAGACGTTTGAAGATCAGGCACCACAAGTCCTCAATGGGGTTCATATCAGGTGAGTATGCCAGCCAGGCTAGGACTCTGTATCCTTCCCTTTCATAGGATTCTTTGCAGTCGGGCGTGTGAAACTTGGCGTCGTTGTCATGCTGGATTGTGAGATTGATGTCGGCTTCTCTGAACTCCCGAAGCTTGGGAAGTAGAAAGTCTTCAACGAAGTCACGCATCACGAACTTGTCGACCGTTGGAACCTGCGAACGAGCGAGTTTTCTGGCCCCCCACCAGCACATTCCACCAAACACGGAGATACTCCCACCACCAGAATGCATCCGAGGAATGAATTCATTCTCCCTAGGAGGATCTGAGGACGTCCAGAACAAGGGCTGTTGCGGTAGGAGGCTGTCTTCCACCAATGGTTAGTGATATCCTCCAATGTCTTCTCTTGACAAGACACTGCTCCTCAATCTTCTCCTTTGGGATTTGGGCTTTTGTGAGGGCCACAATCTGAGCACGACGGTATGGTCTCTCTTCATGCAAAAGCTCGCTGTATGGGATGTCTTCTATGTTGAGATCTGGCATGTTGGGTGTGAGGGTTTGAGAACACAGTGCTCTGCAGATAACCTTATTCCCAGATATGACACCGCCAAGTAGTCTCTCTATCTCCTTCAATTTTGGCAAGTTAGAATTTCTACGCTCGTCGCGGTCGACTTTTTTCAGCTGCACAGACCTACCTCAGCTTTCAAAACCAGACAAGACAAACGAGGTCGGACTGTCTACGACGCATTTATGCCCATGCAAACCCGCATTCACCTCATAATCACACTGGAATATATGCTGAGATCATGTAGAGGCACCTGCTTCCATGAAGTGCCCACGATCCGGCATCTGAGTAAGGCTCGGGTGATCTCAGCGCTTCTGTGGATCACTCTCATCTACCAAGAACTTCCCCTACGCCGTCAGACAGACTTGTTCGGCCATATGATCCACACAGCACCTAAGTTGTCCGCACACCTTACATATAAACCCCCGGTACATCTTACAAGTCTCCGTCCGACAGCTGTACCATCCGCTAGAATGCCAACAAACACAATGATGTAATTACTACTATCACTGCCATAATAAACCGAATGCAGCCATAACCTAGCGGCATGTGCTCGTGGATTCACTTACTCGTATGAAGTAGTCTCGAAAACCGGAAGCAAAATTACACGAGCGCCAGGTTCGTAGGGTATCGAAATCCTATGCTACTAACAAGATATTCTGGGATTCCCATACCTTCTCAAGTCGTAGGGCAGGATACGCTACAAAGTGAAAAATCAAGGATTAAACACGATTTCTTTTAGGCAAGTGTATAATCCATGTCAGAAGGGTGGATTAGTCCAGGATTACAGAAGGATTACACACGTCATCGCGGATTACTATCCTGGCAGAAAGAACAGAATCGTGGATCAGGATCCCTGACATTATCATGGATTAATTGTCATGGATTACTGCCAAAGAAAGAATTGCAGCAAATTACCTCAGAAATTGCGAAAATAACACCTATATGCCTTGAGCTATTGAAGGCTTGCCCTAAACAACTCTCTGTATACGTTTATTTCAGAGGTGCCTCCTATATAAGCATGATCAACATACATCCCTACAAAGTGAAATAGGATGAAATCCGTAAGCATGTGGATCCCATATCAGGGTATGGAACCTAGGACGTTAAGACAAGGGAAAATATGGACCCTATAGTTTACGCCGTGGAATTATCCCATACTCGAATGCTATACCAATTTGGATTATGGAATTTTCCCATACTAGAGCTCCATACTCAGCTCCAACAAGGAATTTTTCCATACTCGAACTCTATACTTGATCTCCACACTGTACTCCAGTATGGGATCTTCCCAGAACAAATCTATACCACCAAGAAGATATTCCGGGGTTCCCATACCTTTTCATGTCATAGGGCATAACTTGGATAACGGGACCCCAATCGCCCTTTCAAACAGCTTATGCCATGATTTCATTCGGTATGATCCACGGTACAAATCGGTATAATCCATGATATGATTTTGGATAATCCAAAACAAGATTGGGCTTAATCCCCGGGGTTGCCAAGCAATATCACAGAAGTAAATCGTGGAGAGATTCACGGTCATTCATACCCTTCCTTGCTTTAACTTTGCTGCTCAAGTATACAAGTCGAGACTCAAGGATTTTCGGAAATTCTCAAAGAGATCTTAGGGCCCTCCAGGTTGTATATACACTTTCCTGCACAGCCAGAATACACCACCTGAACTCTTCTATAGTGAAGTCGTGCTGTTTGCAATACCCTTCGTTGGTGTAACGGACGATCCTCTCGGTCAGGGCGGGTTAGTAAAAACCGATGAGTAGTCGTTTTACTGTTGCTGTCAACAAAGTGCGGTGTGTCAGAATATCCATGCATATTCTCCTCCTCGTTTTCATCTGACCCAGGAGTTCTTTGATTACCCTCCCCAGCCTCTGTGCATTTTGCAAGCTGAGTACTGCTGCTGCTCCTAGGCCCGGGATGTGGTGGCAGACTGGTAGAATAATGGCAGTGGCTCACGGATTGCTTGTTTTGCCTTACGTGGACGTCCACGTTTGCCCTTTCGGTTGATGATGTGGACAACATTTGCGGCGGGAGTGTCATGAACCGAAGAACTACTTCGAGTTTCGCGACAACCCGAGAAAAGAACTACTTCGAGTTTTGCAATCAACCCGAGACTCGATTTGTCTCGGGTCCTATCATGGCTCATCTTATCTTCACTCCTCTCGTTCAAGATCTTGTTCTCGGCGCCACCGAGTTAACTAAATGTGGAACGCCACCGAGCAAGGGTCTAGACCCTCATCCGGAAAACTGTATATAAGGAAAGGCCCTATGCCTTCCTTTAGAGCTTCACTGGTTAACTCAATAAATTCGTCTCTCTATTCGAATAAGTAATTCAGTCATCTCGTCACACCTCGTCTAACTCGTCAGATCTCGTCCCGAAGTACTTGCAGTATCCCTTCTCGTCTCGACCGCATTACAGGGAGGGGAAGGTGTGCGTCCTTTCTCCAAGGCACTCTGGACCTCAAGGTTATATATCTTGCGGATTTTGCGGCACCTATAGTCATTCTTGGACCTGATACAAGATATGATCATATCACGGCACTCTTCTTCAGGGAAATGAGGATAAGCCTTCTGCACCTAAGGTACATGACATGTCACACGTTAGTTGAGTAAATACAAGTGACAAGGCAGTGGAAGACATACAGCGGCAATGCAGTTGTCTTGAGTGACTCATGTGTAGTAGGAAAATGGTATCACTGAGTCATAGTCAACATCATTTTTCAGAAACTGAGGAAGACATTGGCATAGAACAACCCTTCCAACAGATGGAAGGTTTCAACGTCGGCCCTGCTTCAGATGCATTTGATGTGGATGTTCTTGAGGAAGAAGAAAGCGAGCAAGAAGACACATTTGAGGATGACCCAGACGTGGAGATGGAGGAGAAGGGTTTCCCATACAACAGCTGGGCCCGCTTCAACCATCTCAACTCAAGAAAACTCCCTGTTCAACTGCTTGCTATCCAGACAAAGCATGGGATATCTGACGCTGCCACTCACGCAATTTTCGAAGTTCTGAGGAACTTTCTATCAGATCTGGCTGTTAGCAATTGCATACCTACAATAGAAGACATCAAGAAGTTGACCTTAGAACAAACCAAACATTACCTCTTGGAGTTGACTGGGATCAAACCAAAAGTATATGATCGATGTGTCAACAACCACCTTGCTTACACGGACAAGTATCATAACTTGGATAAATGCCTGGTACCTGACTGCTATGAGCCACGATACAACTCGCACGGCAAGGCCAGAGCGAGATATACCGTGTTGCCACTTGCTCACAGTTTGTGTCTCTTGTATGCAGATCCTAATCTCGCACGTATCCTCCAGACATATGGCCCTAAAGTGCGGGATTGGCAGGGTGTGCAAGGGAGTCCATTCAGCGGTGTTAGAGCATTCATGATGGAGAACTTATCGCTGACTTACGGGAGAAGGTTCCTGGGTTTCTGTCAGACAAGCGGGAGGTATTACTCCAACTTACCCTTGACGGGGTGCAAGTTCTCAAACAAAAAGGACGCAAAGTGTGGCCAATAGTCCTCTTGAATCTCATCCTTCCTTAGGAGGATTTTGTCAAAAAGGAGAATATGATCCCATACGCCATTGTGCCAGGGTAGAAGCCGCCCTTATTGATGGACTCATTCTTGCAACCTCTCATTGATCAACTCCACAATCTTTTACATACTGGTGGGGTGGTGAAGGCCTGGGATGCACACGGGCATGAAGACTTCCAGCTTTATGCACATATGGCGACTGTAACAGGTGATACTCCTGCAATATCCACCATCATGGGTCTCCGTGGTCATAACGCCATGGTGCCGTGTCGGTTCTGCAAGGTAGTTGGGTCTCCCTACAGACACAGTGGTAATAGGACAACATATTATGATCCCCTACCCCACCCTTCGGCTCCTTTGGTTCAGGATAACCCAAATCCTACCAACCCCGTCCCAACCAGTTACCGCACTGCTCGTCTGCCCATGAGGAATGATCGCGACCACAGATATGACATGCAGCGCTCAATGAACAGTGAGGAGTATGCAAAAACAGTATGGTATCAACACGCGCCGCAAACCCATCCTTTCAGAGCTTGAAACAATTGATTTTCCAAGGTCTTTTCCCATCAACATCATGCACCTTACCTACCAAGGCCCAGTCCTGATCATGGTAGAGCATTGGGAAGGTACGCTTTTCAAGGATGAGGACTTGGCAGAACCCTGGGTCCAGAACTGGGAGGAGTTCGGAAAATCACTTGCAGACGCAGCGAAAACAACTCTATTGGCATATGGTAGGGCTCGAAGGATATCTCAAAGGACCGAAAACTTTACGAAGCAGAAGATTGGTCGAACCTCCTAACATTTTTCTCGCTTCCATTGTTACATGCAGAATTTGGACACGAGGGACGTGACCCACGATACAAAGCTTGGTGCAAGCTTGTTCTTGCCATTCATATAGCCATGAGCTTCACAGTGACCAAAGACGACCTTCACAGTGCCAACACACATATCACACACTTTGTCATTTGGTATTATGCAACATTCTATTGGAATAAACAGGAGCGGCTGCCTGCCTGCCGGTATACAGATGATGTCAAGGTACACGGCATACGTTGGTCGTGCATCAAATTGGATCAGCTCCGTGAGGTCATTGGATGCAAGCGATCTCGGAGAGATATTGAGTTTGAGCGAAGATGCAATTTCGATATTGCTTACGTTCAGCTTGCTGATCAGTTTACGAATTGGAGTTTGAGGTCTTTTACGGAACGGTGGAATTCTATTGGGAAACCGTTTTCAGAGAACAGAGATATTTCCTTGTCTATGTCAAACAGAAGGAGGTGGTTGACAAGGACAGTGTTTTGATGACGAAGAGGACGGGAAGGACAGAGTGGGTTGATGTGTCTAACAGTCGAGGAGCTACGGGGGGGATTAAGGTGGAGGGGAAGGAATATATCATTGATCATGGGCGATTGGTGGACTTGCTAGCCTTGCGCAGCTTGTGAATGAAAGTTAAGTTGCAGTGAAGAGCATAAGTTGCTTGTGAATCTCTTTTTTTTATTGATGTAGGATATCTTATTCTCCTGGAACGAATATCATTCCAAGTCAAATAAGGTATTCATGTAGCGTGAATTGGAATTCCACTCTTCTTAAATACTTTCCCACTTTATTTGTGTTATTGGTACAGTTGAATAACTTATTCGATTGCTTTTGCTGAAAGTGGAATATGTTATTCCATATTTGTGCAATCACGAATCAGGTATTCGTGATAGTCGAATTCGGGGGGCTCGTAGGGGAAGGATCAGCATCGGACGACGTAGGGGAGTTGAAGGAATTTGGGGACGACGTTCGAGTTGAGTAGCCATCAGCATACACTCGGAAATCTCGATCCCTTGCAACACTACCCTTTCATATTGATAAGTAAACGGCGCCTTGCATGCGAGTGTGAATAAGGGTTGTATGCGAGCGACCTCCCAACAAACCGTTTTGAGCTAGTCACGATCGTTCAATGCATCCATGGCCAGTTGTTATGCTCGTGGAAACTCCATGAGCGATTGAACCGTATAGCCACGCCCGGCCAGACTATGGAAATGCTACTCTGAGAATGGTTTGTGCTGAGGAACTCCCATACTACTAAGAAAAAGCTTGGGATTTCCATACTTTCCGTCGTGGAATTTTCTCATATCCCCTCAGCTGCAGAGTATGGGATTTTTGCGGACTCAAATTCAATACTCAACCCTACAAAGTGAACAATCATGGATTAAATACGATTTCTCTTAGGCAAGCGCGTAATCCACGTCAAAATCATGGACTAGCCTGGGATTAAATACGGATGATGCAGAGCATCATGGATTACCATCCTAGCAGATCTCCCGGACAAAATTGTGGATTACAATCCCCGACAGTGTCATTGTATAAACCTGGTAAGAAGGTCATGGAGTACCATCCCAGGTAAAATCATGGATCACTGCCAAGGAAAAAGTCGCAACAATAATACCTCAGAGATTCCAAACATAAAACCTGTATGTTTAAAGATATTAAGGCTTGCTAACACAACCGTCTTGATGTATTTAGCCCACAGCAGCCTGCTGCTGAATATAGACATGATCAACCTACATGATGTCATATGATGTCATGTAGGTGCCTTGTAGGGACCATGATTTGATCACCCCCGCCTATTATGGTTTAGCACATGGCTGTGTTTTGGCTCTGCTGAAAGATGATAATATTAACCAGTGGACGCCCGCGCTCTTCAAAATTTTCGAAAATTCTAAGTCCCCACATCTCGTTCAGCAGTAACGATGCCAGTCATGGATGAGATTGATTGTTTGTACATCACTGAGTTTGTTCCAACATCCTGAGTTATAGCACCATTGTTATTGCTACTGTAATTCTGCTAGAAAACTCAAGCTACAACATTCTTACCTGGTAATTTCGCTTTTTTCCCCAATGATACTGCATTTTCTTACCATTTTTCCAGTGCCTGGCTTGACCATATCCAGGATTATGCTAACAAGCTTGTGAATTATGCTGAACAAGATTGTGGATTATGCGGGATCACATCATACATCATGCGGAATGCAATCGTGGTTTGGTTCCGGAAATCCATAATACATCGTGAATTAATCCTTGCTTCTCACAATCGTAGCTATCTTGGGTGGACGTGGAGTACGCACTTGCCTAATAGGATTCGGGCCTAATGCACGATTTGTACTATTGTAGGACAATAATTGTCTATAAGTTAATCTGACTGTTTCTTACCGAGCCTTGACTACCCCTATTGATCTACATTGGCTGCTGCGACGTTTTTGTTCGGTAGTGGGGGTAGTCAAACCTCTGTAAGAAATAATTACTTAAATCTCAACCGCGCAGTTGTCATGGTTTTTTGAAGGTGCTCGAGCAAGGTCGTAAAGCAATCGCTTAGAAAACATTCGCCTACGGACGAACGCTCAATTGTGAACTTTCTGCAGGTATCACTCAGGGTCTGCGCATGATCCGCGTGGCCACGTAGCTCAACCTGCCTCGTGGCAAACTCACCACCATGGATATTCACGTGAGCGGGAGTAACCGCACGCCGAAAAAATAATATGTCTATGTTTTATAAGGGTTGATCAGACCTTAGCGTATTATGCCCTGGATTATAATCTAATTCGCTGTAAATTTTGCAGAGGTTTGACTACCCCCAATGATTGATCATAATATTATCAAGGATTATCCCAAGCATTATCGTGGATCATACCGAAGTTAACCACATCATCAGTGCACGTGGTATCTAAAGACATCCTGTATCTTACGGAATCGGTTCCTGGGGTTTACAGGATCGATACCATGAATTATACTCAAACCATCGAGGATTATGCCAAATACCATCATGGATTACAGGTGTCTGTGTGGGTTCATCACCTAACGTGATCGCAGGGCAAAGCATCCCTCATCCGACTTATATGCAATGCATATATATATGTCACCACTGAGTATTTACAGTTAGTTCACAGCCGCGTGCTGTATTGTTGCGGCGCTGTAAAGCGTACATATAGCTGATGGGTTCTGATCATTCCACACCCCTCAATCTTCATACCACACCCCGGCGCACTCACAATTTCAAAGATATCTCAACAGCCATTGAACTTGGGAATACGGTAAGAGCGTAGAGAGATAGAGAGTACCTTTCTGAATATCCTGATACCTTTAACTCGCAGATTTCACTCCACCAGCTGCTGTACTCTGCCAAATACTGCTGAGATGTGATGTGCAGATTTATGCATATATGCGCTGTGCCACACCAGCCGCAGCGCCGGGCTGAGAGGTGAGAAACAGTTGGTATCTTCTCTCAGGAACCTTCAAATCCGAATATGAAGGTGGGAACGGATTCAGGGGACTTTTATCAGTCTATATACTCTCTACCCTCCGAGATCCGATTTGCGGTTGGCGAGATATTCTGAGTTTTTTGTTGGCGCTGGGGTGTGAAATGAAGAAAATGGGGTGTGGAATGATCAAGACCCTAGCTGATTTCAAATTTTGGTTGCATTGAAAAGGGGACGTTTGAAATCTATCATTTGCCGCCATTTTTAATTGTCCTCCCGTACGTAAGCCGTGGGTGCCAATAATTTCCCGTTCCTTAATGTTCTTACCCACCGTCGCCAGGCATATGACGTGAAGTGGTAAAGATCTCAAATATTGTAGGTCAGCATGCTGCTAATTGTAGATGGGATAGTCGTAGCGAACGACGCAAGCTTCTATCCCTACCAGGTAGCTAGCTATACAAACACATTTACGTTGTGCTCTTTCTCACGGTGGTCGGCGGCCGCATCCTGCCTAGCTATCTCAGCCCCTGTAACGTTGACCTGAACGCCGGCGAAACCGTGGATGTCCATGTAGATACTCGACGGCGCTGCCTGGATCCGACACCAGTTCCCTTCGCCAAATGACCAGCGGAGAACACTGTATTCAGGGGCGACTATCGGCACATGAAGAGCAGTTTCATAGTCCGGATAACCGACAACAGCAGATTCGAAAGGCAGTATCCGATCATGACATAGAATTCCTTGCGGAAGTTTCTATAAAGGGTTTAAGGAGCAATGAAGAGAGGCAGATCATATGGTAGGGACTTGAGTCTCATTGCGAAGGTCTTGCTGAGCGATGGGGTGAAGGCCTCTCCTGGCTGGTGTCCGCGACGAAGACCGCCTCCTGCGTCCATCGTGGATAGACCTGCCGCCTCATAAGGACGAGGCCCAGGTTGCACTGGACACAGATAGATCATTTGTCTTTGTCAGGGAAGGTAAGCACCAGCGTTTTCCTAGATGATATGCTCATTTCCTTGCAGCATGGAGCAGAAAAAGAATCCGCAGCATGAAGGTGAAACTGAACGACTTGATTATCGAGGTTCTACGACGTCATCCGATTCTGTCATATTTTCAAGTCAGTAAAGAAGTGTTTGGTCTTTTTCGCAGGTCACTCATACGGAATATAGGGGTTCCATGATATCTGCCAAGAGCTTCTTCTCACGCTGGACCTCCCCACAGCGGTCCTTACAGCGGAATACATTGCACTACACAATATTAGAGGTCAAAACAATCCCCATACCCTCTATTCGTGCTAATATAAATTCACAGACACTATGTTGCCCTCTATTGAACCCACTCTTAGTTACCTACGTTTACTACCTTCTCTCCTGCTCAAAGTAGATGATGAAGTCGGCCGACATCTTGGTACAATCCAGCCTTTTTATGCGTTACCATTCTTCCTGACTTGGTTCGCTCATGATATGCGGAACCGAGAGGCACTCATGCGTCTGTTTGACTTGTTCATCCCGACGCATCCCTGCATGCCTGTTTACATGATTGCCGCGGTACGTATTCCAAGATACCTTGATTCCTCCTTTTAACAGAACACAGACTATATTGTGCCGCAGAGAACTTCTGCTTGATATATCAGAAAGTGAACCTGAAACTCTGCACTCAGAGCTAGGGAAACTGCCTTTACCTTTTCCAACCGAAGATTTGATACACCAGGCGGTGAAGATGTTCAATCAACACCCTCCAAGCACATTGGATGGGTACGCAGGCACGCCTCGGTCATACTGCTTAAAAACATTCACGCTAAGCGGAAGGACGTTGAGTCATGGCGACGAGCTGCTTGATAAAGCTACAAGGGAAGGGATGGCCATGGAAGAGCCGATGCATCGGAAGAGTCACGAAGCTGGTATGCAAAACCGATATATGGTCATAGCGGGTCTACTCGGTCTGGCTACTATGATGTTCGGAGTCTATGGACGAAGAGTATTTGAATGGTAGAATCTCAATGCTCCTCTGATGCAGTACTCCATACGCCGTACCGATAGTGACACTAATAAAACCCAATGGGGACGTGCCCCATGCAAAACAAAGTCAACAACGCTAATATACTTATCGGTCCCTTCTCGATCTGAACCGTTTTAACCACGACATTGTTTTTGGATACTTTTCAAAAAGCTCATCATACATTGCTCCTTCCTTGCCGTCGTGTCCTCTCAAATTTCTTGACACAGCTTCTTTCAGTTTTTGACCGGTTCCAGAGTATGCACAGAATTCAACATGTGTATAGCCGGCGGGTATGGTACCGGCCTTCATGTCAGCATGATTTTCGTTGTAGGCTGCGTTGCCATCAATCAACTTCTCTTCAACAATGCGTAAAGCAAGGTGTAACCGTCCCGATTCCGTATACAACGTGACGAGAGTGTTCCACACAGCAGCGTCAAAAGCATATCCGTCCTGAAGCAAACCTGCACATACTTCATCGACTTTATCGTAAGCGCGTTGGTCGCGCAGAGACTGGAGATATACGAGTAACGGCTCACACAAATGTCGCGAGTTCCGTATGGTTGCTGTATCCAGCTCTATGCCTTCCGAGGTTATCTTGATAGTACGCGATAACTCATGCGCCCGAGCTCTGACCAGCTTCCACAAGCGTTCCACCATCTCGTAAGAGTTACCACGGTAATATGACAGCATCAGAGTTGCCAACATCTGCAAGTCTGGCAGTGCGCCAACAACGTCGATGAATCGATCGAAAACTTGCCGTGCAGCAGTAGAGCCATATAAAGCACCATTTCTCTTCAGTACTGGCATGAACAAGAAGGGAGGAACTGAGGTTCGAGGAGCATATTTAGAGGTAAGATCCAGCCTGTCCTGGCGCGCGATAATCTCCTCCAGCAAGTCATTTGCACGCCGAAGACCACTAGGACCACCTCTTGAAAGGTATAACTGCATCACAACCGTGTACGTGAGGAAAGTTGGCTGCACACCATCGTCCAACATCTGCTCATATACTTCTGAACAACTTTGAGTGTCGTGTTGCTTGAGATAAGCGATCATCAACGTCGTGTAATGATACGCATTTGGCTTAATTCGATCTGACGCCCGCATGCGTCTCAGGCAGTCCTCAGCTACCCCCATCTCATGCATTGCGCAGTGTGCTTGTATTATCATATTATACGTCTCGGCATCCGGCCGAAGTTCAGCATCACGCATGGCATCAAAAGTGGCTAGCACTTTGGCAAACTTCTTCTGGATCATCCAACCTTTCATCATTATATTATGATGCGCCACGTTCCTCTTCACACCGTAGGACTCTGAGATCGCCCGGAAGAAGTCATCAGCTCCCTTCATGTCTCCCACTTCAACATATGCATTCAGGAGAGCGCCAACATCAGTAGCGTCCGGTTTCAGACGAAGGCCTTGTTGCATCCATTCGAAACACATGACAGCACCATCGATGTCCTTCCTTCTGGCAAAAAGAGCCACCATGGAAGAAAAGACGTGGTTGTTCGGAACAACACCAGCAGCGACCATGGTTTCAAGACTTTTGATAGCCATAGCTAAGTCGCCCGTTTGAGAATATACATTCAAAACCATATGATGCAGAACGATGCTATCTTTGATTCCGTGACGCTGCGCTATATCAGACCATTTCTTCACCTGGTCGACTTCCAATCGCATCATCCTCGCGAACATCAGTGCCGCAAAGATGTATTCATTCGGCTCCCGTCCCGATTCTTTGAATTGGTTATACAGAGCTTCAACCAAGTCAACTAGACCATATCGTGCAAGACTCATCATGATGATTGAATAAGATCTAATTCCCGGTTGTATATCGGAGATACCGTCAAATAATTGCTGCATGCTCCGAAAATCATGTAACTGATCGTACACACGCAACATGACGTTTACCGTCACTTGGTTTGGCTTGTGCTTTTCGATTGCAAGCATATCATTGTACAGCGACACAGCCAAACGTGGGAGATCGGCCTTGCTCAACGCAGCGATCGTAGCTGTGTATTCCAAAACACCAACCACCGAGCCTGCCTGGCGCACCAGCTTCAGCAAATCATTAGCAAACAATGCTGCAGGTTTGTCCGCCTGGTTTGCGTGATACAGGATAACCTCTCGGGCAACATGCCTATGCCAGCGATCCAAGCCATTTGTCGTCGTCTTCATGAAGTTCTTTATGTTTTCGGTGGCCCATTCCGACAACTTTTGCCAACCATTGAATAAAGCACTATAAAATGCATTCCTTTGGACTGGCCAGGAGCCTAATGATGCATCGTAGGTCTTACGCCAAATCTTAGCGACCATATCAAACTGCCTGCTTTTCTTCAACGAAAACAGGAGACTTTCAGCACCACCATGCATCCACCACTTACCTCCCATACTTACCAGTCTATCGAAAACCGTACATGCCTCCTCTAGTCGATCCAGTCTGCACAATGCACGGATCTTGTAAGAGATATCGGTCACTGTCAAGTCACTTTCGGGGAAGTCCGCCAACACATGCAAGTTTCGAAAAGCAAAACGACGCTGGCCCATCTCGAAGATGTCCTCTTCCTGGGTACCGACCTCCGCGAGATTATCATAGTACTCCAGCAAACTCTTACGAACGTTGGCATCAAGAGTCCCCCGAGGGAGGTACCGGTACATATACCATATATCCACATTATGCTCAGGCTTGCCGTCTTTCAGGAGGCTGATGAGAGGTATGGTTGCCTGTTCACGGGGCAACACTATCCGATCACCTGTGCCAAGCCCAATTTGCGGGTTGATCGGAGAGGACGGCACATCCAGGTATATGAGGTACGCCAAAGCATCCCACCGTGGCGTGTCGTCATGCGGAATAACACAATCAACTTCGTCCAGAATAGATGAGTCCTCAGTGTTATTCAGCGCATCGAAGGATACAGCCGTCGTGTATCGACGTAGTGACCGCACATTGTTTCCTCCGGGTCTCCAGCATTTTCTTCGTGTGATATGATGGCGAGAAGCTGCAGGAGCGACAAGATCGAATACTGGCGGAAGCGTCTTTGATAACCGGATTGCAGCTTGCTCCAAGCGCATGCCAATCCTTGTCATGCCTTTTCCGGTATTTTCGTTTGCCCCACCTAGCAAACGAGTTAGAGATACAGTTGCGGAGGACGACCGAGCATAGCTAACCTCACTGCATTCACACGATACGATGGCTTTGACTGGTATCCCGTCCGAGACGACGTACAAGGTATTTCGCGGCGACAGTTCTTCTTTTCCAAGTACGTCGCCTCTGGATATCGAGCTCCCCCTGAAGTCCACGTGACCCGCCAGCTTTCTGGCTCAACGCTCGCCCAGCTGTTGCTAAAAATAGACAACCTTAGAAGAACGACATGGCAAGACCAGGAGACGCTCGAGAATCCAAAGGAAACGTTAACAGCACCAGTCGCGGGGGCAGGGGCGGCAGGGGAGCTCGGGGCGGCGGCCGAGGAGGAGGTCGTGGACGAGGCCGTGGCGGGTTTCGAGTAGGAAAGCCTTTACCAGAGGGAGCATACACCGGAAAAGGTACACCCATGAGTTCGAGTACCGTAGCTTTCTGCTAACCGGGAATATCGCAGCCGACAAGTTGAAGGCGAATCTCATTCACAAGGCAAAAGTGAAGAAGCAGTATGCAAAGACACTGCAGAAGGAATCCGACAACGGTTCTCTTACCTCCTATTACCAGCGATTGCTTGAAGAAGCAGACACAAGCACTGGGTCTGTCACGCCCAGACAGAAGACTACAAATAATAATGCGACGGTTTGGGATGCGGGGAGCAAGGACGACGACAACTCATACGGGGATGATAAGACTGAAGTCGAAGACGAACAGGCCCAACGTTCGGGATCAGAGGAAGCATACGATTTGGATGCATCATCGAGCGAAGACGATATAGTCAGCAACGACATTGGTTTGGAGACTCTGGATGAAGCCTCTCATCATGTGCGTCCGCGTCCGCAAGCGTCACAAACACTGTTCCGACAAGAAACTGCCGGCCCTCAAGTTCATCCTTCTCGCCGTCATAAACCATCGCCTTTTCAGCGCGCCGAGTCTCATGCGGACCGCGTACGACGTGAACGCGAGGAACGTGAGAGCGAGGTCCAGGAGCAGGAGAAAGCAAAGAAAAACAAGCTGGAAGCTAGGCAGAACAGGAAAGCTGCTATGAGCGCGAAGACTAGGAAGGGACAGCCTCTCATGAAAAGTCGCATGGAGGGACTATTGGATAAGGTAAAAAAGGTGATGCAATAGATGTATTAGCCTTCATTAGGATATTTACTGCTGAATCTATCCCCAAAGCCTGCTTAACAAGCCCCCCTTCTTCGCTGGAACACCCTCTTCTTTATGCTGCGCAGACGGTGGCTCTTCCTCCAAACCCTGTGCCGTCTCGTAGCCGATATAGTTATATGCAATGTCAAAGAACACAGGCTTGACAGGTACCGCTTGGAATTTAGGTGGCAATTCCACCAGTCTACCGAGATCCAACGGCACTGACAGGTCGGGGTATTCGTTCAGAGCATAGATTAACGCATTCGGTTCCGCGGCTTCGGTCGGCGCCTTAAGGACGTTCATAGTCAAGAGAGCGCGAGTTCGCGAAACCTCACTAACAAGTTTGCAGACCAGATTATTCACGTCGGCGGCGGTGACGGAGACGTAATCGGCTTCCACAGATACAGAAAGCGGCCCACTTGCCCGACGGGCATATGACAGGGCACGAAGGAATAAAGCCAACGCATTCTTGTATTCATCCTGCACGGCCCAACTTCTCGCTAGAAAGCCCGCTCTTTGAGCCTTGAAATAGGAGAGTTTTGCTTCGAGTTCTGCGCAGAAATCTTGGTCGGCAGCAACACCGGGCAGATCGAAGATGCTGATGAGCGACTGCAATATAGAGTCATAAAGCTTGATAAGGTCGCGGTACACCGATGTTGTTGTGGGCGGTCGACGATCATCAATACGGGATAAAAGAGCAGCGGCCAACAAAAGATCCCGGCGAATACGCGTAGTGATCTCGCTGTAGTTCACATAAGTGTAAGTGATTTGTAATGCCTGCATTTTCTCTTGGTCCTGTGCACCCTGTTCCTCCTCGGAGATAGCCTTTTGCGTCGCGTCGGACGCATCCGCCCACGCAGCCAAGACATCATCGAAAGAACGGGTAGCGAGTGCTTCAGATCCTTCAGACGCGTTTCGGATGTCCTGGACCCTAAGGAGGGATACAGCAATAGCAGGATCCGAAACAGGTGCAACGTAACCCCTCCACGACACTTGTTCAATAACAGCTGACAGCTCCTCGGTCTGTTTGTCCAGAGCAGAAGGATCAAGCTTCTTCAAGACCTCAACCACGCGCGCATCCTTTCTAACATATTCCCTAGTCAAGGAGGAGATGTCACGGTCCTGTCCCTGAGACGTTTGGTATGCACAATATCGGATCGAGGGATCCGTACCAGCGGCAGCATCCTTGAAAAGATCATTCTCCACACCCGCGTCCAGAAGATTCCAGGCAACCCTAGCAACGGAAACTTGCTCCAAACACTGTTCCCAAGCTCTCTTCTCGAAGTGCCACTGCCCAGCAAAGCTTGCAGCATATGCTATGGCATCGAGCTGAGTAGCTGCGTCCGCTCCGATCTCGGGCGAAGCAAGGACCGCAGCAAGATCTCGGGCGTATTGTGCAGCTTTGGCAAGCCGGCGGACGCAATGCTGATGTCGAACGTTATTTTCATCCTGCTCAGAAACTGCCTTGATTTCCAATGCTTGCGCCCAAGCGCGCTCAGCGTTGAATAAAAGTATCTCGAGGTAACGTTGGTCTTTGGCCTCTTCAGCGGTGACTTTCTTTTCAGAATACTTGCCCCCTTTTTGGACGATCTTCAGCGCCTTGCGCAGACGGTAGACATTGCGCGAACACCACTCTCTGTACTTTTCGTGGTCTTGAAAGCGCAAACCGTGAGTATTACGAGCCTCGGTAACGAGCGCCAGAGCAGAGAAACGGGCCATTGTCAAACCAGGCTGGTTGACGTCCACTGCATCAGTCGCGACGGGATTCATTGTAAGGACAGCCCGCGGAAGCTTTGATCGTTGACAGCTGTTACGAGAGTTGGACGTCGACGTGGTACGGTGTACAGGCCCAGGCGCCCGGGGGAGTAGCACACGTGACTGATGGGGGTAAAATCATCGGAGCTGACGTCCTTTCTTACTTTCTGAAACATAAAAATGGGTTATCAGTCTTTGCTTTGGCTCCAGCTACAGCTGTAAGAAGGCGACGCCGGTCTTGTTCGCCGTTGCTTAAAGCTGCGCAAAAGTGCATCGCATCTTGCAATTGTGCTGCACGTGACGTAGACCCGACTTCAAGTACGACGAGGACATGGACCGTACCAGCTGGTAGCATACATCACCAACAAACCGTCAGAACGACAGAACTACTGACCGACCGACCGACTTGCTCACTGCTGACTGCTATTGAGTGCCTTCCACCCAGCTCTCTTCCAGTGTATGCCGTCTTTTACCTGCTCTTGTCCTCCCAATACTCCCACAACCGAGCAACCATCACCTCTTTTCCCGCGTCAACATCGCTGTCACAACGAGACGCCGGCTGCTGACGGCCTACTAGCCTTCGAGGGCCCCGCGGGCTCTGAGGAGGCTACAAGGAAGGCCCTGCTTTGGCTAGAACAGAGACTGTATAGCATGCCTATCGTCCGCGGGTTCGATGTCAGCGATGACTCCAACGTCGAGGGGGACCATGTCGAAAAACCACACGAGCTGCCTGCGATGCATGCTCGGAATGATTTGATATCTAGGATCAAGGCTGAGCAGGTTACGAGAACAAGATCAAGATCACCTGACCGACATGCAACCATCTCTCCTCCGGAACATGTTCAACAGCCGTTCTCGGACCCCCTACCAGAGCGCGAGCACTATCGACGTCCATCACAGTATTTGTCGACGACACCGCCACTGTCTCGACCTCAGCATACAGTCGTATCGCCCTCATTCCAGCATCGATCGTCCATTTCGCAATATTACCCGAAACCACCGACGTCTCCTCTGGTACATGCTACCACGTCTGCCTATGGTTCTGAAGGTTCCGACCCGATAGACATTGGTTCATCAGCGGATACGTTTGAACTAGGCTCGCCTCGGTTGCCCTATCACTCCTCACATCGGCCTTCGCATAGCTATCGGCCGCATTCGTTGGTCGGTAGTTTGGGCTTCTCATATAGCGCAAGCCCCGGTAATGGCCTTCCTATGGCGAGGTCTGGACGGAGGACAAGTGCAACTGCTTTGAACCACCACCATGAATTATTCGGCAGTTTCGTTGGTTCATACGAGGAAAGCATCTTGAGTGGTCGCATGTCGACCTTGCCATCGAAGCCATTAAATTTCATTGCACAAATCGGTGTCCTTGGGCTGGGCAAATGCAAAAGCTCACTTCGGTGCCCGCCACATGTTACCATACCATTCCCAGCCTACTTCTACACTGTCCCCGAATGTGAAGGCCCAAGCCCTTACGTAGGGCAGGTTGATATCGAGGCGGCTTTGACCGACAAGAAAAAGTTCCCAGGGGGCTACAGAATTCCTCCGAGAGGCCAACTTCAGATTGTGATCAAGAACGCTAATAACACTGCAGTGAAGCTATTTTTGGTGCCGTACGATGTTACGGACATGCCGCCGGGCACGAGAACGTTCCTCAGGCAGAAGCATTATTCCAAAACAAATCCGATTGATGATGCACTTGCGTCTTCATCTAACAATGCTTCACTGAAACCGGACCAAGACAAAGAGACGTTGAGGTACGCGTTGCATTTGCATATATGCTCTCCATCCAAGGACAAGTTTTACCTTTACAAGAATATACGCGTTGTTTTCGCAAATCGCGTTCCCGACGGAAAGGAAAAACTCCGAGTTGAAGTGCAATACTCCCAACCAAAGTACACGAAATGGGTTCAAGGAGATTACGGGAAACGAGTGGGCTTGATGAAGGAGCTTCAAGAACGAAATAGACCGGTGCTACACGTCGACACGAAGGGTGCAAACTGCGAGAGCAATTCCCCTGCCGACATGGGTTGGAGCAACTACTCTCCTACAAGAGTTGTTCCCTCACCTACAAGTGCGACGACCGGACGAAGCACGCCTGAAAGTATGTTGGCTGTGAAGCTGAAGGGGTTGGATGTTGGTTCTGGTGTGGATGAACAATCGAGATAACGGACATCTTATGGGTTGTCAAGTCGGATAGTTTTGGAGTCTTCGAAGTTTTGCAATCGGCGCTACGGTGTTTCTGCTCTACAGTGGGTTCTTGGATTCTTGGGTTGGAAATAATATATTAGGTATCAGTATTCTTCGGGCCAGCTGCTCACCGGCCAACCGGCGCCGGCCGCGGCGGCTAGTGACATGAACTTGACGACCTGCGTGTCTAAAAATGCGCTTTGTCGGTTGCCTGACCGTTTTCATATCCACCATAAAGTCGAACCAATACGAACTCCTTCCAGTTAGTCACTTGAAAGGGCATCATTCAGAATATCTCTGATCCTTTGCTCGAACCCAGAATGCATCTTGCGGATCTCATGCACAAGAGGCTTGACCGGTTCACCGTGCTTTCCAACTTCGTTAAGCTTCTTCATCTTCTGACGCCGGCGACGTTCTGCTTCTACAGGGTCTGCCTCCTCCAAAGCCTGCTCCCTTGCCATAGTGGTGGCATCGGCTTCATCCTCGCCGTAAGCAAGTTCCTCCACATCGGCCTCATCCAATCCGAAATCCGAGGCCTTGATTCGGCTCGTGGGAACTGTGCCATCGTCCATAGCAGCGAGCTTTGCACGAAGACGGGCTTCTCGCCACAGCTTCCTATCACCATTCCATTGAATAAGGGTATCAACTTCTTGCAGAGCCTTCTGCCTGTCGATATCCTCTGTGAACAAAAGAGCCAAGTCAATTCGTTGAGGGAACCCCTCACGCAGGAGCATCAAAATCAACTCGATCCATCGCATTAGGGCATCGAACAAGCCCTCCGTGTCATGCTTATGTACCTGATGCACGAAACGGTAGAAACTTTCTTGATGACGTGCACACAGGTCGATAAAGGACTGAACAAGCCTATTCGGATCCGTCGCAAGGTCCTGACTTTCCGCTTGCTCGACAACTTTGATCAAATCGTCCATGAATGCCGAAAAGTCCGAGATCGAATTATGGATGCTCGCGGCTTTGTACACCTTTGCCAAAGGTTCATAGAAGATGCTGAAGATGTCCTTAAGAAGTGCACCCGTGACACCCTCGAAAAGCAACTCATTAAGCCTTTGCTTGTCGGTCAGACGTACTTCCAATCTCAATAACTGAATTAACCAAGCATACAGTTTCGCATTCTCGTCACTCTCCTGGACTTCAACGTCGTCCACGCGCTCACAGTCCACGGCTTCGTTCCATGCAACATAAGCCATAAGTACCCGCTGCATCTGAACAGAATTCAGAGGAGCGCCAATATTGCTCCGCATAACCGCGATCATCAAATCAACATCATCTGCGACAGCTTCAGCCCTCACGTACTCTTGTAACTCAGGAGCAGCTTCGGCGAAAAGCTTGAGCTTTGTGCAGATCGCCGAATCACCAATTTTGCTCTGCAAGATATTGATGGATTTCTTGATTTCGCCTATATCCTCAGACAGGGACATCGAGAAAATCCGTTGCATAAGAGACTGTACGAGAATATCTGTTAGTATAAGTATTGGCATGAAAGAAACATAGGTACCACCTTTTGCCCGAAAGGTGTAGCCAAGAAAAGGTCCAAAATTCCCCTCATCATGGCCATCGGATTGGAAAAGCGGATGATGTTTTTCAGTACCATGTAGGGCATCAGCCCATGCACTCTCTTCGCTGTTGCGAATGTTTCGCTTGAATTGTCTTGAGCGACAAAAAGATGGTAGATAGTAGCCGCGACCTCGATCCTGGCCCATTCGACGACCTTCTGGTATTCTTCCGGTAGCTCAGCAATAGTATCCTTTTCCTTGATTGCCCTAAAAACCCGCGAAAGTCCATCGCGTTGTACCAGATCCTTCTTGAAGGTTGACATATGGGCGTCTAATTCACGAGCACGAGCCTGAGCAACTTGTGTGAACTTCGACAGCTCGGTAGTACGTAGCACGTCGAGCTCCGCCCGTCGAGCCTCGTCTTCAATATCATCTGGGGTAAGATGAATTGGATCGGCGGTAAGAAACATGATCAAATTTGTCGATCTCACAATCTGAGGGTCATGAACCAATGCTCGGATAAATGCGCGCAAGGTCAGCCTGTTCTTCTCTCTAGGGATGATTGAGGATTCGGGTGCGCTTTGAATCCCCGGTGAAGGCGGCGGGGTGGTTTCATTGCTGGAAGAGGAGTTGATGGATGCATTGTCATCCTTCGAAGTACCGTCGCGCCTAGTTGAGGTCGCCGTTTTGTTCTTTTGAGGAAGACGTGGTATCTCTTTCCCAGGGAACTCTTCGGTCAATTCTTTGTGCAGACGACAGAAGTCACCATAGCGATGAGCCGTTATGACATCCGATTGCGAGGGACGCGATGTCCTGACCAAGAAGTAGGCGTGTGTTTGCTTCCTCAGGTGTCTTCTCTCCTTCTCCATACGTACGGCACACACGTTAACCTTGAACCCTTGGGTTCCGCTTGCATGGTCCTTCGCCCACTTTCCATTCGAGTTTTTCTCAGCTTCCAGCACCGAGATACCTTCCTCTTGGCCACTTGCCGTCTTGAGCCCAGCATTCATCATGATACCGATCATCTTTTCCAGTTTGGAGCCCATCATTCTGCGCTTAGTATCCTCCTCACGATCGTCTGTAGTCGAAATGTTCTTCTTCAGAAAGGCTTCATAGAAGGCCTGGACTTTGCCACCCCAGAATTCCTCCTGGTTCACTTTCTTCAGGAACGGGAAGGTTTGTACGTAACGCGTGAACACAAAACGTAGAATTGGCGTCGGGCACTGCGATGGATCAACAAGCGCTGAGGAGCGAAACGGAGGCCCAAACGAGGACAACGCTGCCGGCGATGACAGGAGCGCAATCTCATCTTCAAGTTGCTGCGAAAGGAGTTCCTTTTTCAGATAGTGCTCTGCTCAAGTCAGCAAGTGCGGCATTCAATTGAGGGAGAAGCTTACGCTGACGGGCAGTGAGATCCAGGTGATCCATGAGCGGAAGCCCAAAAAGCTCAGCTGCGAATCCGATTGCAATCGTTGAAGATGATTATAGGGAAGAATGCTCGAATTGAGAACACTGCTGATGGACGGGGTGATTGAAGAAGGGTGTGTGTGATATGATCTGGTGTTCAGGGATGTGCCAAGGACAGCTGCCCTGGAGGTGTATGCGCATGTATGCCCTGTTGCCGGCGGCCGTCCGTTACCGTTGCTGTACCCCATACAAGTGACATCAGCAGCGTAGTCATGCCACGGAATGTATATCGGACTGATTTAACAGATGTTTGAGTACCCGTATCTACGTTTCTAAACCAACATAGATAATCTTTCCAGCTTGTCTGACAACCTGCCTGTTACCCCACATTCGGCCCCCGCGTTTACGTACTGTACGCCGGGCAGGTTCAAATGACAAACGGCACCGGGCAACGAAGATATTTCAACACACCACCACCCCCTCGACTTGACACAGCGTTCACGCACACTATGTCTTTCTCGTCACTACTCTCGGGAGCAGAGTGCTCCACGTCTGCAAACCCTCTTGCCCAGTTCTCTAAGCATGCTGCTCAAGATACGTCCCTTCAGCGAGATCGCATGGTCGGCGGGCAACAAGCTCAGAGACCCGGCGGTATGAGAAGTGCTCAGGCTCCTATGACAGCACAGGATGGAAAGGTATCATCATACACAAACATCGTGATGGCTGTCCGCTTACCAAAGCTTACAGTTGATGGAAGACATGTTCAACGCCGGGCCTGTTGAGCAGGAAACATTTCGGTTCGAAGGAATGAGGAAGCAGCTGAATGGGATACATCGCACAGGTCCGCCACGTAAGATACATTGCCTGTGAACGTATAACTCTTTGCTAACCGGTATCTTCTGTAGCGAACTGGTCGGCCGAATTTGGGAACGCGCCGCAGTCCGAGCGGGGAGCATGGAACGTCCGCGAATTCGAAGAGAGGGCTAGATTGGAGGCTTCGTTCAAGCAAAAACCGAATGCTCAAGGTGGGAAACATTTGCATTGCCAAGCCGAGGACCGTTCGTTACTAACTTCTGTGAACAAAAAGGACAAGATCCAGCATGGCAGCGCGAATTTATGGCTTCTTCTGGTTCACCGATGCTTGAGCAGCACCAAACCGGATATCACGCATCGATGCCGTACCAACCTATGTTTGCCGGGCGCATGGGCCTTCCCATGACTTCGTTTCAGGAGCCCATGATGACGGATGTGAAAGGAAAGGGTCGCATGATTGAATTGGATCCTCACAACTGGGAAGAGCACTTCAAAGCTATCGAGAACTTGGACAACGCGGATAAGGAGAAGCTAGAAAAATTTCAGGAGGAACAGCAGGTAAAGGCAATCGAAGACGAGGGCCAGGCCTTGCACGACGAATCACAATACTTCGGAGATTTTGAGAGTCTATGGAAGGGTATTCAACAAGATCATCAGGAGAATGGTATGCCAAACCATCTCGATTGGGAATCGGAACTTGCGAACTTTCCAGAGGATGGTCCTATGATGTCCACCGTTCCCCAATCCTTCACCCCCGATGGAAAACCCAATCTCGGCGAGTATCTCTTCGAGCCCGATAATGTTTATCTCAACCATGCCGATCCCTTTGGTGAAGGTATGGCGCTTATGGACCAGGGTGGAAGTCTATCGGAAGCTGCTCTTGCCTTCGAGGCGGCGTGTCAGAAAGATCTGAAACGCAGTGAGGCATGGGCTTGGCTTGGTTTTGCTCAGGCACAGAATGAGAAAGAGGAACCTGCCATTAGAGCTTTGGATAGAGCTACCAAACTTGACCCGGCGAACCTACAGGCACTTTTGGTACAGTTTCCCAGATTTGCACCAGTCTGACGATGACGTGCTAACAAGCGTGGGAATAGGCACTTGCTGTATCTTATACGAACGAGGGCTACGACACAGCGAGTTACTTGACTCTCGAGCAATGGATCACGACGAAATACCCTCAATTAGCGCCGAGTACCCCGCCGGCTATGACGAATAACCGCTTCCAGGTTCATGAACGCGTCACCGAACTCTTCCTTCGTGCTGCACGTCAGAGCCCGAACGGTGCAGAGATGGATGCAGATGTTCAGGTTGGTTTAGGTGTGTTGTTTTACGGTGATGAAGATTTTGATAAGGCTGTTGATTGCTTTGTGACTGCATTGAGGACTCGCCCGGATGATCATCTTTTATGGAACAGGTTGGGGGCAACGTTAGCCAACTCGGGGCGCAGCGAGGAAGCCATCGAGGCCTACCAAAAGGCACTCGAATACCGTCCAGGTTTTGTTCGTGCAAGGTACAACCTCGGCGTTTCTTGTATCAACATTGGCTGCTACACCGAAGCGGCCCAACATCTCTTGCGTGCCCTTGCCATGCACCAGGTTGATGGTGATGCCGGAGGCGGCGTCAATATCTCAAGCAACCTTTGGGAGACGCTGAGGAGGGTGTTTCTGGTCAGTCTGAATCGGCCTGATCTGGCGGAGAAGGCTGTGAGTGGAGCGGATATCTCGATCTTTAGGGACGAGTTTGAGTTCTAAGAGGTACAAGAGAAGCATTTGCATTATTAAACATGTAATCGTCCAATCGGTGTTTGCAACAATCGCGCCCCCCCTACACCCGCGGGTCGACGTTGCGTCTGCCCAGTCACCCGACCCAACCAGCTTCAAGCATCCGGGCCACGCCGTTCATTAGTGAGAGGTATACGACGTCAAGCCTGGTAAACGAGTTTCAGTTTGATATCGATTTCGTGAAACAGCTCGAACTCTAATTCTTCCCGAGACAGCCCATCGATCGGCCTTATCGGATCGTCGACGTCGTACCACGTCAAATCTTTTGTGCGAAGACGGCAACGGGATACACAGGCAGGCGCACCAACCAGAGCATGGACACCGCACCTCCACCAGCCGGGGCAAACAGCGGTGGAGCACCGCACGGTTTAACACACGCGAATCTACCATTCCATCACACCCAGGTATTCGACGCACGTGCGAACACGCCGTCCATATCCATCCCGGCCAACCCATACGATCATCCTCACTATACGCAGCCTATGCAATCGCCTTTGGCAGCTATTCACCACCAGCAATCATTTCTCTCCGATCAGCATCAACTTGCTTCACATTTGCATCACCCCCAACACTTTCATCAACACCCCCACCAGAATGTTGACTCATCACATGGGCACGTGCAGACATCAGGTTCCGCATACACCGCGTACTCACCGCCTGTCCACAACCTCGGTGGAGCTCAGAGTCCTCCGCCCCAGTCGTTCGTGAGCACGAGGCGCGCATCGCATTCGTCCAGCAAATCTCACTCCTCGTATCAGGGCGCATCGGCGGCCTCTGTGCCCCAGGCCTTGACGCCTGCTCCGCTAGATGGTGGTGCTCAGCACGAACCATTGTACGTGAACGCGAAGCAGTATCAAAGAATCATCAAACGGCGTGCTGCACGCGCTCGTTTGGAAGAAACGGCTCGTCGCGCACGCGAGGCTGCCGCGCAGCCAAATGGCAATGCCCGCAAGCCGTATTTGCATGAGAGTAGGCATAAGCATGCTATGCGGAGACCTCGAGGACCTGGTGGACGCTTTTTGACGGCGGCGGAAATTGCGGAGCTAGCTGAGAAGGAGAAGCTCAACGCTGCGGTCACGGACGACACGGGCACACCTGACGCTCAGGCTGCGTAGTGTGAGCGATGTCGAGAGGTTCAGTCTGACAGATTATTTGAAAATCAGGGTTCGTTTAGGGCGTTTCGGTTGGTCAGTGGGCACGGTGTTTTGGTCATTCATTGCACATTCTTTATACATTTGAGGATGTTCGACGCCGGGAATATGCTGGGTGTAAGTGTCGGAGTGGAACGGGTAATGCTAGCGAGAAGTAAAACCTTGTTACGAGCAATAAGTTATCACCTACTCATAGACAACTGTATTGCTATCGACTTCAACTGATAGTAGTGCCTGCAAAAACAAACCCCAGAACTCCATCCGGACCCATGCCAAACTCCAAAAAGCACAACAAAATATTAGTAACCTTGACCTTGATCATAGTGCCCATAGCTTTGCACTTCCTGAGGGGTCTGTTCCTGACTGTCGTCATACTCTTGCTGAGCATACAGATCATCATCTTCGTACTGCTCGTCCATATACGTGTCTTCCGTTTCGGTACCGGCCCGGCCACGTCGAGACGGCCCTTCTCCCTTGTCCGTTTTGTTTGCCTGTGCCGTCAGAAATGAGATCATGCACATGAAGCAGTTTGAAAGGCTCGTACCTGTCGATATCTAGCCAAGTAGATCTTCAGCGCCTCAGCGTAGTTCTCGAATCCCAGCTGCTGCATAGCGTGCAAGATGTCTTCACCGTTGACGGTCTTTCTCTTCTCCTGTTGGCACTTCTCGCTCGCTTCGCTTGTGATGAACGCGATGAACTCTGACACACACTCCTGCACGCACTCCTTCGCGTCTTTTGCAATCTTTGCAGACTCCGGAAGCGTGCCCTTCATGATACGGGCAACGTTTGCAATGGGCAGGAGAGCTTCTTCCATCTTGAATAGATCCCGTCTCGTAGAGGTTATGACTGTTCGAGTGATGCTATATTTAGAAGTGCCCAAATATGCCGATGCGAGGTGCCAGGCATTCGAGGGGTTGTCGTCGCCCAAGTGCTACGCGTACGCCCAAGTTGCCAGCACAGACGAGAACAACCACCAAGGACAACTTGAAACGACAACCAGCACCGGTTATCGCTTGTTCTTCTTGGGTTCAATACACTCCTATTCTTTGTCAGCGTCTGTTGATCAGATAAGCTTCAGTATCTCCTGTCTCTTCTTGTTTTGTCCACGCTTGTCCTTCGTACCTCCGTTCTTTTCTTCACTACCGAAGTCAAGACAACATCGAAATGTCCCACCTTGCTCAACCTCACAACCTTGCTGTTGCTGGTGCTCCTCCTCCTCCTCCCCAGTCGTTCGACCCTTCGGAGGCAGCAGCTACTTTCTACGACCAGGAAAGGAAAAGGAGAAGTTCGCGTGATGAAAATGTTCTAGAGGGTGAGCGCAGCTTTACGCATTTACTAAGCTACCTATGTACTAAGTTGTATCTTCATAGGCACGAAACGCAGGCGTTCTCGATCCCCCGGCTTTCATCCTCGTGATGACCGTTACTATGGCCGGAGGCCTGCGGCTGGGCGCTACAATATGGCAAGGTATGTCGCCTTCTGCATCTCATAATGATAGATGCTAATAAAGTTACGCAGAGAAAGCCTTGACGACCCGTACAACCTGGAGCACCTTGTCTCCTTCTCGTATTATTGCGACTGGTATCGTGAGGTCAACCCGCAGCATACCTTAGATGTCGAGGCGCTGCGTGCAAAGTACGAGGTCTATCGTGATGACCTCCACGCCCGTCTTGCTCAGGATTTCGTGAAGGAAAAGATGAAGGATCAGTGGTTTAAGGAAAAGTACGATCCGACGATTAGCAAGAAAACACAAGCCACGGTATCCGAGTTCAGGAGACACAACTACAGGCATTTCATGGAACACTTGACTGCCGGTATCTTTGACCAGTGGACGCTTGACGGAGGTCCCAAAAAGAAAGAGAACGGTGAACCGTTGTTACTGCAGGCACAGAAAACGCAGGTTATCACAATACGCGAAGCTGGTCATGCCAATGAACCCGGTGCCCTTGTCGAAGAAGTCGAGCTTGTTGCAGCTGGAGGTGTGGGCTGGGAAAACCGGGACGAAAATGCCTACCGCAAGACGATTCTGCTCAAGACTATTTCTCCAACGGTATCCCGTTTTCAACTCGAGGAAGTCGTCGGTAAGGTTCCCGGGTTTCGCTTCTTGTCGCTTTCGGACCCGAATCCTGCCAAAAAGTTCCACCGCATTGGTTGGATCGTGCTTGATGAAGAGGCAGATGTTGACGCGGCACTGAAGCTTTTAGAGAATGTGACGATCCACGATGAAGTGTTCGGAGATTTCACCTGCCATACCGGAATCCATGCAGCACCTCGGGACCCGAAAAAGAAGATGCTTTATGCTGTTTGCTCTACTATTGATTCCCTCCGAAAAGATATGGCTCTTGCAACTCTTGCTGTTGAAAAGTATGAGGCTGTGCTGGGCGACGGGTTTCATGCTATACCAGCCATCCAAGCAAAAGCTGAAGAGCTGAGAATGAAGGAAGATCCTGATTATGACGAAGATGAAGAAGGTGCAATTCACGAAGAGGATGAAGAGGCTGAATCCGGTGTGGACATGGCTGTTCTGAAGAAAGCCTTGGATATCACTATTGAATACCTTCGCCGTGTGCATTCCTTCTGTTATTACTGCGTGAGTGACAACGACTCGGTTCACGAGCTTACTCGCAAATGTCCGGCCGGTCACGTTCGTCGGCCCGCACCTCCGCCCGACTACGTCCCAGACAGTCGGGCCCTGAGTTGGCTGAAGAACTGGCAGGATAAGATTTCTCTTTTCCTCGAGCCTGAGAGTGCCGACCTCAAGAAACTTGGTGGCAAGCCAGTGGACAAGGCTCTTGAAACGGAGATTGTTGCACACATCAAACGCGAAGCGGAAGGCAGGTTCCGATGTCGCGTCGACGACTGCACAAAGCTCTTCAGTGCTCCCGAGTTTGTCAGAAAACACATCAGCAAACGTCATCTGGATTGGTCAGAGAGAGTGAAGCTGCAAGTCACGCTCCTCAATAATTATGTGACCGATCCGTGTCGCGTGGTTTCGCAGAAGGCTGAAGCTGTTCCGCCGCCGAACAACCCCCTTCCATCGATTTCTAACCCTGTCCTCAACAACAACCTTCCACATTTGCCGGCACCGCCCTTGGGCCTACCCACGCCATTTGGCACTGCACCGCCTATGCCGTTTGTTGCTCCGCCGACCTGGAACCCTACTGCCTTTGCGCCATTCCCTCCGGGCAGCTTCCCCGGAATGCCATCTCTTCCTCGGCCTAGTCCATTCTATGTCCAGGCGACGGCCTTCCCTACACCCGCTCCTGAAGTCCCCCCTCACTCCGTGCCAGCTGCCACTTCTATGGTCGGGGCAACTCCGCGTCCTCCCCCGACGGCAATGCTTCAGGCCGCGCTCGTTGATCCTTACGTGGCTCTGGGCTACCCTCCACAAACCACAACTGGCAAGGCCATTATCGAAGCCGGAGGTGTTCCACCCGTTCAGCACCGGATGCACCCTCGTAGCCCTTCCCCTAGGGGGCGATACGATGGATATGATGGTTACCGCCGCCCATTCCCTCGCTATAGGAGTAGGAGTCCTCTGCCTCGCGATCCTGGGTATGATAGGAGATCTCCTCCGCCGGCGAAGGATGATCCCAGGTATACGCGTGATCCCAGGGCCATCAGGAGTTATCATGATCTTGATGCACCTAGAGATGCGACGCCTCCGTTGCCATACTAGAAGTGGTAGGCATACCTTTTGACTCATTTTCTGTTACTGGACTTGCAGTTGCTGGCGTGTGTGTTACACTCATGGCATATTCTAATGTCATATTCAATATTACCATTTCTAATTGCAAACGAGAAAACGCCGTATCCGTACTCCCATGTTACCAGAACTCTGTCATATCACCCGTCAACCTGATTATCCATGCGACCACCGAACATAAGAAACATCACACGACTAAGCATTATTCCGAGTCCATGTACCCAGGTGCACTGTCCGTGTAAAGGTCATTTGTTACAGTTGATCACAACGTCGCGCTGTCGAGCATGACCTGTCAGACCGTAACCTTCAGTCACTCGTTGTGCGACTTATTCCTCGTAACTCACTGCCTTCTTGGCTCTCAAAGGTCTTCTCCCTTTCTTTGGTGACCGCTTTTCTTCCTTGTTCTCGGCTAAATCGTCCTCCGCGGCCTTCCTCTTCGACGATAACGCAGCGGCAGCCTTGGCCCGGGTTGTCGCCAGTTTCTTCTTTACTGGGCCAGTCGTTGATGAGTTGGATGTAGGTGCTGAATGCTTTTGCGGCGATAGACGAGGGATTTTTGAGGGCGACGTCTCGGGTGGGATTTGATGGGTTCGCGGAGGAGACATGTGTGGAGAAGGTGGTTGAAGGCTCACGTGAGCTTTCGTTGCGCCAGATGAAGAAATTGACGCCTTGAAGGGGTCGACATTCTCTTTCTTGCCGGTGTCAATCCTGTAGGCATTCGATTACCAAACGTACGGCACGGATACAACAGCTCCACTCACGTCTTCGCTGCCTGCTCCGCAAGGGCCTTAGGCTCTGTCTCAAGATCCACACCGATGTAGTCCCTCAGTGGAAGCATCCTGACAGACCTGGGAATAGCATTTAATCGCATTTGTCCTCGTAACCTGAAGGTTGATCCAAGCAACGAGTAATATGCTCGAAGCTTTCCGATACGATCCCTCACTGAAGGTCAATGTTAACGCGTGTAACAAGAAGTGAAGACCGCAACATACGCTCAGATTGAATAACATCTATTATCTCCGCCTTACGTGCCTCGGTCAAGTGCGCCTGTACCATGTTACTGGTGGAGCCCGGCGCAAGCTCCATGCTATGGTTGTGCGTGTCTCTCGTCAATGCGACCTCAGCGGCAGAGGAGGCCGTGACAGCAGGGTGGCCCATCTTTCGTTTCACGCCTTTGATCGGAGCCATCTTCTAGTCGTTGCAAATGCGATTTGTTGAACGGTCGAGGATCGACTTCAGCTGGCTGATCAGGACTCGTACGCCCGCGGCCGTTTGTTATGATGTTCCCCGTTCGAGCACAACGAACTTTGACCAGTTTTAGAAGACCTCGTTGATAGAACATTTTTCTCTAGAAAAGGACCATAATCTGACCGCAGCTTCGTATTTTCCTACGACCGGTACCTTAGGTCCTGCTTGAAGTACGTAACGGTGGTTCACGACGTACGTTCGAGCTCGGGCACAGCCATTCAGACAAGGAAACCCCCCAAATCTATCCCGTTCTCCTTACGAATATCAATCAACAACTGAGCAAGATGGTGCTCGAAGCCACTATGGTTTGTAACTCCTTTTCTGCCAAGTTACTGTGACAATTGGAGTGCTAATGCTACATAGATTGTCTGTGACAATTCGGAGTATATGCGCAATGGCGACTACACCCCATCGCGGTGGGAAGCACAGTCAGATGCCGTGAATATGGTTTTCTCAGCTGTACGTAGTCTGCGTGGCTTCTACCGGGCCAGCACTGATGAGTGAGGTTTAGAAAACGAACGCAAACCCAGAGAGCTCGGTCGGACTCATGTCGATGAGCGGCAAGGGTCCCGAAGTGAGGTGTACACTCACTACAGACTTTGGAAAGATTTTGGCGGCTCTGCACGATGCGAAAATGTACGGAGAGAGTCAACTATCCACCGGTATCCAGATTGCTCAACTCGTCCTCAAGCACCGCCAGAACAAGCTGCAACGTCAACGAATCATTGTTTTTGTGGGCTCACCAATTCGCGAGGATGAAGCAGCACTCGTCAGGCTTGCAAAGAAGCTCAAGAAGAACAATATTGCTGTCGACTTTATCAACTTTGGTGAAGAGCAGGAGAACACGACAAAGTTGGAGGCCTTCATCGCGGCGGTAGACAAGGGTGCTGAGGACGAGGACATGAAGAGTCACTTAGTTACCATCCCACCTGGGCCCCACTTGTTGAGTGACATGCTCATTTCAAGTCCGATCCTTGGTGGAGGTGAGGGAGGAGGCATGGGTGGTGCAGGTGGAGGCGGCGGCGGAGACTTTGAGTTTGGTGTTGATCCTACCCTTGACCCAGAGCTGGCTATGGCATTGCGGATGTCCCTGCAAGAGGAGCAGGCGAGACAAGAGACTGAAGAGAAGACAAAGAGGGAAGCTGAACAGAAGGACAAGGAAGGAGGAGAGGGAAGCGGGAGCGGAGAGCAGCCGAAGAAGGACGACGAGGATGACCAGAGCGGTGACGGCAAGCACCCATCAGCAGGAGATGCGATGATAGTCGAGGAGGCGAACAAGATGGATACGTCCAAGTGAACAAGTAGAATACCTAGGTATCTTATCGTGCAATATTATGGGGCTGGTGCATCAGCTGGCAAGGCGCGCGTTACGTCATTCGCATACATCCCAGGTGCCGTATAAGAAGAACCGGGTCCGTCCAGCGCAGCCAGCATACACCCCCGAAACAAACAAACAACATGGCCCGTTCAGCCAGCGCTCACGAAGGACCGCCGCGCTCGTCCGTCAGCGACAACGATGATGACTTCCCTGCCTCGGTCTCGGAGGCCGCCTACGCGGAAGGGCAGATCAATGAGCGTTCCAGGCTTCTTGGCCCCAACGGTCAACGTCGACCCCTTCTTTCACCAGACGATGAAGCCGTCTCTCCTATGAATATGTTCCTTGTCCGCGCTTTGCGGACCATCTCCTTCGTCTTACTTTTGATCTCCTCAATCTGGGCATTGTTGCTTTTTGTCAACGTCTTTGTCGCGATCCCTGGCCTAAGTGCTAGGGCAAGCGGATATACTGCATTCATCTTTGCAGTATTCAGTGTTACCAACTTGGTGATTAATTTGCTGTTCTTTACGACTCCTAGCAAGGTGCGACCTTCGACTACCTTCTGATAACTCATTGAGCTAACTCTGCAATACAGGGCGATCGACTTGTTTCCCTTACAATCTCAGTATTCCTCCTTGCTTGCGCTGTTTTCATTCTTGTTGTTCCTCGACTCCGTCTCGAGGAAGGCTGGGTTGGAATTGCTACGGTTTTTTGGGCCGCATTGATCGGTGCATGGACCGTGGTAACAGATCGCGTCGTTGAATGGGGCAAGCAGGAGGAGGAAGAGCGTTTGACTGGTCGTGTCGAAACCCGTCGGACGCTTGGTGAGTGGTTCAAGGTCTCCTTTACCCTCACCTCTCTTCTCGTTCTCTTTGGTTTGGTCTTCCTCACCGCTATGGGTCTTGTTCTTCGCGCTCACGATGCTACCTTGGCTCCACCCGGCCAACGCTATTACGTTGACAACCGGAAGTACCAGGTGCACCTCAATTGCTACGGCGATGCAAAGCCTGATCAACCGACTGTCCTTATCGAAGCTGGCGAGACTTCCGCCTACTACCTCAACACTTGGGTTGCGGAGGCTCAGTCCGCCGGTGACGTTGGACGTGTCTGCTACTGGGACAGGCCTGGGTTCGGCTGGTCCGACTCTGCTCCCTCACCTTTGAGCGCTGGTATGGCAGTCGACGTCCTTTCGCAGGTCCTTACCTCTGCCCGTGAGGACGGTCCTTTTGTTATTGTTGCCCACGGTGTAGGTGGTTTGTATTCCCGCATCTTCGCATCCCGCCATGTTCCGGACATCAAGGGTTTGCTTCTTATCGATACCCTTCACGAGGACCTCTTGGGCCGCATTGCTTCATCCAGGCATGGATTCATGGCTTTCCTTCGCGGACTCTGGTCCCCACTGAGCATCGACCGCCTCTTTGGCTGGATCTTCCGTGGTCGTTCCCGCGAGGACCGCATTTACGGTCGTTCCGCCTGGCGCGATGGAAAGGTTCAGAAGGCTTTGTTGCAGGAGAACCTCGCTGCCAAGACCCTTACTCACAACGAAATCATCGCGGCACGTGCTATCTTGCCTGCTAACGTCCCTATCAGCGTTGTTACCTCTGGTCGCCATATCAAGCGCGACAAGGCGTGGGAGTCGAAACAGCGTGACCTTGCGGGCTTGAGCGAGCAGGGAACTTGGGACATCGCCAACACCGCCGGTCACATCGTCTGGCGTGACGATGAGGGTCGCGACATCGTGAAGAAGAGGTTGGCTGCTCTGGTTAGCGGAACAGTTGGTAACTCGACCATCTGATGTGGTTCTGCAACTATATCTGGGAGCGGTCGAATAGGACAATTGGATTTGGTTTGAGCATGGGAATTCACAGCTGCTGCAGAACATTGGTTATTATGTTTTGGTTTTTCAGTAATTTGAATGAGACAAGGGTCATTATTCTTAATCAACACCTAGTCGTACAGCCCCAATTTATGAAGTCCATGACCAATGCGTTACTTTACACGGCAGAGCCGGAGATGTAGAACCACTTGTCGATGGAGGAGTCGACCTTGGCGGACTCAACAACCTCGTGAGCAGGGATGTTCTCAGCCTCCTGGACCTGGGAAGGAGAGCCAGCGACGTTGAGGTTGGTCAAAGCGATACCTCCAGCGTCGACCTTGCCGTGGATGAGGCGGTCCCAGGCCTGGGCGCACTCAGCGATGACCTCGTTGGCGTACTTCTTGTTCTTGGCCTCACCGGAGAAGGCGAAAGCGTTCTCGGGCTTACCGTCGGGGATCTTGTAGATGCGGAACCACTCAGAAATGGCGCGGATGAGACCGGGCAAGTGACGCTCGACGTCCTCGATGTCGTTCAACTTGGAGGCAAGGGGGTCGTTGACGTCAATGCAGATGATCTTCCAGTCGGTCTCACCCTCGTCGAGGAGAGCCATGGTACCGAGGACCTTGACCTGCTTAATCTGACCGGTGTAGCCGACGGCCTCACCAATCTCGCAAGCGTCGATGGGGTCGTTGTCACCACGGGCCTTGGTCTCAGGGTGGATGGCGTTGGGGTCCTCCCAGGTCTGGGGGAAGGCACCGTAGTTGAAGATGTAACCGTGGTGGGGGAAGCAGTTACGGACGTAACGGAGCTTGCCCTTCTTGGTGTCCTGCTTGATGGGGTTGAGGTAGTCCTCCTTGGAGATCTCCATCTTGGCGTTGGTCCAGCGGCTAAGCCTCGTTGTCAGTGACTGCCATTGCGAACAGAGAGAAAGGGGTAAACTTACGGAACCTCGACAATCATGTTAACCAAGGTCTTCTCGGCATTCGCGTACAAGGGAATGTCGTGGAAGGGAGAGACGGGCTTGCCGTTCTGCTCGATGAAGACACGGTGCTCAAGGGTGTGGGGAGCACCAACGGTGCGGATGGAGTACTCGGAAGACATGGCAGTGACTGAACGGAAGTGGTTCGACAATTGACGGGTCCGCAAGATTGAAGCTCGTACGGAGGCCAGTTTGCTCGTTGTTCGGTTCGACGATGGAGATGAATGCGCTGGGGTCGTCCTCGAAGCCTAGCAGTGTTGGCCGCTAGTCCGGTTGCGGGAATAAACATTTACGCATGGAGAGAGAGAGATGAGGGCTATAACTGGATTCCTTCTGTTTTATTTCAAAAGCGTACCCTCATCCTCTTCATGTTTATTGCAAGCCCGGCGGACCTGCCATCGATAACCAAAAAGTCTACTGTTACGGTTCCCTAACGCTTCTGCTACGGTCCCGGACGCTCTCGCCTTTCGATCCTTCATGATCAATTAACAAAACCTCCGCATTTGCCTCGAAGACGTTCATGCTATCGCGACTTCAGACTGCTACCAGAATGGCTGCTCAAATAATCACTAACGCCGGCCCGAAGGTCGTTCTCGCACCCATGGTCCGCATCGGCGAACTCCCAACTCGCCTCGTTTCCTTGCACTACGGTGCAGATGCCGTATGGGGTCCAGAGATCGTTGACAAGAAGTTGATCCAATGCAAACGAGTCGTGAACGAGGCTATCGACTGCGTGGATTACTACGCACCTTCGAAAAACGCCGGTGGTGAGGTCCTTGTCTTCAGAACGCACCCTGTCGAGACGAAATGTCTTACCTTTCAAATCGGCACGGCGGACCCAGCTCTCGCTGTTCAGGCAGCAAAGATCGTTGCACCGGATATCTCCATCATCGAAGTAAACGCTGGGTGTCCAAAGCACTTCTCGGTACACAGCGGCATGGGAGCCGGGCTTCTGAAAGATATCCCAAAACTCGTCGCTATTCTAACGGCCTTGGTTGAGGAGGTTGGCAAACCATACGGCATTGGTGTGGCGGTGAAGACTCGTCTCCTGGATGACGAACAAGCGACTCAGGACATGATCCGGAAGCTATGCAGAACCGGTATCAAGCGTTTGACGATTCATTGCCGAACAACACCCATGCGAAACACGGAGCGGGCACTCCGGGAACGCCTAGCGGGCGTTGCGAAGGTCTGCAGGGAAGAGGGCGTCTTGATCTACGGCAACGGAGACGTAGAAGACCGGAAACATGCCGTGGAGATCGCAAAGGAGTACGATGTTGATGGACTCATGATCGCCCGCGCTGCGGAGCGTAACCCATCATGTTTCCGGGAGGAGGGTGTTCTACCACCACTCGAAGTGGCAAAAACTTACCTCAAAACCGCGATGGAAGTTGACAACCCTTTCCCAAACACTAAATACTGTCTGCAGCAGATTTTAGCAGGGATGAGCAAAAGTGGGATCTACAAGAAGTTTCACGGAATGAAGACGTTTAAGGATTTGGCTGCTCTATTGGATGTCGAATACCATGAAAAGCCGGCTGAGCGAGTGAGCGCCGTGAGGCGGGCTAATTCGGCTGTGGTCAGGGCTGCCGGTGGTGATACTGCGAAGGACGTTGCTAGAGCGGCCACGAAAGAGGCTGTAGAGAAGGGAGAGTGTGCTGCTTATGCCGAGGCATAAACGGCAACGGCAAAACTGTTGGATTGCATTTTGAATTAGCGATATGCCTGGCGTTCTTCCTCTTTTATAATATCATCTTTTACCAACCAGACCATCCACATGATATGGTACGGGCGTGTACTCAGTATGACAAATAGAGCTCTATAGTGTCATCATCAAAGCCTTCTCCCTTCTGCTAGGGGTATCTTCGAACCGACAACGCCTTTCCTTTCCTAGGGACCAGTTTTCGCAGAAGATATCATCTTCCTTGGCCGAAGCCTTACTCCATTATCATCGCGTGGTCTTGAGCGACAGGCGCCGGCAGAGCGGTTCCGTCCTTCAGCAACGTCTCCAGTTTTTGTCCAAAGCTAGCGACATCAATGGCTGGACCTGGTCGTGCGGCTGCATTGGCATAAGGAGACACGTCCCCTAGAAGCCATTCCTCCTTGAGTTCTCTTGTGAGGCTGAGCAGATCCTCGGCAGCACGGATCTGGATATGGTGGTAAACATCATGACCAGAAACTCGATCGATGGTCAACTTACTAGAGAGGCCGTGTTGGCCTCTATTTGATAGCACTCTGTCGCCGTAGTCTGTCGATCCTTGCCAGCGACCTAGATCGCACTTCACATGAGTCCAATGCTCTTGTGAGTATTGTGTACGTGTTGACATACCGCTGCCACACTCATGATGTCTTGGAACCGTGCTGATAGCGCTTCTGTTGCACCATCGATCCGCCGGATATAACTTTGTGTGCGTTGAGCATATAAATCGGCCGTTGACGGCAGTTTTGTTGTGTGATCCGGCGCTCTCCGGTGTTCCGATATTGAGGTCGGCTGTGTTCCGGCTGGCTTCTGAGTTGCTGGTGGCTGGGCCATGTCAATTGTAACGTGTGAGAGACTCTCGGTTCTACAGCAAGATTACGGCGGTGTGTTTGTGGGGAACGCACAGTGCAGGGCAATATGTACAGGCATTAAAATGGTATATTTGCTTTTCCCTAACAATTCTTGTGGTTTGTCCATTCAACACTCTCGGACATTGTGTTTGGTTGTCTCTTTTCATCGCCATCTAGCCGTCGTGCGCGTCCTCATCCTCATCGGACGAGGTTCTTCTCCTTCTGGGATTGTGCTTCTGTAGAGAAGGTCAGTAAGTGTAATTAGAGTAGCAAACAGGTGGACGCCATACCTCTTCTTGTTGCGTCCTCAAGCAATGCTGTGTCTACTGCTGCGGAGGGTAGATGTACGTATCTCACCACTGAACCGCGAATGAACACATTCTTCACCGCCGACTATGACAATCATTAGCAAACAATCGAGTTGCGACCACCGAAAGATACGCACCAAATGAGGATATTTCAACTCCTCGAGGACGTTGATATCGTGTAGAGAAATGTTCAAGAACTGGTCAACGGACTTCAGTGTTCCTTGGATCGACAGATCATTCTTGAGCTCGACAGTGACCTGTTGGTCAATTAGGGTCTTGAAGAAGCTGTTCTCGACGTTAATGAATGGACATAGACGACGAGGAGAGCGACTGACGAATAGAACAGCATCGTCGTGGGGTATATTATTGCGTAGAGGTACCCGTAGCTGCAGTACGTGCTCAAGTGTCTCGTACAACGCCGAACCTTGCGCGCAATTGCAGCCTGTCCATATATATTCGTGGGATGATTGATCGCAACGACAACGACAACGACAACGACGAGCTTCAGCTATTAGTACTTGTGCATAATTTCACTGATCATGCTGAATGACGGACGACATGTATTTCCCGATGAACCCGAAATGCTAAAGTAACGCTGAATCAAACACATAAAAGACACCCATAACCCAAATCGAAAAAGTCTCTTTTCAGGATCATTTGTTTAACGCCTTCCTGCTTCCAAAGCCTGCTTGACAGCAATCGCTTTCTGCCTCAACACAGCCACCGACTTGCGGAATAACTCATCGGGCGTCATGACCCCAGTAGACTCAATGGAGAAGATAAAGTGATCTCTCACACGACCCAACTGCACCTTGCCCTGGAACTCTTCATGTCGCAGGCATTCGCGGGAAACGGTGTCTTTCCGTGCGTCCGCAACCCTAGCCTCGTCCTCTCCATCCGCGTTCTTAACCAACTCAATGACACCTTGTGGGAAGCACTTCTGGAACTTGTGAGCATCCCTTCCAACGATCGGCGAAATGATTCTGATGACCGGCAGCAGCCTATATGACGCCGTGGAGACAGGGGAGAACTTGGCGTGATCCTTTCCAATACCCAACACCGCGTAAAGCTGCAACTGAATCTCCTGTCCTGGACGCATTTTCGCGATCAAAATATTGGGGTTCACTGCCTCCACAGGAGCATCCGCGAACCACTCCTCCTGCTGTCCCTTCGGCTGCCACTGCAAGTCCCTAGAATATACATGTGCGCCCATGTACGCCTTCAACGGGTCCTTCTCTCCCTCAGCAGCATCTGGGTTCCTCTCACACTTCTGGTCTAGCGTAAGGACGACAGTATCGTAATCTGTGTGGTTGGGCTCCTCACCCTCTGCTGGCTTCTGGAACCATGCGAAGCGATCTGGGTGGGCGCGAATGGGGATGAGACCGAGACGGTGAGCGAGCACCTCATCCTGAATGACGGATGTATTGTTGATAACGAAAACGTATTCGATAGCCATAGTTGGGATTTCTGAAATCAGGATACGACGGAAAGCGTTTGCGATTGATGCATCAAGACCAATGAGGTCGAACTCCATATCGTCTCCTTCCCGCGATCTAAAATCCACTTTAAAGGTCTTCTTGAAATAGTCGAGATCCCATGAGTGATCCTCTCCTGGCCAGTGCTGAGGGAAGTCTGTGCTTGTAACCTGGATAAAAGGTTAGCGAGCGGCTTAAAAGTGACGGACAAGAAGGCGCACGTTCGTGACACGGTCAATCTCGATCCCCACCTCGTTCCTTGGTCGTGCTGGAGCCATATTGTCTGGATTGCTTCTACGCTTCCTTGGTGTTATCGAGGCCGGTTTACCTACTTTTTCGAACCAAACCTGCAGGCGGATCGCACGTGAATTGCAAGTGGATAAGAATGATGATGCTTGAATGGCATAAAGTCTCGTAAAGGCTATCTTTAATTTCTATTCCAATTGAAGATCAACTGCTTCTTCATGCGTTGACACATGTGTTGAAGTCTGCCAATGAACGCAGGCTATTTCGACGTGCATCCCGGGGAAGAGTACGTCTTCGATATACCGCCGCAACAGCAGCAGCTATTCGCTCTTCCCTTTACCAGACCAAGTCGATAGGCATAATGGCCGCTGCTGCCAGGCTCTTCAATACTACTCGCTCCGTGTTCTCTCCGCTAAGGCGGTTGGCCAGCCCTTCGCCCCGTATCACATCCAATATCGCACCGGTCTCAAGACGATGGTTCTCGGCTTCTGCTGCCCGTTTGGCAGAGAGTGTTGAGCTCTTAAAGGGACAGACTATTGATGGTCCGGAGGGCGTTTTCCCTACTACTATCACCGAGGACAAGAACGCCAGTGAAACCGACCCTACCAATGAAGATCCCAAGATGCGCCACTTCACCGTCAACTTCGGTCCTCAGCATCCTGCAGCCCACGGTGTGTTGCGTCTTATTCTCGAGCTTAACGGAGAGGAGATCATTCGTGCCGACCCTCACGTCGGTCTCCTTCACCGTGGTACCGAGAAGTTCATCGAATACAAGACCTACCTCCAGGCCTTGCCATACTTCGACCGTCTCGACTACGTTTCTATGATGTGTAACGAGCAGGTGTTCTCCCTCGCCGTTGAGAAGCTCTTAAACGTTGAGGTTCCTGAGCGTGCACAGTACATCCGTACCCTGTTTGGTGAGATCACCCGTGTTCTCAACCACCTTATGGCTGTCCTCACCCACGCTATGGATGTTGGTGCTTTGACTCCCTTCTTGTGGGGTTTCGAGGAGCGTGAAAAGCTTATGGAGTTCTACGAGCGTGTGTCTGGTGCACGTATGCATGCCGCTTACGTGCGTCCCGGTGGTGTTTCCCAGGACCTTCCTATTGGTTTGTTGGACGACATTTACCAGTGGGCTACTCAGTTCGGTGACCGTGTTGACGAGATCGAGGAGTTGTTGACCGACAACCGTATCTGGAAGGCTCGTACGCAGCACATCGGAATTGTTACTGCTGAGGAGGCGATGAACTACTCTTTCTCCGGTGTTATGTTGCGAGGATCTGGTATTCCATGGGATGTCCGTAAGGTGCAGCCTTACGATGCTTACGACAAGGTTGAGTTTGACGTCCCTGTCGGTACTAACGGGGACTGTTACGACCGTTACCTCATCCGTATTGAGGAGTTCCGTCAGTCCCTTCGCATTATCCACCAGTGTCTGAACAAGATGCCCGGTGGTCCCGTCAAGGTTGAGGACTTCAAGATTGCTCCTCCTCCGCGCACGATGATGAAGGAGGACATGGAGGCCCTTATCCACCACTTCTTGCTCTACACTAAGGGTTACGCTGTTCCTCCGGGTGAGACCTACACTGCCATTGAGGCACCAAAGGGTGAGATGGGTGTATACGTTGTTTCTGATGGTACTGAGCGTCCTTACCGATGCAAGATTCGTGCGCCTGGTTTCGCGCACTTGGCTGGAGCAGACTTCATGGCCAGGAAGCATTACTTGCCTGATATGGTCGCCATTATCGGTACCATGGATTTGGTGTTCGGTGAGGTTGACAGATAAGCGGTGGGCAGCAGGCGTAGAAGGATTTGCGGTTTCGGAAATAAGATAAGCATGTCTGTGGATGGTTCAATTGCCGTTACAAGGGCAGGATAGCTCTTGGAACTGGTTGTATATCATGTATATTATAGCGGGCTTAATATACACGCTCATTACCCAAAATGTCGCCTTCTTTCATCTTCCAGTTGCGCTCCACCGACACCGGCCGCGGGATTGGACCTAGATGGCCACCCTGCTCCTGTACCCCCAGCTCTAACTCTAGTGTACCCACGGGTCACCGCTTGTGTATACTCTTTCTATGGAGCAGCTTATACGAGCAGTGAGAAGAATGTGAGCTGGTCTAGGAGTGTGCATCAAGGCTTTACCGGCTTCAAGAATCGTTCCCGTCTCCCTAATTCTTCTTCGGATATCTAGCAACCAACCGTAAACTAAACGGCATACTCGTATCCGTAATACTAATCTCTTCACCCTCCTCCACCAATTCACCTACCTTCTTCTGCAGATTTGGTCGTGTAGCTTGTTCGAGCTGTGGTGGACCACGAAGATAGAGTGATTTGGATCCGGTACGGAGTGAGGGGCTCTTCATTTGCCTGCGTTCCTCCCATTAGTGACGTGCATAGATATGTTGGGATGACAGAGGGACATACGTCTCCGGTCTCTCCTTCAATTTCTCAATAAATTCCTCGAGCGTGATTTCCGGATCGATCTCATAGTCCTGTGCCAGATTACCACAAACCGGGCATTCATCTTTCTTCATATGTTCGAAAGTGTATGTATAAACTCCCTGGTCTCCAGTGTACATCATGTAGTTGTTCAAGTATGGGTTGCAGGCCGTTGCGATTTTCAGCGCTTCATTACAACAGGAGGCGGCAATGATGGCGTTGGTGGATGCGATGGCGGGGATGATGTTTTTGACGACACCCAGTGTAAGGGATTGTGTCACGCCGGAGATGCTGAACTCTTTGGCACGCGCGTCGGCGGTCTGGAAAAGCCAGGTGATGTGTTCGGGGTTATCGGCGTCCATTTTCTTGTCTGTAAATAGCATCAACATTCATCCGGACAGGTCTATTCCGTATTGCGTACCTGTAAATACTCTGGGCCACTCCAGCACACTCGCCCACTCAATACAATGCTCGGGTAATCTTGGCGTATTTGCGATAGTGCAGATAGGGTACGTCGTAGCCTTCCCAAGCATATCCAAACTGCATTCATAGCAACTCGAGATAGTCGGTAAGATGACCCTGCTTTGTCCCTTGAAACCTTCCGTACCGCCGTCGATCATGGGTTTGAGTGATTCAGGGCTGTCGTCCACGAGGTTAATGAGAGTTGCATTCAGCCAACGTCGGGCTTCGATTGAATCGAGGCCGGCGATCACGATGTTGAATTCGCGATAATACTCTTCAGGTTTGTCCTGGATCTTGCCGTGAAAGCTGTACACTGATCAGTGACTGCCACATCGTCCAAGCAAAGCAACACATACGGAGTCACCTTGACGCCCTTGACACGCTTCATCACAAACTCTGCTGCACAGAGAGCCTTGCTCTTTCCAATATCACTGGGTCTGTGCGTAGCCTTAGCATCAGTGAGTTGTTCGCATATGACACAAGTGAGCTCACACACCTGAACAAGAACTGCCTATTCAAGTTGGAGACATCGATTGTATCCATATCAATGACATGAATATCCTTAAACCCAGACAACGCCAGATCTTTCAGAATCTCGCAGCCCAAACCTCCAGCACCGATGACGAGAATCTTGCATGTCGAGAGAAAGTCTTGAACCTGCACCCGATGTCAGCAGTGGCTACACGACTCGTCTGCCATTGAACTGACGGCGTCTCCAGGCTCAAAATCCGGAGCAAACGGACCGGGATTGCTCAGAATGGAAGTCAGAGCAGACATTGGTTGGGGGTGTATGCGCTCTTTGAGAAGTGGTGTAGTGCTCGTTCAGTCCGTCGACGGCGGCAGCAACTACCGACCCCACGGTGGGACCTGGCAGCAGTGTCATACGCAGCACTGAACATTTACACCGCCAAAGACTGACGATCCTTACAATTGCAATGGCACTCGCTCAACGAAGAATCCAGAAAGAACTCAAGAACTTGGCAGAGAACCCTCCCGCAGGAATCTCACTGAAAAAGGCAGACGATCTCAAGACATGGTGCGCTTTTGTTACGTTCTTGGCCTTCCTCGGGGATGGTTACTGATTCTCCTCGAACACAGGCACGTAAACATAGCGACAGATCCAGATGGAATCTACGGGGGTCAAGTCTTCGAAGTCATCGCAAAATTCCCGTCATCATACCCGATCGAAGCACCCGAAATTACGTTTGCGGCTCCAGTCCCCGTACATCCGCACATCTATAGGTTAGTCTCTTCCATCCCCAAATCTACCTAAACGCCCTAACACGATTTTAGCAACGGACACATCTGCCTCGACATCCTCTACCAAGCATATAGTCCAGTATTGACTATCTCAGCGATATGTATCAGCTTGCAAAGTATGCTGGCGAGTTGCAAGAAGTTGGAGAGACCGCCAGATAATGACAGTTATGTTCGGAGAGCTGGGTTGAGTCCGAAGGGGACGAGGTTTATGTTTCATGATGATACAGTATAGGGCGGATGGATGTTGGGGGATTTGTTGGAAAGCTGAACGTTCGGTCATGGAGAAAGCGTCTGACAGCATGGTGTGCAGGTTTGCGCAGTCTGAAAGGCGATTACGCGGCATGATATACGAAGACAGGTATAGGATTAAGATAGGATTTCGCCGCAGAGCGCCTGGATGAACAAACGGCCGCCGCCTCTCCTCAATATTGTGAAAACAGAGCCGCGAGTGGTTTATAACGTGTAAAATGAGATAATCAAAAACGCCGAACTCCACAAACAAGAAGACAAAAGTATCAATAGTAGATCGGATGGCCACGCCTTTCGCCGCGCACGAGCACTGGGCCCTACGAGACAGAGCTTGCAACCCGCATGCCCCGTGAGAAAACAGCATGCCCTCACGCAACACTCCGATTAAACGTCCCCTTCGAAATCCAATTCGACCCCTCATCTTTGTCATTCTTATCCCTATATAAACTCTTCACTGCCGCACTCATCGATTTCTTATTCAGATGTCCGTCCTCCTTCAACTTCGCCGCAATCTTCGTAGCAAACTCCGGGACATCTGCAGATGGTGCCGGGGCCGGCTCTGCTACCGCCGCTGCTTTCCGCTTCTTGGATTTCTTGGCAGCTTTGCCGGAGTGTGTGATGCCTTTCTCAGCCAGGGTCTTCATCCGCTCCTTCGCCGCCCCGATATCCGCCTCCTTGACTGGGTTGATCACGATGACATCCATCTTCGAATCATATGCCGCCGCACACTCCAAACACACCTTCTCCTCAATATTCGAGATTGCCTGATCTGAGAAGACGTGTCCGCATACACTCAGGTAGACGAACTTGCCTCCCGCACCTTTGACCTCCTTCCTGGTCACCGGACAAATCCAAGCCTCCTTTCCCTCTTCATTCTTCGCTTTCGTGAATTCCAACTCGACGACGTCTTTGAGACTGCTGATATGCGGTACCAACTCATCCGCGTCCCCATACGTTTCTGGTGAGATCAGGTACTGCAGTATCGCGTCCTTGTTGTACAGTCGTCCAAAGGCACACGATACTATTGGATCCTCGAGCGTCTTTTTGGATAGTGTGCAGGACTTCCAGAATGCTTCTTGTTGGGCTTGTGCACGGTCTGCTTCGTCACGGGCGGAGGGTTTCTTGTTCGCGGAGACGAGCTCGGAGCGTTTGGGGATTGATCCACCTGTGATGGCTGTTAGCATTCATTCCACGGAGAGATGAAAGGGAATGGCACATACCGTCGTTACCCATTGTCGAGATGTTTGGTGTTTTGCTCTCGTTGAGCGGTGCGTATCTGAGCGGCAATATGATGCGAGGCACGCGGCTCAGCGTCTCCCCGGGATTCCGTACTTGAACTCGACACCAGAGCAAAGCCAGTTACAATGTACCGCCGGATCACCTCAACAGTGAAAGTGAACGTACCGAGATTACGGAGGCTGCTGAGCACGCCTGTTCCTCGAGATGACATGTACGATGTCGTTATCGTCGGAGGTGGTGTCGCGGGTTTGGGTTTGGGTGCTGCCTTGAGTGAGATCCGAAAACCAGCGGTTATGAATGCTTAGCTAATGGATGCAACAGAATCGTCGCCCGTCACATCACGACTGCGGATTGCGTTGGTGGAAGGCATGGATCTTGGATCATCGAAGACCTGGGGGCCAACGAAAGAATCGTACTCGAATCGGGTCGTATCTTTAACGCCAGCATCAGTCAAGCTGCTGAAAGGTGCGCATATACGCGACTGGCTTGTTAGCATCTAACTGATATGGTCGGACAGAGATCGGCGCGTGGGATCATATCAAGCAAGAACGCACCCAACCCTTCGACGACATGCAAGTCTGGGACGGCTTAACAGGCGCAAGAATCGAGTTCAAGACCGGAGCCCTTTCCCAACAATACCCATCCATCGCCACCATCGTCGAAACCCTGAACATCCAGCACGCACTGTTGAACAGAATCGACGAGCTCGGTGGGGTTGACATCATCGACAAGACGAAGGTCGTCAAGATCGGTCACGGAGAGGAGACAGGTGATCTCGATTTTTCGACATGGCCACAGCTCGAGCTCAGTAACGGTAGGAAACTCACTGCAAGACTCCTCATCGGCGCAGACGGAGCAAACTCGCCAGTACGGTCCTTCACGAAGATTGAGTCTCGAGGATGGGATTATGACCGTCATGGTGTAGTGGCGACTCTCAAAATCGAAACGGGCCGTCCCGTAGTTGCGTGGCAAAGATTCCTTCCCACTGGACCTATCGCGATGCTTCCCCTACCAAACGGTTACGCTACCTTGGTATGGACGACTACTCCCGCACTCGCAGCTAAACTAAAGGCGATGTCCCACGCGGACTTTGCAGCATTGGTGAACGCCGGGTTCAGATTGAGCGACGTGGATCTGCGATATCTGTATGAAGCTGGAGCGAAGGAAGGCGAAGTGAAGGAGCAATGCGAGTGGAGGGAGAGTGTCGTGAAGGCAGACAAGAGGGAGTTCCTGCCGCCACGCGTTGTGGAGATTCAAGAAGGTAGCCGGGCAAGTTTCCCGCTGAAAATGAGACATGCGGATTCGTACTGCGATGAGCGGATTGCGCTCGTGGGTGATGCAGCACACACTACACACCCTCTTGCTGGTCAAGGCTTGAACCAGGGACTCGCCGACGTGCAAAGTTTGTTCAAGTCGTTGGAGAGTGCTGTTACCCACGGCCAGGACGTTGGGTCTATTCACGCGTTAGAGCCATATGCGCACGAGCGGTACTTCGAGAATCACGTAACCCTCGGCGCTATCGATAAGCTTCACAAGTTGTACTCCGTGTCATCGGGACCACTCGTGACGGCACGTAGCTGGGGTCTGGAGGTTGTGAATGAGTTGGATGGATTGAAGACATTGTTCATGAAGAGGGCTGCTGGTGAAGATCTGGGGAAGGCTGTGGGTGAGGGTTTGAAGGGCATGGCCGGAAGCATCATTGGAGCAGGTCTGCGGCTTAGAGCGAAGATGAGTCGCCCAGCATCGGGTCCGACGGTTGGACGGAGACAGTTTTCGACGTCGAAAAGGGTTCTCAGTGCGGGTGAGCCGCTTTACCCTGGACACATCCCAACGGGTGTTTTCGAAAAAATCGCACTCACCATTGGCTCCGCTGCCGTGTCCCTCAAAAACCCATACCGAGGAGACATGGTTGCCGTACTCGGTGAAACCACAGCATCACCATACTTCATCAAGAAACTACGAGACATCATGCTTCAATCGGAGTCTGGGCGTCAGATCCTCCGCGAGAGACCGCGTATCACATCTACGACACTCAAACTCGAAGATCTGAGGCAGTTACCAAGTAACTCGGTTGGGAGGGAGTATGCTGCGTGGCTCGATGCTGAGGGTGTTTCGCCTGATACGAGAGCGGCGGTGAAGTATATCGATGATGAAGAGTTGGCTTATGTCATGCAGCGATACAGAGAGTCGCATGACTTCTATCATGCGGTTACTGGCCTGCCGATTACCGTCGACGGAGAACTAGCCCTGAAATGGTTCGAGTGGGCAAATATGGGGTTGCCAGTCGCAGCCCTCAGTGCACTGGCTACCTTCGGTCCTCTGAAGGTAAAGAAAAGTGATCGGAAAAGGCTGGTGCAGACTTATATCCCATGGGCGTTGAAGAACGGAATGAACGGCAAATCCTTAATAGACATCTACTGGGAGAATGAATTGGAGACAGACGTGGATGACCTGAGACGGCGATTGAACATCACGAAACCACCGAGTTTGAGAGAGGCATACAAGAGGGCCCGTCAGGAGATGAAGCAAGGTGCGCGGGACGAAATGGCAAAGCTCAAGGCTTCAGGCTCGAACGTATCGATGTAGATGTATGCCTTCTTTTTTTTTTGGCGATGATGCAATCTAAACGATTATGTACTTCCAACCTACACTCAAGCAGACTTCTCGAGCAACTTTTTGACTTCAGCAACCAGGTCTCCACGCTGTATCAGTGCACCCTCGTCAGACTCCTCCTTCAAACCCAACTCCTTCAGCCTGACTTGACCATTGTTGTATTCCTCCTGGCCCAAAATAATTGCCAATGGCACACCGCTCTTCTCCGCAGCCTCGAACTGGGGTCTTGGCTTAGGTTTAGCCTTGTACAAAAACTCGGCCTTGATGCCAGCATCCCACAACTCCTTGCACACCCTCATACGCTCCTTCACGAAACCATCCCAGTCCTTGCCTCCACCGAAAGCCATGACGTAAACGTCGACCTCGTTGCTTCGGACGCTGGCAGCCTCCGTCCGCTGCTTGATGATAGAGAAGACACGCTCGACACCGATGGAGACACCGACACAGGGGATACCTCCCTTCTTGCTGTTGGAGAACATGCCGACGAGCTCGTCGTAACGACCACCGGCAGCGACAGATCCTACACCGACAGTGTCATCATCGGAGCGATCGGCATCAGGATCCGTGGGCTGGGCCTTCTTAGGCGCAGGCTTCTTGACGCCCTGCTTAGCCGCTGGAGGAGCGGAAGCCTCAGTGACAGCTTCGTAGATGACACCAGTGTAATAGTCAAGACCACGAGCAAGGGAGAGATCGAAGGAGACGTTGTCAAGGATATCGAAAGCCTCCAGGTAGTCCATAAGGAGAGCCATGTCAGCGGTACCGGCAGCACCGGACTTGTTAGCCTGAAGCTTCTCATCGGCCTGGAGCCTCTCGAGCAGATCGCGACCACCCTTGAGCTGGACGTATTCTCCGATACGGTCAGCAACAGCCTCGTCAAGGCCCTTCTCCTGGACCATCTCCTTCTTAACATCCTCCCAAGGCATCTTGTCGAGCTTGTCGACAGCGGAAGAGATGGTGCGGATCTTCTCGGCAGGAACACCACAGGTCTCGAACATACCATCGAGAATCTTACGGTGGTTGAGCTTGATGGTGAACTTGCCAATGTCAAGGGCAGTCAAGACCTCCACCAAGATCCTCAAGACCTCAGCATCTGGGACCATGGGGTCGAACTGACCAGCAATATCGAAATCACACTGGTAGAATTCCCTCATACGTCCCTTGTTCATAGCGGGTTGGTCACGACGGTAGACCTTGGCAATGTGGTAACGCTTGATGTTGGTGACGGTGTTGTTCATGGCGAGCCATCGTGCAAAGGGCACGGTCAAGTCATAACGCAATGAACAGAGCTCACCACCCTGATCCTGGAGGTCGTAGATGAGCTTGGAGTCCTCTCCATATTTGCCAGACAGGATCTCCTTGAGCTCGAAAACGGGAGTGTCGAGGGTGACAGCACCGTGGCGCTTGAAGACCCCGGTGATGGTGTTGAAGATCTTCTCGCGAATGGCCATGTCGGTACCGAAGTAATCCTTAGTTCCCTGTACGGATCGCGAACATTAGTACCGCTTAACCATAACATAGAGGTATAAAGCTCACCTTTGGCACCTTCAAGGTGAACTTGGTTTCCTTCTTTCCATTACCAGCACCGGCTAAGGACAGGTTGAGCTCTTTCAACTGCGCCTGCAACTCCTTCATCCTGTCCGCAGCAGACGGATCCTTCTTCAGCGCTCCGATCTCATTCTTCAAAGCGGTGATCTGGGCCTTGACCTCCTCACTGGGTGCTGACATTTTATTGCTCGTGGTGTCGCTGCAAGCTGATGCCGAAAAACGACGAAGTACGACCGCGACCGAAGCTGACGTCGGATTAAGCTGTGGCGCCCTGAACGATACTGCGGATCCTCGAAGAAGACGACCGAGGATAACTTTGCCTGTGTGATTGGGAATCGACACGGGCATACACTTCAACCCAGCTGGAATGGATACGAGTGCTGCGACGAGAAGCGCTCTGCTTGATGCGCTCGACTCGGTGAGCCACGAACCTGCACATGCAGCTACCATCGTATACGCGTTGAACTGACCGTTTATGCGATTAGGTGAGAGGGAAGAAGTATTTAGTGCTTGATCGCAGCCTGAGTGGCCCAATTGGCCTCATCGTCAAGTTCTCCGTCCTACAAGATCATGGCGTGGAGAAGATATTCTGGTTGGAAGAAGGGCCCATTGTGTTGCCGAACAAGAGTGCATCAATTGTGTACCTATGCCGGAGTACTGTTAAGAACGTACGGAATATCGTCGGTGTGTAGTCCGTGCCAGTTCTCGGGGTGTATGCTGACGATGACGCACAGGTCATATCAAAGAGCATGCGAAGGACACAAGCAATTCGTATGACTACACTCTCCTGTTCACCCCGAGGCGAACAATGATCTGTCAGAAGATTCTTGAGGACGAGGGCGTCTTTGGAGACGTCACCATCTCCGAGTTTCCTCTTCTCTTCGTTACTCTTGAGCCAGATGTGCTTTCCCTCGAACTGGACTCAGCGTTTGAGGACATCTATCTTCATCATGATTACAGCTCGATATTCTATTCCGCTCAGGCATTGATGAAGTTGCAGGAGAGTTACGGGCTGTTCCCACGGGTATTGGGGAAAGGAGATAAGGCACGACAATTGACGGATCTGCTGCTGAGGATGAGGAAGGAGGTCGCAGTGGACGATCCCCTCAACCCTGGCGCAATGAGCTCCAGCACCGTTTTGGACAGTCTAATCATTATTGATAGAGGAGTGGATATGGCAACCCCTTTGATGACGCAGTTAACATATGAGGGGTTGATTGATGAGTCGTACGGTATCAAGAATGGCTACGTTGAGCTTCCGCCTTCCATTGTGGCGCCGACACAAACGACAGGGAAGTCCAGTTCCTCGGGTGCTCCAATCTCGGATAGCGCTGCGTCTGCAACGCAAAAGAAGAAGACACTACTGAATTCTACCGATAAGCTCTACGGCCAACTGCGGGATACCAACTTCTCCGTAGTAGGCGGTCTCCTTAACAGGGTCGCCAAGAGACTGAACGAGAATTACGACGAGCGACACCAAGCGAAAACAGTGACGCAGTTGAAAGGCTTCGTAGGCAAGTTGGGAGGGCTGCAAGCGGAGCATCAGAGCCTAAGGCTGCACACTGCTATTGCTGAGGAGATCATGGCCAAGACTGGGACGGAGGCTTTTAACAAGACTCTTGAGGTGCAGCAGAACCTCGTGGCGGGCGTTGATCCATCTACGCTCATGCCGGTCATGGAAGAGCTCATTGCGCGGTCCGTGCCAATTGCCGATATCATTCGACTCCTTTCGCTTGCATCAGTCATGAACGGCGGTATCAAGCCGAAAGACCTGGAGCATCTCAAGCGTGAAGTTTTGCAAACATATGGTCACGAGCACATCCTCACCTTTGCAGGCTTGCACAGGCTTGGACTGCTTGTTCCCAAGATCAGCGGGACCGCAGCCCTCACCAGCGGTACTCCAAGCCAAAAGTACTCATACAATCAGCTGCGTAAAGGCTTGAAGCTTATCGTCGATGAAGTGAACGAACATGATCCTCAGGACGTCGCGTACGTCTACAGTGGCTACGCGCCGCTCTCGGTTCGCCTTGTACAAACCGTAATTCAGAAGCGCGCATTACTTCCCCCTAATACCCAGTCCAAGGGAAGCGGTTGGAAGGATTTTGAAGACATATTGAAGTACGTTAAAGGACCTGCGGTTGATGAAACCCAACGTGACGAGGACGACGTTGTTCGAGTCCGTCGCCCAAACAGCGGGCAGGAGAAGATTACAGTGGTTTTCTTCGTCGGCGGAGTTACGTACACCGAAATCAGTGCCTTGAGATTGTTGGCACAGCAGGAAAAGGGAAAGAAACAGATTGTGGTAGCGACTACCGGCATACTCAACGGAGAGAAGGTCGTGGACGCGGCAATGAGTGCGATACCTGACATCAAGCAGGCTTGAGAGAGGTATTAGATACATAATTTGTAGCATACCCGTGATAATCCACCTCCGAATCTTCCAATTAACGTTGTAGTTAACGCACGGTGACATGAACGTTTTCGTATTCGTGGCTTAGCCGCGGCTGTCTGTGCCAAGGTGAACGTCGCCGGCCCGAGGGAGTCCACGGGTCGTACAAATACCGGACCCTCAGTCTTCCGTGCAAACCGGTCTCAGTATCGTCCATTGCAAGCGGAGCCTCATCAGATCGAGCCGCGACTCAGTAGACACCAGTCGCCTATCCGCCAGTCTTGACAACGTCATTCGGTACATCAGTCCACCTCCAAGCACACAACTTCTCAGAGAGCCACCAGAAACCTCATATACCTTCAGTACTCCGATGGCCGCTATTGCCAACCTGTTTAACAAAATCGCACTCAACCAACCTGCTGGTTACGAACGCAAGAAGAACTACAAATTCGGTCGAACACTCGGCGCTGGAACCTATGGCTTGGTTCGTGAAGCGTACGATATCAAGCACAAAGATCAAGTGGCGGTGAAAATTATCCCGAAGAAGAATGTCAAGGGACATGAGGATATGGTTTTTGACGAGATGGAGTTGTTAAAGAGTCTGCATCATCCTAATATCGTGGAGTTTCGGGATTGGTTTGAGAGTCATACCAAGTTCTATATTATCACGCAGTTAGCTCGCGGTGGTGAACTTTTCGACAGAATCTGCGAACAGGGCAGATTTACGGAGTCGGATGCCGTGCAAGTTGTTCGGGAGATTCTGGAAGCAGTCGCATATCTTCACAGCCAGCACATCGTGCACCGCGATCTAAAACCAGAAAACTTGCTTTACCTCACGGAGGATCCCTACTCACCACTTGTCCTTGCCGACTTTGGTATCGCCAAGCTCCTCGACGAGTCGCACAACCAGGTTCTCACCTCCATGGCTGGTTCCTTTGGTTACGCCGCACCTGAGATCTTGTCTCGAAAGGGTCACAGCTACCCATGTGATTTGTGGAGTTTGGGTGTAATCACGTACACGCTATTGTGCGGTTACTCGCCTTTCAGAACCGAGGATCGAGATGAGTTAATCAAAGAGACAATCGCCGCAAACATCGTCTTCCACGACCGATACTGGAAAGACGTCTCCTCCGACGCCAAAGACTTTATCAAATCCCTCCTCAACCCAACCCCCTCCCAACGTCCTTCCGCTGCCGAGGCACTCAAGCACCGCTGGTTGACCGGCGAGACGGCCAACGACCAGACCGATCTGTTGCCATCCGTCAGAGCCGGTCTTTCCGCCCGCCGCAAGTTCAAACGCGCAATCGAAGCCATCCGCTTGCAAAACAAGATCAAGGCACTCGCCGCCGCCGATATGTCCGACTCAGAAGAAGACCGTTCTGGAGGACGATCCGGTCGTAGTAGTGCCGCCGTCAGTCGCGAAACGAGTCCAGAAAGATATGGTCGACCTCCTGCGGGAAGGCCAAAGAGCGAGAGGGGTAGTGTGTTTGCTGAGGTTGTGAAGGCCAAGTTAAGGGATGCTAAGGACGAGCAGGAGGAGAGGGCGAGATCGGGTGTGTTAGCGGGAACGAGGAGTCCTGGAGGATCTGTTCATTTGAGTCCGGAGAGTGCGAGAACCCCCAATGGGCGAAGCAGGTAGAACGATCGGGGGGAAATGTAAGCTAGGTGAACGTTGTGGAGGAAGGCGTCATATTCTTGAGGCCAAGGTGAAGCAATCATGAAGGAATGAGGCATACGATACTACACTAGCTATAGCGTCGTTCACATTGGAATATCCCATCTTCCCTATACCGGTGTTTTGTAGACGTACTGTATGTTGATTGTCTTTTCACAAGACAGTCCAAACTCCTTCGATGCTACTACCTCCTCCATGCAAAAGACCAAACCACAACATTTTTACACGCCGAAATGGAACTGCCTGACCTTGTTTCCATAGTACGCCAACGAAATCAAACCGAGACCAGCCAAACCAAGAGGAACAGGCTTCTTGAAGGCAGTCTTCGCGCTTCTAACGACGCCAGCACCGGTGAGAACCGCAGAGGCAGCAGCCGCGATCTCAGCACCGCCGTCAGCATTCTTCTTCATGAGAGTCCCGGCGTATCCGTAAGCGGCACCGAGGGCGGCACCAGCGATGAGGGATGGCGCGGAGCGGGTCTTCATGAAGGCCATGGCGCCTCCAGCGGGAAGAACAGCGGCGAGAGTGAAAGCAGGGTGTTCCTACGTGATAGGTTCGGTTAGCAGGATTCATGGTGAAGGTGAAGATCAAAGTAAAGTACCATTTGTGCTTTTTTGATATTCGAGGAGTTGATCTACCGAATTAGGCCGAGACTTTGGGATCTACGCTACAGGGCGGATCCGAACCGGGGAAGTCGACATATGTCGTCGACTGCGACTGCGACGAATACGATTTGGTCCGAATGCTAGAGATCAATGGCGATTGCAGAAAAGAACGCGACGCTTATTTCCAAATGACTGACTCATCTCATGAGGTTCATCTCAGACGGCTTGACTGAGCCGAGAGAGCTTACAAGTTCCCTGACGCTAGTGTCGCGCTCCCGGCGGCTCCTAAGTTCGTATCATCGACAATCTCGAAGGAAACCACGAATACACAAACTTATACCAAATGTCCAACGTCAAGACCTTCCACGACTCCGTTCTGACCGCTGCGTCTGGCGGTACCGCCACTCCCAAGCTCCTCCCGAACGGAGACCAGAAACCTTTGGAGAAACCCAAGGCAAAGGACTGGACTTCCCACTTGTCTACCGAGTCCAAGACCCGCAAGGCCTCTCCCTTGAAGAGTTCTTTCAAGTTTGTTTTCTCTACTCCATACGTGTTGGCGCGGCGACTAACAAGCGGACAGGTACTTGTCTAACCCCGGTCTCATCTCCCTCGGTGGAGGTTTGCCCACACCCGCCTACTTCCCCTTCGAATCCATCTCCGCCAAGGTCGCTACCGTCGGCAAATTCTCCGAAGAGGAGACCCTGACCTCCGGTACTACCATGTCTGTTCCCAAGTACGACAAGAGCGCTGGCGCCTACGACCTTGCCCGTGCGCTGCAATATGGATCTGGCTCTGGTAGCCCCGAGCTCCTTGAATTCTTGACTCAGCATACCGAGATGATCCACCACCCCCCCTACGCCGATTGGAAGTGTGTCATGACTGCCGGAAACACCTCCGCTTTGGCCACTTGTTACCGCATGTTGATGAACCGCGGCGACTTCTTGTTGATGGAGGAGTATACTTTCCCTTCTGCTGTCGAGACTGCCAGCCCCATGGGTATCAAGCCACTTGGCGTCAAGATTGATGGTGAGGGTGTCATTGCTGAGGCTTTGGACGAGCTCCTCTCCAACTGGGACGAGGCCGCCCGCGGTGGTCGCAAGCCCCACGTCATGTACCTCATCCCCACCGGTCAGAACCCCACCGGATCCACTGGCTCTGCTGAGCGCCGCAAGGCTGTCTACGCCGTCTGCCAGAAGCACGACGTCATCATTCTCGAAGATGAGCCCTACTACTTCCTCCAGATGCAGCCATACGTTCGTGATGCCCCCCCTGCACCACTGCCTGGCTCCCACGAGGAGTTCATCGCTGACCTCATCCCCTCTTACCTTTCCCTCGACACTGACGGCCGTGTCATCCGTCTTGACTCCTTCTCCAAGGTCATTGCACCCGGATCCCGTTGCGGATGGCTCACCGGTCCTGCTCAGCTCATGGAGCGTGCCCTCCGTCATAACGAGGTCTCTATCCAGTCCGCCTCTGGTTTCTCTCAGGCCATTCTGTACCAGCTCCTTTCTCAGACCTGGGGCCACTCTGGTTACCTCGACTGGTTGATCAACCTCCGCGCCGAGTACACCGCTCGTCGTGACATCTGTCTCAAGGCCATGGAGGAGTACCTCCCAGAAGGTATCTGCTCCTGGGTCAACCCCGCCGCCGGTATGTTCATCTGGATCGAGGTTGACCCCTCCAAGCACCCTCAGATTTCAGAGGGTTTGCCCGTCATCGAGGACCGTGTCTTCCAGAAGGCTATCGACAAGAACGTCCTTGTCGTCCCTGGATCATGGTTCATTGTTGATGAGGATGCCAAGTACAGCAAGGGCAAGTTGTTCTACCGTATCACTTTTGCTTGTGTTGCGTCTGAGTTGGTTGTGGAGGCTTTGAAGAGGTTCGGAGCTGCTATCAAGGAGGAGTATGGTATTGCTGCTTAAAATGGGACGGTGGATAGGGACTGGTAAGATATAGCTAGACGTGATGAAAATTTAGGATATTTATGAAGCGATGCGATTGCGGTCTTGAAAACATCTTAGAACAAGCCGAGGTGCTCCCGACATCTATAGATCGCGGCGCCGGCGGTGTGGCTGAAAAACGTCTGGGTCCCAAACAGCGAGGAACTGCACCGTAAGAACAACAGCTGTTTGCTTGAACGACGACGCAAGCTCTGGTCAACCAACCTCTCTGGTCAAGATACAGCATTCTTATGAAAGTCGGTTACGGTCTGTCAGAATCACCATGGGAGCAGAGATCTTAAAAGGATGACCTGTATACAACGGCTTCATAGCCGAGCACATGGCTGCACTACACCATGTCGATCACTTTAGAGTATCCGCTTCGAATTCGTCGGCTAACTCTGAAAAATGATCATGATTGAGGTTGCGAACGGTCGCCCAGGGCACGCTATAAAGTCGTCATGAGAGTTCCTCTCAAGTCGCTCCATTCTCCCATATACGTGCGCAATCCGGTTGTCCATTAGTGATCATGCTTGTCAAACACATCCTTTCGATCGCTTCCATCATCTCGGCACTTGCCGGTACTGCTACTTCGGCTCGTGTCTCTCGTCAGGATGCCTTGGGCTTGAGGAGACGGACGGCTCACGAGAAGCGCAATGGCCTTGTTCTTCACAAGCGCTCAACTTGGGATGCACCAGACGGCGTGATCTCTCCCAAGGTGTTCATTGTCTCCATGTTCGAGCCTGAAATGGAGCCATGGATTGAGCCCTTCGGTCTGTACGCTCAAAACATCACCGTCCCTGGTCTTTCGCCTCTCTTTCCCAATGTTCACTGCGATGCTGCCGGTGAAATCTGCCAGTACACTACTGGTGAAAGCGAGATCAACGCTGCTTCATCCACTACAGCGCTTTTGCACAGTCCTTACTTCAACCTCACCTCGACGTTCTTCCTCATCGCAGGTATCGCCGGTGCCAACCCTCACATTGCCACTACCGGCTCCGTCACCTTCGCTAAGTTTGCGGTGCAAGTCGCTCTTGAGTACGAATTCGTCACCAGGGAACTCCCTAGTAACTACTCCACTGGCTACATCCCTCTCGGCGCCGACGCTCCTGATCAGTACCCAGGACACATTTACGGAAGCGAAGTCTTCGAGTTGGACGACAACCTTCGTCAGCGTGCCATGTATCTCGCCAACCTCACCACATTGGCCGACACTGCGACGACACAGAAGTATCGTGCTCTCTATGATTACGCACCCGCGAACCAGCCCCCTGCCGTTGTTGGATGCGATGTTGTGACCAGTGATGCCTACTGGTCTGGCGAGCTCCTTGCGGAGTCTTTCGGGAACTACACCTCTCTGATCTCCAACGGAAGCGCAGTGTACTGCTCTACTGCCCAAGAAGACAATGCTACCCTCGAAGCCATGGTCCGTGCTGCAGCCACCGGCCTCATGGACTTCTCTCGCATCATTGTTATGCGTACCGTTTCCGACTTTGACCGTCCCCCGAAGGGCGAGGCTGCTTTCACAAATCTCCTCTTTGCCTCTCAAGGTGGCTTTACGCCTGCAATTGACAACATTCTGATTGCTGGAGGAATGATTGTGAAGGACATGTTGATGTACTGGGATGACACCTACGCTCCGGGCATCAAACCTGGTAACTACATTGGAGACATTTTCGGAACCCTTGGCGGTATCCCGGACTTTGGACCTGGACCTTAGAACGCGATGGACATGGAAGGATAGGCGCTGCGCCCTTTTCGGCAGTTTCGATTGTACGATATTGACTATTTATCCCTGGTAGAGTGGAGAGAATGAAAGACCAGAGCACGGGAATTGCCTTTATTACTGTGACTATTACATAATTAACTAAAGGGTTCATAGAGAAACCGAAGCAGATGGAGCATCCACTGTGATTGTTTTCCAAACAGTTGTGGTCATCGTCCGCGTGCTGCGCGTGAGAGAGCTCGAGACCGGCGCAGCCGGTGTGACAGTCTCGTACACAGTGGTGTAGCTCGTATCTGTGGGATGCACAGTTGTCAATACGACATGTGCAGATGAAGTTGCTATCAACCAATAGTTAGTACGATGCTGGGTGTTTGGAAAAGGACTGAAGGAAATACTTGCGAGTTTGCCCCGTGATGTCCAACCAGAAGGTAGTTACATTGGTAACGCATGCAGAGGAGTTGTTAAGATCACGTCCTTGTGGGACAGCAACCCCAGATACTGTCGAGATCATTGCCACCACGAAGATGAAGACGTTGATGATGTTCTGCATGTTTGTTTGTGTTATAGCCTTGGGTTTTATGAACTGTGTAAGACGCTGAAAATACAAGTATCAATGGTCGATATATAGCTGTAAAAGAGTGACTAGGGTCGGCTTCGATTCGGGGCAGAATGGCTGTTGGTTATCTCTGACGCGTGCGGACCTCGTGGGATATTTAACTTCCCAGGACGCACGGCCCATGGGGAAAAGGAGCTAGAACAAAGACCGACGTCTATCAATTCGTTGCATCTACGAAACCATCATCTTGGAGGCTTGAACATTCCGAAACCGCGGATCAAGGTCTGTGCGTTAAGTTGAGATCTGGGGTGCGGGTCGCGGCCGGCCTCAGCTGAGGCACACAAAGCACCTGAGGAGATCAGGGGTGGATGTTGGCGGTCGCGCATCACGGAAGACTGCCAGAGAATTGTCAGAGACTGATTAGTCAGAAAATTTAACAGATGACGTTTCTATGACGAGAATAGTCGCTCTATTCGCCAGCAGCTAACATGGCCAGTCAAGCTTCAGTCGACGTCTGGACCAACGCTCTGCTGTGATCTAAAGTAATCCTCCATGGTAAAGCACGCCAGGTAAAAATCCCACATGAACGCCGTTATCCACCCAATATCCAGTCCATATTTCATCACATGGCTTGTGCCTGCAAGTCCCCCAAATGACCGCTTTGCCATGAATCAAATAACCAAATCTGCCAGATCCCTATCCAAATCAGCTTCATATTCCATTAATCCACCAACTCTCTCATCACTGACGCCAATCCATAGCCTTTCACTTCCCTGACTCTCAACAAATCCGATTCCAGCAACTTCTCCGAAGAAGTCAATGACCTGCATTCTTTCTTTCGAAGTATCCCACAGGGTGACGAAGTCAGCGGACTCAGCAACAGCCAACAAAGTTCCGTTCGCACCACCAAAATCGAGGGTCCGGACACTACCACACTGTGCCGGCAATGTTGCTACAGGCGCACTGAAATTTCGTGCATCCCATAGCCTAGCCGTGGTATCCTGACTACCCGTAGCAAGATACCAGCTCGGCGACCACGCACTCGTAAAAATCCAATCCGTATGTGCCTTCAGATTAGCAATAATTCCGCCACTCTCTGCATCAATAATCACTGCATCGCACGAATCACCGCCCACAAGCCGTAAACGGGCGTCAGGAGATGTACTTGATGTGTTTGGCGCCCATGGTGTTGAATGACCAGAAAGACACACGTTTTGTGCTGTATCGATTGTTCGAATGGAACTATCGTTCGAAGTGTACACAAGAACTGGTGATTCAGACGACCGTGACCTGCTGATGTGGACATGATTTCCAATACCATGAGCGCTGCCAGTCAGGAAGCCGGTGAAGTCCTTCTGATCCGCATCCTCATCATAATTATTTTCTAGGGTGTATGCGTATTCTCCGTAGAAGCCCGCGGTCGCAACAACGGCGGCGTCAGCAGCCAATGTCGTCGGTCGTGTACCAATACGCGTACTTTCCCCTGACAGCAGGTCTATCACAACCTGACAAGCAGCAGCCGGGTTATGCGGATTATATCTCATAATCTGCGTTCCTTTTGCATGGTACACAGCGGTCGACGTTGCTGGAGAGAGAAGATGGCGCAACTGAAAGTGTGCAATGGTCGGGACACGAGTGGTTGTCGTAGACCGATGTGCAAAGATATTGCGTTCGGAGTATCCTGGTGGAATATCTGGAGGATCTAGCAGAGGATCTGGTGGCGGGCAGTTGGTGTAGTTCTGATGTGTCATAAGTCTATTCGACTCTTGTCAGGCCACGTCGCGTTAGACGCAAGAGTTTGCAAACCTTGTCTTTCGCAGGGACTCTCGCGAGATGAGGGCATCAGCCCACCAGATCCCTTGATAATCCACATCTCTGGCTCTCAAGATATCCGCGTCAACTGCCTTGACCTTCTGCAATCCCCACATCCCGCCTTCTCCTCCAAATTCGAAGCCCGAATCCTCCATAACGCCGTCAGGTCCGACGTACTCGAAGTCAACGTTATGCTCGACAAGGTGAAGGGTCGCTTCGGTTGCACGAAGAACGGTCAAGTCCGGAACGAGGTCCATCTCGACATCCTCGTCGTACGGACTGCCATCGATCTCCACCAGACTGACGTCCGCATCAGGCACAGAGAACGACACACGCATTGGCAAAGCCATACTTGATCGACTACTGACGGTAAAAAGTTTCCAATCGTTTGAGAACGAAGCGCTCAACGGCGTCTGCGTTTCTCTGGCTGGTCCGTGCGGGTTTTGCCTCGCAATGCAAGGTTGTACGTGAGTGATTCACCCGCTGCAGGACCAAACCCTATTTCATATCGATTCAAGGGCTTCGGGGATATTTAAAGCTGTATTCGTGACTATACTATCAGAGCATTTCTGGATCAATCGCCGCTGCAATAACTAAGAAGTCTCCCAGCTGCTAGCGCCGTCCGCATTCTTAAGTATTCTTCTCGCGCTTGACCTTCTCGTACATCCACTCCCATATGCATACGTGCAAGAATCATCACCACCACAAATGGGAATCAAGCTTGCAAATCTGTGTGGTTCGTGTAGTCCAGGATCCCATGTTCCATACCCTCAAGCCAGCGTTGCCGATTGTGTGCTTGGATATCTGGGGATTTTAGGGTCAGAGAGGTTTGTACGGGTGAGGCGGAATAAGATTTGCCCTATCAGACAAGGACGTTTCAATTGGAAACTGGGATATGAGCTGGTTATATCACAAATCAAATATGTCGAGAGTTTGCCAATATGGTGTTCGACCTCAATTGCAGCCTTGAACAGTCCTCTACTCCCTTTCCATTGCATACCAGTAATCGTACAAAGACCTTCACACTCTTACATCAAGACAAAACTAATAACTGCCAGAGGCTTCGCAGCGAACCCACGCCCAGTGCTCCTCTTCCAACCTCATCCTGACAAGCTCGGCCGCTCCAGGTCAACCCCCGGAAACGACGGCCGCCGTTTGAGGAATCTCTCCTCCAGGTCCTGTTTCGTAGCAATCGCAAGAACGAATCGACGAGATGAATCGGTTACTGGTGGTTGCGTTAGTCACAGGTCTTTTGACGCACAAGGTACAAACGCACCAATCGCAAACTCATGCCCTCGTAACAAGAACGCTTCCAATTGCTCCAGGGGTGTCTCCAGCGTTATGACTTGATACTCCAATTCTGATTCTTCACGCTTCTTGAAACGGACCATATGATCTCTGATCTTCTCGTCATCTTTGCCTGCTTCAAGAGCTGGCATGATGTGTCGCATGTCGATATACCCCACCAGACGGCGATTCTTGGCAGACGTCACTGTAAGCTGACTATACTCGCGTTCGGAGGCGAGAGTGTAGGCCTCAGCGACAGTAGCAGAGGCTAGGATCGCATTGTCAGCACGGTCCGCCGGTCAATACTGGATATGGCGTGAATCTCACGTCCGATAGAGAGGGCCGGAGGAAGATCCAAGTCCTCGACACAAGCACCCCGATACTTTGCCGCATCAAGAGTGGTGGTACCATTCATTGGTATGATCTTAAGCCCAGTGACTCTTCAAGGAAATTAGCAGTTGGTACTTATGGATGTCGTCACCTAAGGGGTTAAGGTTTGCATGAGCCCCGCGCACTTGCAAGGGCCCGAACCCGATGTAACCTCGGCCGCGGAGTTGTATCAAGTCGAAGTCGAACCGGACTGTAACCTCCGTCGGATGACTTGCGATCGTCGTTCGTTTCCTCCGGAGATGTAACACTCTTAATGACTTAGCAGATCGGACTCCGTCTCCGTCGTCCTCGACTTCCTCCGCGAATGTGACTCTCGAGCTCTTCTTGGCCATATAAGATGCAACGTCTTTCCTCCGACAAGAAGTTTGTACCCAAGCTTGTGAACTCAAACAACTGAAAGCAATGTTGTTCTTCGTGGTATCATTCCTCGCTATCATCGCATATCTGTATATGAAGCAGTCATCCAAGAAGCAACAGCCGCTACCACCGGGACCGCCAGGACTACCCTTCATCGGTAATGCTTTGTATCTGAGGAAGAACGTGGGCCGTGAACGCCAAATGCACAAAGAACTTAGGGCGAAGTATGGCGACATGGTTTATCTCAAGGCGGGACCTAGCACCAATATGTTGCTGGTCTTCGACGAACGTATTGCGCAGGATTTATTCGTCAAGGTTCGTATATCTCCCGTGTCAGCAAGAACAAACAGCTAACCGTTACACAGCGAGGAGCGATCTACTCATCAAGACCCGATATGAAGGTTTTGAAGCACCTGGATCCCCATGGCATAGCTATATTGCCATATGGCAAAGAATGGAAGACCACTCGAAAGCTTTTCCATGGCGTCCTGGGCACTCACCAGGCTGATCGGTTCCGTCCTCATCAAGATTACGAGAGTGTTCGTTATTCAGCCAACATGCTGCATGAACCTGAAAAGTTCGTTGAATGGTCGAAACTGTTCACCATGTCCAGCATCACCTCGATCCTTTTGGGGTTGAGGATGCCTTCGCTTCACACGCCCATTGCAGAGGCAATTCACCTGGTTGATCAGATTCTCATCGATGGTGACATCCCATACGATCATCAACGCACCAAAGCTAATAATTCTAAACAGCCTTCATTCCTGGCCGTTACCTCGTGGATTTCTTTCCATTCCTCGACGCCTTACCTGACATCATCTCGCCGTGGAGGCGCGGAGCAAACGCTGGGTTTAGGCAGATAATGTCGCTCTACCTTCCTCTATGGCATGAAGCTCAGGAGAGGATCAAGAATGGCACGATGGCGTTTCCCACTTGTTCAGAGTACCTAGTCGACGTGCAGAAGAAAGACCCGGAGTTCTGGACAGATGAGCGTATCGCAAGTGGAGCTATTCAAGACTTGATCTTCGCTGCTTCTGACACGGTATGTCGCCCGAACGGTCTGGAGAGCATATACTCACTGGTTTCATCAGTCTTCCTCCTATGTACGCTTGTTCGAGGTCATGGCCGGAACGTTCCCGGATAAGGTCAAGAAAGCTCAAGAAGAACTTGACGCTGTTATTGGCCCCAATCGCTTGCCAACCTGGGAGGATGAGCCTAACCTGCCTTACGTCAGAGCATTCATCAAGGAGGTTCACAGATACTACACTTTCGCACCTTTCGGTGAGTGGCAGCAACATTTCACACTGTCCCAAAAACTAATCGCTTCCACAGCCGTTCCTCATGCCGCGATGAAAGACGACGTGTACAACGGTTACTTCATCCCCAAAGGCACACTGGTCATCGTGTCACTCACATCATGCACCACAATCCCGAGCACTACCCGGAACCCGAGTCTTTCTCTCCTGAACGCTTCCTCGACCATAACCTCGGTGCTGCGGCATCTGCGGCACTCACGGACACGAGGAAACGCGATCACTTTGCTTTCGGCTTTGGCAGGAGGATTTGCCCTGGGATACACGTTGCCGAGAATGGCACGTACATACAAGTTTCGCGGCTTCTGTGGGGATTCAACTTCGGTGAGCTGTTTATAGCTGGGACAAAGCAGAGAGCCCGTGTGGAAGATGTTTGTCGTGTCCAATTGATCGATGGCGTTGACTATGAAATCGACATCAAACCTCGCAATCCTAGGGTCGTAGAGGTCATTGAACGCGAATGGAACTCCAAGAATCTGGAGGTGGAGTCAAATTAGTGCTTTGGTACGATAGATAGGAGAGGAATATCCTGTATTAACGGTCGCTATACCAATTACCAATGCTGAGTATCTTTGTTCTTACTGCATTTGTACAGCCATATCCTGGCCCGTAATCCCCATCCAATCTCGTCTCACAGACTCTAACATTACTTAATGCGCGTGTCCGTGTCCATTGGACGGCGACGAAGCGTTCGCCGGTTCGCAGCACATGTTCTCCGCACACTCATCCTCGTCGCAGGCAAGCAAACAGCTCGCCCTATCAGCCTCCTCGGTCACCTCTTGGATACTGTGGAGACCGTCGTTGCCATCGCCCAGAAACTCAGGCTGCACGGTGCAAGAGTGGACTCCGTAAGAGTGCAAGCACTGGCGGATGGCGGCAGCGAGGTCCATGTAGTCTGATGACAAGGTGTCATTAGGAAGGGAAACAAGGACGTGTACGGATGCAATGAGCTTAACGTCAGACAACTGCCAGATGTGCAACTCGTGAACAGAAACCACACCCTTGATGTTCTGAATATCCTCCTTGACGTCCTCAGCGTCGATACCTGCCGGCACACCCTGCAACAAAATCAGACTTGCACTCTTGCAAAGGGGCAATGCGGAAGAGAAGATGATGCAAGTGATAACCAAAGAGATGACCGGATCGGCGTAGTATTTCCAGGTAAAGTCGGTTTTCCAGATAAAGAGAGCGGTAGCGATGACACCAACGTTTCCAAGAGCATCACCGAGGACGTGCAAGAACACACCCTGCATGTTGAGGTTACCGTGCGAGTGACCGTGGCCCTTACCGTTGTCCTTAGGCTTAGCGTGGTTATGTTCAGAGTGGTCATTGAGCAAAGCGGTACGCTCATCAGCAACATCGTGAATATGACGGCGGTTCTGCGCAGGGTGAACGTAAATGTCATCAGCACTGGAAAAGGAGAGACGGTGCTGGTGTCCTTTCTGGTGAGCGCGGTTCTGCGAGTGCCTGGCGACGACAGTTTCCGGAAGAACGGATTCAATATCACCGTTGTCGGATGAAGAGTCGTGACCCTGCGAGTGTCCATGCGAATGTCCTCCATGTCCGTGACCGTGGTCGTGGAACAAGAACAAACCAACGATGTTGCTTGCCAATCCAGCACTTCCGACAACCAGAATCAACAGAGGGTTGGTAATGACTTGAGGCTCGAAGAATCGCTGGACAGCTTCCATGAAGATAGACAAACACAAAGCCAACAAGAACACTCCATTGACCAATGCACCCAAAATCTCTGCACGCTGCCAGCCATAGGTATACTTTGGTGATGATTCAGTGCTGGACGCAAGCTTGACAGCATACAATGCGACGAGCAAGCTCATAACATCGTTAAGCATATGGAAAGAGTCGGCAACGAGCGCAAGTGAATGCACTGCATATCCAACTATGATCTCAAGGAAAAAGAAAGCAGTATCAATCACCAAGAGGGTGATGATTCTTGATGAACGGGACAGTCCCATGATGGTGACTGGATGTTGTTGCTCTGATCTCGGTGTTATAGAAACGACGTCGACGACGGTGGCGCGAGCAGAAGGAGCAGAACGTCTAGAAGCCCACGTTCAGGCGGTCAATGATGTCTATGAGCTCAGACTTGTCCAGTTACAGCAGTCGACCGAAGATCCAGCTGGCAGGATAGACAGCACCTTGATGGTTGACTTTGCAAAACAAGTTGATGGCCAGATAATTTACCTACAGTATTCACGCCCGCTCCACTCTCCGCCAGGGCCCACTTGACCAGCGCGGCTGCCACCGGGGCTAGCAACGCGTAAGCTTCAAGTATGTACCATTTTTCCGGGGAGATCTGGAGCTCCCGTATGTATACGCAGACTGATGCTTTGCCAATTGAATAGGATTTTATTGATACTTGGCCTTCTTTGCTCCTCCTTCTCCTGCGACTTCAGCTCTATAAGATGTCATATCCATAATCGTAGCTCCATCCACCTTAACTTTGGCTAATCAACCCACTCTCAAATCCTTCGCTAAGCTATCGAGTCGCCTCCAGATCTTCCGTAACTCGCTTAGATGTTCGCCAAGTTCAACTCCTTTCGGATAGGGTAGTGGGTGATGTCCTGACTCGCCTCATCATCCACGAACCAAGAGACCTTCTCACCACCAGTAATGTTCACCAACGTACACGGCAAACCCTCCTCGGGGTTCTCAATAATTCTCCTCAACATATCCCTCTTACCCTCACCAGCGGCAACGAAAGCGATCTTGTTGGCGTGGCCGACGATGGGCAAGGTAAGGGTGATACGCTTGGATGGGGGCTTGGGCGAGTCGTCGATACCGACAACCCAGGCGACAGATTCCCGCAGCAGCTCGTGGCCAGGGAAAAGAGAGCAGCAGTGACCGTCAGGGCCCATGCCGAGGAGGACCAAGTCGAATGTGGGGTGTCTCACGGCATCTCCGGGAGCAAAGCACTTGACGAGGACCTTCTCGTAAGCGTCCGCGAGCTCAGTAGTGTCGGTTTCAGAGCCGTCCTCGCCGGAAATGAGGGAGGCGTCGATGGGGTGGACCTGGGAGGGGTCCATGGGAAGCTTGGAGAAGAGCTCCTCCATGTTGAGGCGGTAGTTGGAGTCCTCGTGGTCAAGAGGAACAGCACGCTCGTCAGCGAAGAAAACCTCCCTAAATCAACTCGTTAGTATCCAGAAATCATGGGTCCACCCACGCGGGACGGAAGCGCACGTACCATTTGGACCACTCAACAGCGGCCTTGCCCTCCTCAGTAATCAACTCCTGCGCAAGCATCTTGGGCAAACTTCCACCAGAAATCGCAACCATACACTTTCCATGACGCGCAATGGCCTCAGCCGAGACCTTCTTCACATACTCCGCAAGCGACACCGAAAGCTCGTTCTTGTTCTTGAAAGAGTAGAGAGTAGCCATGTCGCGTATAATCTTTGATCTGTCGATTTACTGAACCGAAAAGTTACTGTAGAAGTTTGATCCGTGAGCTCTTCAACGATATCGAGTCACTTGTGGGTTTTGCCTGTTACAGGGTCTTTTGGATTTGTGCGTATGCGCTGGATCACAGTGACGTTTTCTGTCTGCGTTCACGAGCAGCTGGGCGCGGCCCCGGCCAAGTAGGCACCGCCGCAAGCAAAGCAGCAGCAGGTAAAGGTACTTCCGTCGCGTCCGTCACAACCCTTACCCAGGTGTCACATGCAAATATGAATTTCCTTGACAAGAAATGGACTCATAAAATCTATCCGATATCTAAGGTGGACTGGGCTTCACGGCGGGTAGCCGTTGCCCATCCTTCAGCCCGATCAAGCCCAATGCTGACAGTAATCCATCCCCAACGCATTTGAACTTTCCTCATTCCTTAATTTCCCACAATTCGGAACGAGGTGCACGCGCCGGTTGATCTGACACGTGAACGTCCCTGCGAACTCGAAGCTTTCTCGCATGTCTGCATGTTGGTTGCTGCGCTGAGCCCTCGTCTGATAGTTGCTCATCAGGATCGTCAAGAGGAGCTGATTGGCTGTTATGTCACTTCACCCGGGATAATATTTTGCTCAACGCGAGGAAGATAATAGGGGAGGGTTTTTTTAGGCATGGAGTTAACGTTCTTGGTATGGCATGTGACAGGGCTCATATTTGTTGCTCTTGGATGGGGACTTGGCATGCTCAGGTTCGCAAAGCAGTTCATCCGCAGCTGCCTAACCAGAGACCACGGAAGTCGGCAAGACGGTTTTTTTTGGCCCTGCAGCCTCTGACATCTCTATCGTAGACAGTTTCTCTACCAAGGCTCCGTTTAAATGGTTCCGGCGCTACCCTGTGCGAACTTGTTCGTGGGGGGGGGTTTCGCTCAATTCTGCTCATAGCGACCCAGTCGCCTCTGAAAATGAATGATTGTATAAATAACTCGTTGTATCGTATCCTCAGTATATCCTACACAGCTCCGCTTCCCACAAATCAAGCAGAAACCTTAACAACAACCTTTCCAACATGCTTCTGACTCTCAAGATACTCAAAGGCCTCCTTCGCCTCCTCAAACTTAAACACCTTATCAACAATAGGAACAATGTTGCTCTGCGCAATATGCTTGTTCATATCCTCAAACATCCTCTTAGATCCAACCAAGATACCGTGCAAGTTGGCGAGACGCATCAACGCGAGCATGGACACGGGAGGGTCATTAGGGGAACCGGCGCCGGCGACGAAACCGATAGCGTGGATGTGTCCGCCGAGAACGACACACTGGAGGGACTTGGTGAGGGTTCCCGCACCGCCGACCTCGACGATGTGGTGGGCTCCCTCGCCGTTAGTGAGCTTGAGAACCTCCTCCTGCCACTCAGGAGTGTTCTTGTAGTTGATCAGATCCTGCGCACCCAAATCCTTCGCGATCTTCAACTTGTCGTCAGAGGAGGAGGTAGCGATGACGCGGGCACCAGCAGCCTTGGCGAGCTGGAGTGCACAGATGGAGACACCACCCGTTCCCTGCACGACGACAGTCTGTCCGGGGAGGAGGGGTACGGCGCCGTAGAGTGCGTTCCAGGCGGTGACCATGGCGCAGGGGAGGGTAGCGGCTTGCTCGTAGGACAAGTGCTCAGGGAACTTGACGAGGCCGTATTCAGCGAAGGCGCGGTACTCGGTCAAACACCCATCCAAACCACCACCCAAACCGGATCCGATACCCTTCATGGTGATGGTGCCATCCTGGTGTTCCTGGTTGAAGATACCACAGACTTTGTCGCCAACCTTGAAGTCTGAGACGCCCTCGCCGACGGCGACGACCTCTCCGGCACCGTCGGAGCAGGGGACAGGGTTCTCCTTGAGAGGCAGGGGGTAGATGCCCTTGACGATCATGAGATCACGGTAGTTGAGCGAGACGGCGTGGATTTTGACAAGGACCTGTCCCTTCTCGGCCTTAGGGACGGCGACATCCTTCTGCAGGGTCAAAGCGTCAAAGGAGCCCTTGGCAGCACCAGCAGGGAGACGGTATTCGCGTTGCGTCTGCGGAACGGACATTGCTATTTTGGTTTTGTGGATGAGGAAGGTGAATGGGGAAGGAAGAGGTGTGGATCAGCGGCCTTTTATTCCGTCTGACATAAGGTTTTTCTCGAAGGTATCCCCCGCAGTTAGTGCGAGTGTGATTTGTCATACAAGATGCTTGCGTATTGGGTTCTACTGGAGTTGGGATAGCGCGATCCGTCGCCGAAGCAGAGAGGAACCGCGCGCTGGAAGATCCGTCAGCGAGCACGCCATTCTACAGCGTCAAAAGGGCAAACGACCAGTCTCGGTTGATTGGCAAGCAGAGGAAGTTCTGGTCGGCTCGCAAGAAGTCAACGTTGTGCGCGGCGCTGCAAGTCTGGCAGTTCTCCCGCGCGCATGTGACGTCAAAGATCTCAGAACCCTGGAAGTGCGCTCGAGCGAGATCGTCCGGGGTGAACTACATAAGGCTCCCCATTCGCAAAACACAGTTGAACGATCATGCACCTCGGCAAAGACGACAAAAAGGATCATTCTATGGCCGCGCGTACTCCGTCAATGACCCAAGAAGAAGCCCGCGAAGCCGCCCAATCCTCAAACATAAACTGGTACTTCTCCTTCCACTCCTCCTCCGGCGACTCCGAACTCGCTATCGCCCAAAAAATCGGATTCACAGCCACCCTCTCCCGCGAACGCCGTGAATTCTACCACGCGGTTCAGGGATCAAACCCACTCGCGAAAGCGACACAGGCGTTGCAAAAGTATGTCAAGTTGACGATTCCGCCGTTGGGGCAGATGGGTGCGATTTGTCCTGAGGCCAAGGGAGCGATGGAGCCGAGTGAGGCGTATGAGAAGGCTGTTGGTCAGGGAGCTCGGAGGTTGTTGTTCGATATGCTGTACAAACAGGGCGACATCACCGATCCACACTGTCGTCCCCCGCTCGTCAACCTCTTCCACGCCTTCTACGTCCGCCACGACTTCAAATCCGGGTATACCACATCCTGGGGCTCCCCAGATACGATCGACAAATTATTGCTCTGTACGATGGTCATCAGGGCAGACTACGGCGGCGGCGAAGCACAAGATGTTGAAGGCTCCCTCGCATTCCCCGTCCTCGCCCACCTCGAATCCTCCGGCGCAGCCTGGGCAAAATACGGTCTCTACACACCTCAACCCAAGTCCAACCGTACCGGTCCCATCAACACCTCCTCCGACACCTCCCACAACTACGCCGATACTTCTCCCGACCACCAATTCCTCGCCATTCTCGGCGTCTTCCCCGAACCCCTCGTCGAGCGTCTCAAAACCCACGCAGCGCGCGAAGGCTACGTGAAGCATATCTGGGCCGAGCCATATGACCCCCCGATTGTGGGGTATGGGGGACCGGTGTACATGCCGCTTGGGTATTATGGGGGATTTGGCTATCCGTATGGGTATGGGATGGGATTCGGGGCGCCGTTGTTAGGGTTTGGGTTGGGTGCCGGCATGGGGATGGGGTTGGGGGGGTTCGTGGGATGTTGAATCAAAGGCTGATGGGTGTATGATGGATTAACGGAGGAGGAAGGATCAACGAGGAGACCGGATGCAGTGATCGATTGAATGATCGAGAAGTATCTTAGGATCATATGATACCAAGTAATACCGAGACGGAATATGATTCCACGGGCGTTCACGCGATTTTCGACGGCTTCCGAGCAGTGCTGACGGGTTTCCCACGCTTTTCCGCCGTCAAAATCGTGTTCAGCCCCTAAAGCCAGAGACGAATCCCTTCAGAGCCTTCGTAGCATGATTGGCCTTGAACGCTTGTCTGGGCATTTCTTCTTCCAAGGCAAACATCCCGTACATCAAAGGACGGTCATTGCCGAAACCCGCGCACCCACCAGAGCCGGTCCCGTACCCCTGCAGCCCCAAAAGCACGGCGAGTTCGTACGCGCTGTAAATCCAATTCAACTCCATTTTCGCGTCAACGAACAACATCCGCCCCCTATTCACCTGCTCTTCAACACCGTTGTTGTGGGTTGGATCAAGGCCATTTCTGACTACTCAGACTCGTTTCTGGAAGCATACAGGTCTCGGTTCTAGCGGTGATCTCCGATTTTCCCAGGTTCTCGGACCCACGCCTCCATCAAAACACATACCCCTCCCACCGCGATGGAAGGCTCCCAAAGAAATGCCGAACTTGCTGCGAAAATGGAAGCATCATACAAGACTGCTAAACGTCGTGCGACCAACACTCCACCCAACAAACGTGCCAGAACCAGCGATGGCGGATCAGCGCCGATGTCCATGGTTGTTAGTCCGCCACGGAGTAGGAATGAGGTTGTACAGCCAAAGACAGCACCGCAGGCGCTGCCGGCGCCGCCGAAGCCGTTGTTTAAGACATTGCCGAGTGGGATGATTACGGTGGATCACGAGGCGCTTGCGCAGAAGCAGAGGCCGCCTGTTATTGTCAACGCGTCGCCGATCCCGCAACAGTCACCCGCAATCGGCGCGATGAGGCCCTCTGCATCGATGGCCAACCTATACAATCAGCCCCAGCCGGTGGTAGCGGCTACGCCGGAAGTCGTTGCGAGAGATACGAAGACTTGCCATCAATGCCGTCAACAGTTCCCACTCGACGCGACCCTCCAGTGCACCCGCCTCAAACAACGCGCCCGTACCTCACCCCTAATCCGCTGTACAATCACCTATTGCCCAAAATGCCTCCTCAACCGCTACGACATCGATGCCACAGCCCTCATCGCGCGTGGCCGCACCCCGGGCGACACCGAAGGCAACAAACACGTCGGGGAAGATCAGTCGGTGTATTTTTTTGAATGTATGGTGTGTGCGGATCAATGCAACTGCTCGACATGTAGGAAGAAGAAGGGGCTACCCCCGCTTGGACAGCTGACGCAGGGGAAGGTCAAGCTGGCGGAGATGGGGAGGCAGAGGAGTCAAGGAGTTTACGAGCCTGCACCCGTGATTCGGGTTCCGGTCAGTGGTGCGCGGTCTCAGAGTACGGTTGAACGCATACAGACTATTCGGGCGAACTTGCCTGTTGCGAGTGGAGATATGAGTATGGAGGGGAGTGAGGCGGGGGATGGGACGCCGGGTGTGCCGGGGAGTGCGGCGGGCAGTGTACATGGCGGTGAACTGGCGAGGGAGAAGCTGAAACCGGGGAGGAAGAAGGCGATATTTACGCAGCCAGAATGGAAGGTCGTCGATACGAGTGGAATGACCGACAAGGCTTTGTGGGGACGGTTGCAGATCAGGGAGTTTGTTCTGCGGTTCCAGGATCGGTTGAGGTTACCGCCGTTGCATTTCAAGAATTTGAATCAGTTGGAGATGGTTCCGGCAACGGAGAAGGCGCTTGTGGTTGGCTTCATGAAGGCGTTGCATGATGATGACAATATCACGCCGGAGTCTCCGTTGACCGAGAACGTTGTGATGTACTATTTGAGGAAAGCAGAGAAGGTACGGACGAACAAAGATCCTAACAGCACGGAGTTATGGGAGGTCGTGCGGGAGTTGCTCGATCAAGTCGTCCACATCGATGAATGGAGCGGAGAATGGGACGAGGAGGAGGGTGTACCAGACGATGAAAAGATGTGGTACCTCCTCGCCATAATGGACCTCGTTAACGCCACCTCTCTTATCAAAGAAGAATGCGACGAAGCAATCGACGAAACGATGAAAGCCATCCGCGCCGACTGCCGAGCGAAGGTTCAACAAGCCTCCGCAGAGTTCCAGGCAAAGAAGGCGGAGTTGATGGCACAGCGTGATCCTTTGCAACTCATCGAGAAACCCGATAAAGAAACGAAGGAGAAGATCCAGGCGTTGACAAGTGCGATGACCGCGTTGGGGAAGGAGAATCGCGAGAAACAAGCGGCGGCGGAGTTGGGGGCGTGGTTGGCTGAGCGACGTGTCAGCCCGAGACTTGAGCCGTTGGGGAAGGATTTTGGTGGTTATACGTATTGGTGTTTTAACCAGCGGGCTAACGATGAGACGCGTGGATGGGGATGTGGACTTTATCGTCGGAAGGAGGGTGAGGAGACATGGTGGAAGATTGAATCACCCGCGAAACTGGACCAACTTTGGCGTTGGTTCGAACAAGAAACAGCTGAGCGGTTCCCCTCTTCGACTGTGTCTGCTACGCCGGCACTAACAAAGGCTGCAGTACCTCAAAAGACGAGTGCGGAGCGGTATGCAGAGTTGATGAAACAACAGATGATGCCGCAGAGGGGTGCGATGCGGGTCGTTATCGGTGCTGGACCCGGTAGCCCCGCGACGAATGCTGGCCCGAGGACGGCGCAGGCGGGGCAGTTGGTTACGTTGCCGATTCAGCATATGCCTAAGACACAGGAAGCACCGAAGGGGGAGGATGTGGAGATGACGGATGTTCGTTTGCCTGCTGATTTCGATGAGGTAGGTGGGGATGTTAATATGGAGAATGGTGCACAGGAAGGAGGAGATGAGGAAGGGAAGGTTGAGATGGGGCTTACGGCGAGTGATATGAAGGATTTTTGTGCGGAGATCAAGAAGGTTGCGGAGTTTGTAAGGGATACATGGGGGGAGGAGGATCCGGATGCTGAAGCCGCAGCAGCTGTCGAGGAACAACAGGCCTAGGTATGAGATGAGATGAGTGGTCATATGCAATGGGGAGTAGGTGCATAAAGAGTTTTGATTGTCTTTTGAATGGATACCTAAGTTAAGGGAGTATACCACGAGGACGAGAAGGGGCAGGCGTCGGCTATAGGGCATAACTGTTACGTGAGAGAATTAATATGCATATTGGTTTGATATACAGAGTCTCGACGTCACTCGACTTTACGTACATTTAAGGACGAACATAGGCATTTCTCAACTCCCTTCATGACGACATAGCCTTCCATGCATATGTCTCTCCCACCCTACGGTAACCCTCTTCTCTCCCTAACCTTTCTTGCATTTTATTTTCGGTCAGTTTGGCCGGCGCGTAATTAGGCTCACCCCCAGGGCTTGGAATGAGGCGCGCGCTGCAGCTGATTGGGGCGTGACCGGATCAGTGAGTGGGTGATGGCGAAAGAGCTGGAAAGCGTCGGTTTTTGAGTAGAGATCAGCATGGGAAAAGGACTCACGGTGAGGAAAGCTTCCAATGTTAGCGTCCCTAATCTCAAGGGATCGACAGGAAGCCGAGATTGGGAGGGTGTACACGGACGTGAAGACGTGAGTGATCCAGTGGACGAGACAGAGGAAGTTCAGCGCGACTGTAGCATGCCATACGGTGCCATCTTCCAAGAATAGATCCTGCACCCCCAAATGGAAGCGTCACCTTCCCATCGGAGCAGCAGTCAGAATCCCGATCTTACCTTTGCGCCACGCTCCGACTGGACTAGCACCACTGACGTTTAGGCGAAAGTGCGCAGATACCAAATCTGCCAACCTAAGAGCCGGCCGTATAGGAGGGGGAACAACCTGGAACTGGCCAGCTGCTCCAACGAACTACGACGACTCTTGCAACGTTCAGCTCGGCTTCAGCTTCAGGTCGTGCTGCCTTCGACATAGAAGATCACATTTCATTACCGGTTCCTCGGCATCAGCCCTCTTTCACGTGGACCAAACGGATCGTGCACCGTCCATACGCTCACACGTCCGCCTGACCAACCATACAACCCGCGACTCGACCGAACCTTAAACCAAAAAAAAACGCTCGTTCAAGCAGACCGATTTGATGAGTGCCTGAGCAGGTGGACGGCCCGTTCCATCTGTTTCTCGCGAACCCTTCTTCATTTCATTTAGCACAGCATACATTCACATCAAGTATGAGTACAGCACCGACGACTACGACGACCGCTGCGATCTCGCCCCTTCACCTCGATCTACCTTCTCCCACTCTCTCGATTCCGTATTCTGCACTTCATACGCCGGTTATGACGCCGTATGCTTTGAACGACCTTCCGGTCCCGCCCTTGGATCAGTCGGATGGGACGTCGAGTTCGGGAGAGTCCATGAGGACGAGCGGAGAGTTGACCCTGGGAGGAGATCTCGCCATCGGCAGTGATAATACGCTCGTACAAGACGAGCCTGACCCCGTAGAAGAAAACGAGAGCCTACTTCCCACCAAAGTCGCGGGGATCCCGACGCCATTCAGAGAGTTACCTCTCAGTCCGCCAAACTCGTCACCGCCGGCTACAGTGAAGAAGGTCAGTGGCGGAGTCATTCCGCAACCGACACTTTTACGACGCGTTTCGAGTGCATTTAATCTGAATTATACTTCGCCTACACGTCGTCGACAGCGTACAGCATCTGCCGAGGGTGGGAACTTGCCTGAGGCGCTGGCGCCGACTGCACGACCATCACCGAGACGCTCACAGACAAACATTTTGGACGAAACCAGCCCGACAAAGCCTGGTAGGTCCATCAGGAGAGCCAGTGGTTTCTTTATGTCTCGTGATATTAGCCCGAGCCGACGAGGAAGCACAGGATGGTTCTCAAGCAACAGCAACAGCACAAACACAACTGCACCTACGAGTATCGTGCCTTCTCCTGTTGCGACCAGGGATGTCAGTAGGGATGTGTCTCCAGTTCGTGACAAGAAGACGAAGAAGCCCGCTTGGGGATTCGGACTCATGATGACGAAGATGGAGTCTGCTCCGGTGACCTCTGGGAAAGTTGAAACGCCTGGTGGAGTAGACATGAGGAGGGCGAAAACCGAGAAGGTTGAGAAAGTATCGAAGAAAAAGGAAAAGGAGAGGCCAAAGGTGGCCAAAGCTAAAACCATGACGACTCCCGCCGAAGCCGCCAAGGAGAAAGAGAAGGAAATTGAGAAAGCGAGGGATGAGGAAGTTCCGAAGTTGGAGGAACGACCGGCATTCTCGAGGAGCGCGACGTTGAGGAGGAGTTTCTCTGGATTCTTCGGAAATACGGGTCAAGCGGCCGAGGCGAAGAAGCGTCGCAGTGTTGGCTTAAAGATCGACACCGGCCTTAGTACCACCCCCGAGCGATGGCCTGGCTTTGCCGAAGGAGCGAGGTCGGCTCCCCTTTCGATGGGCCCCGTAACGCCACAGTACGAACTCGATGAAGACGAAGATGACGACACCATCGTCCTAGAATGTGATGCCTGTCTTTTGAGCGCCAAGCCCAAGTTCGCCGCCCGCGAATTCGTTGCTTCCGAGAGGCATTATCTTCGGGGTTTAATCATGCTCCACTCAATCATCTCCAACTCTAAGGACGCGAGCGACCGCGAACACGCCACACATATCCTGAACTGTATCACGTCTTCACGCAAGCTTCTGGGATTGATCAAGTTAAGGCAGAGGGCGAATCCCGATGGACTCAAGACTGCGATTTGCGAGAGCTTGTGTGAGTGTGAGGAGCAGTTGATGTCGCACTTCCAGGCGTATGTTCGATGGTATGCTCGTACGACCAAGGGTGGGTTGAGGGGCGGACAGAGAAGGTGGAGCTCGACTTGGTCGTCCGCATCTTCCGCCCGGCCTAACTTTCGCACGCCGGGTAATTCACCGGACAAGACCCCCGGTTCGGGTGAAGTCAGCGTTGAGAGGACCCTCAGCGACAAACAACGCGAACGTAAAGAAAAGAGGGTGAAAGAGATGGAGAGGCTTACTGTTGCAGACTTCTGCGTGAGTCCTGTGCAGAGGGTCGGCAGGTACTCCTTGCTTCTTCAGGAGATGAGGAAGAAGTTTGAGGAGACGGAGGAGGAAACAGGAATGTTTGAGAAGGCCTTGGAGACTGCTGAGCATCTCGCCGGAGCCTCAGACGTGGCTGCCGCGTTCGGCGCCTTGAAGAAATGAAAGCTAGAAGTCGAAATCTAGGGGGAGCATATATTCATCGGAGGAGGAGGATGACGAGCAAAACTATGTCGGGAGTGAATGTGAATCATAGAGGATATACGGGCTATGCATGTTAGTTTTGATCTTTTGTGGGGGCGTTATTCTGTTTTGCGCTATGCGTTCTTGGATGTGTTACTGGGATTTTATGTCGGCGTTGGGGCATTTCTAGGAATTATTAGATAGGAGGTGGTTGTAGGTAATGTGATTCTATTTTTTCTGTGTGATGATGTCTGTATTTCATCTGGGTTCATACTGCTGTAGGAAAATCATCTGGCGTCTGGTTTGTCTTGTATACTCCCGGGAATCCGGGTACAGGTAGTTGATCTAGCCATAGCTATAAAACTACAGAACATCGAGAGATTGGCCACAAGAACACGTATCGCTCGATGATTTGACCGAAATGGAAGGACTCTGTCAAGCATCTCATTAACTACTAGCTCGCGGCATCTTGGGCGCAGCAGCTTTAGGTGTCTCCCATGGATTTGTCGAGGCACTATATTCCCACGTCTGAGCTTCACTTGCAAGGCCGGGCAAGTCTTTTGCACTCTTGAAATGGGTATCATGACAGTCATAAACGCAGTCAATTGGTACAGACCAGAGTTTCAACAGCTGTTTGGGTCATAGCGAACCCATGAGAAATCGTCATGGAACTCCCAGCTATGTATTTGGATCTTTTTTTGGTATCGGGCGATCGGGTTCGAGGATATCGATATCGATGTCGCAACATGCCCGATCATGAAATTTATTAAAGTCGCCCTCAAGTTTCCCTTTCATACCGTTCCATAGCTCCATTGCGATCAAGACCTGGACGACTTCTATTCATAGAGACAAAACCTGCCGAACTTCTTGAAGTCTCTGGTTCTCTAATTGCCCAACAAATCTATTTTTAGCAGTCTTAACCTTGGTTACCTTGGCAATTCGACTTTGCCTCTACTAACGCATCTCGCCGCAGACCCCGTGCTTATTGTGCGTAGGAGGTCGTTAAGCCACCTTCAGAAGCTGCAGAAAAACGAGGCCCAACCATACACCGTCCATAAACCCGCACGAACGTAGACGACGAAGACCGTAAAGAATCCTCTCGTTTCTTGGTCGAAGCGTTGCGTAGTCGTTATCACTTTCTTTCCTCCAGTTGCAGCTATCGATTTGCCGCTTCCGGAAGTGTTTGTTTACATCGCCTTTCTTTTTCCCGGCAGCGCCGGCATATAACCTCAACGTCTGACAACGACCGACAAACAGAACGATCGTTACAATGAATCCTATGAACAGGTCGGTCTCCGATCTCGAGATGATGGGCGGTACAGCCGGTGCCTCAACCTCTCTGGCTCGCTCCGGCTCTGGCATCAACCGCAAGAAGTCGCTCGTGCGGCCAGAACGTAACAGAGTCGACCCAGACCATCCCAACTACCAGTATCGTCAGCATGTACTTGCAACAAATGCGACAGTTATGCCTTCAGCAACAGGTGAAGTCCCAAGAGGCCCCATGACCGAGTTTGGAGAGAGCGAGTTCGACGCGGAGAGTACGAGCGACGGAATGGCAGCGGCGCTTGGTAAGGGAAGGGCTGCGCCAGTTAACGGCGGTAACGTGGCAGGAAAGATGAAGGGGAAAAGAGGTACAAAGTACTTTCGCAGGGATAACGAGACCGAGGCAAGTTTTTGGGCGGTATACTGTTCGTTGGTGACGTGTTGGATTCCCGGCACGGTACTTCGGTGGTGTGGTATACCCGGAAAACAGCAGCAAATGGCATGGAGAGAAAAGATTGGATTGATTTCGTGTATCTTGGCGATTGCCGCCATTGTCGGTTATCTTACCTTTGGTTTCACGGCGACCGTCTGTGGGTCACCTCGCCCCACTTATCGCATCAACGAAGTCAACACTGGTATGCTCATTATCCACGGCCGCGCATACGATCTTTCTCAGTCGACGCATCCTGCTTTCCAGGGTAACCCTACCGGCGCCAACGTTCTGTTCAACCCTGTCAATGCTGGTGGTCAAGATGCTAGCTTCTTGTTCCAGAACGTCAACCACAAGTGCAAGGGTCTGATCACCAAGGTTTCCGGCTCTAGCATTCCTGAAGACTCCGATGGCAACTTGGGTTGGTATATGCCTTGTCACCTCCGCAACCAGGATGGATCAACGGCGGCGAACTTTACCTATGAGCATTACACTGGATACTCTTGTCACACCTCGACCAATGCTCGCGATGCGTACTACAACCTCGACGTCGGCGGGGATGTTTACTTCACTTGGGACGATGTCAAGAACTCCTCTAGGAACTTGATGGTCTACTCTGGAGATGTTATCGACTTGGATCTCATCTCATGGCTTCCTGCTGACAATGTTACGTACCCCTCTGTTTTCGATGAATTGAAGAACGGCACCCTGAACGACAGATACCGCGGTGTTGACGTTACGCACGCTTTCTTGAAGACCGGCCAGAAGCACATCGGTGAATGTTTGAGCGATATCGCAAAGGTTGGTATGGTTGACTCTATCACTGTTGGTTGCATGGCTTCCAAGGTCGTCTTGTACGTCTCCCTTGTCTTCATCTTGGCTGTTGTCGCTGTTAAGTTCGTGTTGGCCTTGATCTTCGGATGGTTCCTCAGTCGCAGACTCGGGAATAACATGGCTAACATGACCAAGGAACAGCTCGAGGCGAGAAGGTTGGAGATTGAGGAGTGGTCAGACGATATCTACCGTCCTGCGGCTGATGCTAACTTGCCTAACGTCATCGCTACTGGAGCTGCGGCTGTCAACAATGGTCGTCGTGCGTCTTTCTTGCCCACCAGCTCGAGGTTCGGTAACAGAGCTTCCTCCATTGCTCGTCCTGCTACCAGTGGTACTGCGTCCAACAAGAAGCAGCCGATCACCATGGCCATCCAACAACAGAACCAGCGTCTTACCATGAACAATCAGAGTCGCGCGTCCCTCCTGGATCCCTCTTTCTTGCAGTCTACCACCAGTTTCGGAACTGGTGCCAGCGCATTCGATGTTGATGCCGCGCCTGGGCCTGCTGGGTTCGTGCACGAAGCTGTCGTTCCTCAGCCTCCGATTGAGTACCAACCTTTCAATTTCCCGCTTGCTCACACCATCTGTCTCGTCACTGCTTACTCCGAATCCGCCGAGGGTATCCGCTCCACCTGTGACTCTCTCGCCACTACCGATTACCCCAACTCACACAAGCTCTTGCTCATTATTTGTGATGGTCTCATCAAGGGTTCTGGTAACGATTTGACTACGCCCGATATCTGTTTGGCTATGATGAAGGACTTTGCTGTTCAGCCTGAGGAGGTCGAGGCTCACTCGTATGTCGCTATCGCGAACGGTGAGAAGAGGCACAACATGGCCAAAGTCTATGCCGGTTTCTACGACTACGATGACAGCACAGTCGATTCCTCCAAGCAGCAGCGTGTTCCGATGATTCTTGTCGTCAAGAGTGGTACTCCTGCTGAGGCCACCGCCGGGAAGCCGGGTAACCGTGGTAAGCGTGATTCTCAGGTCATCCTTATGAGTTTCTTGCAGAAGGTCATGTTCGATGAGCGTATGACAGAGCTCGAGTATGAAATGTTCAACGGGATCTGGAAGGTGACCGGTATTTCACCTGACCTTTACGAGATTGTTCTCATGGTGGATGCGGATACCAAGGTCTTCCCTGATTCTTTGACTCACATGGTTTCCACTATGGTCCGTGATCCTGAGGTTATGGGATTGTGCGGTGAGACCAAGATTGCCAACAAGACGCAGTCCTGGGTTACTGCCATCCAGGTCTTCGAGTACTACATTTCTCACCACTTGTCCAAGTCTTTCGAGGCTGTTTTCGGTATGGTCACCTGTTTACCCGGATGTTTCTGTATGTACCGTATCAAAGCCCCTAAGGGTCCTGCCGGTTACTGGGTTCCTATCTTGAACAACCCCGATATCGTTGCTCACTACTCCGAAAACGTTGTCGAAACCCTTCACCAGAAGAACTTGCTTCTTCTCGGAGAAGACCGGTTCTTGTCGACTCTTATGCTCAAGACCTTCCCGAAGAGGAAGATGATGTTCGTTCCGGCTGCTGTCTGTAAGACGGTTGTTCCTGATGAGTTCAAGGTTTTGTTGTCTCAGCGTCGTCGTTGGATTAACTCTACCGTGCACAACTTGATGGAGTTGGTCTTGGTCAAGGATCTTTGTGGTACTTTCTGCTTCTCTATGCAATTTGTTGTGTTCATCGAGTTGGTCGGGACGCTTGTCTTGCCGGCTGCTTTGGCTTTCACTTTGTACGTCGTTATCATCGCTATTGTCGCGAAGCCAGTACCCATTATTCCTCTTGTGCTTCTCGCACTGGTTCTTGGCCTGCCGGCTGTCTTGATTGTTTTAACTGCCAAGCGTGCTTCTTACATCTTGTGGATGTTGATCTACTTGATCTCCCTCCCCGTCTGGAATTTGGTGTTGCCATCATGGGCATTCTGGCATTTCGATGATTTCTCTTGGGGAGAAACTCGCAAGGTCATCGGTGAGGTCAAGGGTGAAGACCACGGTGGCAAGGAGGGAGAGTTCAACAGTGACATGATTGTCATGAAGAGATGGGGGGATTTCGAACGCGACAGGAGAAAGATGATGAGCCCCGGATCTGCCCCCTCCCCACAAGGCGGCAACGGATATTTGTCGCCAGTGAGCGAGAGTGTACTCGGTAACAGCAAGCAGTACGATTCATTCCAGCAGATGGATCTAGGATTGGGAGAGAATGGCTCTTCGGAGGATTATGCTACGGCTAAGTAAACGCCGCCGCTTAGGAAGGATGTTTCTTGTATCGATGTTATTGGTCTATATATGCAAGAGAGACTCTCAGATTATTACTATCCTAGTAGCTGAATAATATAGAGCTCTATCATCATAACTGACCTATTCTTCGCACGGACTTCAGACCATCGGCAGGTGCAACGGCTCCGGCTACCGGCAGCAGCGCTAGCAGCCGCACCCCGGATTCTTGGCAGCTCGTACAAATAACAGTCACCGCCAGAAGTCCAAATAGGTTGATCCTCGATCAGTTCTTTCATACACAGAATGTCTTCTAAGATTGGATTCATCGGCCTTGGCGCAATGGGCGTCTGTATGGCCGGCAACCTTATTTCTCACCACGGATCGTTGAATATTTACAATCGCACGTCCTCTAAAGCGGATGCCTTCAAAGCCTCGAACCAAAACGCAAAGGTCCACAACTCCGTTTCATCCCTCGTTGCAGCGAGTGATATCATCTTCAACTCCACCGCAAACGACGAAGCTGCTCTGAGTATCTTCAGAGAGATCACATCCAATGGAAGTGGAGAGGGAAGGGTCGTGGTTGATATGTCTACGCTATATCCGGATACTACTGCGGATTTGGAGCGTATGGTGAAGGCATGGGGTGGGAAGTTTTGCTGTGTACCGGTTATGGGGGCTCCGCACGCCGCAAAGACAGCGGGGTTGATTGCTATCATTTCTGGGGCTGACGCCGAGACGCGTGAGCAGTTGGACAAAGTTATCGTTCCAGCTATCGCGAAGGCTAGTGTCGATGTTGGGGATGCAGTGCGTACTGGTGCAACGCTCAAGCTGTTGGGTAATTTCCTCGTCGTCGGGATCATCGAGCTCTTAGCTGAGGCCATGACTTTGGCAACGAAAACCGGGGTCCCGAGGTCTACATTTTACGAGATGATCAAACTTTTCCTCCCTGCGCCCTCGTTTATTGGCTACAGCCGTACTACCTCTGAGATGTCATTCACGCCTACAACCGGCCTCAATATCCCACTTGGCCAGAAGGACGTTGGCCACATCTCTCGATTGGCGGACGAGCACGGCGTCGAGGCACCGAGTTTGCGTGCCGCAAAGAGGCATCTGGATATTGCTCAGGAGGAGGCTGGAGAGAGAGCTGGTGAGGTAGACTGGAGTAGTTTGGTTGTTGGCGCCAGGAAGTTGGCTGGGCTTGGTGTGTGGGGGGATGAGGAGAAGAAGTAGCAGGTCAAGGAGAAGTTACAATGGGGATACCAAGGATATCTCTTGACATATCAAACAGCAGAGCTAAGATTAAAGCAAAGTACATCATCAAACCGTATTCGTACAAACACAACGTCCATAGGTATACAGGTATCGCATCGCATACCTCCTTTCCCCCACACAATTTCTTTACTTGTTAGGCTCCCCGGGCGTCTCCTTCTCCTCCGTACTTCCCGTAGTCGGCAACCCCAACGCAACCTTGAACGAATCATAAATCAACCACTGCAACCCCGTCAAAGTTCCAATCATCAAGATCCTGACAGGAAGTCCATTCCACAACCCCCCAAACCCGATCTCGCCATAAATCCTCTTGATCGCCGCACCAGCGCCCTCAGATGCGTTCTTGTTTGCGTTCATCTTGGACACCATGACGTCGGCAGGGTGGGAGATGAGTGCACAGAGGATACCGGCGATGTAACCGCCGAGGAAAGAGACACCCGTTTGAGTGAGCTTGGAGTACTCTGACTTCTTCTTCGGGAGTCGGTTGTATATGGCCTCAACCGTACGCTCGAAGGACGCGAATTTCATCATGGTGTACGGGATTTGACGAGCCCAGAGCGGGGAAAGACCCTTATAGAGTCCACCAAGCCCCTCCGCACCCGTGATCTTTCCCCAACCCTCCCTCGTCGTCCTAGCAAACGGCGGAATACTAGTCTGCATCCTAACCTTAATGGCCTCCCACGGACACAACAACACATCCGCAATAACCTCCGCACTCGCCGAAGCAGCAAGGTAGACAAACGTACGATACTTAACCGCAGAATCAGGACCGAGGGCATCGGCGTACGTCTTCTTAAAGAGCTCATAGAACCCGTATTTACCGGCTCCTTGGAAGGAGTACCCTATGAAGGTGGGTTGGTAGCCGGTGAAGATTCCACGCATGCCTTCGGCGCGGTAAATGTTGCGCCAGGCTTCCATGTTGGATTTGTAGAGGGAGGCGTCGACCTGTAAGTTGGATTGTCAGTCACTGTTTAAGGTAGAGGTGGAACGATATCTAACGTACCTGACGACGACATTTGACGAGATCCAAGGGCGTGACTAAGGTGTGCGTGGTACCACAGGCGAGGATACCACCGACCATACAAGCAGTGTAGTACTGTCCCGAGTACAACTCAATTCCCTTCTTGGGGACGACGTTAGCCTTTACAGCACGTTCAGTCGCCGCGAAACGATCTGTGAACAAGTACTCGTCAGCATCATCAGTCGACAGTTTCCAATGTACCGTGTGCACCTTTAGCATCCGCGGTCAGATCATTCGCGCGAATCTTCGCATCTTCCTTCACCGCTGTCGCCTTGCTCTTGGCATCTTCAATTACAGAGGGGATCCAGTACTTGTCCTGAGCTGGAAAGGCCATAGAAGCTGGCTTGGCGGGCGTGGGATCGGACAGAACCGCGCTCGCTGAGGAGCCAAAGAGGGAATCGAAGAGAAGCATTGGTGATGATCCTCAGAGCAATTGGACTGTTGGTGAATGATGAATTGAGTAAGAGTTGTTGGGCGGGCCTTAAGTACAGCGCTGGACTCAGCTCGGAACCCCGGTGCCGTCCCGAGCACAAGTACGGTATCTGAGGCATGACGTCACTTGCACTTGCACGCCAATATTGCCATCTGTGAAGAGCCGGAGAGTGGAAGTGAATGTCGGGAGGGCTTGGAACTGACTTTGTGCCTTTCCTCATGCTTCATCTTGTGTCGACGTCGTTGGCAGCTCCTGGGGTTCCATGGGTCAAACAATCGCACTCATCACGATAAGACCGTGCAAAAGGCAAAAGAAGCCGACGTCGAGCGGGTTCGTCAGTTCAAGTACATTCTATAGTGCATTTATGTACAGATTCTGGAATGGGTCTTGAAAGATTTTCCGGAGCTGAACACAATTGCACGCTCATCTCATCTGGAGAAGCCACAGCATCTCGACCAACGTCCCGCACCTGCGATGGCGCTATTGGAATGGAATTGGAACGGAATAGGAATGGAATAGATGTCAACTCCAGCTTCCTTCGGCCTCTGTGTCTCGTGCACAGCCCCCCACACGCCGGGTGTCTGTAGCCGACACGTCCCCCCGCAATCTCGCGCATCACACCCCGAATGCAACCATCCTACCGTCAGATGCCAATTCCCCAAACCCCGACCCCCCGTCACCTGAGCTCGCCTACTTCCGCAATGACTTCTCTAAATCTTCATATAAAGAGGCCCTCCCTCCATGGCCTCCCTCCCTTGTAAATGTCAACGGATCATCGCTCCCATTCTATCGCAAGTACAGCAGTAAACGGAACCGGAGAGATGTCGACCCTCAACACAATCGCACCCGTCCAGACTGGCGGCACCGAGAAGTCCTCTGGTTCGGAGCCTATGGGCCATGACCACTTCAATGGTGCCAAAGCCCAGTACCTCCCCGACGAGACCATCCGTCGCGGTCAAGTCCCAAACATGCAATACCCCCACAACCCCGACGACCCCATGGGCGGTCCACTCTCCCTCCACCCCTCCATCGTCGACGGCGTCCATTACCCCCGTGGTGCAGACTACGAGGCCCAGTACTTCGACGCCTCCGGAAAGCCCAACTTCAAGATGCTCTCCCGTATCGGAAACCCCACTCCCCTCGGCCTCGTCTCATTCTCCGCCACCCTCGGTGCAGCCTCCTGGGCAATCATGGGATGGCAAGGAACGAGTGGTGCGACCATGCAAGCACTCGCCGGCGAATTCCTCTTCTTCCCTGGTCTTTGTTTGATTATTTGTGCGCAGTGGGAGTTGGTCTTGGGTAACTCTTTCGCATTCACGGTCTTTGGCGCCTTCGGTGCGTACTGGATCGCGCTTGGGTACATCTTGGTTCCGGGTTACAATGTTGCTGGGTCTTATGTTACGAATGGTGTCGCTTCCCCAGAACTCAACAAACTACTGGGTTTCTTCCAAGCCTCGTACGCCGCTGTCAACTTCTTCTTCTGTGTTGGCTCCCTTCGTACGAACATTCCGTTCATGTGGGTCTTCTGGAACTTGGAGATTGCGTTGATCTTGTTGAGTATCGCCTACATGAAGGACATGTCCCCCGAAGCAGCTCATCGCGTTACTGTCGCTGGTGGTGCTTTTGCGTTCATCTGTACCTTTGGAGGATGGTATCTCTTCTTGATTGAGATGTTGAGTATGCAAGGGTTCTCGGTGAAGTTGCCTGTTGGTGACATGAGCAGGTTCTGGAAGAAGTCGGAAGACAAGACGGAGTAAACTGTGGTTTCAAGTCTGGGAGTTACGTTGTGTTATTACGATGTCGAGGAACTGAGAGGATACGAGTGTATGATATTGCCGGAGAGTTTGGAGACGGAGATGCACCGAGTGCAACTGCCATTTGATACCCTTGACCCTTAGCTATACCTGCTACGCATACGGTCGCTTACTCTATTATGGAGGATTAGTTTTATTTTTGTGTATTGTAATGTTGAAGCCCTCGGGATCAAGCTTATCCGTATGACGATTTTGAGAGAGGCAAGATTACATGATCAGGACCCTGGCAGCATTACCTAACCAAGAAGAGGTAACCCCAAGCTCCTCCAATGATCAGCCTTGCTGGATTTCCATATTGCGTGTGCAAATCCCTCCCAGGTGTAGTAGTAATAGTAGTAGTATTGAAACCGGATTTTGCCCTGAGGCAATCCAGTACGGCAAGCGTAGGTACTCAAACTAAGGTAACATGTGCAAAGCGGCCGAATTCGGTCAGAACCTGAGAGTCAGTAGCTGACAGAAACGCACCCAATAATCCCGCAGAAGAAGGCGAAGGGCTACACCAGTCATCATGAAACCTAGCCAGACAATTTGACCACCATTTAGACACCCCCTGACACGGTCGAACATGGCGTGGCGTTCATTGCGGAAGCGAGGGCAACCAATCAGTGCATGCTCTTCAGTCTCGACCACTGCAACTCCATCGGCGGAACGGTGAGGACAGAACCTATGCTCTGCAGGACTACCATTGATCCGGCCAGACTCATTCATGATCTTGTGAGCTGAGTGGCGCAACCGACCAATACACCGAGCGACCTTGAATGACTGAGACAGGTATGGTTGTCGGCGCAGACACTTTGTATGTGAAGAAGGTAGCAGCGGAAGAGACGTAAAGTGACTGCATTGTTGAAGCCGCGCAAAAGAGATCCGCGAAGGGTTTGTTGAGCCCGTAAGAGGTGGCGCAGACAGGTCGAGAGCAATGCCAATCTTCTCACAAGCAGCTGAGAGCCTCGCATACCACGTCTTACCAGCGCCAGGCTTCCTACAGTTAGCCATCACAGCTGACGCCATCAGAGCCGTATGAACCAGACGATCAGGACTCACACCACGAGCATAGTCATAGAACCGAGCGGTTAGGTGCACCAGACGCGCAGAAAATGCTATTTCTCCAGAGTCAAAGTACAGTGCTTCGTTATTGGTGGAGCAATGTAACCCAAGCGCCCAGCGCAGGACCTGCCGGTGGAAACTATCGAACCTCTTTGCAGTAGCCGCATCCATGTCGAATCAGGTGTGCAAGAAGAATGCAATCTCACCGGCACCGCGCGGACCCACTATTGACGCTAGGCGCGGCGCCGGCGATATTTTCCCTGGCCATGGCCGAATAAGGTTCGCACGAGCACAGCTCGGCCCAATTTTGCGGTAACAAGTCTCGTACACGGAATATGCCACACAACGGTCATTAAACCTAGACTGTACCACGATTCGTTGTCAAACTGACAAGGGCCTCGAGGACAATCCTCCTACCCGGTCTAGATCTTGCATCGGCGGCGGGGCCGACTGAGGGTTGACACATTCGTGTTCCGTGCATTGGAGGAGAAAAGCGGAGACAAGAGGAGGGAACCTATCAGGGTCCTAGGAGTAACGTCGGAACCTTAAGACGTGTTCTAGTCAGGACTCGGCTGTACCAGGAGTGTGGTACCGACTAATTCTCGTCAAGAATTCGTTGGCGCTCTTCGAAGCCTGCAGGTGATCAAGACCGAGCTGTCGGGACGGACCGCTTTAGAATCGTTGATAGGCGTCGTCTGACCATAGAGTTGTAGGTCAAAGCTCGCCTCCTCAATGTGACTCATCGGAGAAGTATGCACTACGAGGTAAGAACAAAGCTCGACTGTCTAGGCCAGTTGTCCTACACCTCCTGGAATTTCCTCTGCGGATGATCAGTTCATGGGGGCCGCTAGCTCGAATCTCGTTCCAGGATGGGAGGAGCACATCACGCAATTTCGGAATGAGGCCGCTGTGACAGGCAGCAATCAGGCCATATGGCCGCCTCCTCCAGATCATCAGTCTCAACCGCACCTCCAAGAGACACCATTCCTCCCTACTGGCTCAACGAACTGGGCAGACCCGCAGTCGCCGTCTGTGATACCCGATTCCGCTCTTGCGCCTGAAGGTACGGACCTCATTTGCTTCGTTTCTCTGGATTCACTGGATATCTATAGCTCGGCTTGCGAGGAATAAACATATTTTCCTCACCTTCATCCGTCTCATGAACGACCCCCACTACCACGGCCTCTACCAAGAAGCAGTACACTCCCAACACAAGTCCGTCCCCTCCAATTTCCCTTCTCTCCTCTTTCTTCAACTGACCCTTTCTCTGATAGAGAACTCACCCTCAACTTCACCGGCGACGGCATCCTCCACAAAGCCCAGCTGACCCGCTACTTCCTCCACCTCTTTCCCAATCCAAACGTCCAAGTAAAGCATTGTCTCGCCGAGCAAGATGAAGTAATGGCATGGTGTGTTTATACGTTGCAAGCCCGGGGGATAGCGGGGACGGAGATGAGGTATTGTTGTCATTCGAGGGTTGTGGATGGGTTGATTCGGGAGACGAATATTATATTTGATTGGGAGCCGTTGAGGAGGGGAATGCCTGCGTGACAGGGAAGTGGTGGGCCTGAAGGGAGGACATCAATGCTTGCCCCGGGATGAGAAGTGAGAGTTCCATGGGGGAAGCCTTTGTTGAAACGATGCATGGTATTCGGCAACTTGATGTTGCCTTGGTCAAATAACTCCTAAAATGCATATGCTGGTTCTTGCTCACCGGGGTATCTCCCAGGGCAAAGTGTTCATGCTTCTTTCTCGATTCTTTCAAATTCCATTCACCCTCTTCCTCAACTCCACCCCCCTCTCATCCTTCGCCCCAAACCCAACGATTTCCGACCCAACATCAATCCCATAATCCTCCAGCGTCTCCCCTTCATCATTCACCCACCCATCTCCCGGATCCCTACTTCCTTCACTTCCTTCCTCATCCCAACTCTCATCTTCGTGTGGGTAATCGGAGTAGAAATTCTGGGATTCCCGCTGGCGTTCCCGGAAGGCGTCGAGATCTTCGGTGGGCGGCACACCATGCGTCCATGGCTTCGGCGAAAGGTGTGGGTTTGCACGTACGATATCCGGATCCGGAGGCGGCCATCCCCGTCCCGGCACCGCAAACTCATTAACCTCCCACCTCGTCCCTGTCCCCCTCCCATTCCTCCCAAACACCCACCACGCCCCCACCACCCCTCCCCCAAAAATATCCCTCAAGTTTTCAATGAAACCGAGGTCGTAGGGGAAAATTGCGTCTTCTTCTCGTAAGCGGCCACGGCGAACGTGGGATTGTAGACGTTCGAGAGACCAGGATTCGATTGTCGTTGTCCCCTCGCTCACGCACCAGAGTTGGTATATCCCCAGGATCGCGAGGCAGATAATCAGAACCAGCGCCGTCAACATCGTCAACATGAGCAACACCAACTCCGTCGCATCGACATCCGAGTAATAAAACTCATACCACAATTCCCATCCCCGCCTAAATAACAACACGAAAACTTGGATGGTGGCGGAGAGAGTATAGAGGAGGAACCGGATAAAGTGTGCATGGTTCCGGTATCCGACGCAGTTATTTATCCATGGACAGTGGTGGTCCATACGCATCACGCAGACACCGCATGTTCGACAGTGATGTGCCCGTGGTGGTTTAAAAGCTTCGCATTTCATGCAGTATCGTACCGCAGTCTCGTCCTCCACCTCTTTGGGGTTGGGTTTCCAGTCTTTTGGGGCAGTACCTGGATCTGAGGCTGCGGCTAGGATGAAGGTAAGCCATACGAGAAGGATCGAAATGTTGAGACGGAGGTAGGTGGAGCGTGGGAGGTCGAGGGAGGGAAAGACGTAAAGTTGGGGAATGTAGCCGACGAAGAAGATGAGGCAGCTCACCAGAAACAAGAAAAAGTGGCCCAGAGTGGGTGAGGGCCATCGTTGAGCGCCGGGGACGCTTGGGGAGGTCATGGTGACCGAGGGTGGGCTGGGGATGCCGAAGATGGAAAGAGTGTGTCTACGTTGCAGGGGGCACGTGATATACTGTCTATCCAGTATTATAGTAAGAGACAGCACTTTTGACATGTGGAAATTGACATAAAAAATACCCCCACCCTTTTCCCTCCTCCCTTTCGAATCATAAACTCGGCAGATCACACCCCCGGGATTGAGCGGGAGCGGATCAGATAAAGCCCACACCACCCCTCCTCTTCTAATTCGCCCACGTTGGATCCTCACGACGTAATCCCATTAACCAGCCAAGCAAGGAGCGAGTCCAACTGCAAACGTCATCGCCGGATGGACTTGGACCAAGCCCTGGCTCGTACGCCCTCGTACGGTTCGATATCGAGTACCGTCAGCAGCGATCGAGTCAGTCTTATGAGCAAGATGTCCAGGGATCCACTGCAAGAGAGTGATGATAAGAGTGTCACTGCTGTTGGGAATGAGTTGTCGAGGACTGAGACGAGGGGATCGAGGGGTGTGAGGAGAGTGTCCGGGGAGGAGACGCAGGCGGGGGTTAAGAAGGTAGAGGTGATCAACAAGTACTGGACGAAGCAGAGCCTCTGGATCGCCTACGGGTCGTACGTGAACCTTTTCCTCCCTTATGACATCTGCTAACGTGACCACAGCATCTTCCTCCTTGCCTTTATCACATCACTGGAATCCCAAACAACCTACACCTTCACCCGCATCGCAACCTCCTCCTTCTCCGCCCACTCCCTCATCTCCTCCGTCGGCGTAATCTCCAACATCCTCCTCGCCGTAATAAAACCTCCCATGGCCAAACTCTCCGACGTCTTTGGCCGCACAGAAGCCTTTGCGGTGAGTCTGATACTCTACGTCATCGGGGATGCACAAATGGCGGGGAGTGGGAGTGTTGGGACTTATGCGAGTGCTCAGTTATTTTTTACGGCGGGGGGGACGGGGATACAGATTTTGCAGCAGATTATTATTGCGGATACGTCGTCGCTGCTTAATCGTGCGCTGTTGAGTTCGATACCAGATTTTCCGTATTTGGTTACGGTGTGGATGGGGCCACCGATTGCACAGGCCTTCCTTGACCATTCCTCGTGGCGATGGGGGTATGGTGTTTGGTGTGTTATCGTTCCTGCGGTCGCTGCACCGCTTATCTTGAGTCTATGGTACAACCAACGGAAAGCCAAAAAGGATGGGATTCTCGAAGCGAGGGAATGGCGTGGTTGGAAACACCTCGCCTCAGACCTCGATCTGGTCGGCGTGCTCCTCCTCGTCACCGGCCTCACCCTCGTCTTGCTTCCGTTGACGTTAGCTGGCGGCACAAACAGCTCGTGGAACTCCCACTCCATCATCACCATGCTCGCAGTCGGCGGAATCTGCCTGGCTTTATTCATCCCATGGGAGATCTACGTCGCAAAGCACCCCTGCGTACCATTCTACATGATGCGTGACCGCACAGTCCTCGCAAGCACCTTCTCCGGCTTCTTCTTCTTCATGGCCTACTACGTCTTCAACGAATACTTCACCTCATACCTCCAAGTCGCCCGCTACGCCTCCCCCGCCGCCTCAACCCGAATCTCGGAAGTCTTCTCCTTTGCATCCACCGTCTCCTCCATCACGACCGGACTCCTCATCAAATACACCAAACGCTACAAAGTGTGGGGATGGGTTAGTATACCGATTTATTTGTTGGGGTTGGGGTTGATGGTGCATTTTCGTGGGCCGGAGAGTAGTACTGCACTTGTTGTTATGACGCAGGTGTTGACGGGGGTTGGTGGGGGGAGTTATGCTGTTGCTGCGCAGTTGGCGGTACAGGCGAATGTCAAACGTGGCGAGGTCGGGATTGCTACGGCGCTTTATTTGACGCTCACTTCTGTTGGCGGGGCCGTGGGTGCGGCGATTTCGGGGGCGATATGGACACAGCGTCTTCCCGACTATTTACGACAGGAACTCCCACTCGCATCTCTTGATGATTTGCCGAGGATTTACAACGATTTCGTTTACGCTGCTGCACTACCACGGGGGAGTGAGGCGAGGGATGGAACGATTAGAGCTTACACGAGGGTGATGAGGGATTTGACGGTCGCGAGTACGGTTTGTGCGGTGCCGATGTTGGTGTTGTGGGTGTGGGTCAGGGATTTGGGGGTTAGTCGGGAGGTGAGGGAGATGGAGGAGGGAAGGAAAAGTATGGAGGAAGGGGAGGTTGAGAGGGGGGATGAGATGGTTGTGAGCGGGAATTCGATTGTATGAGTATTTGAGTGAATGGACTGGAACGGTTATTGGATACGGGAATATTGGCGTTTTTGCTTTTTTATTGGACACTTTTTCGCGGCTTCACGCTTTACTGCTGGCATTGCAGGACGATACACGCTTTTATTACATTGACACTTCATGCTCCAAATGCAACCACATTCTCCGTAATTGAAGGAAAAAGCAATGAATGGGTAAGACGCACAGGAACTGCTTGCACTTGATTGTTATATCACTTTTGTAACGCAGGCTTTTCGTACTTGATCGTGCTTCGCTGTTTGAATCCCGCATTTGTTGTACGTGTAAATGTCGATGAACGTAAATGGCGCGATCGCTGAAATCTCGTAAACACCACAAAATCAACTCGCTTGACGAAAACGAACATCAGAATCGGTCATGGTAAAACGGTTATATTCAATGCATCCACTATCGTCCAACCCATCTTTTCCTTCATTATATTACACCCACACTCATTCCCTCTAGTTAAGAGCGGAAGCACCAGTAATAATGTCGACCAACTCGTTAGTAATGACAGCCTGTCGGGTACGGTTGTACAACAATCCAAATCTGTTAATCATGTCACCAGCGTTCTTAGACGCGTTCTCCATAGCGGTACGACGAGCAGAGATCTCGCAAGCGTGACCCTCGGCAAGAGCCCAGTAGATGGCGTTGGCGAGGGAGAACTCCTTCAAGTTGTCAAGAACCTCGTCCTCAATCTCGAACTGGGAGAACCCGGGGGAAGCAGTAAGCGCTTCGGTGGAAAAAGCGTTGATCACATCGGGTTCGCAAGAGATGGCGGAAGCGAAGCGGTTGTAGACGATGTTGATCTTGTCGTAGGAGTGACCCAACTGCATGATCTGGTCGGCGATGACAGCGGCATCGAGGAAGGTGGGGGTGTTCTGACCGACACCGTTGAATGAAAGGACGATGTTCTCGGGGGTGAAACGGGAGATCTGGGCCTTGCACTTGTCACCGATGACAGCGATCTCGGCCTCGGAGCTGGAGTCGGAAGCGGCGAGGGAGCGACGGAGAGTCTTGGTGAGCTGGGAGTGGGTACCACCGCAAAGACCCTTGTCGGAGGAAGCGATAATGTAGAGAGTCTTACCCTCAGCAGGGGCGACAGCCTCGGCGTTCTTGTACAAGGACTCGGAGGCTTGACCGTAGGACTTCGCGGCCTCCATGACACGCTGAGCACGCTGGAGCTTGGTGGAAGCGACCGTCTTCATGGTCTTGGTGATCTTCTCGATGTTCTTGATGGACTTGAGACGACCCTCGATTTCACGAAGGGTGGCCATGTTACGGGAAGAGGCGGCAACAGCCTGGCGGGCAGCCAAGTTGGCAGCAGGACGAACCGCACGGGAGAACATCTGGACGACATGTTAGAATGGTAATCGGGCAAGGATCAGTCAATTGCTTGCCTTGAGAAATGCGTGGTTGTTTTTTCGGGTCTATGGAGCGTTTCTTCGCGATGATGCGGTTTGAAATTGGGACCTGCCCAGGGCGACTGGTGTGGCTGGTGCAGCCCCACACGTACGAGTTCAATACGGTAAAGAATTACAGAGATCGTAGACGAGGATGAGTTCTATTGCGCTGAAGATTGGATCATTGATTGTGCGGACGTTGGCGAAGCCGGTCGCGAACCAGCTCAAAGCACAAGCGAAACAGCATGAACGGTTTCGAGGCATGTGTATATCACTCGCTCAAACGATGCATCGGAATGAGATGAGGATGCGGATCAATCTGTTGAGGGAAGGTGTCAAGGAGGGCCTACCAGAACCGAAGATCAGACCTCTAAACGAGGCAAAGGCGGTGGATACCGGTGCGAACTTTATCTCCGAAGCGTTCATATTGTATGGTACACCCCTTCCTCAACCCCTATCCGCTGCTAATTGTTGAAGTATAGTTCCGTAGCCGGAGCCCTAATCCTCTTCGAATCCTACCGCTCCCGCCAAAAAGAACTCAATCGCCGCGCCGACACTCGCTCCTCCATCACCGACCTCGAAGAAGAAGTCACTCGTCTCCAAGAAACCATTCGCACTCTAGAATCATCCCTCCAGAAAGACCTAGAAGAGACAGAAGAACAACGCGAAGAAAGACATAGACGGCATACCGAGGAATTCGTCCAGATGGTCGAGGATGGGGTACGGCAGCTGATATATGGGTTTAGTCCGGCGTTGGGGAGTGGGTATGATGGTAATGGACCACCGATTCAGATTGATGGGAAGGCTATCGCAGCTGTTGCGGAGACTGTGTTGCAGCAGGTTGCAGGGGAGGGAGCGGCAAGTGATATTCGGAGGGAGTTGAGGGAGGAGACGAGGGATCCGGAGAAGGTAAGGGAAGATTCGTCAAGGAGGTGAGACGGAGGCGCGTAGAAGGATGTGGGAGAAGCGAGGCATATGAGGGAAAGACGACATCTCTTCACTCAACCTATACCAGAATACCAAATATACATTCGACGCAATCACGTGATCATCCGAGCACGGGCCATCCATCTATCCGCCATCTGAACAAGTGTTGAATACCGGTGTCACGGTCGTTTGGGATAATCTCGCAAGGTGTCCAAGTGTTTCGTCGCCTGTGTCTTTGAGAGTTTGACCGCATGTTCGTGCGAAATTGCAGCTGTGGCAGGAAGAACTTGGCAGCAGTAAACGTTTCACACTCACAGTGAAACGGCTTACTAGTTCGTTCTGGACTGTGAAGAGGAATCCGGGCCTTGGCAGCCGCACCTGGTAACGTTCAGCCGGGCGTAATTAGCGACACCTTCTTGAACCTCGGCCGTGACCTGATGACTTCCATGTCATCACGTATACAGCACCTTTGGTTATCGCTCACATGCATCTCCGTATCCCTGTTACTCTTCATCTCGATCTCGGCTCAATCCAGCAATCCCTTTGACGGCATCACGTAATATCGGATCATCCCCACGTTCCCTGTTTACCCCCCTCATCTCATGCAACATCCTTTTCCCCATTTACGACCTGTCAGATGAGCATTCCAACCCAACCGATCGGCAATTTGAATACGGTCTGAGTCACGTTGTTGGAGTTGCCCCCTTTGCTCGAGCCTTCGATCCGGGCCCGGGTCCAAGTGCGACGTCGACCTCGAAGCCTCAATACAGTTGACGAAGCTCAGATGAGCCTTGAAAATTCTACAAAGGAACTGCTTCGCCTCACCGAGCTTCCAATGAGTCAACTCGGTAATACGGGTACCGATCGAGGCGGTGCATTTTTTGTGGGGGCGGGAATTGCACCTGCAACACCTCATCTCGAACGCCACCGCAATCCCCAGGTTGTGCAGCAGTTAACGGCAATCCAACCCGGCGATGGTGGAGGCTCAGTCGCTGTACATGAAGGAGACGGAAGACGCCCGTGACTCGAGAGAGGGGTCGACGTGTCACCTGAGCGAATTATTGAGTCATGGGACCCGAAACATCCGGGCTTTGAGCCGAGCACGCAATCCCTCATGTCTGGCCGCGGGTATAAATAGACCGTAGCCCCACTCTTCGTCCAATCCTCATCAGTCAACCGGCTACCAAACACTTCTGCTATTACTCCATCCGTCACGGAGCTATCCAACGAATCATCTTTCTCGCCCGACAACCAACAAGACACATCCAACATGACCCCCTCAGAACGTAACGGTGACATCACCCAAGCCGAAGCTTGGTCCTCCGTCGGCCGCGGCAAGCATGGCGCCGCCTTCGAAGCGATCGAGCAGCAAAATATCGTTCTCGCCAAGCTCGTGCAGACGCTCTTCCAGGAAGTGAGAGAGTTGAGGGCGGATTTGAAGGCGCAGGGGAGTTTGAATGAGCACAATATCGCACAGAGGGAGGAGGTTCAGACGCAGGCTGTAAGTTGTCCCTGAGTGAAGGTTTGTGAGGATGAGTGCTAATGAATTTGTGCAGTGGAAGGACTTGAAGGAGAAGATCAACGCCCTCCGTGCAGAGACTGATGAGCTCTAATCAACCGCTACCGTTTTACGACAACAACTTGCATCTTGTTCGACAACGACAAAAAAATGGGGAGTGTACGTTACGTGACGGTTGAGGCATCATCGCTCTAATACCTTGGGTTTTTCTTTCTTTCTTCTTCGTTTGGGTGTTCATACCCCGGTTTATTTGCATAGCGTCCTCGTCTGACTCCGGCTGGAGCCTGGACTTTGAGTGACTAATACGACATTGATTTCTTGCTGCATACCTATCTGATACTTTGCAGTCTCTCCCTGGCCTGGCCTCACCCAACCCTTTCTCCATCATTATCAATTCGTCGCCTCGCTCCTCTGATCCCCGTCTCTCGTTGATTCAACTCCCTAATCCCCCTCCGGCTCCCCATCCCCCGCTTCCTCCACCCCTCCTCATCAACAAACTCCGCCAAAAGCCCATTAAGGTCCGCACTCTTGTCCTCCAACGGATAATGTCCTGCCCTCTTTACCCACACGCTGCCCTTGCTCTCGCTACCTTTCTCCAAGGTATGCGTGAGAATATCTTTGAAATCGGCGAGGAGAGGGTCATCGCGTCCGAACACGATCTTGTGTTTGTTGGTTGGTGAGGTCTTGGGAGAGGAGTATACGTTTCGGAGTTGGAGGTCCATCTCGCGGAGTCGTGCCTGTTTATGGAAGTTATCCATCCACGACTCCGGCACCAATCCCTCCACGAGCCTCCACACCCACCCCTTCCTTGCCTTATACACCCCATCGACCATCCAAGGTATCATATGGGCGAACACCCCAACACCAGCCTTATGTCTCCTATTCAAATACGGCGCTCCATATCCACTCACGTTGACGGCGGAGATGGTTGGGGACATAAACCGCATCACGAAGGATTCAGGGAGGAGGGGTCCGAGGATGCCGGTTGAGAGGTACCAGAGGAGGTAGAGGGCGTAACCATTGTAGCTGATGTCTGAGCCGTTGAGGAGGAGGGGGGTGGTGCGTGGTGGGAAGAAGGTGTTGAGGAGAAAGAGGGAGGGTGGGGATGTGAGAGGAGAAGGGAGCGCGGGGTGAGCGAGCGTTAGGAGGGTAATTGCGCCGCCCCAGTCGTGCGCTGCAATCATAGTTTCTTTGTTTGCGAGGAAGGGCAGGGAGAGCAGTTCGTGGAGTGTTCGCATATGTAACTCGAAGGTCAATTGAGCGGGGTTGATGGGTTTATCGCTCCTTCCGTGCCCTGAGAAGTCCAATGCTAGGACCTCGTGTCCCTGAGAAGCAAGGAAAGGAATCGTTGACCGCCACATCCAAGACCAGGATGGGTTACCGTGCACCAAAACCACCACCTTCCCAGACGGCGGGGCAGGCGGTGAGGGAAGACGGTGGATGTAGCACACGTCCAGGCCGCAGACGGAGATGTATTCTACATACGGTTCTTGCCATTTATCGTACGGCGGGAGCACTTCGCCTTCCAATCTCTCGGTCTTGTCGAATTCAAAGGTACCCCTCAACTGTTCTCCTGCCAGTCGTGCACGACGGGCGTTGGCGGCGTCGGTGCGTGCGATGAGCCAAGGTGGGAAGACCAGCAATGGTAGACGAACAAGAACGGTTGGGAGAACGGTGAAGAGTTGAACAACGGCGTACGGCCAGAAGTAGACGGCTGCGCATACATACCGCACCACAGTCCAGGCAGCAAAAAAGCGGATCAGGTGGAAAGTAAGTTGGGTAAACGGGTCGATTAGGCTGCTAAAACTCGCTATAGGTGGTTGTGACGGTGGTTTTGAAGTCATTGCTGACGGGTTCAATGGTCAATTGGAAGGCGGGATACGGGATGTATGCTGGTGGATTGTTCTGGTGGCACGCAAATCGACGTCCCAGGAATCCCGGTGCCTTCTCACGCGCGGCAACCTTATCGACGGGACAAGTGGACCACGAACGACGGCGCTGAGAAGACTCAGAAACCAGCAATGGCAGCAGCATGAAGCTGGTGCGCGGTGCCCTTTCAAAAGCCAATTGAAGGTGACCAAGCTCTCTGCCTTTCACTCCTTTCAATTCATGTATGGTGACCTCACCTCACAGTCACATGCCAAGTACACCCCATCCTTGGCAATACTAACCGAGGACTCATAAAAGGGACTCACCACCACCGACCTCCATCCACTCCGACAGCATCATCAGCAACAGCCATGGATGAACTAAAGCGACACCCAACAGACGAAGAACTCGCTCCTCCCCTCCCAATTCGCCCTGTCTCACGAGGCCCGGAACTGGTCGATCCGAACAGCGCAGGTCCCTCGTTGAGATCACTCGGCGTCACGCCTGAGCCCCCTGTCATGGCGAGGACAGATGCCGCGCATGAAGCTGTGGGAGAGTATGATATCCCTGCGTTGCCGGCGAGACCAGGGCTGCAGCCACCTGTGTACACGCCTGATACGCTGCCTGTCGAATCCTTGGCCATTGCGCCGGGTTCGCGGGTGCATACACCTACATCCATGGTCGAAGAACCCATTGCACAGCCAGTCTCCGAAAAGGCGGCATACCTTGCTCCCCCACCCCCTCAGCGCATGAGGCGGACGTATTCGGATAATGGAGAGACAGGAGGGGCATTGCACTACACCCGCAATCCACACATCCTCACCGCATACCTCATCCCTTTCCCTCAGCCGAGGTTCAATCCGCCGATTAAGCCCAAGGTGCAGGCGCATGGTGAGGAATTGAGCAGTGCAGATATCAAGCGCATGGAAGCGGAGGGCACTCTGTATCCGGGCACGCAGGCCGAAGACGAAGTACCCATGAGGTTTTTGATTTACACTCCGCCGCCTCCTCCCCTCCGAAAACCGGAGACGAAGCTCGATGATCAGGGAAAAGAGGTGAAAGAAGGAAAGGTCCACAAAGCGCAACGAAAATGGGAAGAGGAAGTCCGTGAATCAAAGACGAAGACGGGAATTAAGGCTAAGGCGATTCGCGGCATTGCGAAAGGGATGTCAAACGTCAAATCCTCTAATCTAGAATTCTTCAACCGCTTCCCCTCCACAGGTAGCACCGAGAAACCCGGCGAACGCGCTGACAGAGGCGTCGAAGAACTCCTCCTCCTCTACCCTCCTGCACCCTCCCTAACCCCCACCAAAATGCGTGAAGAATTTGTCTCGACCCTTCTCCGCACAAAGAAGAAAGCGACTCGGGACGCAGTTATCTCATCTGCTCTCCTTCCCGTATCCGCGGCGATCGATGTGCTTGCGACCCCCGTGTGGCCCTTTGGGGGGTTGTTGGAGATTGACGGGGTTTGGGCTTATGCAAGTTTGAGGGGGGCGAAGACTGCGAGGGGGGTCAGCAAGAGGTTGGGGTTGAAGGGGAAAAAGGCGGAAGACGCTAAGGCTGCTGCTGAAGGAGTTCCTGAAGGGGTAGAGGGTGAGGAGATGCTCAAGTTGACCTTCAAGGCCACGGAGCGACTGGACGTCCTGAGAGACTACCTCGCCTCGGCCTGTTCTAGCCGGGACATCGCTCTCTTCGCTGGCCCAACCCATGGTGTTCCAACCGAGTCCGAAATCCTGGACGCGATCGGGTGGACGCCATCTGATCTCTCTTCCACAGGTGGTGGGGGGACCGGGGAGGAGGAGAAATGGGAGAGGGATGATGTGAAGGAGGATCTGAAGAATGTTGTGGGAAAGGGAGCGAAGGAGTGGGTTAAATGGTGTAAGGATTGGGAGAAGAAGGAGAGGAAGAGGGTGAAGGAGGGGAAAGAGAAGGTCTAGGTGCGGGCGAGGGTGGATGGAATTTTTTGGTAGGCGTTGATGGTATCAGTAGTTATTACCTATTATGAGTTTGTAGTTCGCAATCAGTCCTTCCACAGTATATGCTCGTCCAGCGAGCTCCTTGAGCCCGGTTCACATTCTATCCATCTGGATCAAAAAACGACACACCCAACTTCCAACCCTGTCGCATCCTCCCATGTCGGCGTTCTAACCCTCCCCCTCTCCTCCATCGCTCTCTCCCGTACCCTATTCCTCATCCTCTCCCTCCTCGCCGCTCGCTCCTCCTCACTGCCCAATGGCGCTTCTCCGTTCTCGTCTCTAAAAACCCCGACGGAGGCGGCAAGGAGGGAGTAATAGTGTGGTGGTGCGTCGTCTAGGTAGGCCGGGAGGTCCTCAGTCGCGGTGGGGCCTGTGGAGTCCTGGTCGTAGGTGGAGGCGGAGAAGGGGTGGAGGGTAATCGTGAAGTAAGGAGAGGTGCGGATGGTTGGCTGGGAGGAGGGAAAGGACGCTGGGATGAAGAGTTCGTAGGGGCACATCTTGGTTTTTGTCTTCCGTGGTGGAGTTTTCGGGATTCTTGGTGATAGTATACTCTTGAAGTGCGAGTTCAACGCCTACTTATACACTCCCCTAAACAACAGGTGCGAGCACTCTCGGTGTCCAGTTTCGTGTGTCTCCTAGTCGGTTTCAAGGTTCTGGTTGATGTGAGTTCGACATCTTGGGTATGCGTGCGAACGAGTTGCCGTTTTGGGACGGGAATGGTCTGGGGTGAAACGATGGTCGTAGAGCTGCGACAGGAGGCCACCAGGATATGAGAGTGTTTGACTGTGTCTTCCCTAACAGTGGGTACAAATATATCTCGTCGTAAGGGTATGATTACGTGAGCATCCCTCATAAGCATCTTCCCGCGATCGCTGACAACCGGCCGCGGCGACATGCACAGTGCTGCACCACCCAACCTTATTCAAACGTCAAACATGACGAATAAGGGCACATGAGATGGCATCATCACGGCTTCTCGCCTACAGTTGCAATTGGCTTCTCAAGCTTAACGGGATGAGCCGCTCTTAAAGCTCAGACTTTAAGATCTGCTTCTATGTTGAAATTGCTTGACTGGATAAGCTATGGCGCGAGATTGTCTGGTGTCTCCAAAAATACCGCGAAGCCTACGGGACGAAGCATGGAACGGCATGTCCTAATCTTACCGAGTGATGCCAAGACTTTCTCATGGGCATCTGAACGCCGACTTTAAGGGCGGGTCCGTGTTGTATGAAGCCAAAATTAAAAACTTATGGTGCTGCAAGCACTGGAGATTGAAATATCTGCTTTAGAAGGATGCGCGACAGGTTCATACGTTGGATTGCCCGAATCCAGGGCTTGTCGACGCAGAACGCCTGCATGGTATCGTTGCGTCTGCCAGCATTGTTCCAACCGGTCACGGTCCCCTCATCGACGGCACGTTACGCTTATGTCACATATCACGGCATCTCTCAACGCTAAAGAGATTCGTTCCGGCATCACGGCTCGCTGCCATGAGTGATGTGATGTGATATTTATATACCGAAGTGTCGTGCTCTTCGTCATTGTCGATGATTCCTCACGCCCAGCTGCTGCTCGCTACAACTTGCCTGAACGCGGCACGTGTCAGGGCATCTGCTATTCATTTCAACTTCAAGACTCCATTCGACGCTTTTTAAGGGTACGCCTACGTCTCCGGCAGCGTTCCTCGGAGGTACATCCGACACACAAGACTTCGTCCTCGGTCATTCTTTGCAACTGTACACTCGCTTGACGGGTCAAAGGGTCTGCTTGAGCTCTTCGCTCGGATGAGTTACTTGAGAGCGCGCCGAAAATGGCTGACCGATTGGTCCTTTGCCGTCTATCCCGGTTGAGATGGAGTCCAGGGTCGATCTGGACCTCACGCATGGTTATACAGAGTTAAGATTGCGCTGCTCACTGGCCAGTGACCCTACTCTTAAACATTCGGTCTTAAAGAGTATCACGAGTGAAACTCTACGTTGTGCTGTCCGTCCATAATGGGATTCACAGTCAACCAGGACTCATACGCGTGTCAAGCAAGACAAGATTACGCTTGCCAGCGGTCCCTAGTCGACGGTGACCTCGGTCTTAAGAGGTTGCCTCTTGGAGGGCGTCACACGATGTGCTCTTCGTTGTGTGTGTCGTGTTATGTCAGCACGATGAGCGTGGTGGAGACGTGGAGACGAGCCTCCTTACCACCCTTAAGCCTACGTTCACATGGCCAGGAGTCCATATGGTTTACCCTTAAAGTGGGTCCACATGCTGCGTGCTCTGCCTTTTGGCTCTCAATCTCAGTTCCTCAGCTCCTCTCACAGTCAGAGATTTCTATAAGAACCCCCCTTCTCGCCGCCCAACTTCCAACCTCATCACCTCATCACCCTCAATACCTTTTCACAGAAACACCTCTCGTACACACCAACCTTTATCACACATCAATCATCATGAAGTTCTCATTCGTCCTCGCCGCTGCTGCCCTCACCGGTTCCGTCCTGGTCGCTTCTTCCCCTGTCCCTGTTACTGCTGATCTCGGCATTCACGCCGTAAGTTACTCTCGTCCCTGATCGAGTCTTGCATCTCACCATCTGCCCAGGACACGCAGCACTCGGAGCAAGGTCAGTATGGCCAGTCGCAGTACGACCAGGGCAACGGTAAGCAGCAGCCCAAGCAGCAGCCCAACGACGGTAAGCAGCAGCCTAGCAACGGTAAGCAGCAGCCCAACGACGGGAAGCAGCAGCCCAAGCAGCAGCCCAACGACGGTAAGCAGCAGCCTAGCAACGGTAAGCAGCAGCCCAACGACGGGAAGCAGCAGCCCAACGACGGGAAGCAGCAGCCCAACAACGGGAAGCAGCAGCCCAACAACGGGAAGCAGCAGCCCAACAACGGGAAGCAGCAGCCCAACGACGGGAAGCAGCAGCCCAACGACGGTAAGCAGCAGCCCAACGACGGTAAGCAATCCAGCGGTGGAAAGCCCCAATACGGGGACAAGAAAGGGCACTAGTATGCTCAGACTTTTTATTTCGACGGCGAATTGTTTGATGCAATATCTTAGGATGGTTTACGAGAGGAGTGGTTTTTGTTGTCTGATATGGAGTCACCGCGGCTATAGGTAGGCCTGAAGTGGGTACAATATATTCCATATACCCCATTTTCTATAGCCATCAGCTGCAGCAACTTTGAACAAAATTCGTGAGCTCTTGCTCATCTGTTATCTTCACAGGCTCCGACTCAGCCTTTGCTGTGCCTCGATTCCCCAGGTTCTGCCGTGACGTCATGTATACAGGTTTGCCCTCCCATAAAAATCCCAACGCCAACTCAAGGAAATTCCAAGTGGAAAATCAAACAAACAACAATGGACAAGCTTATCAATTTCGCAAAGGACGCTCTTGGCAAGCAAGACAATGACCGTCGCGAGGACGATGATCAGTATGAGAGGAAGCACGGTGTTGGTGGGTACGAGCAGAATGTAGGCCAGGGTGAGGGGTATGGTGGACAGTACGTTTGATCCATATCAAATCTCTCCCAATTGTATGCTCACGTCTCGTGTAGTGGCGGTAGACCCCTGGCCGGCGGCTACGAAGGCTCCCAGCAAGGCTACGGCTCCCAATTCCCTCCTCAACAACAATCTTCTGGCGGCGACTACGACCGTCAACCCGGCTACGGTGGTCAGCAGGGCTACTCTAACGACGCCGAAGGCTATAATCCAATGGGAGGCAGCGGCGGCGAAGCCGGCTCCTACTACGCTGGCCAGCACCAAGGCTCTTACGAGGGTCTCGAGCAAGGCCGCGACCCCCGCTATGGCCAGGGTGCCGGCAACTTCGGTACGAACCCCTACGGCGGTCCACCTACCTCCTCGTCCATGACCGGCGGCGGCGGCTTCGGCGCCATGCTCTCCCAACTCGACTTTGGTAACGCCCAGAACGAGGCTGATAAGTATGCCGATAAGGATGAGGACAAGGGTTTCTTTGCGGAGGCGTTGGACAAGTTGAAGGGGGATGATGATGACGATGACATTGATGAGGAGAAGTTGGTGAGGAGTCACCAGGCTGCATACTCGGGTGGCCAGACCGTTGGATCCGGCGGTATCGGAAACGCCGCAGCTTTGCAGACCATGAAGATGCTTATGGGTGGTGGTAGTGGTGGTTCGTCGATGGGCGGAATGGGGGGTATGGGTGGACAGTCTCAGTCCTCGTTCGTCGGAATGGCAATGGCTCAGGCTGCTAAGTTGTTCGATAACAATGCTGCTCAGGGCAACGTCGCCGGTGGAGCGAACAAGCAAGATGCCATTTCCCAGGCAGCGAAGACGGCTATGAAACTCTACATGAAGAGTCAGATGTCTGGTGGATCTGGTGCTGGTGGAGGCTTGATGAGCATGTTGGGCAAGTTCATGTAAGGTAGACCCGGCCAGGTAAGATATGTATGATTAGGAATATCTGTGTGGAATATCATTTTTATACCCTTGGGATGATCGTACACATCAATGCCTTGTCTCCATTGAATGAATGCCATAGATCATCACTCAACAAATTACTCCTTCTTCCCCTCCTTCGTAAAATTCAACCAATAAAACCCAGCATTCAAATACGTAGCATACGTCACCCACCCCAAATACGGCACAAGCAACCACCCTGCAACCTCATCAACGGACATCCACTCCCCAACAAGCCATGCAACACTTCCCCACAAGAGCGTACTATCCGCCAGCGCGACCAACGGCTGGCGAGCACGGAAGAACAGGGGCATCCATGCAAGGTTGAGGAGGAGTTGGAGAGAATAGACGCCCGCGCCGAGGAGAGCTCGGTCGCGGACGGCGAGGTTGGGGGAGGAGAGGCCGGCGGTGAAAGCGCGGTGGGCGGCGTAGCCCATGCTAGCGTATAGGGCTGTCCAGACGGGGCCGAAGGCCCAGCGGGGGGGTTTACCCGGGGGTTGACGGAGTTGGGGGTAAAGATCTTTGACGTGAGCTATGTATACTGTTAGGATTGATCAGATCGGGAAGGTACGGGGAGGCTTACGCATGGTGGAGAAGCCCACGGCTGTACCGACGGCAACGGGGAGGAGGGTTGAAAGCCATGGGTTGGCGAGGATGGTAGCGGGTAAGCCGAAGCCAGCTGCAAACCATCAGTCAATTAATCTATCTTCTTGATGGATCGTACGCGTACCGATGAAGTCTGTGAATGCCATTGCGGTGGTGTTGTGTTGTACAGTTGACGTTGGAGATGACAAACGTCACCCTACAGCAGCTCATGCACAGGCCCGCGGCCGTTGTCGATTGATTAGAAGCCAAGATTTCGAATTCAACAATATAAGAAGAAAAGGAATAAACCGGATATTAACCAAACCGTTCACCGCCCGTCCAATAACAACCAACAATTGCAATCCTTTATGCATTACCCATCTCGACATCATCCACGGGTACTGGTTCTTCAGCAGCTGCTTCTTCCTCAATCTGAGCTGGAGCACCCGTATTATCAAACAACTCTTTCGTCTTTTGTTCACACTCAGCCACCTCTTCGGCAGACAAACCCTTCTTCCATCCATCCGCACTTTCAAGCCTGGCCTTCCATTGGCTTACTCGTCTCGAACGTGCGGAATCCTGGTTCATCACAGGTGATCGTACTTTCGAACTCCGGATCAAAACGTCTTCCGAGCCTGGTAAGAAGAACACCTTATAAGTATTAACACAGATCCGGATTTCCAAACCAGACTTCGACACGCCATCTTCGCCGATAAGCTCCTCGACATCGTCAACGTCGGGAAGATCACGACGCAAGAAGGGTGGTCGGACGCGTTCGGGTGACACGCCTTCTGTCGGGCTGGACATGACGTAGCTATCGACGTAGTAACGCCATTGTTCCTCGGCTGTGGTCGCTTCATCAAGGGTCAGGTCGTCCTTGCCAAGTAGCTGAATAGAAAGCTGTCTGGTATGCTCGTTCTGTTCACATGTTAGCAAATATTTATCGAACCATGGATAACATGGCATACCCAGTCCATACGGTACGTGTTCTCGTTCGGGCCCAACAAAGTCTCGACCTGAACACGATACACGATCTGCTGTCTTGGCGTAGTCATCACCTGCTTGCGGTCCTTCTCAAACAAGCCGATAAGTTCCGAGCCCTTGGCATCAGACACAACAGTAGCGATCTGCTTGACAATGGCAGCGACAACCCTGTCAACAGTGTAGAGTCTGAAGGCTTTCGTACCATACAGGTAACGCACGCACTCCTCGAAAGTACCCTGCTCCAGATCTCCCTCCATCATCTTCTCGCTCAGCTTGAGCAACTGGCTGTAGCACGACTCACCGTCGCGGTTAAGCGCCTCCTCCAACTGATCGAGTCGGTTGTGGTTGATGCCGAGTTCGACAGCGATAGCGTTAGGCTTACGAGCTCTGATATCCGCGGCAGCCTGATCTTCATACTGCTTCAGTGCGTTGAGTCGGTTGTAGAGAATCTGGACGAGCCTGAAGAAGGAGTAGAGGGTAGAGTTGCCAAAGAGGTTGTAAGTGGTCCTTAGCTTGCCTTGACCAGCCTCTGCCGCCGCACGAGCATCGTCCGAAGTGGCATTCTTGATCCAGGTCTCCTCAACCTCCTCGGCGGGGATAGCTTCAGTAAGACCCTCGTCTTCGTGATCACCATTCGTAGCTTCGGCGTTCTCGTCGTCAGCTTCAGCATCCTTCATAAGTTCATCACTGCCACCCAACAGAGAGTTAGGCTCGGGGGTGGATTCCTTGGAAGCAGGGAAGCTGCTGCTGTCCCTGTCCTTCCTACCGCCCTTACCTGTTCTACCGCGCTTGAGAACGTCCTTGAGGAGGTCGCGTCCACGACCACGAGCTGAAGCGCTAGCGTTAGAGGCAGTGTCATCACCACCATCATCCTCCATCTCCTCGTCGTCTTCCATGCTGATAGCGTTACCGATCTTCTCGGCAACTGCCTTGTTCGGCATGCTGAAGAACATGGGAATGAACTGCTTGACGAAAGCGTCAATCTTCTCACGGTCACTGGCAGAGACACCGGAGCTGGATCCAAGATATACGGCAATCAGCTTAGCGATGTCAAGGATGACATCCTTATCCTCAAACACGCTCTGGATCTGGTACCTTGGCCGTATAGCAGCGTTCATGCGGTTAGACTGTTGCTCCTTACGAAGAACCTCAATTTCCGCGATCAGGTTCTTGGTAGCGACAGTCTTCTTGTCAGTCGCCTTGAAGGTGATACCTTGATGATCCAAACTCTTATAGAAAGATTTAGCCTCAGTATCTCTCCAAACCTTGTTCCACTCCCTCTGTGCGCGCTTCCATTCCTCATCCTTCAGCTTCAGACGCTTCAAGACGATAGGAACCGCTACAGATGGATTCTCGTGAAGAGCCTCAATCACTTCAAGCCCCCTTTCCCGGTCGTAAACCTTCTTGATCACCTTCTGGTAGATACTAACGGATTGTCCGCCGAGACCAGGAGGCAACTTGAAGTGATTGCGCTCTTCGGGAGACATGTTGGAGATACGCTGAGCGATGGGCTCGAGGAGCTGAATGGTACGAAGGTTAGCCTCAATGTTAAGGTCATACTCATAACGCTCCTCCTCGATCTTGTGAAGAGCCTCCTCGTACTGATTCTTTCTGTGCGCGACGAAACCGGAGTCTTCAGATGCCCAAGTCGGGTGTGAGACCCACTCGTCATTCAGAACCTCCCAGCACATCTCATCACGTCCAGAACAAGGCAGCAACGTCTCCGACTTGGGAAGCTGGCGATAAGACGGACCGTAGGCCTTGCAGGCAGCGAGGTCAATGCGAGGACCTGGTGTGGGGATGTTCTCAATGATATCATCACGGCCATCATACCCAACAAAGCGCTTGAACCAGTCAATCAGCTCGCGGTTACCGCCGATAAATCCCTCGACACGCTCAAGCAACGTGTTCTTGTCCAAGATCTCCTGGCTGAACAGGTTCAAGACCTTCAAGAACTCGTTGTAAGTCTGCTTGTTGCCGATGTACTTCTTAACGCGGTCGAAGAACGCGAGCTCCTCCGCAGATGCAGATGCCTTCATAGGCGGACCAATCGGCTCTGGTACAGCAGGCGTGAGCGTCGGGCTAACTTGGGACAAGTCAGCACTGGGCTTGTGATGGTGTTTCGAACGCTTGTTCTGACTCGTGCGGCTCTGAGCAGGCTGAGGCGGCTCCGCGACCTGGCTGCGCTTCTTCTTGTCCTTCGGCACAGCTGGAGGAGCGAAGTTCCCAACAGGGGGTAAGCGCGCCTGCTGCTGCTGGTGAGCAGCCTGATAGGCACCCACCTCAGGCAAGAACTGTTTGAAATCGTCCAACAAATCGGGTTGCCCTCTGAAGAGAATTTGCACCTTCTCGTAGACATCGCCAATGGGCTTCTGCTCTTTCTGGTATGTTTGAAGGATTTCCAAAAAGTTCTTGTACGTGTCTGGCTCGTCCGCGAATCGGTTCTTGATCTTGTTCACGTAGTTGATCGCGTGGTTGAACTCAACAGGTGCCTTCTTCCCATCCGGTGGTCTGGGCCCAGGCTCGTCTTGGTGCCGAGGAGCGCCTGGTCCGTCGTTATAGTCATTGTACCCACCCCCACCACCACCACCCTGACGTCCGAAACCACTCGGTTCTTGCCATCCGCTGCTCGGGCCACTTGGGTGCTGCTCGTAGAAGGCAGTACTCTCGCGGAACGGAGCTCCGCCGGAGGTCGTGGTGGTTCCCATGGGAGTAGTGACGCGAATGTTCGGATCGGAGGGGTCGAAGGATGCCTCAATACGGTAGCCCGGGGGGAGAAACGTGTTGAAACCCTGGACGAGGTTCGGGTGACCGCGGAACAAAGTTGAAACGCGCTCAATGACGCCCGGTGTATCTATGGATTGCGACTTGAAGTCCTTCATGATGTCAAGGAACTTGTTGTACACATCTGGCTGTTCTGAAAACTGGATTTTCACCTGATCCAAATATGACAATGCGTCCTTGACGTTGAGTGGTCGGTAGCCGATGCCGGGGTCACGTGGGGGTCCAGGCATGGGAGGCAGTCCACCCCCAGGAGGCCCAGGTGGTCCTTGAGGACGCGACATATGTGATCCGACAGGCTGACCGGAAGAGTTGAGGGAAGGGAGCGACGTCTGTGAAGGGTGAGATCCCATGGGTGGTGCGTCGGGGCCGTGTCCTTGGTGCTGCGGGGGCCCAGGAGGACCTTGCGAGAGCGACGGAAGACTAAATCCGTTCCCAGGTCCTCCAGGTCCATTCTGTGGTCCATTCTCACCCTGGTTCTGGGAAGTCATCATCGATGGGAGCTGAGGAAGGGGCGGCGGGGGTCCCTGCCCACCGTGTTGAGGTCCATAGTAGTGAGCACCGGGTCCAGCTAGCAATAAAAGTCAGCTAAATGCGTCCTTTTGAGCATAGTTTTCTGATCGCACCTTGTCCTTGCGATGAGGGATTCATCGGATTCGCAGACGCGAGGTTTTGTGGGGGTGGGAGAACTGGCGGCGCGTGCTGTTCAGGTCTATATGCCGTGTTAACACCGCAATCCAAGCGCGGAAAGTCTTCAGATGAGACCGGAAACATACCTGAATGGCTGCCCCATAGACTGATTTGGTGGAGGAGGAAAAGGCTGCCTCTGCTCCTGTTGCGGCGGCTGAGGCCGATATTGGTGATCGCCGTCAGCCATGGCTTCAGAATGCCAAACGTAGACGATTCAGAGGTGCTGTATACAGAGGCAAACCGATCAAGGCCTTCACTTCAAAGCTCTGGGAGAATGTCGTTGCAGAAAGGAGGATAAGGAATGTCAGGATGCCAGGTGCCGGCCCACTGCGCTCGAGCGAACTGATGCAACGCGCCCTCAGGAACGACAAAGGCACCACAGTCACATGAGGCGGGGTTGTAAGAGAGATGTATACAAGGTCAAGCGTGAAGTACTTTGTATTATTACAGAGGTAAATATCATAACCAGTAGGGTATTAAGGATGCTCCCAATGAATGCCCGAACCCATCCCACAAACGCCAATGAATCGTCGATATCAGCCCTCTGATCACCTCTGGCTAACCCCCGCAACCTTCTTCGATTGTTCATCCCACTTCAAAAGCGTCTCGCTAATAAACTTAATATATCTCGGGACCTCGGGACAGTCTTTCTGCTTCATCGCTTCTGCAACACTCCAGGTGTAGTGACCACTGTTCCGGCCGCTGATGTAGCGCAGCGTCCTGCCGTGGTCACTCAAGAGCAGCTTCGAATGGTCTTGGAAGAAGTTGCATTGAACATCCCCATTACTCAACCTGAATAGAATGGCTTGCCTGGCACGAAGGTAATTCTGCAAGAATGGCATGCCAGTGATCTGCTGCTGTTCCCTCCAAGTCATCTCTGACTTCTTCAAGAGCTGCGTCATGTAACTCCGGAAATGCGCCAAAAGTGATACCTTCTTCGCCAGGCCATCATCATGTTTCGGGAAATGGTCCAGGTCGAAATTCTCACGAGGCAGAAGCGCAGGATCCTGGTCGTAAACCGCGTTCTGCCTGATGTAGTCGAAGTGATACTCATCCGCGGCAAGGATGATAGTGGTAGAGTCGTTCCAGTAGACGCCGTAACTGCTGTTCAGCAACTGGTAACCAAGGCCATATTTGTCAGAGAAGTCCACCCACTTGGTGATGAATAGTGGCTTCTCCTGACAGACGACATGGAAAGATGGTGGCAGGTTGTCTCCATTGCTCTGGTACGCCATGGAAAGGTTCTCAGCGATGAGCCTCATTCCTGTGCTTTCCGTCTTCACAACCGCCGGTTCCCTCTCTGCTGATACGGACATCGGTGGAGAAACAGCTGTTTGACTCGGCGCAGGTGCAGCCGACATCCTCGACGCCGACCTCGTCCCCGGCCTCGTTGGTGCTCCAAGTCCAGGCGCTCGTGCTGGGGCGCCCAGTGTTCCCATCCTCCGTGGTTCCCTCTGCTCAGCCTTAACCCGTACCTCCTCCATCGCATTCTCCTCCGAAAACGGCCCACTGACAGGCTTCTTCGCTGCTCTCAGAGGTGCATCAAGATTCAGTTTCCTGGTACTCCTCGTCATCGTCTTCACATCCTTCTCCTCGTCATCCTCCTCAGAAAACGGTCCACTTGCGACCATCCGTTCTGGTCTCAAATTCAGCCTCGTCCTGAGCGCTCTTGACGTGGCCATATGCGCCGCCGCGATCTTCGCCGTGTTCTTCCTCAAACTTCCCGGTGGGTTTCTCGGGCTCATCTCCGCCGGCAATATTCTCTCCTCCTCCTTAATCGGGGTACCCTCCACGCCCATCGATCCCATCTTCACCATACCGACAGACTTCCCGGCTTCCCGCGCTACCGTATCGCCGTTGCCGCTGTTCGGTCCAACACCTGCGTCCTGCGCAACGGCGAGCCAATTCGCACGAGCTCGGGTGCTCGACATCTCTTTCCATGCTGGCTCGACTTCAGTAGCTTCGACGGGAATTGATCTTGGCATGATACCCATATGAAACCATACATGATCAGCGATCTCGTCGAGGGAAGGACGGTCTGTCGGATCAGGCGTGAGAAGAGATTCGATAAGGTCCCGCGCTTCCGGTGAGATAGGGTTCTCCTCCGGGAACTCATACTGGTTCGCCTTGATCTTTCTGTAAATAGCTTTGACGTCCTTGGACTGGAAAGGCGGCTTGCCAACCAGCATAGCATACAAGATCACACCAACAGACCACAGATCAGCCTCGAAACTGTGACCCTCCCCAGCACTTCCACTATGGAATAGCACCTCCGGCGCAATGTAGTTTGGTGTTCCACAGATCGTCTTCTTCCTTTCATCATCACTGACCAACAACGCGGCCAATCCAAAATCTCCAACCTTAAGGTTCATGTTGGCGTCCAAAAACAAGTTACCCAACTTCAAGTCGCGGTGAATCACACGACGTCCGTGCATGTATTTGCAGGCGCCGAGGAGCTGAAGGAGGTAGTATCGTGCTTCGGGCTCGGTGAATCGCTTTCGTTTGCGGAGCATGTCCATGAGGGTTCGGTTTGAGCACATCTCGAGGATGAAGTAGACGTTTGTATCGTCCTCAAAACAGTCGACGAAATTGACGATGTTTGGGTGGGACATGCTTTGATGTACTTTCATCTCACCGAGTAGCTAAAGAGGCAAGATGTAAGCATATGATCTGAGTTTGAGGCGGCGTCACACACCTTGTTTTTCGTCTTGGGCGTGTCCAGCGAAGCTTTCGCAACGACTTTGGCTGCATATTGTCGGCCATCTTCGTCGCACACTTCAAAACATCTAGCAAATCCACCTTCCCCAAGCAGCCCAGATCTTGCATACTCCGTACCCTTCTTCTTATCCCGAATAAATGCTGGTGGTGTGTAACACAGGCTCGAAGGCTTCACATTCTTCTTCGTAGCCTTCTTTGGCGGTGTACCGGTCGCAGCGACCTTCAACATCTTTGGCGGAGATCTAGGCGGCACTTCTCTTACTGCCGGGATCATTCGTCCTGGTGCAGCATTTTGCTGATCATGGTATGTAAACATAGACTCCTTCTCCGCCTTGCGAAGCTGCTGTTGTCGGCTCGCACGATAAACATTTGCTGAAAGAGGTGCAAAAGCCATCGAAGGTGGGATGATTTGTAGGCGATGTCAATGCGACTTACAGCAAGAGCATATACAAGAGAGCGACGTTGGAATGAGCTGGATCGACCTTTGAACCCGGTTTGGTTATGGAGCGTGTACTCTTTGCCGGCCGTAGTAGAACTGCTTTGTTTACTTTTACGCCGGCGTTGCTATGTGGGCCTGCATGCTCATGCAGGTGACATGCCCCGCTGAAACGACAGCGAGACGGGAGGTGTATGAACGAAGGAGGCCAGGAGTCGGCAACCACCGAAGAGGATGTCTGTTCTTGGAGAGCTGCAGTGATTCAGGAGTGTGTGTTTGCCTTGGATGCAATAGGCTGGCAGTAATGATGGCGTATAGGTATGATTTCATATCACGCTTTCTCGAGCTTCCTCGTCGATTCTGGCCTCGATTGAACAGCCCAGTATGTCAGGAGCAGTCAGACGCATGCGCATTCTTCAAATTGTAGTTCTTCACCTCGAACACTCTATGTAGTATCCTTTGTCATCGGCAATACTATGCAGTCCGCAGCTTCGTGACGTGTTCTCTGTGTTCTCGAACACGCGCGCGCGGCAGACTGACGTCCTTGCAATTGAGGTGGCAATCAGGGAAAAATCGACTAAGTCCCTTCCCCAAGCACCTGAAAAAGGGACTTAGCGAAATTCGCGTCCAAGTCCCCCATACACGTCCACCAGAACACCTCCTTCAATACCTTACACCACTAAATACTGCCCGAATGTCTTCCAGCGACGAAGACATTCCTCTCGCTATCCGGAGGAAGCAAAATCCTCCCAAAGTCGACGATGCTGGTGTGTACCCTAATGACGTCCCACGCGCGTCCACGTCGCGTTACCCCGATGGACACAGTATACTGATTCTGGTAAACAGCCGCAGATGCTCCTGTCAGCTCCAAAGTCCACTCGAAAGCTACAATTCCGAAGTCCCTTGACGATGAAGTCGATGCCGAGCAGCAGCCATTGCCTAAAAAGCGGCAACCGCCCATCTCCAACGTCAAGACCGCTTTGACCGGGACCGACTCTTCCAAGCGTAATGCGGCCTCTAGTGACAGCGAAGAAGACATCCCACTCTCTAAGCGTCAGAAGACTACCAAGGCTGTCAAGTCTGAGCCGAAATCCGACTCTGAGGACGACGTTCCTCTTGCCAAGCGTGCGGCTGCTAAGCGTTCTGCACCCACCAAGTCCATGAAAGAAGAATCCGATTCCAGTGACTTGAGTGATGCAGAGTCTGTCAATTCCGCGCCGAAGAAGAAGAAGGCTGCTCCTAAGAGGAAGGCCGTGAAGGATGATAGTGACTCCGACTCCGACACTCCCCTCGCCAAGCGCTCACCTGCGAAGAAGGCTGCCGTCAAGAAGGAGCCCACTCCTAAAGCTGCACCGAAGAAGCGCATGACCAAGGCTGAGAAGCTCAAGAGCGAGGAAGCTGCTGCGAATAGTTCGCCTGCCCCGAGTTCTGATATCAAGGATGAGGACGAGGAGGAGTACAAGTGGTGGGAGGCTCAGAACAACGACGGAAGTGTCAAGTGGACTACTTTGGAGCATTCTGGTGTTCTGTTCCCGACGCCCTACGAGCCTTTGCCGAGTCATGTCAAGATGAAGTATAATGGAAAGCCTATTGATCTTCATCCCGACGCGGAGGAGGTTGCCGGTTTCTTCGCTGCCATGATTGAGACTGACCACGCCCGCAACCCAACTTTCGTCAAGAACTTCTTTGGCGACTTCCAGGCTGTCATCAAGAAGTCTGGAGGAGCCAAGTCCGCTGGACAGAAGGTCAGCATCGACAAATTCGAGAGCTGCGACTTCAGACCTATGTTTGAGTACTTCGAAAAAAAGAAGGAGGAAAAGAAGGCAATGACCAAAGAGGAGAAGAAAGTAGCTAAGACTGAAAAGGACAAGCAGGAGGAAAGGTACAAGTTCTGCCTGCTTGACGGTCGCAAGGAGAAGGTCGGTAACTTCCGTATCGAGCCTCCTGGTTTGTTCCGTGGACGTGGTGAGCACCCTAAGACGGGTAAGCTCAAGCAGCGTGTCATGCCCGAGCAGATCACGATCAACATTGGCAAGAACGCGCCTGTCCCTACTCCTCCCGAAGGCCACAGCTGGAAGGAGGTGAGGCACGACAACACCGTCACCTGGCTCGCTACGTGGAATGAGAACGTCAACAACAATGTCAAGTACGTTTTCCTTGCTGCTGGATCTTCTCTCAAGGGCCAGTCCGACTTGAAGAAGTTCGAGAAGGCGCGCAAGCTTAAGGACCACATCAAACAGATTCGGAAGGATTACACGAGTGACCTTCGTGACAAGCATATGGCCATTCGTCAGCGTGCTACTGCCATGTATCTCATCGACAAGTTCGCGTTGCGTGCTGGTAACGAGAAGGGTGATGATGAGGCTGACACCGTTGGTTGTTGTTCGCTCCGTTTCGAGCATGTTACCTTGACGCCTCCGAACAAGGTTGCTTTCGATTTCTTGGGTAAGGACAGTATCCGCTACTACAATGAGGTCGAGGTGGACGAGCAGGTATTCAAGAACCTGAAGATCTTCAAGAAGGCGCCGAAGACGGAGGGCGATATGCTTTTCGACCGGTTGAACACTACTCAGCTCAACAAGCACTTGGGAAGTCTTATGGACGGGCTGTCTGCCAAGGTCTTCCGTACCTACAACGCTTCTCACACTTTCCAGGAACAGTTGAAGAGCACGCCCAAGAATGCTTCGGTCGCCGATAAGATCTTGGCGTACAACCGTGCGAACCGCATGGTTGCCATCTTGTGTAACCACCAGAAGTCCGTTAGCAAGAACCACGGACAGATGATGGAGAAGATGACTGACAAGATTCGTGCGCTGAAGTATCAAAAGATCAGGTGTAAGCGTCAGATCCTGGCTCTTGACCCGAAGCTGAAGAAGAAGAGGTCCGAATTGATTGAGTATGATTCCGACATCGATGATGAATGGATTAAGGCTCACCAGAAGGACTTGGTGGAGAAGGAGAAGGAGAAGATCAGCAAGAAGTTCGCTAAGGAAAACGAGGCGTTGCTTGCTGAGGACAAGAAGCCGATGAAGGACTCCGAGTTGGAGGAGAGGTTGGCTGCCGCCGGCGCCTTGGCCGAGGAGTTTGAGGAAGAGAACAAGACTGGTATTCTTGAGCCTAAGTCCAAGTCTGCTACTGTCGAGAAGCTCGACCAGCAGATTCAGAAGCTGGATGAGAGGATTTTGGTTGAGAAGACGCGTGTGACGGACAAGGAGGAGAACAAGGAGACTGCGTTGGGTACGTCCAAGTTGAACTACATCGATCCCAGGTTGTCTTATGCTTGGTGTGCCAAGTACGATGTGCCGATTGAGAAGATCTTTGCGGCTACGTTGAGGGAGAAGTTCAAGTGGGCTCAAGTTGATGCGGATTGGGTGTTCTAAGAGATCGATAGCTTTAGAAGGACTACGTATGCATGGAGTGAGCTTATCAGATTACTGCATTTTGGCGATTATAGTTGGAAAACTGACAGATTTTGCTCTACTCTGTGGCCCTACGAACCGCAGTACTAATAAGGATGCTGTGCGTAGGTTTTTGTCCACTTAGGCGTGTGAACTACCTTCCTGCATCACAAGTTCGACGGCAGTAACAACAACCTGAGTACCACCGGTCGATATTAGGGCCTCTAATCATGAAATCTGTAGCTTGTGAGCTTGAATCGCCTTCATCGAATACGCTGTGAAGCTTTAGCGTACGCGTACGTGTGGGAACTCGGACAACGGCTTTGCTCTATGTACGCTTCCTGATACATCAAGCAGAGCACGAGCTTTGGCAAAGGAGATATCAACTTCGTGGAAAAACAGATAATCGTGCTGAGAATTGTGGCTGCTCGTGCCCGCTTGCTGGCGCTTAACGTGCAATGCAAACTCCGTGAGACTTGATTTCCTTGAAAGGAACATGCCGACATCACGGACTGTGGCAGCCCCATAGGGGCGACAACGAATGCTTACCGCATAAAACAGTATGTTACACTCGGATCGCTGTCGCCGTAAATGAATCAAATCGCGCTCGTGGGCCGTGTCATGAGCCAAGCACCATCGGTGTGTTTTCTCCGCACACGTATATCGGCACACGCGCATTGACCAACTTTGACCTTGCGCGCCATCGCGGTGCCAAGTTCTCGGACCCAATCTGCAGCTCGACGCATCTGCTCCAACGTCAACCTACCTAGGTATAAAGTCCTACCTATATAGCCTTTGAGATACGGCTTTAACAAGGCCCCTGTTCCCCCGGCCAGTTCATGTCACAAGGGACAGGATGCCAACGACTCAACTGAGGGCACGGCCTGCTTCTTCGAGCATGACCTGAGTGTCCGGATCGACCAGAATGAACATCTATCGGTGGTCTTTGTTAAGAGACTCCCACTCTCTCAGAAGCGATCATGGACCTGGAGCGGTTGACGGTCATCCTCTTCTTTCCTTGAGCTTGGAGAGTAGCATAAGATATGGCGGAGGGATATGTACGCTGATCCCCCGTCTTGACATGCCTATTGACGGGAAGGAAACCGAGATGGTCGTTCCCTTCAGCGCTCAGGGTGTACCCCCTAGGCAAATTTGAGGAATGCTGGCAGGCCGACGACGATTGCTGAGGTCTTTGTTTTGTATGCCGCGACAAAATCTTTGAGACTGGGTCTCGATACCGGGTGCGACTTTCGGGTACGCGTACGTCGGCATACAATGCATGCGCACTTGCTTCGATGCGCGTGTAGAGCTATATGAGGAGACATTTGAGCTAGAGACTCGTCCTGCTGCCAAGCGCTTTCAGTTACTTGGTGCACGTATTTGACTTTAAGGTAGGTAGGGACATGCTTGCAATGTATGTAATGCCTTCTTGGAAGGGGCGAAAGCACAATACGTGGTTTGGTGGAGCAATCTCGTTTTCACCTTGCTGCAACTAGCACAGTACTAGGTAGTACTAGCGGCACGGGCACCTCAGCTGCAGCATGGACGTGCGGATTTTGAGCTTTATTGGCCTACACTTACTAATGCGTATTTCCTGTGTGCACCAAGACATATGCATGACGACTGGCCGGTGAGGAGAGAGGTTCTTGAGTTAGTGAATCTAGATATGTAACTTAAAGCCGAGTAAAGAAATACATTAGACCCATGTTATGGCGTAGCCACGAGGGAAAACCATACGTCCTCGTCTGTTACGCTACCGTCAGGTGATCCTGCCTACGCATTGATTTCAGACAAAATTGAACAGTTCAACAGCAGGAGCGACGGGGCCTTGGATGGCTTGGGCTTTTGCCGTTGGCGCCGCCGCTCTAGGCAACTTTACTTGGATCATAACAGTATCAAAGATATCAATTCGCTGCACGGTAGGCGAAATGCGAACATTGGCGTCTTCGTAACAGTACGGCCATCTTCTACTTGATAAAAGCACGTCTGCTGCTCACTGTGTTCGGCGGTTTACAGTGTCGAACAAATTCCAACGTGTGAACGAGGAGACACATGGCGTATGTGAAGTGCCACACTAGTTAACGAGGAAAGTTTGAATGGTTGCGTGGTAAGAGCAGTACCCAGACATTTTCAGGGATCTTCAGCCTAGACAGAGCTTAGCGATGTCATACCAACTGCAAGAATATGCCGTGCTGTCCTCGCAATCGGCATAGCAGGCCCTCATGATAAGATGGGCACTAAGCCGCTCACTTTGAGGAATTACCCCTTAGCTGCCCATTCGGAAAAGGTATGTTCATGATTTTGCACCTCCACTCCATGAGTGGCATTTTTGCATTCAACTCCCCACTAATACTATTGCTTGACCTATGACGTCGTTACAATGACCAGCAGTACGCGTATACGTATACAGCACTGGCCATACAACTTCACTCAACACGCCGGTCCACGCGGTTCGTGTTTAAGGGCTCTGATGGTTGGGTAAGGTTCCGGCATGGCATTGCTACTCGTCATCGTAAGTGTAGCCTTAAATTGCCATTCTCTCGGTTGTGTCAACTTGAATGTGCGACTCTGTCTCAAATCTTTTAGTTTACTGCTGGTTGCAAAATGCTTGTCGCAGGGCCTAAAATCACCCCTGCGCGTCTGACATCGACACTCCAACAAAACACGTCATAACTCCATCAATATGCCTCCTAGGAAGCTGAGAGGAGCAGCCAAACAATCACTTCAGCTCAGGGCTTCAAGCCGCACCCCCAAACCCCCGCCTAGGCTCGAGGATGATTTGCGGTCAAGCCCTCCATCAAAACCACCCGCCAGGGTTAAACGTACCAAAACAGTCATTGATCTCGAAATCGAAGACCCAGCTCCTGAACTTGTGAGTCAATACGATGATTTCATGGTTCAGGTTATCGTTACTAGGGAGCCGAAATTTAGGTATGCCCAAGGACCCTTCATGGTCAACCCCCTGAAAGAATGGGACTTTGTTCAACCACTATTGCTCGATCTCGCCCTCGAGGAGTCGCGTCAGGACCCTGTGGTCAAAGAGGGCATCAACATTCACTCCCTTACTCCCTACATTCAATGGAAAGTTGTACGCGGTCGTTCCAAGGATGCACCATGGTGTCGACTACGGCACCCCCTCGACTGGGAAGCATTCATTGAGGCCGTCAACACTGAGCGCATGGTACCTAAGATCGAGTGGACAGCTTTCATTCAAATCGATACGCGCTTCGTACCGCAAATCCAGTCTCTCGCCCGTACCGAAGACCTCGAAACTCCCACTAGGTCCTCCCAGCAGAAATCAAGGCCCCGCAACATTCCATTCGCAAGGGCTAGGAATACAGCAACAACTAGGGCCCTTCAGGATGTTTCTGTCAACATCGAGGGAGACCCTGTTGCTTACCACAAGTTGCTTGCCGTACAGTCCCTTCAGCAGAAATACAAATGCGCCCAGCACCATCAAAACCTATGCTACGTTCACCCATTGAGTAAGGCTCATCGACACATCAACATGCACCAGCAGAATCGATGGGCAGACTATATTGCCAATGAAGAGCC